ACCTAAAATTCATAGTACATTCAGAATTAACGAGGGAAAACATAATTAAACTTCGATTAAGAACCTCTAACCGCCGATCAAATAGTAGGTTAAAGCTACCTACAATGCCAACTAAGCTGGATGCTACCATGAATCAGAAGTAGCTAGAGAGAATGTCAGAATAGCTAATAGATGAAGTAGTCCTGGATTAGGTAGTGAAAGTATCGCTAGATTAGGGGGCACAGAGTGGTAAGATAGAGTGTTAATAGAGCAGCTATAGGATATATATTTTCTTATTTTTCCTCTTACTTAGATAGGTTTTATCTAAGTTTAAACGTTTCTAGTATTAAGCTCTACTATATTAATAAATTTTTATAAGTTTTTTTAAATAAATCACTATACTAAATAAGTTAATTACTATATTAAGAAAGTAATTAATTCTATAAAAAGATACAGTACTATAAATATTATTAAGAAATAACTAAGCTTTAGATAATTTTCAAGGACCTAGGTAAAAAAACAGAGTAAACTATTATTATTATAGCTTTAATAACTAATATTAATTAACTCTTTAACTATAATATCAAAGGTAATAACTTGATCTTAGATTCTGCTCTATCTAAAGAAAATTATACTAAATATATAATAACCGGTGAACATTAGCGATGTGGAAAATAGATCTTAAAATAGGGATAATATAGTATAAGATAGGACTATTAGCAGAGATAAAAGGTCTGGGTTTCCGTAGGTTATATCTTTAAATAGCATGAAAAAAGGAGCTGTTTTTCGCAGCCTAGTTAGAAATATATACTTTTTCATTTAATGAGTGAATTAACTAACTATTCGCGTTACCTCTATTCATTAAAGCCGGCTGTAGCCTTAAGAGGTGCTACAATAAGCGTTTTAAGTGCTTTATAAGAAATCCCTCCTTAATCCATTTAATCGCTCGAGATAAGGAAGGTCTTCGTAAAACGAATTATAGTGCGGGTGATAAAGCAATTAACTAAAAATCTTAAGATAAAGCAAGGAGCTTAGTATATTATTCTCGTTTTCCTCTAATTATGCTACTCCTCAATTGCGCTACTCCTTAATTATGCTGCTCCTCAATTATATGCCCCTTTAATTACGCTCCTCTAATTACGCAGCTCCTCCCAACTGATCTATACATAGTAAATAAAATTATTTACATAAACTAATAAAGATAAATAATACCTAAGACGAAGAGTATATAAGTAATGCTTTATATGTATCGCTATCCAGTGCGACGTCTAGATTTCCCTCTTAACCCGGGCAAATTTATTCATGGGACTAGCTTAATAATAATCCCCTTAAATTTAAACGCGCAAGTTAGGCAGCATCCCTTTTTCTTTAGCTAGCTAATAATATAACCCTGGCTATAAATATAACCTAATTAGAGTCAGTGTTAAAGACTATATGTGAGAGTATAGAGCACGTACTACATAAAAGAGATACTAGTTTCGCTTTATGTTTCTTATAACATATAGAACAATCTGAATTTAGGCTATACACTAAGATATACTCCTACGGTGAGTTTAAATAATATACAGGGCAAAGCACTTTTATAATACCGTTTCCAATACAATAAGTATAGGTAATCTAAATAAATTTAGTAATAATAGACTAGGAAGAAGGAGTAGGAACCTATACAGCCACACCCTTTTAGCACAAATGGATCTCTGCCATCCTAGAAATTAAATCCACAAGAGAAACAACTATATTTCCACTTTATGTTGAAGATAATAGTTAGCCGTTAAGCTACTGAATGTATTCTCGATATATCTTGAATTATGTCTGGTTTTAGCTTCTAGAAATAATTAGAGGAGAGCCTCTTAAATTTATTTTTCTCCTTACTAAGGTTAAGGTTTAATATATAATAATCTTCGCCTGTAAGATCGATAATCACGATATCCTCTATACTTTCCCTCTTAGAAATATACCTATCCTATACTTCTTGTCCTAGCTTAGCAATGACTAATTCTTATGCTTTAGATAAAAGAGAGGTATTAAGATTCTTAATTAGGATATAGGTATTAGGCCACACAGGCTCGATTTAAAGTAAGCCTTCATATTTCATTAGATATTAAAGCCCATCGATATTATATTCCCTAAGTGACCTAGCGCAAGCTAGGATACCGTATAATTTCAGACAAGCTTCAAAATCTTCATCATAAAAAGAAACGATAATTAAAGGTTTTAACTCGTTAACCTATTATTAATTTAAATGATATAGAGGTACAAGGTCAGATGCCCACTGAATCTGAATCTTAAGATAGCCGTCATACTTAGTAGCGTTAATAAGTTTCTCCACAGGGAACTGATTCTCCAGAGCGTGGCAATATTCAGCTTTTGGATAAAAATGCGGCAAGGAAGAGGGCATTGCCTCACTACTCTGGAATAAAGTTATTTTGATCTCCGATGAGGTAGTAGATAAGAATGTCTTAATAGGCGATATTCAGCTTAAGGAGAGTTTCACGCCCGCTAAAGTAGGGGAGAATAAAGCTACTTTATATAAGAGTGTTGCTAGATTGCTCGAAATAGAGGTAACCACTCTTTAATATATATATACATAATATAAACTAAGGGCTTAGCTTAGCACCCTATTAATAATGCTAAGTATAAGTACTTTAATTAGTAGATCGATTTACTAATTTAAGTTATTTTATGCCCCTCTACCCCGAACTTAAAATAGCAGTTATAATAAAGATACGTATATATATAGGAGTATAGTATAGGTCTTAACTATAGGTGGAATACTAATTAAGCTAATTCATCCCATAGAGAACAGAGAGCAAGAAATAGCTTTTATAGATACTAAACGTATTAGTGCTTTAAGCAGTGCTCCTTAAGAATCTAATTCTGGCTACAATTATTGAATTTGCTAGCAACCCTGACCCCTGCATAACTAGGGCCTGATTCTTTCTATTAAAAACGACAAGCTAATTTCTCCTCAGAGATCAAGCTATACTACATCAGGCACTAACGCATAGTAATATATCAGTATTTACCAGTACCTACACATGTAATAATAGCTAAATACACTAATAGGATTAACTAGAAGGAGTGTCCGCTTTCTAAGCATTATATTAGAACCCTAATACGCTAATATGTGGCTAATTAAGTGTTCCTACAGTGCTCTACATATTCCTAAGCTAGTCTAAAGATAGATCTCATTATAGCACACCATACTAAAGAGTTCATCTCTATTTCCCAGATACGATTTAACTTACCCGAACTTAACATAGTCCTTACGTTTAATTATACAGTATAGCTAAAAATACATATATTTACAGGAGCATAGTATAAGTCTTAACGGTAGGTAGAATACTAATTAAGCAAATTCATCCCATAGGAAACCAAGAGCAAGAAATGGCTTTTATGGATACTAAATGTATCGGTGGCTTAAGTGCTCCTTGAGAATCTAATTCTAGCTGTAGTTATTGAATTTGCTAGTAACCCTAACCCCTATACAGTGTGGAGTATAACCAGCTTCTACTCTATTGTCTATATTTATTTTTACAGAGAGGGAGTACCTGAAAGTACCTTAATATATATATCCTACTATATTATAGTATAGGAAATATCCATTAATAGCCGGGAAATAAGTTCCCTAAAGTAGACTAAGTACTAATATAGGGATAATTATACCTATAGTGTTAGCCTGAAATTTTAAGTGAGCGATAAGGTATATTAGACCTCAGGGTGCCAGGCTAACCACCTAATCATATAATCTCTATAATTAAGCTTTATAAGGCCCTAAGATAAGATGATTTTACTAAATAGATTCATATTACTAAATCTAAGAAATATATAAAATACTAAGGAATTTACTATAGTAAGGAATATAATAAGGGAATAGATATATTTAGCTAGCTATCTAAATTACTATATTAAGCTCTTCTATAGATAGCTGTAATATAATAACTCTCCCTGCCCTACAACTAATTACAGTATTTGACCTATAACAGGCCTATTTCCCCTCACGACATTCTATTAGGAGCCACAGAGTGTTCTCCCCTCGCTAGATAACCTAAGATACTATAATCGCTAGTTAATTCCAGCGATTAAGGTATATATCCCCTAAAATAACCAATTTTTCCTATATATACCCTTTAGTAAGCTGCTCATTCAAAAGAAGAAGCCTACTTATGTTTAGATCTAGTAAGTTTAGGTAAAGGTTTATCACTTATTAGGAAGGGTTCATTAGCTGGACAGTTCTTTATATTAAAACCGAAATCAGAGACGGTCAAAAAAGGGAAGATAGGTAGTAGTCAGACTAGAAAATATACACATCATATAGTGGCCCCGAGTTAGACTCAGCTTCTACTCTTCACTTAAGTGCGCAAAGTTATCGCTAATCAAAGAAGGGAGCTATATCTTCCTAAGCCCGAAGCTACTGAATTTATGTATTTATAATTAATCTACCACAAAATACCTAGGTAATAAAGCGCGGCCCAACTTACAGGGCATCCTCTATCTCCTTAGACTAGCCTAAATATTAGCTTAGTCCTAGGCTCATTAAAAGTAGTAATATACGTTAGGGCGTTTGCCAGATCACATATACTATTGTAGACTATTCCGGATTAATATGTAATTAGCTATATTACTTTGGGATATTTAAGGCCACTAGCCGGATAAGCGACCTTACGAATCCGCCGCTAGTTATCCCCTTAGCCCGAAAATCCTAATAGCTCCACAACCTCCTCGGCAGTAAACTCTTTCCTCAGTAGTACGCGATATATAAGGATACCCTACTCGGAATCCTTTAAATAGAGAGAGACACCTTCTTTAATTCTGCCGTTCTGGTTTCTCTTAGGCTCGATACTTTCGGGCTCGCCATTCTTAGGCTTGCCATTTTAGGAGCTATTCTTTTTGGAATTATTAACTATGGAATCTACTTCCTCCTCAATGCTATAAACCACCTCTACACATAACCTAACTACACTAAGCTCCTCACCTTTAAGAACGCAGAGAAATGTGGTCAGGTTAGGTATATTTGCCGTCTACGTAGGGAAGTCTTTCTTGATTGTATGGTTCCCTGCTGTAATATCCTTAGGCTCTACTTTGCCATTATAGCCAAGCATTTTCTTGCTAAGGCAGTCGTGCCCTAATCTCTGCAGCCCGACCAAGGAGTACTTAAGGCTTTATGCGGTAGCTAATAGGATAATAGTAAAGGATGCGAATTACTTATATTCTCTTAAGATAAAGCTTATAGCCTTTATATTTAGCCCGATATTGAATTAGTTTAGGAATAGGTTAGTAGAGAAGTCTTAGGTTCCCTATATAAATATTAAGTCAGGGTTTGCTATAGATAAAAAAGAAGACATATAAAATAGCTTACCGCCTGTAGGTAGTAGTTAACCTTGGAGGCTACCTTCTTCTTAATAAATTAACGTAAGATTCTAAGAGAAGACCCACCTATAAACCTGATGTTCCTGGCGGCATTAACTGCCTTACACAGCGACTTAATATTAAGTTAGCTAACTAAGGTATTCTAAGCCTTATATTTTTTCTCTTCTTTAGTAATACAATAGTTATACTATTTCTCCACAGCGTTACTCGTATTATCTTTTCCTAAGACCTTCTTGTACCTATTTAAAGGCTCCCTATACTGCTATACGGCGGCATAGTACCTTTTAATTTCGTTATAGGTACGGTTCAACAGCTCCTCATAGTAATAACAATATAGGTTCACTGGGTTTTAAATCTCTTTGAGACTATTATAATCCACCAGGACTTTAACCTTTAGGGCTAGTGAGGATCTAGAATATGCTTAGGACCCCCAATAAGTCAGGCAATTAGCAAGGTCCTATACTATAAGTTCAGCATGCTTCTTGGATTACTCTTTATGTAGGTTGATAGTTTTGGTAGCTTTTCTCATCTAGAGAGCGATCGCGTCAGTAAAACAATCGAGAATATATATAGGGAGATCTCTTACTAGATTTATATCCTCAGTAGGGATTTCTTAGCCCTGCCTTCACAGCTCTTCCTATCGCTCCAATAGCTTTTTCCCTTTAAGGCAGGAGCCTAGAAGTGCCTTAGAAGCGTCACGGTCTGTTTTATATATATCTAGAAAATACATGATTAGGAGTTTCTTGCATTTAGCGAACTCCTCCTCGCTCATACTAACCCCCTAAGCAACCTAGCACGGCTCTATAATCCAGATAACACGCTTAGTCGGGCAACGCTGAGCGACCTCCTTAAGAAGCGTGAGCGCCGCGGTGGCGTTATCAGAGTCTATAGAGTCATTATAGTAGATGGTTAAATCCTCGGTCTAGCTGTGGGGGGGCATATTTGATGGCATTGCTTTGCGATGGGCTAGCTGTAGCGATGTTTATTTAAGGAGGTAGGTGAGGGGAAAGGCTGCGAGAGTTATTAGATTAATTGATAGTAGACTGACAGCTATTTGCCTTAAGTACTAGATATATATATAATAATATATAAGCAGTAAGATAATATTCTAGAGTTTCTCTGAGAGCAGAGTGGGCCCCTAAAGGTAGGAAAAGTGCCCTTAGGAAAGCCTTAGGGCTATATATAGGTACTTTGCTATCCTTAGGTATCACCGCATATACCGCTCACCTAATTTAGCAATAGACCCCGCCTGTTTAGTATAGTCATAAGCAAAATCAGCTTCCGCTCTAAACTCTCTCTTTTATTCTTTAGTGTAATTAGGGTACCTAAGTATATATTAGTCTACCTACCTAGTCCAGTACATTAGCAACATATTATACTTTAGGCTAATAATAGCCAAGGATAATATTCTTCCAGGTATACCTAGGTATTAAGCTAAATCCCCTAAATCTCATAGTGCCAGTGGAGACTTTCAATACTTTCTAATAATCAATAAGGTACATCAGCAAGCTAGAGCTAGGGCGATAAACCAATAAGGGTGTAATTCCCTATCAACCATCCCTATAAACTATACTGGCCCCGGACCTAAGATCACCCCTACAATAGGGGATTTACTTGTGCATCAAGTAGCTAAAGCTTATACGATCCAACGTAAAATGGTTAACTTAATACAAGGACGTATCCGTTAGTGTAGTTACTTGAACCTTACAGACGCGTAAAATAACCCTTAGAGTAATAAGGCGCATAGCATAATAACAGGTGCCTAATTAAAACATTATTAGCTTTACCGATTTAAGATGTAGGGATACTAATTATACTATTATAGCGATAAGTGCAGCTTCAATAGACCAAGTATATTCAACCTTCTCATAGGATTACACTCTACGACTTATGGAACCACCCAAATCTCACGCAGATGACCGTGGACATCGATAACGTGAGTTTTATTATAGAGAACATCCGCAATGAGCGGTTCCATCTTTCTCCAGTCATTTTCAACGACACCATCCCCTTCTACGCGAACCGCATTTAAATCATAGTTATTAGTAAAGAAGTTATCCATTCCACCTCTCTCCACTCTACACTAGGATAAAATCATAAGTGACTGCGGGTTAGCTTATGTGCCTTCATAGGATGCACTTATAGCGCGAGATACATAGGGAGTAATACTTATCTCCGGGGAGGAAGGGCCGGGGGTTATCCTTAAAACTAAAGCTATCTACTTATATAGCTATCCTAAGTTTCATTAGCTACACAAACTCCATCCTACTTAGCTTCATCACTATCTAGGTCTCAGAACCATAGCCCACCGCTTAACGCATTTTCTTCCACCCCTGCCTAATATACCTTACTCTCCGTTGTGTCTATTTGTGAATTAACACCAGATATCGGTATTAGCAGGTGATAGGGATTCTAACCGCTCTACACCTCGCTACATCACACCACGTTCTTAGGAGTATCATCAGGAGGACTTTCCAAGTAGACCCTAGTCTTATTCGTTATCTATTTATAGACGGTATACTAGTTAGAGTGCTACCAGCGGAAACAAGCGTAGCTAATAGTTTAAGAGCATTTAGGGATATTTAAAGTTAGCATAAAATTTTAAGAAAGAGGCAATAGCCTACCAGGATACGCCCTCTTCAGAGCAGTCTTAAATTTAATCTAAAGCCATGTACTGCTCTACTCTTTCGTTCTTCATTATTTCTATCATCACCAACTTACATATCAACAAGTTATAGCTATAGAGATAGAAGATATTACAATAGATTCCTATAAGTCTATACTATAGACTGTCCTCAGCGGCTTCAAAATATCTCGCTAAAACTAACTATCTCACCATCTATCTCAGCGCCTATAACTCGCTAACATGCATACTTTATGCACTCTTCCTTCACTTTATATCCGTGAACATAATACAAAACCTATAGATCCTTGCTCCCGTGGCCATAAATACACATCACATCTGAACAGTCCTTCGCTATATCTCGATCCGCTTTACGGTTCTTGTGACACCGCCCTTTCCGAGCTAGACACCACAACGCATCAAACTCCTCATCTGTGAGGGGCCGATATATATAATTACATTCACACGTCTACAATAAACAGGCTCCCTAGAGGTAGAAATAGAAACACAGAGACCCTTTTTAGATCCTTTCCACCACAACCTCAGTCACTTGTAGTTCCCTGTCAACCCGGCGTCCACTTTCTGTTAGTACCGGACCTAGTCTACCTGGCTTTACCTGAGGATTATTCCCTGCCGGTCGTGCTGTAAGCGTGATAAACACTAACGCCCTTTCTGCCATCGACCGTCCGATATTGTTGCTACGATCAGCAAGAGTCCTAGGCGCTACACTTCAAACCCATACCCCTACCGGCATCGCTTGATGGGTGGGCTCGTTGAAAATCTCGCTAAACTGTATCCTTTTTAGATTAAGCTCCCTAATCTTCGTTGGAAATAGGCTTCCTTCTAACAGCGTAATGCGGTCTGCGGTCTGCTTATCTCCTACGAACTATCCTAGGAATAGAGCGTAACTAGAATCGTGTCTATATGCGAGTAAGAGATACTTATATTAGAAACTTTCTAAGAAAAACTTAGTGCTCTCTATTATAATAAGTGAAATTAGAATAGAGAAATCGGATATATATAAGAAAGACAAAGAGGCAGGAAATCAATAACTCACTGCGAACTTTAAAATCCACCCATTCTTTTCCAGCCCTAACATTAATAAAGTCGAAAAACGCCTGATGACTACTAAAACTAGTAGCAAATGCCCTAAGCTAATTAGCATCTTTTAACTTCCCACCACGCTTAAGTGCCGCACCCAGCCCGCTCACGTTCGCAAACGCCTTTACTAGGATGTCCACCTTATTAGGCTGTCCCACCAACTCTTAAATATATTATTATACCCTAGCAAGAAGCGCGTCAGCCGCATCTTCGCCGCCCTTCGCCCCTTTTATAATGAAGTTATTATAAAACTATAGCGATATGAGTTAGAAAAGCACTATCTAGTCCTTTGGTTATAGGTCTGCTTACCATATAGCCATCCGCGTCCGCGTTAATTAGTGCTACCACAAACGGCCTTCTTCCCTGCCGCTCCTTCTATTCCCTACTCGCCTATACTTCTTACTAGAGACGTCTTCTCCCTTCACACTCATTATCTAGGTCAAGCTTAGTCTGCTTTAATACGCTCTTAGTATTACCTAGTTCCTCTAAAAGCTCCTATCATCGGGAAAGTCAACCCTTTATTTCGTACTAAAGCAGTATATACCAGAACCAGCCTTACTTTAATCAAATCCATCCCTTGCCAGACCTCTCGCGTAAGACTCGTTTAGATCCCGGCGAAACGATCACTATAAGTTTCTAGTCTTGAGTCCATCGTGTGTATTACTTATAGGTGATCTCCTCATAGGAGGGTCAGAAGGGAAGGTATAGGGAAAAGGCTGGTTTTCAGGGAGGCGCGGTAACGCGAAGGCGCTGGACGTGTTCGGGGACTATTTGATTGCCGATGACTATACGGACTCTATTGCTTAAACTAGTAGTGAAAATCATACATAATCCTAAGCGGGCGTGCTTCTCCTAACTCACACCTGATTATTAAAGGATAATTGCGAACACATCAGAGCCATTATGATCACCTGTAGCGGGGTATTCTAGACGCTTCAATAACTTTTCTAATTCACCCAAAATAGAAGGCGGTATAGCGGGGCCTACGCGGCCACGATTTTTTTTTATCGTACCCAAGCTAGTAGGCAGTATATATAGTGCCTAAGAGTAAAAGATCACACTATATAGATTATGTTTAATACTTGGAAAGATATTATAAAAGCGGAAGCTATTTATACTTATAACTATATTATATAGCTATATTACTATTGTTTTTGCACAGAGAATTCGTTCTGTTTGGTTAATAGAGCTAAAATTAACTCCAAAAGGAATAGAGGGAAATGAAACTAGGGGCGGTTAAGTAATATAGTTACATATAAGCTCTACGTATGTACATACTAGCGCGCTATAGGACACCTCTACAGCTAAACATCTAGAAACAGCCTCTCTCCCCTTCTTATAAGGCTCCTCATCCTCTTCCCTTATGCATAGCTCTAGCCTATCAGATCTAAAAATAAATAACTATAGTTATTAGATTTTCTTCATCTAATTAGCTATGCGAAGGGGAGGCTAGAAAGATCCTAAGCATCCATAGCTTATCACCCCCTTACATATAGTACAAGAAGCCACCACACATTAGGTACACCGAGTCAGAGGCCCGAAAACGTACACTATAATTCATTTAAACGTAGGCGAGTAATAGATAGTCCCGCAAGCGTGATCCTATGTAGTTATAGCAGTTTATAAGTAAAACAAATAGCCTCTGTGCACTTAGTCATCAAGTACTCTTTTCTCTAGAAGTACACTACTACTTTCTTTTCTTAACATCTAGCTCTCTTTAATACTATATAAATCTATCCTTTCCACTTGAATTCAGACTATACACGCTATACAGTGTTCTTAAATCTCAGCGCCAGGTGGACTATTATACTTATTAGCTAGACCAAAGTCAGAATATACTTAACAGCTATCTGGGATATAGGCTCAAAACTGCCGAGAGAAAAAGAGGAGGTAAGTCTACCCGCCCATTCATAGCAACCATACTCCCTATACCGCGCTCACATGATAGTATATTACCTATTGTACTAATACTACTATTATTAGCCTAACAGCAGGTAACCCTCCCACAGTTCGACGCCTCCTAGCTAAATATCTTATAGCTGGACGTTTATGGAAGCATAGAATCTACTCCTTCTTAGAAATACTTCATACCAGGCAGCCTAGTTCTCATGAGCACATACTTACCTTTATCCATTAAGCATATACCTTACTAGAACTACTCTATAAGTCTATTCCTATTCTTAAGGATATTTAACTTAGATGTTTCCAGATATAGTCTATTTATTAACGAGAATTCAGATGATGGTAATATATAGATAGGGGTTTCTCGATAGTAGTATAGCCTTGCTTCTGAAAAATCACTATCAGCTGGTCACCTTTACTATCACCTTGCAATCTTGGCTCACGGCGATGCTATTCAGAAGCTATATCTTTATGCGAAATCTCTCCGTATTACTTTACCGTTCATAGAAACTAGGAAGAACATCTAGACTCTATTTTACCAATGCCCTTATAAGTGCTGCCTTTCTTAGATTAATACTATATTTATTTATGTCCATCGCATTCTATTCTCCAAGAAAGCTAAGGACCTCTTTTACTAAGCCTCCAAAGATTACCTTACACTTTTAGACCCTTATATTAGTACAGCTACACAATAGGGTGAGTAAAATAATATATTTTTATGGAGGTGAAGGCCTTTGCGCATTTATACTATCTAGTAAGAGACGCCTATGTAGGTGAAAGGAGAAGGGGTAGATATAGCGAGTAGGACTTCGCCGGGATACACACTCTCTAGATACGTACGTACATCTAACTTAGGGGGAGGAGACCGACCCCCTGATCCCCGACCCCCTGATCCCCGACCCCCAGTGGACTCCGGGTAGGAATTATAAATTGCAGCTAGTTTAAACCCTCAGTTCATAACTATTTATGCAAGAGTTAAGATATATATATAAATACTGTAAATAGGCTAATAGTCTTTTTAAGATTCAACCGGGGGTCGACTGGGGGTCGGTTATCAGGGGGTCGGTCCCCCCCTAACTTACTAGGCAGCCCTAGCGTAATGCACGGTAGTCACCTCAGTCCCTGTGCTATACCTTTCTGTGCGATGAATAGCTGTTGTAGGTACCTTTAAGCGGTTTGCCTCTAAGCGTAGTAATCTTAATCCGAGCATACTGGATCTACCGTCGCATCTGCCTCCTGGAATTCACTAGAAGCAGTTAAAACTTTAGGTGCCAGGTTGACATTCATTTCCATAGCCTACACTCTCTCTTAGATACTTATTAGTAACATTACTGCTGCTTCATAAGAGCTAGCTCCTCGGTACTCGCTAGCTATAACTCACACTAAAATAAGATAACTTGATCGTCCTACCCAGGACGACTACTATATATCCCTCACTTACCCTAGACCCTGATCCAGTCTAAGCCGCTCAACCATTATAATCATTCGTTACACATGATGGATAATTTAGACCTAAAGTTAATATAAGTAAACTAATGTCCCAGTCGCAGCCACTTTTAACCTATAATACGCTCACATATAATTCCTACTCATAATAATACATAATTAAGAAGCTTAGTCTTCGTGCATTATATTACTAGGATTATAAAAATGACTGAGTACTATAGTAACACAATGACTATTTATCTATCGTTTCTACAGCATTAATATATCCGGGTTTTTACAATAGAAGGCACTTACAGATAATAAATTCTCATAGAATAAGTAACTCTTGCAGACAAATAAAGATCTACAGTCCCAAATAGAGGGTCCGCAATATCATATTAACAGCCTCCAGGCGTAAGTCCCTAAGGAGCAGTATTAGGAGGGGATAAGTCCTATCCGCGGCTCTGGCCAGACACCTTAAGTGATCAATGATTACAGCGACTAATCACATCTAACTACTATTGAGGAGTGAAGGATTTATATAAACTAATATTATGTATCTTCAAATAGGCTATAATATTCCTTTTCTTTCTCGTTTCTTCTTTACATCGTAAGAGGGTGTCCCTTCACAGCCAACATGTTAAGTAGATGCAATAAGGGGGATTGGCAACTAACTTACCCGTAATTAAGAGTCAGATATATAACATCTACTGTGGACGCCGATGCTAGTCGCTTATATAATTATTTACGTTTCCAAGCATCGCTTATGCTAGCATAGTGGGTGGTGGAGGTGCTAACGCTAGTGCCGCTGGTGGGCTATCGGACGCGCCCTCTTTATGTTTCCAGGAAAAGGGTTAGTTGCTAGGTCTAAATTGGCATCACTAATCAGCTTGACCTAGCGCTTATTTTGCTCTTCGAGTTACTTCTCCACGAGGCTGTTCAAGACATCCTCATTGTAGCCGGGGCAGTTTTCCCGGATCCTGCTTTCCGTCATCTTAGTGCACTGAAATTAGTTCATACAGTGCAGTTGGTTGACGTTGGAAAATAGAGGGCATTTTTTTTTCTTATAGATCGTGGTAGCGCTGCGATCGAAGTGTTTATAGGCCTTGTCGTCTGCCGCCTAGACCTTCCCTACATGGGTGGCCTCCAGCTCTATTAGTTGCTGTTCCAGCTGGGCCGCAACGGCGCCTCCCCCTTCGGGTTCAGCGAGTAACTGCTTAAGCGTGCCTTCTACCTTCTCCTTCGCGTTTTATGCCGCCCGGATATCGTCCTCAACAGCATTCACAATGAGCGATTCCCCGCAGTAGTAACTAGGTAAACCGTTCATCAATAAAAGAGATCTACATTAGGCAAGTTAGCAGAGTGTAACGCAGCCAGGGTGATACATACCATTAATAGTGGCTACACCTACATCGGATCTTATTACAGCCGGCCTCAAGGTCGATTCTGGCTTTACAGTGGCTAGAAACGTAGGAACCCGTCAGCTTTCCCGTTAAGTGCTTATAGCCTTTATATTGCCTACTCACTTATATTTACGCAACCGGCCTTCCGATATTGCCTCATCCAGCATTCGCTTCACTTGTCGCGTCTGTTCTTCCACATTTTCATCTAGCTCTAGCATCTTAGCCTCTTGGCAAGTCTTACCATTATAGGCCCGGCTTTGGCACAACCTACAGCTGAGCTTACCGCAATCGTTGCTCTTACACTGAAAGAGCGGATGCCACTACTTCGGAAGACCCTCGAAGTTTTCAATATAGTAGCAGAAGGGACAGGCCTCATTATACGGAATTACCCCTAGGATGTCGTCCACCTGCTCCTTCCTCAACAGGCTTGCGAATATATCGAAGTCGTAGAATTTAGTAGCAGGATCAACGAGAAAGCGAAACTACTCAGACAAGAACAAGGTAGGACACCCCTCGCCCAGGCACCTAACGCGTTTTACTAGTAATACTATATCGTTCTAAGCTATTTCCACAAAGCACGAGTGGCATACTACATGTTTGGCGGTATTAGAATCTCTCGTACCGTTCTTCTCGTTTTCCTCGTCTATCCTACATCGCATAATATTTAGCTCTAGGATATCTTCCTAACACACCACACTATAATAATCTCCTTAGCCTTTTCTCTGGCGGTTGTAGATCGGGGCTATGCTGGCTTTCGGAAGTTAGAGGCCTTACTATATGATCTTTGGTGCCTCATTCTTATCTGGCTTAGCCTCGACCGCCTATACATCATCGTCGCCTGTTAAATCCGCAATCTCTGGGGCGGCAGCAGCGGGCGCGGTGGTCAAGTTATATCTTCCATCTATAATTATCCAAGTTAGTTGAAAAGGGAACGTCTTCTCGCATGCCTCGTTATGGGGGAAGTTGAAAATAGATATATATTCGCAGAAGAGAGCAATAAATGTGCATTACTACACACCTTATTCATTATACTTTCTGAGGATATACCTCTTCACAGCGCGAACCTTATCCACCACTAAGTCATCGCGTTATATAGCTATATTTACATCATCATCTTCTAGTTTTATCCTAAAGACCCCCTAGTCGCAAAGTCGGATGAATGCATGGAATACTATGTTTTCTTTAAGTGTGTTGCTTACTATCATATAGTCCGATTCACAGGCTAATCTAGGGAGTAGGTTCCTAAATTCAGTCTCCCTACGAGCACCATACACTATCAGTTTTTCCAATTTTAGTCCATCAGTTAGCAATAAGCCATCGATGGAATAACACATACAGCACTGGTCGGAGATGTCTTCGGGGTCTAGGGAGTTCCTTCCTTGAGTAGTAATTGATTCCCTCAAGGTCCCCATCGACGGTATCCCCTCCTATACCTTTAGCTCCCCCGTCATCTTCGCCATTATCATCTCTTGACCGCTTCCTGGGGTTTTCAGGTGGTCTATCTTGTGCGTACGGCATCGGCGGATGTAGGCTTGGGCCGGTCATGGCTGGCATGAATATCAGGTAGATAGACAGGTCGCAAAGGAATGAAGAGAGAAGAAAAGAAAGAAAGAAGGTACACCGGTGAATTGGAGCTACCCAGGCTTAGAGGGTGGGAGTGGCTTAAATATATAGGAGTAAGAGGCCCGGGTGGAGCAGGATGACGCCTCGCTTACTTATGAGTTCTGAGGGAACAAAAATAGGCGATGGGAGGATCTTTAAGTGAGGCTATAGGGCGATCAAGGATGGGACCTGTGGATAGCGTCTCTGCAGACTATGAGTGAGAAATATGAGCGCGAGCCACCTATGGTGAGTTACGTAGCGAGCAGTCCGCGGTCATTACATTGTGGTTTGTTGAGATATCCAGCGTTGAACAACCACTCTCCCCATCAATAGGCTTATAACGATTGACCGTATGGCCAAGATTAGACCCAGAGGTGCGGAGGACTGCTTTGAGATCCGCCTTATTAGTGGAGCTGTATCGAGTTGCAATCGAGTGCCTAAGAAAACTGATCTTGGTTTTCTACAAGCTCGGCAATTTTAGGTACGTATTTGGCACCTACATCTTCAGGCCCAAGTATGAAGATATCAGCCCTTGGCGTAGAACCCGTGGCCGTGGAAGCTTACGTCTCAACGGCCTCGACACTCATTGCCTGCGTGGTCTCCACATCCTCGTCCATATTCTCAGGAGCAGTGGGAACACTATTCTACAGACTTTAATTTCCTGCGTATCACTGGCCGCGACCTCCGCATCCCCATCCTACGGAGTAGTGGGAGGCTGCGTGCTTTCCACCGTATACGTAGCAGAGACTGATGATATAGAGCCACGCTCGCGTGTAATATTTTTCGGAGTCTGTGCGGTCTGAGTATCCTCTATAGGAGTATCAAGAGAAGCATTAGATATATTTCCCATCAGCTGCGTGTTATTGGTCGCGGTCGTCAAGGTGTCGATATATCCTATCGCCTGCTCGTTCTTAAAACCATCTATTCTCGAGAGAGAAGTATCAGATATATTTCTAATTCGCTGTATGTTATTAGTTATAGTTATCGAGATAGTGTTAAATTCTATTACCCTATTATTCATATCAGCTGTTTCTTATACATTTTCGAACGCGCTTATCAGGATAGTATTATATTCTATCGCCTGGCTGTTCTCAATACCGTCCGTACTTCTAGGAGTATCGCGTGAGATATCAGATGTGTCTTCCGCTGCCGCTTGTATGCTGTTGGTAGAAGGAGCATCGGTTTCCGCAACGGCTGTCTCAGCGCTCGTCTTAGAAGCATGAGTAAAACTTGACTATTAGTGTATTTCCCTTCAATCTTAGGCTTGATGGAAGTTATTGTATGTATTTGAGAATAGCGCCTATAAGAATAAAATATTAAACTTAATGTAAGATGAAATATACTAGAGCTATATACGCTTATCTTAGAGGATAATAACCCCCTTATTTCTCCTAGCATTATCCAATACCTTTTCCTATAAGATAGAAGATAGATCTTGGAACTGTACTTTGGTCGATATCCAATAGGCCTGAAAAGGGGTCACCCTTATTCTCTTAGCGCCCTTACGAGGCGGAAAGAATTTGCATTCAAATTACTATCCTTAATACTTAGCTCCAAACTATATCTTAATATCAGATATAAGCCTTTTGAAGGCCTGTAATCTTTTCTTACCATTAAGCGCGTAAGCATCATAGATTAACTTCCTTAGACCAGAAGATAGATCATTATATGTGATACGGGTTGCCTTCCAGAAAACCTTAATATCGAGCTCCTCTTCAGAAATAGAGGAGCCCTGTGAGAGTCTATCGGGGTACCAGATGTTAAAGTTATCTACCTCCTAGAGCTCATTATCAAGAGGGGCATATTCAGAGCCCTGTTTCGTATAAGTTTGATCTTAAGAGGACTTAATTCTCTTCTGAACCTGAGGATTCATCTCATTCTGTTGTGTCAGACGCCTTTTCTCTGTCGTTGATGAACTTAGACCTGGGCTTAGGCTATCTGATTGAATTCTAAGAGTTCCAGAATTACCAAGGGTTGGCTGTTTGCTAGGTATATTTAATAGCTCCTATTATAGTGATCAGTAACTGTAAAGTAGTATATATAAAATATATATAATTAGAAGCTACTAACTTTTAGGCTCTGAGAATGAATAGGAAAGGCAGAGTCAGGGGGGTAAATGTAACTGGTACCCCTATTCGGAGTAGGGCGAGATATTGTATTGCGAGTCTGGCTGCAAGTCTGGTGCATGATAGAACTATTTAGGCTGTTTGATATAGCTAGAGAGCTGGGGGGGGTATCAAGATGATGATTGCCTCTGGCTTGTGTAGTATTGCGAATACTGTTATTCGGAATAGTATCGTTCTCAGCCGAAAAGTAATCTTCATCGCTGTCCCGAGCGTTGTACTCATCCTGCCTGTCATCATTCAACACAGTAGGATCATCGCTATCACTCGGATAGGTATTACGACCACTCTCTCCCAAGGTGGTATCGTAATGGCTCTCTGGAGCGATATAGTGTTTCGCATCAAGACCCCGGCATATAGGTGAACTCGGTAGAGGGTGGCGCTTACGAATATCACGACCACTCTCATTCAGAGCAACGGGGTTACAATCCATCTTCAGGGATCGAGTCGTCGGTGGGACATTTGATTCATGATATTCGGTCAGTCGAGCATAATGCTTATAAACAGAACGATTGCTCTTATGCAGAGTAGCGTCACGACCACTATCATTGAGAGCGGTGTTATGCTCCGCACCGAGAGTCTGGTGTGATAAGGGAGCCATTGGGCCATGAGATTCAGTTGGCTGGATAGGCCCCGGGGGGGGACAGGGCTTGTTGATATCACGACCACTCCAGTCTGGGTCTGGAGTGGTGTTATATTTCGCACCTGGAGTCCCGGGTGCTGGTAGCTGAGGTTTGGGAATCTTTGAAAAGCTCATTGTTGTTTGTATTCTAGCTCTTAGTGTTTCTGCTGGATAGAGGCAAGATAGCTGTAGTGGGCTGGTGTAGTGAAGAGTAAAGGAAAGAATCAAGATGGGGAAGGGGAGTGCTCTTTAAATACTCAGAGATCAGGCTTAACAAGACGAGCCCCCAGTAACCTTGTAAGAATTGAACAGCTAGGCTAAAAATAGGGCGCCCAGAACTGTCAGTACTAATAAGAAAGGCCAGGTAGATACTATGATGAGAGGATAATGCTCCACCCTGCCTTGTTTATAGTAAGCTAGATCTAGATAGGATATAATATATATCCGTATCTCAGCCCGCCCCCTTCTCAACCCCCAGTTGCCCCAGCCAAGGCTATATCTACCTAGCTATATGGGCTAATGCAAAGCTCCATTCCGACCCCCTCTACCTTAGCTGGTCTATCTCGCTAAGAGGAAGGGAAGGGCATGCGACAGTATTAGCTACTGGTTAGATCCCAAGGTATTAAAGAATTGTTATTGCTATTTCTTCTAATATATAAATCTGCCTATATTGACTTTCCCAGCCAGCTCTTAATTCCAACTACATTACTTATATATATCTTTCCCCTCTTTCCCCTGAATTGGACACTCTAAGCTGCTGAACTGTTCTATCTCTCTTCTCTTAATATATTATTAATTTATTACCGGAAATATCAAAAGAGAAAGATAAGTACCGATACGCAAACACTACACAGCAGAATATTCAGGAATTTAGATTTAGAGGCAAGCAACAGCTGGTCCTATCAACGACCCAAACCACCACAAGGTCCATATCATTATTCACCCAAATCAAGCTCAGTCGTATATACATCAGACCTACTGTCTCCTTTTAGAACCTTTCAGTAATGAAGGACTGGCGCTAATTAACCCCTCAACTTAGCTTTCCATAATTAAAGGTGCGGTATACTCAGGTGCAGAGTCAGCGCCTGACCCCAGTCTCGCTGTATTTGTGTTTCCAGACTGCCCACTAGGCCTTGCCTAGTTGCACAATTGAGGAGTAGCGCAATTGAGGAGTAGCGCAATTGAGGAGTAGCGCAATTGAGGAGTAGCGCAATTGAGGAGTAGCGCAATTGAGGAGTAGCGCAATTGAGGAGTAGCGCAATTGAGGAGTAGTACTAATTAAGGAGTAGTGCGCAATTGAGAAGTAGCGCAATTGAGAAGTAGCGCAATTGAGGAGTAGCGCAATTAAGGAGTAGTGCGCAATTGAGGAGTAGTACTAATTGAGGAGTAGTACGCAATTGAGGAGTAGCACAATTAAGGAGTAGTACTAATTGAGGAGTAGTGCGTAATTGAGGAGTAGTGCGTAGTTGAGGAGTAGTAGTAATTGAGGAGTAGAGTATAGTTGAAGGAGTAGTGCAATTAAGGAGTATGGTCGTGCCGCCACCTAACAGCTTCCGGATTAATAGGTAAAAGGGATAAATTGAGACTATTGCTTCTAACTAGTAATTAAAGAGAGGATCCGCAGCCTCTTACATCCCTGAGCATCCCTCGATCGTATTCTTATACGAGCAGCCCGGTCCCGGGCTCATAAGGTCCTTACGATATCCCTCTGGCTAGTAATTGCTAGGGATATTCATATCTGGATGACCGAGACTATCCTCTTCCTTTAAGCCTTGCGTTAATTACGATCAGAACACTCTTCGAGGCATCGGGCCCATGCCGATCTCTCGGTATTAGGTTGGTCATCAGGTCAGTAGGTTCACGATCAATCCTACCGGCTGGGGTCACTCGAGCCGATAGGCAGGGCCCTGACAATCGGGTCCGGTTAGGTTGTAACCTTCTAACCTAGCTAATTGGCCCCTCTCGGTGAAACTGATCCTTCTAGGTCTGTTGCATCGTAGCCGCAGCTATCGTGTGATTGAACCTTACTTTTGTCTTCGAAGCCGGGCCGGCTTCCACGGAATTCCTGATGTCAGTTACCAGCAAATTCTATATGCGTTCGAACAGGCTGGGCTGCGGGCTTCAACGCTCGTGGATTATCTCGGTAGTTGACAATACCTTCCTACCGCCCGCTTGTCTCCAACAGAGTAGTACAATCAGAGGAATAGTATAATTAAAGGAAGAGTAGAATAAGTAGGTAAAGAAAGCTGGTAGAATTACTAATTATACTCCTATAGGATAGATAAGGATTTTAATTAAGCGAACTCTTAAACATTTAATGGTGAGTATATATAATGCTTGCTATCAAGTATAGCAGGATAAGATATAAGCAATCTAGTATATAGATTTAGTATAATCACTACTGTCTTTATTAAAACTAGCTCCTCAGTATCTTTATATTACTAGTAACTCATACAGCACCAAGACAACCTAATTACGCTACTTAGTAAGTTACCCAACCATTACGATTCTTCATCAGCCAGCCTATAATAAAAGCTTTAATAAAGTAATTAATATATTAGAACTCTATAGTCTACGATATACTAAAATCAAGTCTAGGAGAATAGTTACGGAGTATAAAAAGTAATAATATAATCGGTTTAGTCGAAAAAATCATAATAAAATTAAAAACGATAATCCGTTATCATAACGCTATCCCTTCAAAGAATCTCCATCACGTGGACGCCTCGCACAGTTAGGATTATAGCAAAGTACAATTACAGCCTGTTTTTTCATATATAATAGCGCATACCCCCCCTTCTCCCTATTTATAAAAGAATAGGTATAGAGGTAGTAGTTCCCTATAATAGAACCTTTCCCTTTGCTAATCTAATTACAAATCACACTCACTATATTCAAAATAAAGCAGAAACAGTTAGCGTTATAGTCGGTAAGGAGGGCGGAGGAGTTGGTCCTCTAGGGACGGTCGCAGGGCCCTTCAGGTAATAGAACTACCTTGCCGAACGCAGCTAGCCCGCCAGTATCCAAGGGCCGGGTTTAGAGACACACTCGGCCAGTGACCTCTCTCAGGGGGGACACAATACTATATGCCTCGAATGGGGTGAGTGCGCTCGGATTCGAGCTGGGCAGCGTTGCGGGCGTAGGATTGCGTTTTATACTGGCAGAAACAGCTGCGTTAGAACAGCTGTTTAGGCTCAGGAAGTGGCGGTGGTGGAACTTGCTTCTTCGAGACTACTGCACTTATGATCCTCCATCAGACGGTGCTTGCTGCAGAAGTGGCCCTGGCAGAAGCTGCAGTCGCCAACAATGAGCTAGGCTCGTTCACGGCACTCGGTGGCGTTACAACGGATCTTCTTTCTAGCCATAGTGGGCGATTTTGAGCAGGCTGTGTGAGAGAGCGGCAGCGGTGGGAGGAACTGCTCTACCGGAGGGATCTCGAGTGCTGGCTATTATCGATAAAGGCGGAAGTAGAGTGTGTACAAGAGATACAGGACAGACATAAAGGATTCCGGGAGCATCACCAAGGGATAAAGATATACAGAAGCGCCTCCCTCAGCCTTAGCGAACTAAGCAAACACAGGCAGTAAGGACGCAAGGCAACCGCGGTCAACACAAACACAGTCACACAAGCGTAGTTAGGAGCTAAGCATATTGCATAAGCGAATTTTATTTTGCCGTATTAGCGTTCTTTTCCCTTCATATAGGCTACAACCGCCCGTATCCTAGGTCTAAGAATAGCCCGGGTAATTCCCAAGGGGTGTTAGACATAAGGAGAAGCATGACCAACAGGTCAATGTTTAGATATACGCCTCCACCAATAGAGGATTTTAGGTGCTACTACACATAGCAAGTCCCCGTGGTACCATTAGCACTCTTGGGCTATCGCCTCTACCTAACCCCGACAGCATTGCTCTCCCCAGGCATCTCTTAGGTCCATAAACGATATCAACGAGTTGGAAAATCACATAGAAGCATGTATCATAGTCTAGAGCATTTACCACCTCGTCGCTCATAGCATTCTTTCGAGGTTGCAGTACGTAAAGCAATCACATCTTCCAAAATAATCAAAAGGTAATTTTCTCTTCTCTCAGGCAGAGTGGTTCGTAAAATTAAGGCTCATGTACGTTTAGAACGGAGGCAGCCTAATGAGATCAAATCGTTGAGCAGAATGTGTCAGGATCAACGGAAGTTTTAAATTGCAGCTAGGTACACATAGGGGATATAGTAAGATAGAATTGCCGGTCGATAGCCGTGAGCATTGTTAAATATAGCTGTACGGTAAAAGGCGTAATTCATCACTTCCCCTCTGGCAACTTTTCAGGCTTCCTATCTGGTTCCTTTTCAGGCCTTCCCTTTGCTTCCTCTTTAGGGTAGGGAGGGGGATAAACTGAAGGGACAGGCCCAGACGGCTGGTGTTTGTAACAATCCTCGCAATCATTCATATTATGGCCACAACCGCCTCGCCGCCTAGATGAAGAGTGATAGCCCATTGACAGAAATAGGGCAGCCGAGCCTTTAGTCTATTTAGTCCACGAATGTTAAAATCCGCCTGTTTTCATTAAACCCTGGATGCGTGAGACATTTGGGCAGGGAGCTCAATATCCAGCCCCAGGCAAGAGCTTCTGTACTGTGCGTTGACACCCCCCTTGCCCCGCCTTGCGCTCTTGTTGGTGTTATCTAAGGTACATCGAGAGGTGGACGAGGCCTACCCCTGCAGAGTCCGCAGATGACACGATTATCAAGCCTTACAAGTGTGTACCATGTACCTAAGCCTTGCCCCTGCTACAAGACAGGGGTGCTAGCTGAGTATCTTACAGGGGCTCGGAATGATAGTCGATGAATGCAACGACCACGTAGGTACTTTGTTCTTGAAGTCACTATCAGTAATTTCCAGCTAGAGGCGCCGAGGCCTCTTACTATAGTGGGTACCCAAGCACCTCGCTCTAGTTTCCGAATGGAACATGCATGCTCGTATTTGTATTATAGTAGGGGCCCAACCCCCCCTCCCAGTTCCTTTACTGAGATTAAAGACTATAGTGAAAACAGTGTAGATCCAGCGAGTTTGATAATGCAACAAAACGAAAAGATATTATACAGACATCTGTATAAGAGCACAGTCCATCCCTCTCTTGCTTTAAACAAACATAACACACCAACAGCAGGCAGCTCTTCTTTTAGGCCCTCAGCAGAGGATGACACCTCTCTCATGTTAGTCAATTGAGCTAACAGGCATGGTACATGGGCACGCACTGGGAGTGTTTAACCACTCAGGGGCCAAGCATACCGTGTATCAGCTGCAAGTAGCATGCGAACTTTCAGCTCATCATAGCACGTGACGAAACTAGCCGCCTACCAGGCCTTTAATCACATCACCCACTAAATCGTTGGCCAGTGACTCCTTGAGACTCTCACGGTGTATGTTGTATACCTCCTGTTGAGCTCAAACCGGCAGCAATGGGCAATCAGGGCGTGAAAGACTCGGCTCGGAATCAATTCACGGGAGTATCCCATAACACCCTGCCAAATTGATTGGTAGCGGGTTCCCGCTGCACCCATGGAGCATATGCATCCAAGACAATGGTGCGGGTTCGAGTAGGTCGCCATTTCGAATGCGCTACATCATAAGAGGAAAGAAATCGCCACAAAGTCTCCCTATGGCAAGCTTTCCCTCTTGGGTGCATTACAAGGACGGAATTTGATCAATGAGGATACACCTTACAGAGCCCCAAACACGCCCTCCGCCCACAAATACATGATCTCCCGGCGAATCATGAGGAAGTACTCATGTAGGGGGGGTATGTGGTTAAATCACAAAACTGCTCATCGACCTTAGTTCCTGATAACCTGACATGGAACAAGTGGGGCCATGGGGCGTTGGTACATCCTCTAGCCTCACTGGCCTCATGCAGCGGATAATAATGGTAAGACGATACAGTTTGGAGCATAACCAGCTTCCTCTTTTTGAACATAATCTGAATGTTAACTAATACTCCACATAGTGCTATTTTCCACGAAATGCACTTTATATAAAATCTAGATCAAAAGAGACTTATAGCCAAAGTAGGTCTTTGTTCCATTTCTTGGACTTGGCCTAAACATGGGCACCTACTATATGTATTACAGCCTAGTCTAGAACTACAGCTAAGGTTACCTAAGGTTTAGTTTAGACTGTGTTATTTAGTTAAGAGCTGTATATTTTAGGCTATATAGTTATAGTGTTACACTGAGATGAATGCATCTTAGAGTAGATGTTAATAACTGCTAAGCTAAAATTAATACGCCTCGTGTATAATATTCACTTTTGCCAACTATCTAGAACTAAAACTGATGATCGTGTACTTAGGTGATCTACTCCTAGTTTAGTCTCTCTGAGGCGAATGCACGTTTGCATTAAGTCTATAGCTTTAGTTTTCTTATCTATAGAGTTCTATGTATAAGCTAAGTTATTTATGCTTATTAGTGTATTAGGATGGTCTGCTCTACTCTTTATCTTATAAGTCTCTATCACCTGCACCTGAAGCTTCTCTGCCTCCTCCTACTAGCCTTAATTCCAATATGTTGATATAAGATTGCCTATACTTATTAGTGTAGAGGGATAGTTTACTTTAAGCTTTATCTAAAGTATCTCTATTACTTATACCTAAAGCTTCTCTGCCTCCTCCCACCGGCCTTGATTCCTATATGTTGATGTAAGATTGGCTATACTCGTTAGTGTAGAGGGATAGTCTACTCTAAGCTTTATCTGAAGAGTCTCCACCACCTGCATCTTAAGCTTCTCTGCCTCGTCCTAACGGCCTTGATATGTATATGTTGATGTAAGATTGGCTATACTCGTTAGTGTAGAGGGATGGTCTGCTCCAAGCTTTATCTTATGAGTCTCCACCACCTGCACCTTAAGCTTCTCTGCCTCCTCCCACTGGCCTTGATTCTAATATATTGATGTAAGATTGGCTATACTCGTTAGTATATCGGGATGGTCTGCTTTAAGCTTCATCTGAAGTATCTCTAATACCTGCGCCTTAAGCTTCTCTGCCTCCTCCTACTGGCCTTATTTCTGATAGATTATTGTAAGATTCCCTATACTAGTATGCCCTTCACCTTCTTCTTCCTTAAATATCTTGGTAGCCTTAATTTGATGCGGCTCTACTATATCCTATTGCCCTTGATATATAAAATACCCTCCTATATAATGTAATAGTTTAGCCCTTGCGATCTTTCCACCCTTCTTACTTTCCGCATTATGTTTTAGCATGGTATATATGTGAGGTAGCAATCTTAAGCATTTATCGCGCGTCTTAAATTGGCTGTATAGGTAAGCATCTGATATTATTCTTAGAGCTAATTAAGCGAAATTCTTCCTTTTAATATTAAGCTACTTTCGTATTACTAGTTGTACTAAGCGATATATATTGATATTCTAACCTTTATCCTCTAAGATGAAGGAAAAAGCCTTTAGAGTGCTAAGTGCCTTTATAAGTGCTGCTGATTTAATAGGATCTCCATCCTTGAGCTACCTGCGGCTGCAGTAGTCCTCGATAAATTCCCTTGGAATCGCTTGCTAATAAAAGAAGCTTATAAAAGAAAGAATATCACTCTTAAACGGATTTCTTTGTTGGATCTAACTAAACGATATGATCTATATTGCTATGACTATATGTGGTGTCCCTGAATCTCTTCCGACTGTTTTAAATAGTTCGCTTAGTTAGCTAATAAAAGCTAAGTCGCTCTCGTCTAAGAGCTAGATATATTTACTTAGAGGGATTTTATTCTCTTAGATGAATGCTGCCGCCTATATAAGAGTGAGCGGTAAATGTTTAAGCCTTAATAAGAGAAGAGATGTTTTATTTACTGAAATCTCCTCGTCCTCTAGGATTGTATGTAGTAGTGAATATGCTTTATTATCGTTTATATTGCCGACCTTAATTAGAAGCTTTCCCTAGGCTAGCTATGACCCCGTCTTCTTATTCCTAGTTATAATGATAACTGATCTGTGCTAGTACTCTGGGATATAGTGAGAAAGACTATAATCTGTCTGCGTTTCTGCTGTGTTTGTTTTTAATGATCCTTCCTCTAGTTGATCCTAGAAGAATAACTCTATATTATCTATATTATCGATTACTATTAGCTACTGAGTTTTGTATTTCTTCTCTAGCTATACTTAAACGAGTGATAGTAAATCGGCTTTTGGATCATTATGTCTAGGTATATCGCATTCTTTCGTGATAGAAGCATATACCTAATGAAAACGTTCCGCGTTACTAGTATAAACCTAAAATATTGCTATATCTTAACGTTATTTTCAGAGCTAGTAAATATAGGCTAATGCAATCTGAGTTTTACTACTATTATATTAGTTAGCATACTGGAAAGACAAAAGAAAACTTACCTAATACTACTAAGACTATAGAGTGCTACCCTTGTACGCGGTTCCACCGATCCTCGCGGCTGACCTAAGCCAAGTTAATACTTAAGTATCTGCAGGATACTAGATCTCCTAATAAAATCAGGGTTTTAATTATATGGGACTAAGACTAAACTTTCTTAGCAAAAGCTATAATTATATCTTATATTATATATATATACTTCTCGCTTAAATGTAATTGCGTACTATTAAAGCTTGTTGAGAAAGACCCCTAAGCCTCTCATAAACGTTAGTATATTCGTGATCTCAAGGGCTAAATTTAACTAAGTTAGAATGTGTGTGAGCGATTGCACTAATATACTCTACACCGTTTTCCTAAGGATGGCAATATGTAGCTGAAGATTTAGTAACTAATAATATAGACGGCCCTTTTATCTCCTAGCGACTATTTTTTGCCTATCCTAGTTAGTAACCGCTTCTTCTTAGATAGTATATTATATACCTTTTGTGCTATTAGCGACTTAAGCGTCTTATAGAAACTAAAAACCTCTAAATAATCCTGATTACTTAGTGTAGTAGGGAACTCTCTTTATTGAATTATAAGTATCTGAGAGTTAATATAACTTAAAGACTTAACCAGGAACCTATTTAGCCTATCCCTAACCATTAGAATGAGTGAGCTGATGTCTATACTATTGTGTGGGACCCTGAAGAAGATAATCCTATAAATAGCCTTAATAAGGTTTTGATCGCCCTTATTCTTTGATTTCAATAGGGCTACTAAGGCCTATAGTATATGTCGTTAGTATATATAGAGGACCTACGTATGCGGTTTATTTTACCTACTTTACGATTAGGCCGCCTAGGCTATAGGCGATAAGGATGATAGGTCTTATTAATAGAGTAGTTGCTAGTATATAGAGACTGCTGTGAAATGTGGTGGCGAGATCCTCTATGTTTTGTATGTTCTCGCTCTCCGCGACACCTGATTTATATCTATAGATCATGACCCGCGCTATAGGCTGGCTAGTCTCCTCACAGGTGATATCATGGGGGAGAGAATCGCGTAACTATATATAATTCCCGCCTCTCTCTTTAAATGATCTGAAAGCATGGCCGCTAAGACCTAATAATGTAATAACACTAATAGAATTAGTAGGGAAACTTTCGATTTTCTGGTGACTAGTCTACTCACTCGATCTTGTGGGCATTAGGTGGTAGTGTATAGAGTGTGGTAATACCAAGAAAGGCCTTGTTAAGTATTAAGTATTGGTCGCCGGTGAGTTGGTTATCTATAGGCTTGGGTAATAATATGCGCTTGCTCTGGTAACTCTCCGGGGAGAGCAGGAGGTCCTGGACGATCACTATAGCCGTCTAGGAGCGGTTGTCGATTTCTTAGGCGAGAGACTTGATAATCGGGATAGAGCTAGTCTAATCTACTAGGAAGGACCGCAGTTGTTTTAGATCCCAGTCAACGGGCACGCTAATAACCCGGACTATATTAAAATCTTTCAGTGTCCCCTTGCTCACGGGTGCCTGTTTGTTCACATGCGCGTCCTCTGGTATCAATCGTGCGTGTCCTCCACGAAGCCAGCACTATATCAATACTGTGAAGATCGCGATAGTAGCCAGAAGGCTAATTTGACCAGGTGGATCCATCACTATAATGGCGTTAGGCACGCGTTCTAGGCCCACACGAGTGACTGGAGTTCGTTTAGAGGCAGATGCTAGTGTAATAACGCCTTGCCGCTGTTGAAAATGGAGAAAGGTTGGCAGATATTGTACTTGTGTGTATAGAGCGAATACTGTTTAGTGATGAGGGTTGATGGAAGCAGAGGTGGAATGGCAGTAGAGAGGGGAAGAGGGGATAAGGCAACCGGCTGCCTCTTGGATTGCGGCTAAAATACCAGGTGAAACAAGCATGTAAACCATGCAAAAAAGATAATAGCCACCGCCCGCGATTTTGAATCTAAGCCGCGAAGTAGGGCGAGTGAGATCTATATAGAAGAAATCAAAGCAACTAATGCTGTTTTCTTGTATGGCATCTGTCCTGGCATTTCATTATAACGGATGGTCTTAATAGCGAGGCTTAATCGGGTATTAGGTAGAGACTGGTTCGCGAACCCTATGGATGACTAAGAGGTACATAGACTGACGCCCTGTCCAAGTTCGGGTTATCTATAATCCGTTTTTGGTCGCTGAGCAGATGATGAAATTAGCCTGGCAACCTGAGGTCGAATGTACCTAATCGCTCGCCAAAGGCATCGAAATTTCGCGCTAACACTGTAGGCACAATTGTTCTCACCTCAGTACTTAGTCTACTTGGGGTTACTTCCTTGCTGGCTATTAATGGATATTGCCCCTACTGTAAAGTAGTGGAGCATGTATATTAAGGTATTTTTATGTACTCCTTCTTCTCAAAAAATAAACACAAAGACAATAGAGCGGAAGCTGGTTATGCTCCAAACTGTATAATGATGTCATGAAGTGCCTTACGTTGAACGTGGGATAACCTTGGTGCCATTCCAAATGATGATGTGAAGTGAAAAGTGGCTGCGACATTGCGATCGGTGCCTGGACTGGACTACGAAAGGGGTGGTGTGCCTAATTCCAGAAATTGGGAACAAAGAACTGGTTGAGTTCCAAGTCGCGAAGCATGTGGATTTTGTATATAGTGCATTTTGTAAGATTTTAACACTGTGTGGGGAACTAGTTTACAATCAACATGTGTTTAAAAAGAGGAAGCTAGTTATGCTCCAAACTGTATCAAGGATCCAAGTTGTTACTATTAGTGCCCTGCTCGCTCTGTAACAGTAATATAAACTGTCCTCTTAGCTAGGCTGCTGTCCTGCATCTCTCCTCTTATCCTCCTTAGCGAAGTGGAAGTGCTAACTAGCTAACACAATGTCTAGTAATATCCAGCAACTTCTGGCCAGCGAGCCTGATCGCATTATATCCCCAACGTACGATTTTATCAAAAATCTACCCTATGTTACCGATGGCCAATCTAATCGACAAGCTGCGCTCGAGAAAGTGTTGGAACGCCTCTACTTGTCTATCACAGGACAGGATTATGAAGCTACAATAAAGTGTTCCAACGTTCTTTCAACATGGATCGCTCTAGAACATGATGTGCCTATCAGAGTGCGTGCAGAGCTAGCCAGGATATACTACCATCTAGCCTTGGCGCCAGGCATGGAGGCTAGACCGGCGAAGGAGTTTTCTAATATGGTGCCTCGCCTCCTTCGGTAAGTTCCAGGGCTCCTCATTCCCTTTCAACACTTCTAACCTGGTCGCTCTGTTGTACTAGCAATATGGAGGGTTTTCGCTGTCTACATCAAGACAGAGACCTCACATTGAACTGCAGGCCGCTGTTCGAAAGATCACAGCACGCACATCTCCACTCCGAGCATATGATTGATAATGCTATTGTGTATGATAATCTTGCTGAAGAAGCACAAGCTTACTTCGACCCAGGGGTCAGATTGTCCGTACTTGAGGACGTTCTGCCGTACTTCGGTACTAGTGATCCAGAGGCTGCAGCTGGGGCTGTGAAGGCAATCTCACTGATATGGCCGACGGAGCCTGGACCTGAATCGCGCTCAGACTACATGCCGACATTCTTCAATCTTTTTAAGAGGCTTGACCAATCAGAAGCTGCCACTGCATCACTTTTGAACCTTTTTTCGAAACTCGCCGAAAGCCACTTAGTGAGCAAGCATGTCTCGTTTGGAGCCTATGGCATTTTCGATGAGATACAGTCCCGCGAGATATTCGCCGCTATATCCAAATTGACGCGGATCGATGTCGGCTCAATCTTTAAGACTTCTCTATCTCCGGAAGACCGATCCAGGGTGGCTTCCAGGGCTGCCAGGTGGATCGCTTTTTCGCTCTCACCTTTATGCTTGGAGCAGGAGAGCTCCATGCTGTCAAGCCTCAAAACGTTCATCGCATCCTTTGGCGGAATGTACCATCCCAACTTCACTAAGAAAGACGAGTTGAGCTTTGTCGCGGTACTCCTTTATTACCTGATCCATAGTTTCTGTTGGAGATATAACATGGAGCAACGCGGAGAGTTGGCCACACCACAAGAACGACGAATTAACGACAAGCTAAGACAAGAATTTGTCCAATTGCTAAGAAGCACAGTTCTTTCAGGCAGTCTTTCCTCGAACAAGTATATTCGCATGCCCAGTCAAGACAGTTGCGGAGAACTCGCCCATCTCGAGCCAACTCTCGTAGTCCCCGATATCCTTAAACTCTTCTACAATTCCTACGGCAGCCAGGTTGATGGCGACTCGGTAACTTTGAGTATGCGGCTCTTGGTGAGGGTCTGTAGCATCATCGCGCGAGAAAAGGGGCTGCGATGCTATCTGCCGCATCTGATGAATCTCGCCTTATCTAGCATCAGTGCGAACCACCCAGAACTGACAACAGCTAGCTGCCAGTTCATTCGGCTTGCCATATGCACGGCTCAATACTACAATCTACCACTTGCTGAGCCGGGCAAATCTGAGGGGCCTACAGCAGCCAAAACCTGGATAGAAGGTGAAGTCGCGCACCTGAGAAACGCAAGTTCTGTCCCCGTGGACTACTTGAAACAACTCTCCGACAAAAGAGAGCTCAAACTGCTTCAATCTGCATTCAGTGCTATTGAAGACTTCCCGTTGCAGATTTTGAAATCTTTCTTTCAGTTTGCGTCTAATACCTACTCCGGTTTCGATACCGGCCGCGCCACCGGACGAAGCGAGACCGAGACTGATGTCCTCGACACAGCACACGCATGTTTGCTGTCGATAGGGCCCGAAATGCTGCAAAAAGTCATGGTTTCTCTCAGCGAGCGCTTGTCATCGGATCCCATTCCCAGCGCAAAGCACTTGATGGGGTCTCTTGTCAGGTCTGCCGTGCAAGCAGATCCGAAACGTGGTCTGCGGATATTTGTACCGATGGCCATAGAACGGATCCGTAAAAGTATTGATAGATACCAGTCGAGCACTCAGAATCAAGATCTGATGTCTGTAGAGTACGACCTCGGCTGGTATGTCGAGGCCCTCAGCCAATGCCTCTTGTATGGCGGGTCCTCGTCCGGGTCAGATCTGCTTGACCGCAAAGATGAAGTACTTGAACTGGCCCAGTTTGCAGAGAAGACATTTGAATCACGGGCGTATAAGCTCGCCGCGAGGATTTGCTACTCTATGCTAACCGGTTTGACGTCGACTTATCCGACCACGTGCGCGGTTCCTGGTGCGGATCAAGCGGCGATGAGGGACAATTCCTGGCACATACCCAATGATAGAGAGATTCAGGCGGCATGGGAGGTGTTTGAGTCGAGAACTATGTCGCTGGAACAAACAATACGTGACCTCATGGAGCGTCATGATTCTTTGAGTGGGGCCAATAAGGGTGCGATTTGGCTCCGTCATCTCACTGGGGCTGTGGAATATATGAACGACCTGGTTCGCGGCGTGGCGACTCTGTTCGACCCACAGCACAGCTTCGCTATTTGTAATGGTGAAAAAAAACCTCCTTGTGATAGCACTTTCGACGAAGAAGACGTGGCTGCGTGGGTCCTCACACATGTCCAGGATTTTCACCGCGTGCTAGCACCTCAACACACACTCTATCAGGAGATTCACAAACGGCGCAAGGATATCGGTTTGCTCGCCTGCGCGATCCATGAATTCATTCTTTCCTGCCAAGGAGAGTACAGTGGCTGCCTCTACGAGGTTTATAAGCTCTACGCAACTTTTATTAACGATGTTGGTCAATGTGATATACACCAGAACCAAGAACGATCCCGCCAAGACTATGAACGCTGGGCGAGGCACTTGACAACCGATGGCTCAGTGCCATTGCATCCTCCGACTCTCCGCCTGATGCTCATGAAACGCTACCATGAACAGCTACAGCAATTCGGAACTGGGTTCCGATACATGGGAGATCTCGATAGGCGGATCCTTCAGGACCTAGTTGAGGGCTGTAGTTCCCCATTCGAGGCTATCCACAAGGTGGCGCGAACTCTTCTTTTTCAATCAGTAGAGAGGCTGGCACACTCCGCTGAGTTCTTTCTACCGCAGCTACTAGCTAAAATTCGTCTTCTCATCGCCGCCGAAGACTTCAGAGCCATCGAGAGCGCGCTGGATACGCTTGTGCATGGGCAATGGTCGCGACATTGTCCCTTTCTAATTCCTGATATGCTCGAAATACTAACAACAGCGGCCAGAATGAATGAGCCGGCCGTTTCTGATCTTGCAAGGAAGGGAATAAAGGAAATGGCGATCCTTGAACACCGAGGACAGACGGTCTTCCCCGAGGACAGTGTCGCGGAAGCTATCCGGCCAGGGCAGCATTCCAACCTAGCCCAAGTAGGGCGTATTTCCCAGAATGATTGTAGGGACAAGGCGCGACAACGGCGGGAGAAGCTGGGAACCGAGATACTGGCAGGGGAGATGGAGCCACGTCTCTGCACCCTATCCGTCCGCGTTCTAATCCGCCCAGGCTTCGATCCGCCTCCGGACAAGTACATCGCATTTCTCGCAGAAAATGCTTTGACGGCGGACGGGGAGCTTCGCGACCAGTGCGTGAAGCTACTCCGCGATACTATCCGTGATTTTCTATCATCTATACGCTTTAATAAAAACCTTGAGCGCTACATCCGCACGCAGGGGGCGGGGGGGGATGAGCAGGTCCTAGTCGTTCCTCAGCGTGATAAGAACTACGGAAAACGATACCTCGCCAACTTTGAAATATCTAGCGATGGCGAAGAAGATGGTGAGGACATCCTCGTGGATCCTGCCTCCCTTGGGTCGCTAGTGTGGCCGGCCCAGTTCCACGCGTGCCGTAGAGATATGAAACCGCCATCTGATGATCCCCAAATATCGCGATTGGCCGGGCGCATTGGATCTCCTTTTGATAAAAAGTGGTTCGAAAAGTTCCTATCCTCCATGAAGCTGGAAGAAGAGTCCTCTAAAGGAGGAAGAAATGCCGCATTGTCCAAGATCTGGAACTCTGACTTCGAACTCTTGAGTGATGCCTTCCAGCTAATGGAATTTGGGGCGACACCCGCAAAGCTAGAGGATGTGGAAGATCTGGTCAAAGTAGCTCTGGAAGATCACACAAAATTGGGCCATCATATAGCGGCTGCGACCCTTCTCCTGGGTTTAATGTGGTCTCCCAGATCCCGCGCCTTCCGCAGTCGTGTCTTAGAGAAGGTGGAGCCTCTACTAATCGACATCCTCAAGCACCATATGCCACTCGCCAATCGCACGTGGGTCATCTTTCTACACCTGCTTACGAAGAACCGCGACCCGCGGCGATATCCAGGGCTAGTGCGCTATACTCATTCCCTTCGGTTGGATGCCTCAGACTCAGTCCCAACACAGCTTGCAAAGCTCGACACACTTCAGGTCTTGCTTGTTAATCAGGGATGGCGGTTGTTTCACAAAAAAAATATTGTTCCCATGCTTCTCCAAGTGGAAGATGATATTTTAAACAGCGAAGTCTCTGCAGCCTTGGGCACAACATTGGCATGCGTCTACACCTCGACATTCTACGATTCGTGCCCCAGTGTCCAGGACTTCATTGCCGCAAACAAAAACGAGTCATCATTAGGCATCCGTCCGTATAAACTTGGCCTTGGCATTCAGGACACAGTAAATACGGTACTCGAGAAAATCTCTACGCTGCGAAAAAAGGAGCCTTTCCCGCACCCCGAATTCCACCGCGCGGCAAAAATGGTACTGGCATTTGTGGACGGCTTACTCTGTAGCAACGCGTCAGGTGTTCTTGTTCACAAACAATTACTTCACCCAATTCTTGATGAAATGTTTCTTTTGTTAGATGCACAGCTCCCTGAAGAAATGAAGTTAGAGAAGCCCGCAACTGCGGTGCTGCTGAAGCTGTGCCATCTTCCATTCCGCGACAACGAGCCCACCGCCTTCTGGGAAATCGTTGTGGGAAAAACCCAATCGAAGCGAGTGGTTCACCGCGCTGTGGCTATCAACATGATTTATGAGTTGTATCTGCATCGGCTATACACCAGCACTCCGTGCGAACAGCAAAGAGCTCTCAAGGCGGTGAGCGATAAGATTCAAGATCCAGATCCAGAGATACAGATGAAAGCAGAAGAAACCCTGAAGCGTCTCCTCTTTCGCAGTTGTCCGGAAGTGACCAATTCTGTCATCGAAGGGATTGTGGAAAATTCCATCCAAGTTCTACAGGCCTCAACTAAGTCTGATGATCGTATGGTTGCAGTCCGGAGGCTGAGCGCCGTGGTCTTGGCGCATTCATTCATTACAAAATCTCCAGATTGGATGGCAAAGGCGATGGACAGGCTCGCCCATGAGGCTGGAATTGACATGGGTTTGGTGGCAGAGAGAGCCAATGGTGCTGTACACAGCTTCAAAGAGATCAAAGGGGCAGGATGGCCAATGGTGAGTCAAGAATTCCATTTTTCAGACTTGGATGGCTAATTTCAGCACAGAATCTACCTGAGCGGCTCGTGTCTAATATGCAGGAAATTTTGGGACCGTCCTACTACGCATAGGATTGTGTATTACAACTCAATTAAACCCAGGGGGCAGGCTTCTGGAGATATCCATTCCGACATAGCTGTACGTTGATGCCTGGACTTGTGGCCGGTTGCGATTGCCACATTGAGATGAGTTTTATCAATCACAGACCATAGATAAGAAGTGGAGACAAAAGATTCATTAAAAACTACCTTGCTTCTGCAATTTTTATACGGAAAATTCCCCTTCTTCCCCCCGGCTAGATACATATACATACGGTTATTTCAAAGCTCTAGGTCAATTTTTCTTTGAACCCAGAGCTCCTCTTTCATCCATTTTCCGGTGCTGCGAGAAGGTGCTGCGCCATGGAGGCTTCGGGTGAACCTCGGCCACTGACTAAGCTCCACGCGCTTTGCCAAATTGGTGTGCGCTTCAGTCAACAGGTGCAATTATTAAAACTTTAATTGGAGTACAGGTAGGGTTAGAGGACCATTGGCCAGGGGCCAAAAACTGTTCTCTTGACATATTTCTAGATTCTTATCGCGCCATGCGGAAGATGTAGGCTGCGCGGTCTACTGACTGGGAGGTCACAGTGTAGTGGGGGAAGGGGTCTGGTGGGTTCATGTTGTGATAGCCGTTGGTCGAAGGCCTGCAGTATCCAACTGCGCTAATGCATGACAACACATCACATTCCGCCTTCCTTTATTCCCTGCCCGTTATTTACGGCTCCAAAGTCTACAAATGGAAGCACATTCCTCCTCCCACGCTGCTTAGTCCATCAGTTGACTGGACAGGCGCCAAAAACATTTGATATCCAGCATGTGCACGTATATTGAGCAAACGTTTATCAAGGTGCAATGTCGAGCTGCTCCTAAGCACAAGTACCCGAATCGGACCTACCAAGTATGTGATAAGTATAGTCTACAAGGTCACTACTGCATGGATGCAAAACCGCAGACAGACGCAACCGGCAATGAGATTAAATTGGGCTCGACGAGACGCCCTGGTCCTTGTCCATTATGTCCACCTCCTCTCCCAAAGGTGTGTCTAGTAACTTGCGATTCGGAACACACCTAACACTTTGTCAGTAATTTACCAGGCCTCATCAGCCATACCAGCGGAAGGAGAGCTGTAAAGCCAAGAAGGAATAGGCGAGGAGCGTGCCAATCACCACTCTCATGGAATGCGGCAATCGGTGGTACTGGTCAGTCAAAATTAGTTGGTAGCCAGTATTGGAACATAAATCCTTACCTTCATTTTTTATATCCTGTAGTAGCTCATTGATTGTTTCATATTGCTGGTTCCAGCACTTCGTGATAGGAATTTTAAGCATAGGGAGTAAATCCAGGCTAGGAAACTGACGGCGCCTGAGAGCATCCTCAATCAAGTGTTCGTCTAAGCCTTGAAAGGGCTTCTCTTGGGTCATAATTTCGTATAGAACAGAGCCGAGAGCGAAGATCTCTGTCTTTGTTGAGGGTGAATAGATATCCGGGGGGCTGTGGCTTGTCTCATACCACGAAAAGAACTCCCCCCCGTCGACTGATGATCCGGCAAAATCGCCGATAACGGCATTCATGTCCTTGTCGAGGAAGATGTTGTTGCAAGAGAGGTCGCAATGAAAGATGTTCTTGGAATGCAGGAACGCGACCGCGCCGACTGCTTGCTCCGCCCAGCGAAGTTTTGTCGAAAGAGGTACTGGTTGGGAATGACATTGGCGAAAGTAGTTCCTAATGGAGCCATAAGGCGCATGTTGGAGAACAATACTTGTGTCATCCAAAATACCATAAAATCGTAGAATTCCACTGTACCAGCTCCCTCCCTGCCCAAGTCGCCTATATACTGCAATCTCTTTATCTTTCTCATTCGCTAGGTTGGAAGGGAAAGACTTCACAACAGCATCAAGACGATGCACCCAAGCAGAAAGACCTGCGCCGATAAATTCGTTGTCGTGTATATATTTCGGGATTTGGATCGTAGATTCTTCAACTTTCGCCATAGCGCGACGAGACTGGTTGTGGATACCGAATTCGTTTCTCGGGAGGATATACAATCGATTAACCCGTGAGGGATATAGGTGCTTAGCTATTTGCTGCAATTATCACGCGTCGGCAAGCTGGGTAAGTTGTGTGCGTAAGCGGATGAGAGATTGTGTTGGAGGGAAAATAGTGAAATGATCGAGATTCTAGCTGCCTTAGGCAGAAAGGCTAAGTCCAGTTTGTTACCTAATTTGTAAGGCAATAAAGACAGCGCTAGGTTTTTTTCCAAAAGAGGTCCGGTCTAGCCAATGACACGCGAATACATACAATTACACTATTAATTGGCTATTTCTTTTTCTATTGTAGAGGTATACTAATTTTCAAAGCGTGAATAGCTTCATAGATAGATATTTCCATCCTGTAGATATATTGCTAGAGAGAAAAAGACAATTGTCACGTGATATTCATGGAATCTCATGGGAGACCGTAGAAATAAGTTATCGCTTTGTGGTTCATTAGTGCCTAAAATCAGGAACCATTGAGAAACGTCATACGAAGGTGACTAGAAATATCTGGAGATAATAAGAGAATGATTTGTCTCTCAATTAACCCCGGCCTAGTTCATAGTAGGCCGAGCGTGGATGGCAGATCAGCGTACAAAAAATCAAAATTGCCAGCAAGTCGCATGTGAGCTATGGAGGCTTCGGATGAACCTCGGGTAGCCACTGACTAAGCTCCACGCGCGTCTCGGGTACCGAAAGCGCGCTTTGCCACATTGGTGCACGCTCCAGCAAGAGTGATGTCCGCGGCCCGACAAGCTTTTTCAGCCGAAATTGGCTGCGCTACCTGGTTGAAAAGGTGGTACCTAAGGTAGATACCCACGTACCTTGACCCACCAGCGCACCTACGACGGAATGTACCAAATGGGCTGTAAGGCATGGGCACACCTCGCGTCAGGTATTCTCCATAACTAGCGCTCTAGCAGCTAGAGCCTCTGCCCAAATACGCCGAGACCAATCTCGGGCTGTTTTCAGCTGCGAACCGAGCTCGCTTTTTGGCACAGACCGCCGCGAGGCTAAATTTATTATTTGCCACAAAGCTACCGTCTATTTGTTGCTGGGGTACGACTGTTCTACACTACTTGAGACAACAGAGGCTCAAAACTTCTCCAGGATCTCCTTAAGTAGCCCGAGCCAACCTTCGTCTGGTGAGGCGGGTGTCTGTATAGCCAGGCTGACCACTAAACCAATCTCACGGTCCAATAAATGCCGGGGAATGCGTATTTTTTCGTCAAGAAGACGCCCGATAAAGTTTAGAACCAATATCCTAGTGATCGTGATATATTTTTTCCTTTTTTCCAGGTGCTCATTCGAAGCAGAATAGAGAGTTAGTATAAGGAAGTCGTGAAGCTGTTTTAGTAAAGCAATATGCATGTTGCATATCCGAAGTAATTCATGTGACCATAACTTCTCCGGGGGTACATGCTCCTGCTGGTTCCATTCGTCCTGTAGAAATGCTATTCGTTTAAGAGTAGCTTTGATTTTATCATCTTGACTCTAAATTTAATATTAGCTTATTCCTTAAAAATACCTAGGAAGATTTCATAATACCGAAGCCTTATAAAATATATAAGAGGGCAGGTGGTCTAAGTTGGAACCTGCAGGATCAACTATAAATGGAAAGCAGGAGGAATTAAGGCTATCTTGTGACCTCGAGAAGTCATGTTCTGACTGTTCAGCCTTGAGCCACAGCTGGCCTTCTGATACCGGGTCACGTTTGAGGAAAATGAGATATCGAACGACTGTATTCTGTGGTCCTGTGTTAGTGCTATGAAAGGGGCGAAAGATGGAGAGGGGCCCAACAGAATGAACAAAATTTCGGATACCCTCTAAAAGCACTTCTTTGTGGGAAGCTTCTATACCAGCCGCACAATCGGTATCCTCGTGTATCTCGGATGAATGTGCCACAGGAGGGATGGAGTGAACATCCTCTAGGCCGGGAGGGAATGGCTCGAGTTTTATGGTGATTTTGAGATAGGTGTCGGAAGTTTGTCTGGGGCATTCCATTGCGGCTTCCCGGGGCGGCTTCGGTGAGACTTGAAGCTTGCTGAGCTCGGCTTCAGTGAGTTAGATGTGTATTCTCGCAGCTCGTTTGAAGGTGAGCGAGGACACTAGGGAACATCAGTGAAGAATTCTTGCAGCATCCGCCTCTGAATAACGGAGGGGGGGCACCGACCTTTTTGGGTCCAGCAGCGCTCTTTGCGCGGTTTCAATGGACATAGAATCCCTGTGCAAATACCCAGGGATCTAGCTGTTAGTCAGCTATATCTGGCAGCTAGTGTAGGTAGCTGAAACCCCTTACTAGGTGCCTTCTGCCCTCCACGCAGCGTACCCACTACCCATACAGTTGGGAGCAGGAATGTACCGTGGCATGCGAGGGGGTGAGGGTCATGGTATACCCTGGCCCTACGCCTCCATGTAGGTATACCTCTGCAAGCTGGCGCAAGTAGACCAATTAGTAGCTGATCTAAGCTAGGTCCCTACTCTCTAGAGCCTAATTGGTTGCTGGAGGAGAAGACAATCTGACCCTGCCCTAAGTTCTCGGCTATGTATTATCGTACCCACGACCCAAGCAGGTGCATCTCCTCTATAAGTTCCTCTGACTTCATCCATGTTGCCTAGATCCTTGTTTGGGCTAGGCCAGCGGCCGCCAACATCCCAAGACAACGCTAACTCACAGCTGATAAGAGGTTCCCCAGTGTATGTCCCTCACAACTTACCACCAGGAGACGCCCAAATCTAACGCAACAGGTGGTAGCAGTAGCACTTACTACTAAAGTATGGTAAGTCTCTGTTGAAGTACTGTTAAGTATTCGTCAGGTTCGCTAAACAACCAATACAGCTGTATACTTGCTACTGCCATGGTCATAAGCTATTTTTAGGCTTGCGAATACTCTAAGAGAGTTCCCCTTCCAACGGCCGAATTCGCCGGTCCCAACATAAGCCCCTGCTGATGCCGAAGGCAGCCTAGACGATCTCGGGAATCTGTAGGTCTGGCAAGGCGTTTTGCAGGGCATCTTGAGTGGATATGCTGCCTAGTTTCTATTACTAACTGAAATAATGTGCAGTGTTCTTGAAATATTTATAGTCTCTTCGTTCCCGCTGAGCAGCATAACAAATTCGAGAATTGTACACACCTTCCACGTCCAACAGCATACTAGGCCAGATAACAAGGCTAAACCCAAGCAAGCGTGCAGAATCTAAGCCTATTTCGGAGCCTCAATCGAAAAAAATCATGTCTTCATACCAACCGGAAGGCGACAACATACGTGAAAGCGGTGCCATAGAGAGTACGAGCGACACGGAACACCTTCGCATAAACCAAAAGAGGCCCTGCGAAGGCGGACAGAGTGACGACACCGAAAGCAAACAAAGTAACGACGGAAGACAACAAAGCGACGGCTTGCAAGAGAGCAACGGCATAGGGGGTGATGCTCCAGGCAATGAACAGCCAAGCCCAGGGGTCAAAAGGGGTCGGTCAGGTCGCCCAATGTCATCACCAGGCAGCCGCCAAGAGCTGGACGGGCCGTCTTTAAGAAGCTATAGGAGGTCACATTCGGACTCTGAGAGCAACAGTGACTCTGGTTCCAGCAGTGAGTCAGAGTACGACGACTATGATAAGTACGAAGACGAGGTCGTAGATCTCAACCCGAGCCATCCGCTACTAGCTATTCGTTCGAATTTAGTCGACTTCGTGTACGGTGAGGGCAAATCATGGATCAGGTCGGCGATATACACCACACCGCATCAGGACAGGCTCCCTCCCAAGAAGCGATATAGGACTATTGATGACAAGTTTGCCTTTGTCAAATGTGAAGAGGGTGCTGATGGCAGTCTTATTGCTCGCCGATTCGATGGGTTCTACCACCTCGCATGCCCTTATTATATCACTAAGCCCGAGAAGTATAAGTCTTGCCTTCTTGGCCACTCTCTTCAGTCAATAGAGGATGTTATCGGGCACTTAATCCACTACCATAAGGAGCCGCCGTACTGCCCTATATGCCGCCAGGAATTTGATAGCCCGTGGGTACGCGACCAGCACGTACGGGCTAGAATATGTTCGATCCAAAACTCGGGCAAGGTGGATGGAGTTAACGAACAGCAACGATACAAACTACGCAAGCGGGATCAGGTACACCTAGGCGAGGCAATACGTTGGATGCGCGTCTGGAATACTGTATTCCCCGGAATTCCACTACCAGAGTCACCATATCTCCATACTGGCGTGGACGTGGCTGTGGTGATGATGCGAGACTACTGGGCGACTCAGGGTCTGAAGTTAGCCGAGGATTACCTAGGTGATACTACCCAGCTTGATTTATCTAATGTACAGATTTTAAATGCTTTCTATAGGTTCATTCTAGGTGATTTATTAGTAAAGGTATGGGATGATATTGATTTTCGGAGTAATACTAGGGAAGTAGGCAGTAGTAGGAATAGTTAATGATATGAAGGTGATAATGATAATTGATAACTCAGTGGCGTTTCAGGGTATAGATAGTTTATTTCTTCCTGTAGGAGAGGGCAGATTGTAGACCATCTTTACAGAGAAAACAAACTCGAAATTCTCTATTTAGTACAGCTCTTGTTCTACCCTCCTCCCGCCTGCCTATTAAGATCTCCCTCAGCCTACTAGCTATAACTCTCCTAAATCATAAAAGACATACAACTAGTTTCAATCTCTCCTGAAAAAGTTTTCGGTCCATGAGTGCACACAGAGTTTGTATATAAATAAGGTCAAACTCTGCAAATCTTCTACCCTCTTCACTAGATTCGCTGGTAGCCCACGTTGGATCATATATACTTTTAGCAGGCGACTAGAAGCGTATACTTGCTCCAGCAGAGGCTTTATTTTAGAGTTCATTTTTTTTTCTTTGGCGCAGGACTTCAGAAGCTTGTCCGGCCATCTTTTTCACTAGGAGCAGCCTCGAGCTCTAATTGGTCAGACTAGCCTCCTGACCACGGCTCTACACATCAGGCCTACAGCAATTACTCGTTGAGACAGGTCAGTCGTGGCCGCAGCAATCGCTCGTCGCAACGGAAACAATTGCTTGTCTTGACGGGAGACAGACTGGCCAGCTTCGCAGCTATTGCTTGTCATAGCAGCAGACGGGTTGGTCAGCCACGTACTTGACAGCAGACGCATAGGTCAGTTACACATCAATTGCTTGTCTTGACGAGAGACAGCCAGGTCAGTAACGTAGCGATCAATAGTCTTGACGGCAGATAGACTGGTCAACTTCACACCTATCGCTTGTCGTAGCTCTAATATGCTCTCTCGAGAGAAGTCATGAGCGTGTGTTAGGATGAAAATCCAATGAAGGCTTGCAAGAATGCCTCTATTTGGGATGATATTCAAGGCTTCAACAAAGGGCTTGACACTGAAGTTGGCGAGCGTGGGAAAGCGCTATCTAAAGGATAGCAGCTACGATTGAAGTTAGCGATGACTCTAATACGTAATTTCGAAATACTTCTTTTTGATGAACCAACTGTTTCTACTCTTCTTTAATAACATTTATAGTACAAGTATATACTTTGGTGGCTAGTTGGGGGCATTGTAAGAATCTCTAGTTCCAACTAATACTATACTTTATAAATCTAACTATATATAAAGAAGCACAAAAAGAATAATAACATGTGTCAAGACAATAATTATCTCTATGCTGACTAGTGGTTCTTCCAAAGCTTTTTACAACTACCACACGTTGCATCTTTGCAAAAAATCCCTCTAGATTGCTGGATCTGTGTTTCCCCTTCAAAGCAGTCAACAGTTGGCAGAGATATTTCGAATCTTCACTAACCTCCCACTCTTGATCAAGGATAAGGCTTCCAAGAACACATATCTTGTTACCGGCTTTGGGCTTTGGAAAAGCATCTCTCAGGATTATTGAAATGAATGCGGACATTCTTTGGTATCAAAGGAACTCTGGCAGCTTAAACAGTGTTCCAGTACGCCGGAGCAGATAGCGGAGGTATTACGGGGTGAGGCTAGATTGCTCTATAGCAATATCCTGGATCGGATATTAAACGATCTACTTGATTTTTATATCGACTTAAGTACATATATATCGAGTTCCTTAATTTATCCCTTTCTTCCAAATGATAACCCATTTTTCTTCATTTTTTGTCAAGTCTTTGGCGCTTGTGGGGGGGTTTTATATCAGGGTGGCAGACACGATAGTGTCTTATCAATGCGTCGGCGCGGCTGAATGTTTTCTCCTCAGTGCAGACTTCGCATCGTACCTTCTGCTTGCGGGTGTTGTGGATCGTATCTTCGTGTCGGGTGAGATCATATGGCCGCGAGAAGATCGTGTTGCAATGCTTGCCTGTGCTAGGGTTGATGCGACCGCAGCGATGGGGTCCAGCTTGGCTGTTGAGCAGGCTGGATGTCATACCCTCGTGAGGTCGAGGTACTGTGAGGCCGTGGCTTTGGCGGTGGCCCTCCCTCTTGTGCTTCTGGAGAAGAGCTGGCGTCTTAAAGCGAAGAGTGCACCCGTGGTAGGTACAGGTGTAGGTCCCACCCTCAGCTGCCATTCCCATGGGTCGTGCTATTTCTGAAGGAGTTCTGCTATGGGAGTTGATGCTAGAGCCCGAGGAGTTAAGATGAGATGGCGAGTTGGCAGTGACAGGTTGTACCTGGGCGACGAGGGGATCCTGCTGAGGCACCTGGATACCTATATCGGCGGGCAAGCTATTTTTTATCTGCTGAACTTCTTGAAGCTCACGACTCTCCATAATAGTAGCATCGTGGGATACTTGAAAACCTGTAGCCATAGGATAAGCAAACTTTGTATCACAGAGGGTGGAGTAATGAAGGTATTGAGTGAGCTGGGTAGAAGGGTTCGGAGAATTACCGAGTAGTTCTAGAATTATAGAATCACTTGGGGGTAACATTATATCATCATGGGTAAACGGAGGTATAGTTGCCATTGTGGTAGAGTGCTGGCTGCTACTAAAGCAAGATGGCGCAGGCATCCTGGTTACTAATCAGTACCTCTGTTGTATCTTGTTTTCTCGGGGGTTGGCTGTGGGCAAGGTGTACCTTGCAGGACGAGACTGCCCCAGCTCCTGGCCGCTGAAGGGGGAGCCAGGGGCAGTAGCAGATATTGTCCTGTTGACACTCGCACCAATGTCGTTGATTGTACTGATAAGATAGGGGGGGCCTTGGGAGGGCACCATAGCACTGCCGTGGTCTTGATTTTTGGCGGTTAAGCACGACTGGTGGTGGATTGACTGAGTCATTTCCTGGATGCAGTATCTTATCTTTGGAAGTAGTTATATGAGACTGCTGTGAGGGAAGATAAATACTTATTAGTTCTCTTCTCCAGCTCTTCTCTGTACACATTTACGCTATGACGTTCAGCTAGAAGCTGCCACCCCTAAGATATAATAAAATAGTGGGACGTGGCTGATGTCTTAGGTAAGGGTGGCCTGTACGTAACCACACATCTTAGTACCTGCCCCCTTACACACACACCCCTCCGATATGAACCCTGCTCTAACGACTATGTCACTACTAGAGTTCCGCCATAGTGCTTACGCATTGTCCTGCCTTGCTCGGGATCTTGTGTTGAGAGCTCACATGCGACGTCGGCCTAGACCAGGCAAGGGGCATTGTAGGCTGTGGACTCGACCTATACTTATTCTGTGAATATTGCATAGTGCTGGTCAGCTAGAGCGACTAGTCCGGTGCCCTCCAGAATCTCGATCTGCAGCGGAGGGCCCGATCTAGCAAGCAGACCGTTTCTTGAAAGGCTCGACTTGGTGTTATTATTAGAATGAAGTCTGAGCAGTAGGGGGCTTAGGGGGCACCTAGAAGGCTCGGAAGTAGCCTTTGAGTGCTGACGAATGATACTTCCTCTTCCGTGAAATTGTTCGTTATTGGGACGAGCCAGTATAACCCAAAGATCTGGACAGCCGCGTGTGAACGCCATGACGCAATGGTCGATGAAAGTGCGAAAAACATAATACGGGGGTAGGTGGTTGTTCGAATTCGAACAACCACAATAAGTTAGCAGTTGGGTTCCACCAGCCTTAACATCCTCCTGAAATCAGGTCCCGCTACTGGCGTGATCTCGGCACACAATTCGTTCAGGCCGTCGCTCTAGAGCATAGTAAGTATCCGACGAAGCTGCTCTCCATTGTAATATAAAATATGAAAGGAGTCTGTATGCATTAGAAGGTATGGTTATAGATACTCGTTGCTTTTTCGCCATCTAGCTATAAGAGCTCCCTATGGGCCATTTCAATCTCTTCCTATAACCTACCTATACTACATCATGTCCGACGTTTTCTACCTATACTACATCATGTCCGACGTTTTGATTACAGTCCTTGCCCTTATTGCATCTGCATATATACTGCTTTTTTCCATCCTCATTTCTTGGTATTGTCTTAGGTCTAGGCAGCCCAACAAGCTAGTGAGCTATGTCGAAAGTGGAGGGGCTAGCATCCTTTCACAGGCTTCTCAGTGCCCTCTTAACCTAGGGGATTGCTCGCAGGGTGATGTGCTATTACAATGCAACCCTAATGCTGCCATCGAACAGTTGCGTCAGAAGGAACTGGAAAAGTTGCACAATTTGCAACAGGCTCGGAATAAGGTAAATGTTTTGGTTTTTGCTCCTGGACGCGTTGTCAGGGAAGGGTGAGTCTTAATTGTTGAACACTATTAGATTCCGCGTGCCCCAACTCACATTTTGCAGAAGAAATGGCCACTACTATCAAAGGATTATATGATATTGTTCTCTTCTATGAGATGGAAACAACTGAGAGAGACAGAGAAAAGGCGATGAAGCTCTTGGCCAAAGTTGGGTGTATATTCCAAGAAGAAAAGGGACAGTGTCTCAAACACAACGCCATGTGCGTGCATACAGTGACGATTGAAAAATGCGAAGGGCCTATTTAGCCAGCCTCTGTATCCCGAGGAGAGACTAAGGTCAAGCCATTATCATTATAGATGTATAAATTGAAATTATTTGCATGGAGGCTGAAAGAGTCAATTTAGAACATAAAACCGATTGAGTGAAAATAATTCAACAGTTCGTCTGTCTGTATGGATTGGCATCCTAAGTAGCTTTGTCAGCGTCGGCTTCTATGGTCGGCTGCTTCTCCGCCATCGGCACCAGAATCAGCTTCGTCGTCGTTCCCAGATACTTCATTCCCGCTATTATCAGCCTACTCCTGACTTATCCAAGTCAAATTCGCCACCAGCATCGCTCTCAGAATCACCGCCCTTGCCATCACCTACCCCATGCTCTTCCCCTTCAGACTCGTTATCACTCTTACCGTCTGGGCGAGCTAGTATTAATCTTTTTAACCGCTTGAGATCAAGTTGTATGACCTGCTCTTGTCGGTGAATAACCAGATCGTGGGCCAGATTTTTGATAGAGGTGGTCATCATCGAGTTCCTAGGTAGCCGCGTATTGTGTTAGTGAACCAAAGAATACATATGTTCCTCAGCACAGCTTAGGAGCTGAATTCCACCATTCTTGGGGACATTAATCTCTGGATCTGATGAGCGGCTAGTTTTCTGATAATAGACTCACAGCTGTTACACCAATAGGATCACGGAGTGCTTATCATGAAGAGCTTAAAGGATAAGTACTAGATTTCATTGAATGATAATACCCTAAAGGATAGAAAATAGCTAGTATTATCGTAGGAAGAAGCATAAATATCTAGCCCTGGAACTTTCGCCGTTTAGTTCTTTGTTAGCTCCTAGATCCTCATAGCTTCAATCAACGAGAGGCCAAATATATTATAGTTGTCTTGAGCCCGGCCGATGGTGCTTCCATAACTTCCCGCAGGACCTACACTTTGAGTTTTTTTCGAATTTCTCTTTAAAGCTGTTGAGTTGAGTCCCCTTTAGCAAAGGTAATAATCGACAAAGATGTTTCAAAGCTTCTTCGTGATCTACTAATCCCGACTCCAGAACTACAAGGATGGCATCAGCTAGAGGTTGAAGATCCTGCGGTTCAGCCCTGGTCAATGGTTGGTGCTCCAATTCAAGCAGTTTCCATGCTGTATCCATCGATTTCATAGTCGAAAAGTTTATTCCGGTGGCCATACCACCTTTGAGGGTAAGAGTTGCATGCAGGCATGCAGATGGCATGTATATTGCTTCTGGCGCCGTTTGCAGGGTAAATTTTCCATGTTCAAGCTGGCCTTATAGATCGACGAAAGCAGTTGGCGAATCATGATGCTTCTTCCACAACTCCTAATTTTTATCCGTCAAAGGGTAACATGCCCAGATTTTGACAAATTGTTTTCTTAATGGTGTAATCACATGATATCCTCGATCTGAAGACCAGGTCAGCAATGCCGCAGGCATTCACTCTATTAAGCTTATACCTACCGATATGAAGATCGAAGAAAGAATATTTAGGGGTGATATTCATAGTAGTAGTCAAATCACACAACGTCTTATAATCATCGAACCGTGTACCCTTTACCACCTTGTATCCTCTGTGTAATCTGGGTACCTATACGACTGCTCTCGGATTTGGATTATAGAGCTGACCAGCAACCTGTGCGATATCAGCCTCCATTTGCAGCTGCCCGTCGTTATAGTAAAAACGAGCTTTTGTCTTATCAAAGTCGTGGAGGATATCGTTCATTACATCCTGGTTATTAGGCTCAGCGTGAAAGCATTCTCGTCCGGGGAAGGGATATAGACCTAAATCCCCAAGATCTTTCCAATTGTTGTTGTCCCTTAGGAAGTGGTGTTAAATAGAGCTCAAACGACTTACCACCAACAAGATTGGATCTTGCAGACTAGGCTATCCTCAAGGCTGATAAGAAGCTGAAGGAACCTCCAATTTCTCCAACAACGAAGGTTCTCATTTTAGCTCTCAAGCCGTCAAGATCAGTTCCTGATTGTGATATTGTCCACCCATACCCACCAAGGTCGATTGCAAGTCATAAGGAGAAGTGCGTGTCTCACAACAGGGTATTACACAATAAGATTATGAATTACATTCCCAGTGAATACACAAATGAATAATTCCCTCGGCCCACTAAGTTTCCAAGGCCTCTATCGCTTTCAACAACCGCTTAACTTCCTTCTGTAGCTCCAAATATCGCATTTCCTTTTTCAAACCCTTTTCCGCCTCCTGTAACCGTAGTTCAACGTCTGTACTATGTACTTCTAATGCTGAAAGAGAAGCCTTCATCTTTTCGACTAGAATCAAGCCATATTCTGCAAAGGGAGAGCAGTCATTCTTTTCCATACGCCCAACCTTGCTCTCTAGGCTTTTTCGTGTGTATTTCAGTAGCAGCTGGAGATGTGGTCCATTATGATCAGGCCGTCCAATCTTACACAGGTCTTGTAAAGACTCCAGTGCCTCTTCATCTTCCCATCCATCATTGCAGCTGTCTTGATAAAGCAATGACAGAAGAAACCGGCGACAGCCCGGAACATCCACCCAGGTAGGGATCGACTCTCCAATCATTTGGCACATGCCGGCTATTATAACATATACGCCGCTATCGACCTTGTTTTCCTCGCTCTGCCTCAGCGGTGATGAGTGATTGAAAGCTGGCGTGGACTCGGTACCAATGCTTCTAGTATAGAATTCCATTATTTTTTGGCGTGCTGCCTTGTCATTATTGGTACTGGGGCGTGAATCAAAGACGTCTACACGACTTCGATCCTCTCGAATAATTCCAATTACCCAGTGGCTATCTTCCATTAAGTAAGGGATAAGGATAATAGCGTTTGGGTGAATATCAGTGTGGCTATTTGAGATATGAAGAGGTTCAATGACCTTTGCCTTCTCTGATCCCACAATCTCCTCGACAAATCGAAGCAGAGCAAATATGACAGTGCTGGACAGCATTGCCATACCCCTAAGGCTTTCAATATCGATTTTCGTTATAGCGAATAATGATCGTGTGCGCTCAGAGCATGACTCAGAGTCGGCCGCGGAGATAATGGGCGAGTTGTTGAGCGCGATAAGCTGACGATCGAACGCGTCCCCAGATTGAATCTCTATCGGTTCAGCAATAGTTCGCTGACGCTTCCGATGACGTCCATTATCGTCGGTGGGAATCGTACTATCCGATGATGATGGGTTTGCTTGGGGGGCGGATAGCAGGCTTTCTGGAGTGGATGTATCGGATCTGTTGTCTCTGTCCACTGAATTCGCAGCTCCCTGTTTTGTCGAATAAGTCAGAGATCATTTTTAGCAGACAGCAGACATACCAACTTTCCCAAGGCTGCCTCGCAATCCTTGGGTACTATCATTTTGTTTTTGCACGCGCCCCTCCCACCTTCGTTCCTCCTCTCGACTGAGGCTATCTCTAATTCCTGGCGAACCCGGTCCCAAGGACCACAGTCCTGTAGTCTCTTCAAATACTTGAGGACATTCGGCGGCAAATTTTTATTCTTAATCCAAACCTGTACATCGTTATCTCCCATGCGCCAGTAGTGTCTTCCCTCATTATTCGGCCTACAACATTGAGTGCTCTGGTTGGGATCGCCATGGTCAAGCATCTCCCGTAGCCTGTCAGAAATAATGGCGCCGCTAGTTGTTATATAGACAAATACTTTATTTATGTCTATTCTGTCGTTTTTGCTTGCTTGAAGGTGCTTGTAATGACTCATTAGATTTTCATTTAAATCTTCAATTCGTTCATGATTTGGGCAGTTTGGGCGACCTTCGGCATTGAGGAACCAGACCTCATATATGTTGAGGTTTGGTCTCTCATCTATGTTGAGGTGAGCCATTGGGGGAGTAGCAGGAAGGGGGGAGAGTAGATAAGAGAGAGGAGAGGGGAGAGAATGGATGGGGAAGAGGGGAGAGAACAGAGGGGAGGGGGTAAAGGGGAGAGAACAGAGGGGAGAGACGGGAGAGAGTGGATGGGAGAGAGTGGAGGGGAGAGACGGGAGAGAGTGGATGGGAGAGAGTTAGTGGATGGGGGAGTGCAGAGAAAAAAGAAAGCACAGGGGAGAGGGAGGATAAGTAGATGGGAGGGGTGGGAGTAAGACCCTACCCACCCTCTGGAGAGGGCGCTTGACCCACCCCTACCGCCTACTCAAGAGTAGCTGAGTCCTGACCTAAATAATCCGCTCTCTTCGCAACTCTCTGAACTGAACCTTGCTGTTCAAATTCTCTCCAAGTAACGAATTTTATCATTCTTCCAACCATGGTATATGTTGGCATAGATGCCGGCACCACACACAGTTGTGTCTTTGTCGATCAAGAGTGTGTCCTAATTCACCAGAAGAGGACATTCCCCTCTATGGTCAGAATAACAAAGAACGGCACGTGGAGCTTAGCATCTCCAGATGAGTCTGAAGACGGCGACCAGTGTGTGCTTTCGTTACCAAAACTTGTCATCGGACGCGACAAAAACGATGGCAAACTTGAGGCTGACGCATCTGTGATTCCTCACTTGGTCCATACTGACTACGGCCCCCAATATAAAGTCTTTGGTCGGAATGTCTCTCCCCTAGAGGTTATTGCCTTTATTATGGGCAAGATTTTTCAAGCTGTCAATCGCAGGGCAGATACAATCGATCGGGTGGTAGTAGCCGTCCCGTCCTATTTCAATTGGGGGCAGTGTGATCTCACTAGGTCCGCGGCGATAATTGCTGGTTTCGACAAAAAGACTATCCACATCATTCAAGAACCTATCCTTTCCTATATCAGTCTTATAAAGCAAATACAGGAGAAGAAAGAATGTATTATCCTGGATATTGGCGGCGGAACCACCGACATCAGTATAGTGCAGACTGAAAAGGGTGTTCATTGTATGCTCGCAACAGTTGGCAACACTCGCCTCGGGGGGGCTCACTTTGACAATGAGCTGGTGAATTACACCCTAAAAATGTCAGGCAAAACTCGGAAAGGCCTTACTCCAGACAATATGAGAAGACTCATGAACGAGTGTCGACACCGCAAGATGGACTTATCGGACGCTAGGACGACCACTATCTCGTTTAACGGCACACAACAGACAATTACACGCGATGATGCCCAACACATATTCCGTCCCCCCCTTGAAAAGGTCCGCAAGGTCATGCTTGAGCTCCATAAGGAGTGGAAAAATGCTGAAAAAGCAGAACAAATACTTTGTGTCGGCGGCTCAATCCCCACGATCGGCTTAAACAAGCTTTGTCAGGCGACGTTTCCCTTGGCAAAGTGTATCAAGGCAGACGCGGCAGGTGAAGCTGTTGCACTAGGTGCAAGCCTAGCTGCATCAAATCTATGCACAGTCAGAAATGTCCAACCTCAAGACATTCGCTTGCTTATCTCAAAAAAGCGCGGGAACGGGACGTTAGTACTGGTTCGTCGGAATACTCCACTCCCATATGAAACCAGCTGTATATTGTACAAGACCGATCAGGAGAAGGTTTGTTTCAGCCTGTTCGAAGGGAAATTCCCAAACTTTCAGTACAATAAAGCTCTTGGGTCGTTCTGGGTGGAAGGTCTCTCAGAGTTACCACAAGAAACCCCGATCACAGTTACTATCAAGGTTGGTGAGCCTGGAGAAATGGCGATAGCCGCCTCTATAGAAAATCTGGCCAAGAGCCTGGTCATTCAACGAAAAGCTCAGGTCACACAGCCCGATCTCGAGAGACTGAAAAAATTAACACTAGCTCGCCTAGATGGAAAGAGTGATAGTGAGTTTGAAGAGGAAGAGCATGGGGCAGGCGATGGCAAGGACGGCGACTCTGAGAGCGATGCCGATGGCGAATTAGACTTCGCTTGTGGTCATGCCGATAGCGGGGCTGAAGCAGTTGATGGCAACAACGATGCCGGTGCTGATTCTGATGGCCAGAAGGAAGTCACTGAAGTTACGGGGAGCCATCCCGGTTCTGATGCTGATTCTACTAGTGGCGTGGGTGCTGAAAACGGCGTCAATGCTGATTCTGATTCCCAAGGAGATGGTGACGAGAATGATGACGAGAATGATGACGAGAGTGATACTGATGCTGATGGCGATGAAGCAGCTGAAGATGGCCAGGAGGATGCCGACGCTGGGAGCGATGTCGATTCTGATGTCGATGGCGAGACGGAAGCCGTGGGGAACGCTGATGGCAAGAATAAAAGAAAGGATCCCTCGCTGGTACACCGCGGACGCGATACAAAAAGAGTGAGGGACTAGTGGGAATTATGTTGTTTCAATTGATTTTGTCTTCTTAATTGACTCTTGATATTCAGCCTCCATGCAAATAAAACCTAGTTACACGAATATTGACTTGACCACCGACATGGCCAATTCCCACCACGACCGTGACTGCGACACCGATTCTATCTCCACCCAAGGGCGACAGAAGTCATTGTGTTCCCAACAGCCCTCCCTCCCTTTGCGATATATACATCCGCCTTTGACTAAGTATGATTTCACCTCCTCCTTATCTTCATTTGTGCTCGAATTATAAAGTAAATAAATGATATGATACTTTTCTCCTCTATATTCCTGACCATGAACGCTTTGCCAGCGAAACGTTGCACTGTAGCCCTGGGATATAGGTTGAAGGGTACAAACGTATTTGCCCTTCGTCCTGTAATTAGTTAGCTATAGTGCATAGAGTAAAACAGATTCTTAAGAATATTCTCACTCGACATCCGATGGAGGAGCAACAATCAACACACGAAAGAGTTGTAAGGGAGCCGGTTGTGGCAGGTCTCTGTCTTCATTTTGAGACAAGCTGCCTATAGGAGTGCCAGCGTTGCATTGCAAGGGCACATCATCCCGCGAGGACCCCCCCGGGCCAAGAGACCACTGAGAACCACTTTCAACATGACTCACTGGCTGGTTGGGCCGGCTGAGCCCAAGGCAACGATAAGAAATGAAGAGGACACAAAGCACTGCAAACGCAGATAGAGTAACGACAATGGCTACAAACTTTGGGTCGTCCATAATGCAGTATAGGTAGGTTACCAGATCAAATAAAAATGGCCCGTGGGGAGCTCCTTATAGCTAAAAGGCGAAAAAGCAAAGAGCATCCATAACCATACCTTCCAGTGCATACAGGCCCCTTTCATATTTTGTGTTGCAATCGAGAGCAGCTTGATCGGATACTTGCTATGCTCCAGAAGGACTCTGCTAGAGCGACGGCCTGAGCGAGTTCTGCGTCGGGATCACCCCAGTAGCGGGACCTGATTTCAGGAGGATGTTGTTAGGGCTGGTGGATCCCAGAAACCCGGTGGTGTGCAGCCCCGGCGGCAGTACATGCAAGCTTGCAAGATCGTTGTGAAGGGGGGTGTACTGAACAGCCTTGGGATCCTGCAAGATCGCCAAGCATTTAGCGCATATTCTTATGTCCTCCCCTGAGGCCGCAAGAAACAAGGTGGAGTACAAATTATAAGTATTGAGTACAATGGCGTTATCGCAGGATATTTGCGTTCGATGCATATAACCATCGGGGGCAGCCTCCATATTACTTCGGCTACTTCGCTGAAGGGGAAGCAAAGAGTATGTCTAGCTAGCGACTACTGGCATGTGAAATACTAAGTAACAACAGCCTGAGCGTGCACACCAGGCCACGAGCTCATGCTTGTACCCAGGGTGAGTTGCGGCGTGAGCTGTGGTTGTCAAAATCCCTGCTCGTATGCTAAATGCGCCCTTGCAGGTGTGATGTAGGCAGGCATGGGTACCATGCATAAACCTGGGTGGGTATTTCGATCTCAAGGGGTGTGATTAAAACAGATGTCACTTGATGCAGGCTGTGAATCAGAGCAGGGACGCTAACAAACATCCAGAAGAGGTAATCTTTTAAACCCCGCTTCTAATCCCCTTTTCTCCTGCACTTTGATTTCAATCAGCGAATTATTGCAATGGGAGGCCGAAAACGAAAGACAACTACGTTCCGAATTGCAAGGCCACAACCTAGTCGCCCAAGCCGAGTTAGATTTCATGAAGCCACACGACACACATGGGAAACTGGTCCCGTACTTACAACAAAACTCCTCACATGGAGGCTCGGCGATCCATGCGAACGATTCTGCGTCGAGGATAGGAACTTTCTTCGTATCGTCATTCTCAGACTTACTCTTCTGTTTCCCAAACAGCGCGATGAATTACTGGATGAGTTCTGCAGGAATATCGGCTCTAAGCGTCCCAATCCCAGAGTATATACACTATGGGTGAATAAATTCGCGCAATGGTGGGATGAATGCCAGACCAACAATTCGTTCAATCTCGATGGGTTATATCACGGTATGTATCAATCAGTCAGTCAATAGCTTGATAATAACAATAGGTAGCGAATATCACCCGAACCCAGCTGGAAAAGTCTAGCTTCGCAATTGCTGGAGCGATCTCCGACCTGACCCATCGACCATCGGATCTACCTTTGAACCTCGACGTATTTGCTCATTTCTTCGCAGTCAACGACGGAAGAACATCGATTGGCGATGTGTACTATGCAAACTTTCTAGCGTCACGCAATATCTCATCCACCCCAGAAGCCGCTCCGACCGAAGGCACCACGGTGATCAACATACCCAACCCAGGTACCACTACCACCCATCCACTTGTGGATGGTACAGAGAATCTCCTTCAGATAGCCGCCGCAGAAAATACGGTCGATGTTGAAGAAAGCGCAGACATTCTCGCTGAGCGTATATCAGCGCCGAGTTGCGCCGAAGCTACCCACGCCGACCTGGAAAATGTCCTGAACTATACAGGTTCCCTCGAATCCAATGATTCCGCCGTGGAAGATGGCCTTGATGGTACAGATGAAGGTGAAACCGGTGCTGATGACCTGGAATGGGGAAGATATATCCATTTACACGAAGTGTTTGCAAGTGCCAATCCAAAATCCGACATCTATCACCGTTTATGCCTCTTAGAAGTTGAAACATTTGAGATGGCCAAAGAAATTGGAGACAATCAACGAACACAACATCATATAGAAGATGGACAAATTACTATGCTGGTATTTGAAATCTCCCAGCGGCACAGGGACTGTACGGACAAAGTGGTCGACTTTTTTGTAAGTTCTGTGATTTCATTTACTTCTTTTCTTAGCTCTGCTGACCCCAGAAGCAAAAGGGGGCTTTTCTAAGCCAAGAAGCAACCCGCGGGATATTGGTATCGGTCCAGGTTGAATGCGGTACGCTGTCGAATCCTCCAGAGTGGTTGCAAATTTTGGTCCGGACGGACGGAAAGGAATCAAGTGTATGCATCAAACACTTGGAAACAACGACCGAGTTCCAATGGTCACATAAGTATGCGATAATACTTCGAAGAGCCTTTGCCTTTGAAGCACCTGGTGCAAAATTTATTGCCTGTTCTCTACCTGATTAAGGTGAAACTTAACGATCTATCAGGTAGTTACAATAGCTGTCTGTACAGTATGAATTCAAACATATATTCTCGGCAATTGCTCCTCCTAATTGCTCCTCCTTCCCCAAAACACAACAACCGCACCAAACGTCTTGTCGGCTTTCTGTCATTTTTTTGGTTTAAAGGTTACTTCTGCCTGACCAGGGAGATTCGTGAAGGAATCTATCAACTGTTAGCATACTCGCCACAGTATCAGAGCAAACAACCTACACTCTGTAGTAGTTCCAGTCGGGACGGCGGAAGCTGGTTTTTCAACTGATGAACTGCTTTGGCCAGTGCCACTTGGCTGGCTGTTGCTCTCTTCGTTAGATGGCATTGCTGATGAGACTGGATACTAGTGGCAAAGATGGTCTTCTCAAGCGAACAACGAGCCTGATGCCCTCAATTATAATACTAAAACGAGGTATATCTACGGTCCACCCATCGTTCAACCCAGCCTCACCCTCCGGGAGGATGCTATCCCCCATACGTTGTCTCCTGCAGCTATACGGAAACTAGGCCGCTTGTTGGCCATATTGACAATGGTTGCAGATGATATACTACACAGCCAACCGCAGGGATCAGTCGAGCAATCATCCTAGATCACTAGTCCACTCGTCGCAACTTCAAACATGCAGCCGAAGAACGGAACTTGTGTTGTCCAACCTCTTCTTGGATTCAACCCATCCGATTGTGACCGTATGCAGCGGTCAAGGTCGATGGGTCGGCCGCAGAAACTACAGACCCGTTCGCCTCACCTTATGGATCCAGCCATTTGTTGGCTCAGCGAGTGCTGGGGCTTGTCGTCCCTAGCACACACCATCATGTACGTGATCGGTCATGCAGCCAACAATCAGAAGCCCACCACGTCTTCCAGACCAACGTACCGGCATATTATGCAGGAGAGTTAAGTTCTAGAAGGAATATGACTTGTATTCTACAGACGTATGCCAGGCCTCCTGGTCACACATCAACAATGGTTCCAGATGAGACAGCCAACCAGATGCGATCGTCCCAGATATATCCATTCATCGCAGTAATGTCATTCAGATAGGAATAGAGCTTTCTTCTCTTGAAGAAGACAATCTGGTTATGGCCTTGTGCAGCCACGGCCAAGGACAGCTCGTCAACAGCCCGTTTGCTCCTTCGCCTCACCGTACGGTACGGGATAGAGGCATTCGTTGTCCAGAGATCTACTTGTCGGCCATGACACACACATCCTTCATCGATGGATCATGCGGCTGATACTTAGTGGTTTTTCCATTAGTCTAATGCCCAATGCCGTTATATTGTCCCTTCAGACCGACTCACCATCGTCACATCCACTACGGCATGCACGAGCTGGGATAATCCCAATATTTACGGAATATGGGCAATATAGCTAACTACAGAAGGCCAATCTGTATATTGAGGAGTTTCTTGTGCTTGAGGTGACTAGCAATACAAATTCAATTGGTACCATGCACCAGGGCGAATTAATGACCTGTTTATCGTAGATACAGCCTCTTCCGTAGCTTGATCCCTTCCTTGACTAAGCCTGTCCCTGACTAAGCGTCTCCCTACGGGGTGCTGTTATTTTCCGACTTTTGGTTTTTCCCGACTTTTGGTTTTTCCCGACTTTTGGTTTTTCCCGACCCTTGGTTTTTCCCGACCCTTGATTTTTTCTAGCCTTTGGTTTTTCCCAACCTTTGGTTTTTTCCAACCCTTGTCCAACCCTTGGTTTTTTCCAGTCTTTGGTTTTTTCCAGACTTTGGTTTTTTCCCAACTATAGCTTTTTCCGACTTTTGGTTTTTTCCGACCTTTGGTTTTTTTCCACCCTTGGTCTTTTCCCAACCTTTGGTTTTTTCCACCCTTTGGTTTTTTCCCAACTATAGCTTTTTCCGACTTTTGGTTTTTTCCGACCTTTGGTTTTTTTCCACCCTTGGTCTTTTCCCAACCTTTGGTTTTTTCCAACCCTTGTCCAACCCTTGGTTTTTTCCAGTCTTTGGTTTTTTCCAGTCTTTGGTTTTTTCCGACCTTTGGTTTTTTTCCACCCTTTGGTTTTTTCCAACCCTTGGTTTTTTTCCAAGCTCTGGTTCTAATCTTTTCAACCAGCATGTCGTCATCAGCCAACCTACCTCCGCCTACTGGCTCCAGTGTCATAGATCAGCTCAGTCAGCTAATTCCAGACACACAGCTATGCCAATTATTACAGGACACCCAGTTTTCACTGGAAGAGTATACGGCATTGGGCCAAATTGCCGACAGATTCAGGGCTGTCGCAGAAACAATTAGTACCAAAATTTCTTCGGCTATACCACCCGCCATATTCCCCCCAGAACTCCCCTATACGGATGGGAAAAAGTTCAAAAAATTCCGCGATATCAAGACCAACGGTGAAAACAATTGGCAATATTTGCTAGCTAACAAAAAGCTTAAAAAACCACCAACCTTTCGGAGAAACTTAGTCACGATATTCCACGGGCCACAAGATACAGAGCTAGATACCAAAAGGATTGCTGAACGAAAAGCGAGCACCAGGGAGAAGTGTCACAGAATACGAAGGAGGAGGCCAAATGAGATCATCTCATGGGCAATTACATTCCCATACACGGTGTGGAGCGATGACATGGATTCCAAGGTTTTTGATTATTTCTTGCAATACATTAACCGCATGTGTCACCCCGTTGCGCCTTGGCCTCAAGACATTCAGATGGCTCTGCAATATCTTCAATCAAATGAACTAAAGGGCAACCAAGAGTTCGAGAGCTTTATGAAGCAGGTCTCTACAGCAGATCAACACATTGGAGGTCAGAAGGTTGCATAAAAATCAATTCATTTCAGAACACTGATATTTACTAGATATTACCCTGCGGCCGGTCTTTTGGGCCTCCCAGAATGCTCAAGCTGACACTCTGAGTGACTGGTTTGCCGACGCTGTCGTTTCGAGAGTCCAACAACAGCCGGAATGGGCTGCAAACAGTCGCAGTAGTTCTTGTCTTGTGGCAGCACATTGGAAGACCAGCGGTATTGAATTTGTAATCGACTGGGAATCGCGGCGTGAGAACGACAACTTATTGCAGGAGGCAGATGTGTTTAAAGCGCAACCTTGGGGGAGTATTGTCGGATGGAAAATCACGCGTCAGCTAGTGATTCATACCTCGTGGAAGAACGGCGCGCAATCTGTCTCGGATTCTATGTTCCCTCAGGCTCGTAGGACATAGCTACCTTCATCTCGAAGACCAAAACCTTGTCGTTTTTTCCCAACTTTTGGGACCCATCTGAGGTAAAGTCGCTCGATAGTGACTTTCCATTAACAACAATATGACCAGGCCCAGTGCTCCCACGCCACCATATTGTTCCAATCTCGTTCTCTTTCGGGTCGAAAGGTGTTCTCTGGTGGTATTCGTAATCTTCATCTTTCTATAAATATGTTAGTGTCCGTTCGTAGAGTGTGCTTCAAGGCCAAGTCGCACAGGCTTAGCCATAATGATATGAGGCGGAAGAATATCCCACTCAGTGTAATTTTCTGATAGCTCTTCTTCGGGTTTGATGGAACAGAGTCTTGGACTCAACCGCGGGCCAGAATTTATGCATTTGTAGTGATGTTGAATATTGACTGTGTCGGGTATTAAGAGCGTCGAGCGAGAAATCTTCAGGCACTCCTGCGTCCGAGCATGGTGCGGAGTGGATTAATTTTAGTCCACGTGTCGTTACAACTCAGCTGATTGAAATTTGGGCCGAGAACTTTTTCGGGATTACTAATACCTCAAAAATCTGCCCGAAACTGGATTTTGGGGAAATCCTCGGAAAAGCATCATTATTATTCCGCCAGGCTATGGCTTATTTTGATACCAATGCTAAGGCCCTCAAATAGTTATACTGCGACGTTTCACTCAGCAGGTGAGTCAAGGCCCCAAACCATGTGCCAAACAATGGCATATGAGGTCGTTGGGCAATCTCTGGACCGTCGGGTGTCAAGATCATTTTGCTTTGGCAGTGATGTGGCCAAATTTTACAAGCGGGGATCTCTGACTATGCGAAGGCAAGTGGTCATCCAGAATGTAATAATATTGTTCCGCTAGCCAAGATCATCACACCACTGTTCCTTCTTAGTGGGTCAACTCTAGTCATAGGCAAGTAGCTTAGGCCGTTTACCCTACAGAACCGGATAACACATGGAAGAGTCTTCTCTGCCCCTCAAGTAAATACTACAAATGTATTGTAAATCTGGAAGAAGGTAGTGTAGGCATTGCCTTGTATTATAATAGCTTTAATCAGAAGCGTTCTACCGAGTTTCACTCCGCGCATCACCTCACTATTTTGTAAATATGTTTAGATTTTTTTTAGCTATTCTGTATTTCGTAGGCGACGGTCACGTGAGGTGGCTTGACTTCCAGCTCAGCCACAAGTTATGTGGATTAATATTCTTCCAACAGCCACCGGAATGATATTCAATTTGATTGATATACGCTATATTTTTTCTTCTTTTCGCTGCGAGAGCAACTATATTATATTGCATTCAACTCATAATCATCAATCAGAACAAATTTGTCAAAGGGAACACACCTAAGTCTACCAGCCCTTAGAGTGGTATCCATCGAAGATTTCTTGGATGACAAAGTACTGGTTCCAGCTGCTGGCATTGACATCTTCAGTCTTCTTCTTACAAGACTTCTCAGAGAATTGGTTCAGGTTGGCCACATCGTGTGAGGTATGACGTCTCTTGAGAACTGCATTAGCAGTGGAAGACTTCTGAGATCGCTCCCACAGGAGGTGGCGGCGGAGGGACTCGGTCAACTCTGTACCAAGCATATTGCGACGAGTTGTTCGAGGTGAGAGAGCGCCTTGACCATTGCCGCGAGCGGCGGTGGGGATGGGGATGGGCTGTGCGCTTGATTCGGGAATCTCCGGGGTAGGCTTTTTGGGACTCTGGCTGTTATCCTTCATCATGAGGGGAGCATCGTCAGAGTCGTTGGGAGAGGCAGCAGAGGAAGGCCCATTGCGATTGCGCGATTGGGGGATAGCGGATGTTGACTGGGAAGCATGGTTGCTGAGGCCCTTTGTACGGTCTTCAGTCTGTGTGAGCATCAGGGTGATGAGGGATTTCCTGGAGGTGAGGTTGACCTTTGAGTCAACACGCTGGAAGTACTTGTCGTCAACGTTAGACTTGCCACTGTCCTCAATCGAGTCCTCCCAGTCAGAGGAGTCATCCTCATCGTCAATTGCGCTCTCATCAATATAGTCACCCTTAGAGTCGGAGTCAATAGCATTATCAGGATTAACATTGTGTATGATGATATGGTTGCTGAAGGAAGCTTGCTTCTTCCGGGTGGTCGACCTGTTGGGGGTTCGTGGTAAAGGAACGCCCTTGAGACTACCGGCGGTACTAGGCTTGCATGCCACTGGACTTTGGCTTTGTTGGTTGGAGGGGTATGGTGCGCCGAGCGGTTTGCGACGCTGAGAGCTCTGGGTCGCTGCACCACCAATGTCAATGGGCACGGCCATGGAGTTGGAAGTCCCAGCTTGAGAGTTGGGATAATTTTTGGCCTGGCCTTTGGAGGAGCCAAGGTCCTTGTCGGGTTGCGCCTTTGGCTTGCGGGTTTGATGTTGAGTCTCGGCTGATGTCCCCATCTTATACTGCTTTGACCATTTATAAACTTAAGAAGGTTATAGAATAAATTGGATAGTGGTTTTAATCATATCCTTAGTGGGATGATGCTCAAGTTGGCGATCCAATATACTATATACAAGGTCATGGCGTATACGGGGTAAATCATAGAGGGTCGGATAAAACTAGTACCAAGAATGTCTCACATGTGGGCATCAGCTGGATGCGACAACGACATCAAAAGCAAAGTGTATGCAGGTTAGATCATGATCCCGCACCAATACCGACGGCCTGTCCCTGACCCCAATGGTGCACCAGTCATGAGGATGGCAAGGGCGCATTAGTGCCACACAGGATGGAAAGCAGTGTCGACCTTTTGTGGCTCAGGTGGTGAAGCTGGTGGACGGAGCGTAGCTCTCATCGCATACGAGGATGGTCAAATGGTGTATCCGGCCCCTTCCGCGGCGGAGATGATATCGAGGTGGAACAGAATATGCAAGGGCTCAGAACTAGCATCGTTGGAGTCTTAGCTGAGCTGGCCCCTATGCATTAGCTGACACGTGCTCATGTTCGCTCATTTGTCCATCCTCCGAGCATCTAAATAGCCTTTGATGGGGGAAGAGTAAGTATGGATGGAGCGGGTTACGCGCTTGGTCACCTTCCCTATCAGGGGTATAAGGATGGTGGTGTGAATCCAAGCTAGTGGTGCCAGGATTCCCCACAATACATGCATGTACTGTTGCGGCATGCTGGAGTACACCTCCCTGAATTCCTGTATGGTACTCTTTCTGGTATATGGCGCATCTATCCCTTCTTTCATAGTTAAAGGCAATTTATGCAAGGTTAGATCATGATACGATTGTCGCGACCGGTTGACCTGATCTTGGTCCGGTCTAACATCGAAGTTGAGGGCACTCAGCGGCCAAACGCGGCTTTTTTAGCCAATCGGATGTCTCTTTCCATGCCGCCTACGCTGGAATAAGGCAAGGTGTACGTTTAGTATCACTCTACCCCACCACCTGTGTAGCTGATCGTTACACCGTTGGTGCCCCTTGTTTTCATGGCACAGGCCCTCTCGTCGGGTTCAGATGGTGTCTAGTATTTCCATTAATGATGATCTTGGTTGGTTTGCAATCACCGAAGTATACGAGGGAGCATTCGTCTCTTTTCCGGCTTCTCATTTGGGCCACTGGCGATGAAATGATTCTTCAGTCACCCCAGTGCTATAATTGCACAGCTGTCAGCATTTCCATGACCAGGTTTGGGATTACAAGTAGCCATGGCAGCAGACGCAGAATGAATATACATAAATCGCTTTGCAAAATTAGCGAAACAGATAGATATCGTCTAATTCCGCCTTGGTAGTCTATGCTGACAACTTAGAGTATAGCTGGAAGAAAAGATAGCGAAGATGACGTTTTATTCTGGTATCATCGAGTCTTGCTACATTTCAGCTCATATGACAAGTCGCACGCATAAACGGATCAAATAGCTCACACTAGGAAAGGGATTTTTGCAGCCCCCATAGATAGGATGGTCTATAAAGCCGACTCTTGCTGGATAAAGCTGGATTTAAATAGCTGGCCGACCATGAATCTTGCATGAATTCCCGTACGTATTCACTGTATCTCTTCGCAGAGTAGTAGCTGCTAACTTATCTTTAAGCGCTTTATAATGTGTATAGCCGTGATGTGCAATAGCGTCTGCATCGAGTGTTCGGCCAAAACTGCATATGTGGCGATTCGTCGGGGGTGCCAGCGCTCCCTTTACTACTGTTCGCCGGTGTTTACAGTTGGATTTATCGAATGCATAATGCCTGAAGGATACTGTATCGAATGCGATCTATCAGATACAGTTAAGGAAGCCACCTCAAGACTGAATGAAGCATGCCGTACTTACGGAGACCTTATGTTGGATTGGATTTACGCTTGGGGCCAAATCGAATGGTTCTTAGGGAGATTGGATGAAAACGACATCGAGATGCTGCAGAGTGCAGATTGGGTTATTGTGCCTTCTACCGGGTTATTGGTGAGAAAAATTAACATTATATGTTATGTTTGAAGGTCTTTCCATTAAAGCAGAGCAATTCAGTTAGATCTTTCCACTGTAGCCACAAATGTCTAACCAAGCGAGAGGAGGGAAAGCGGATCCGCTGAGCGTTGTGAGCATTGGGTAATTATACAAGGCCAGCGCCGAGACGAGGCCAAGCTATGGTTGCTCCTCTAGTAGTGTCCTGGTAGCTTGATCCTCTGATCCAGCCTGTTTATTCCGAAGGTCTAACAGATAGCTATGCACTCTTTTGAATCAACGAGAGCTGTTCCTACGAGGCCTTCCAAATGATTGCATTATAGGTTTGTGAAACAGAAAACGATAAGCAAGGGTAATAAAGATAGACAGAGTTCCCGATTGAAAAGAGATGCTAAAGAAGAAGATACTGCACGTCTAAGAGTTGATACGATTTGGATTCCGCGAAAAAGAAGGAACATTAGGTGTAGTAGGTGTTTTACTTGGATGTAGTAGCAGATCTTTTGATCATCTTCGCCCAGGGATGCTGACTTGGTTGCTGTCTCTCTCGGCACGCAGCTAAATAGCATCAGAACTACCGGCCAATAATAGCTATACCTGGGAAACTCACCACATATATCATCTCCCCTAGATAAGCATTAGATTCTGTTAAAGATAGATAATTCAATAGGCTGAAAGTCTAAACATACCAGTACTGTTTGCTCACAATTTTTGGCGGACATCGTAATTGGGTTTCAATATACTTCGGGCACCACGATTCGACTAGATGGTAGTGATGCTGGCAGCTCAGCTCCTTCTGCGATGCTTGTCAGCCTATGTCCGCATAGTGATAAGAAAAAACAGAGCATACATAGATATAATTGCACATTTTCAAAAAAACAGTAGACCGGTTAGAAATGTGTGACAGAGAAGGAGATGTAGGACCAGGAGTGATATAAGTACCTATGACACTACCTGGAGTGAAACTTGCTGGTCGATGTGGTCCCCGAATGAATGTTGACCCCTGTGTTGTTTCCTCCCTGGCCTGGGATGCAGCCCGAGGATCGTGCCACAACGAGTATATAGGCGACCCTAGCTCTTCCAGGCGACCGCCTACCAGGGTAGCCTGTAGCTACTAGATGACTCGGCCCAGGGGCAAGCACCCGCTCATCCCCCTAATCGTCATCTCGGGCTGTGATCAACTAGAGGAATTAGAAGATGCCCGTTCATTACTGCCACTATAAAGGGACGCCAGAGTGTTACTGGATTGAAGATGCAATGGGTTAGAAAAATGAGGACGCTGACATGCAGACTTGCACGGCCCTCAGTCTGTGGCATTGGGGTGATGAGGTATCACCTCGAGATAAGGTTGACCTTGGAGTCAACACGCCGGAAATACTTCGCCAACGCTGGACTTGCCACTGTCGTCATCGGTCGCCCAGTCGGTCATCATTAATTGCGCTCTCATCAATATGGTCACCTTGGGACTTAGGGCTAATGTTTGCTGGTGCACTTGAAGAGTTGGCGGTATGAGTCTGGTGCTTCTGGGTAGATTGCATAACCTGAAAGCTCTGTGTGGCTTTCATCTTGTAACCAGAATGTCTTACATACCATGAACGCGACAACAACACTAAGAACCAGCATATGTAGAGCGACATCATGAACGGGACGGCCTGTCCATGTCCAGATGGCGTTATCACAACCGAGAAGGGTGCAAAAGCGCATTAGTGCCAGTCAGGATGAAAAAGCAATGTTATATATGGTGACTCACGTGGTGCTGGCGTAATAGAGCTGGTTGAACCTGGAACGGCCTGTCTGGGCCCTTTGGCGGCGGAGTTGATGTCAGGGTGGAACGTACCTGCAAGGGCTAATGGATGGCTCGGTGGAGTATTGGCCGGCTGAGCCGTCCCATATGCGTTAGCTGATCAGTGCTCGTGTTGGCTCGTTCAATGGCCCTCAAGCATCTGAACAGCCTTTAATGAGAAGAAGGGTGGACTGTCGGATTTCGCGCCAAGCCAATCCCAGCCCCATCAGTGAACAATCACCCTGGTGAGGTGTGAATCTAAGCCGGTGGTGTTGGGATTCCCCACAATACATGTACCTGAGCGTGTTGGTATGCCAGAGGTACGTAACCCTGATTTACGTCGTGTTTCCTACTCTATTTAGGAACCAAGTGTCAGGTACACAACGCATCCACCCCGCTTTCACTAGGCAGGGGCTACTTATGCAAGTTAGAGGATACGGGCGTCGCAAGTGATTTGGTCTAGCCTGGGTCTCACCCAACCGGGAAGCTGAGTCGATGTGCCTCCGGTCTGATGCATCAAACAGACAAGGTTTGGCACCGTCTGAATACATCTCACTCATTGAGCCAGCATAACACTGGTAGCAATGCGACTATCATAGGATAGGAACGCACTGCCTTATAGTAGACAAAAGCGGACTTCGCCGCAAATATGACCAGGAGTACTTCCCATTTGAAGTCGTTGAGCCAGCGGGCGTCAATCTTTGAGTGCATGTGCAATGTGTGCTGCATGCTCTTAACGAAGATGCGCCGGAAGGGGGGCCCGTGCAGCTCAGTAAGCCAATCGGATCCTGTCTCTAGAGTTGTGTGGAATGTGATGAGGTGTGGGCTGGTACCGTCCCATAAATCATGTACCCATTACTAGGTAGCTGATCGTGGCAGGTCGTTGGTGCATCCCCTTGTTTGGTGGCACGGGTCATGGAATTAGATGCAGGTAGTGTCTGATATTGCAATGCATTATGACCGTGAAGGTTTCGCAATTGCCAGCGTATTCTGAGAGCACACCTACCTCTTTTCCTGCTTGCTATTCGGGCTGGTGGCCATTGACATTACTTTAGTGTCCTCCTGGTGCACCAATGTCAAGATTTCCGTGACCAGGGTTCAAGATGACAAGCTGCGTGGCTGCATAAACTCCAAGTCACATGCTTACTATGTACATCGAGACAGCGACAGATATGTTAATGCTATGGGCGAATAACACCACACGCTCCAACAATAGATACGATAGAAAAACTTGAAGGATTATTTATCAAAACTCTGGCCTCTTATATACAAAGAATATCTGTACACCCTAAGAACTTGCGGAACTATTGCTCCTGTCACTCTTCATGCCATAAATAACACTTACTTCCAACTCAACGCCCTTCATCATGCTTAGCTTCGCAATCGCTACTGTTATCTCAGATCGATATTCCAACCCCAGCCTAGTCTGTAAGACTCTGAGTCTCCTGTAATATTCCTTGCTGAAAAACTCTTCCTTAAAAGCGTGGGAATTGGTGTTTAGAGGTACACGGTAACGGGTTGTCGTGACATCGGCAAATCCAGCATCGCGTAGAATCTCATCCTCGGGATCTAAGAGCCACCCAATATCACGGTATCCCTGAGCGAAAGTGTCTGTGATGCGGGCTGCAGAGAGGACGTTCATGATTTCTTCTGTTGTAATACCATGTTTGGCACTGAAATTTTCTGGAATCTCTGGTACAAGACCTTCGGCGAACGTGAGCCTCACTCCATGATAATAGAGAGTTGGCCCAAATGTTATAATTTCAACAGATCCCCCAGGTTTAAGGAGCTCGTAACACCGTTTACCGAGCTCCGTCCAGTCTTTGACTTGTGCAGCCATATCTTGAATATGGATAAAGCCGTACTCGTTTTCAGGCCAAGTAGAAAACAAATCGGCGAAGAGGAATTCGACGTTTGGAGGGCGCAATCGTGGGATATGTTCCTCGTTGATGTACATCGTCTGAATGGTTGCAGCTGTGTATTTAGCACCCGTTTCGATCGCCCAAGTCCCATTTCCAGACCCAACATCTAGGATCTTAATATCGCCTGGTACCTCAATTGGACATAAACTCTTGCCCACCATCTGACAGACATGGTGGGCAAAATCCAGTTCTCCTTGATCGAAGAGCGGCTTGTTTTCGCGGAGAAGTCTTTCTGCTTCTTCTGAGTCCCAGGATATAGTGCTCTCCTTGTCGTCGCCCAATGCTGAGTCGCCGTCACGAATTTCAGGGTCATCGTTGGTGCCTGTTGCCGGCAAACCCTCAGCAGCTCCTCCGGCCTCAGCTTCGTCTAGGGGTGTAGCGCTGCTCATGCTGTCTGGAAATGTTACATTGGTGTCACTATATTCGTCCTCTTCTGTTCCTGAGTCTCGACTTGCTGTGTCTTGGAAGGTAGTGTTGCTCATGTCATCCATAAATTCTGAGTCTTGGTTTGCCAGGCTCTGGGAAGTGGCCCTGCTCGTGCTGGTTGGTGGTGTTGACTTGAAGGGATTTGAATACACAATGCTGCCACCAGCATGATCAGTGAGTCTGGTCCCATCTTTGAGGATCGTGTCTGAAGATCTGTGCTTGGACTCTTCGGGTGGTGCAGACTTTTCTTGGACGTGTTCATGCTTGGCACGCTTTCGCATCGGGGATTCAAAGTCATCCGGACTGTGTCGTACCGCTTCGCGCCAGGAACGAATGAATGAACTGCGGTGGCAGGGCGACCTTTCTGGGCCGAGAGAGACGTGGGTGGTCGTCATTGTGTTGAGGCGCTGGGTATAGCGTCTGGAACTGCTGTTGCCGATGTGTAGGCTTAAGGAACCCTTCTCTTGGGTATCTCACGTAACATAGACATAGGTGAAGGAGACAAGTTGAATGAATCGCAACAAGGCCAGGACGCTGGGATAACTCCATGGTTATTTACTTACATCGACTAGCCTTGTATCCACCTGACTCCAACGCTTGACATGTGCATAGCTAGCATGGATCAGGCCCTGCATATTTGCTGCCCCGTGCGGTGCGGCAGACTCTTGATTATGCTCGTCTCACGAGCCAATAGGAGACCGTGTCGTCAACTGGCTTCCGGAATCACCTGGGGCTGATCATGAACTAGGTACGTAGCAGCGCCCACCTCTTACGCTAACACGACAAGTATGGTCAGATCGCGTCCCCCTGATGCTGCACTTGGAGGGTTAGCGCTACGACATGAGATGCACACACACACCACATTGTTATGCGTCGGGGTTTCTTATCACACTTGCTACGGCGAGATCAGTCCATAATCCTGCACGATTTGAGATTTCTGTTACATGCTTCTGTCAAAAATGTTGTGTATCACTTCAACACTGCAATAGTCATCCTCGTGGCCATTATTACAAAATGCGATCAGTCCAACGACGTGAGAGCTATGTCTCCCCTCAGCACTGGATACCACTAACATCCTCCATTAGAACTCATAGTTTCCCTCTATCTACTTGTACTAGCATCATGCAGAAAGCCTTGCGGCGCCGAGTTTGAGCTGGTCTCGAAGAGGTATCAACACGACCTCCCGACCTTCTGTGTGATCGCGACTGGTGGGACGATTCAAGCAGGGGCAGAAAGTCCGAAAGAGAAATTTTATTATGAGAATGGCCCTGCCTACGGCAAGACACTCTTCGATCAGTGGGCTAGTATCACGGACTACAACATCTTGGTTTATCAGCCCTGGAATATCGGAAGCCACGAGATCAAGATGCACCATACAATTACCTTGGCCAAGATCGTCCTTCGTTGCATTACGAATGGAGCAGATGGCATTCTAGTAACACACGGCACAGACACCATGGTAGACACGGCTTCAATCATCCAGTGGCTCATAGGACTTCATATGAAAGATATTCCTATTGTATTCACTGGCGCATCGAACCCAAGTTTAGCAGAATGCAGCGATGGCCCAGAGAATCTCGATGATGCGCTAGCTGTGCTTGCCAATGGCGGTGCAAAGAATAGAGGCGTGATGATTCTGATGAATAGACTCATTTTTCTCGCCGAGCATGCTATCAAATATGATGCAGGAAGAATCGGCGGGCTCGGCGGTCCAGAGTATGGCAGCGTCTTGGATGGGAGGGTAAGCTTTCACTACGCACCTTCTGTCTCAGGCGCACACAGTATCCCCCTGGATAAGGTGGTGAACTCAACCCAGCGGGCAGTTCTCGTGATGGGCTATCAGGGCATAGACACACAGGCGCTTGAGGCTGTCTTGGATACGAAGCCAGAAGCGGTTGTTGCTGCTGGAGTTGGGGATGGATGGTTTTCCGAAGATGCCATGGCTATTTTACAAGCTGCAGCAGCGGAGGGCATGATTGTCATCGCAGCCGCGAGATCAGGCAGGATGGCGAGAACAACTCTGGAGAAATGGCAGATTCCGTGCTATGATCTTGATTATTCTAAGTGCCTTGCACTAACAAGGCTTGCGCTATGGGCTGATTATAATCACTCAGACATACGAGCACTGCTTGATGGGAGCGGAGACGAGGGGACAGGCAAGCAGGGCGAAAGGGACCAGCAAAGTATAAGTCCAAATGCTTTAGTTATGTCGCTTCGGCAGCTTGTTCTTCAGAGCTGCTGCAGATTGATGAGCTGGGTGTATTCGCCATTCAGCCTCGAATGCATCTAGGGTTTCTATACTGCTGTCGGCCACTCCTGTATACATATCAGGGCTTGAAGTTGCTTTGATGAGGAGGGTTCAGATAGAGTTTGGTGATTGTATGTTCGACGAGAGGGGTTCTTTGATGGTACTTGGCTTAGCAGCGATATTTCTCAATGCTGACGGCCCGCTTTGGCGTAGTCCTCCGTGTGGTGCGGCAGACTCTCGATTATGCTTGCCTCGCGAGCCAATAGGAGCTAGATGAATAATGCGCCTGGAATAGGATGAAGAAAATATTGGTATTGATCACGGTGATCCTTGACGCTGCGCTTGTACGAGATGTTATCCTCTTCTGCGTTATTCTCATGGCCGCCATCCGCCCCTGCCTGATTCAGAATCATCCTATGACTAGGTCAAATGTAATTACAAATGCTATGTATTCACTCCCACTCATTAGGTCTCAATCCACCTGACGCAAAATGGACAATCGCCTTCGGACAGCTCTCCCGAAACGTCTGGCAGATTATGTAAATGATATGTAGTGGTTTTTTTTTTGATGAGATCAAGGGCGGTCTCCCGACCCGTTACTGCCATTACCTCTTCCCAACTCGGGGTGAGATCAATATGGCTAAGGCAGAGAGCTTCGACTTCAGACATGATCTTGCCTTTCATCATTGTTTTTAAGTCCTCTTCTCCTGAACGAAATCCTCCAAGACATAATGCCTTGAGATGAGGCCACATAAAAGAACTCTCTAACACTGAATCAAAGGGTATACCCCCCTCTGTGGTCAGAGAAATTCGAAGGTAAAGAAGTTTTTCAAGTGTCTGTAGAATCGGCTTTAAGCCCTCCTGAAGTAATGAGTTGTTATTATTGTCATCCACGAGAGAAAGCTCAAGACGTGTCAACAGGCTGCAGTATTCAAAACTGATGGAAGGATTAAAGAAGGAGAACCCTAGATTTTTGATACTGAGGAGCTGAATTTTTGCTTTTGATGTGGCGAGGGCGTTGTGAACAAGCATGAATTCCTCGTGGCCATAATATCTTTCAGGGCGGAGGGAACTCACTACCCAGCCCTCCAGATCTTCATACAGCCTCGGGGCATCCACGCGTGACGAGTGCAAGCCGCCATCCCCCTCTGTGGATGCCAGTTCGATTCGCTCTGGATCTCTGCATCCCAGTGACAGTTTGGTGGGCTCTAAAATAGGCTTCCCATATAGAAAGGTGACTTCTTTCAGATTTCCGAGGCCATTGATCAATCTTTGAAGGCCCATTTGCTTCGTTTCGGAGGTTGCATCTAGACTTTGTCGGTCGTAGGTGGGCCGGCTTTCGTCCTGGTTCTGTTTTTTTGAAAAGATGATAGATTCAACTGTGTGCTCAAGGGATTTGGGTGAGAGCATATCCATGAGTTTGTGGTGCTCTCGTTCAAGGGGGGCATGAACTCTTCGGAAAATGTATCCGTAACCCACCTCCCCAAGGAATTTCATAGTTAACCGAAAACTTTTCAGACCTGGTCCGTCCAGCATTAAGCAAATTTGGCTCAAGATTTCGATAGGCATCGTGGTGATTGATGGCGTCATTGTGGGGATGATGAAGAAAAAATAACACAAAACGAATATAGGCTGTTATGGTGGATTTACATAGAAGAAAGAAGGAGGTTGAGGGCTAAAGCAATATTTAATCTAATCGGGGACAAACTATCCTTAATAAATGGGCAGGAGCCTGCATAATTAGTGCTTTTACATTAGATAATAGTTATAATTATGCAGCCATGAGTTGAAAATTCGTACTAGTCCTGGTTCAGTCGCTAAACCAGGCGGGGTGTGTTACATCTAGACAAGCCTCTGCTGTCTTGGATGAGAAATGGAGCGAGCTAAATTGCATCTTATGTAAAATATCATAGAACCCGTACCCCCCGGCAAGACGAGATTGACCTCCCAAACCGGAACCGGCATGATCCTAGCCTGGGAAAGGGCCACCTTTGAAACGGCCAAAGCCAGCAACAAGGGCTCGTGAGACAGTTTAGGCATCTCCGCTTTTCATCCGGTGGGAAACAAGTGCTGATGATTATGTTCGTCGGAGAGATCTGTGCTTCACCTAAAATTTGGCTCCATATCATCAGCATTGGTCCTAAATCCAAGCGATTGGGTGATCACCTGGGTGAGGATTAGGATGCGGAGGCACAGTCGTTTTATATAGCAAAAAGCGCGTTGCCAGTTACCACTATCGGCCACTCCTGTATACATATCAGATTTAAATTGCCTCTATGAGGAAGGTTCAGATAGAGCTTCGTAATTGTATGTTCGACGAGTGGAATTCTTCGATGGTTCCTGGGTTGGTAGCGAACTGATATTGTTTGCTCTATCGATGCTGACCAGCCCGCTTTGGCGTAGTCCTCGGTCGTCCGTCGTTTGTCGTCGTAATCATCTGCAATAGTGTAGGCCCCGTCGTCTTGCTGTCTTGGTCGTCTTGGTTGTCATGGTCGTTTGTCGTGGTCGTGTATCATGGTCGTCTCGGCTGCCTTTGGCGGTCGTTGTTATAGCCACCTGCCTCGAGGGAATGCTCCCTAGGTTCCTACAATGATATAATGCATCAATTTAGATAGCCTTGGGAGTTTGGAATTTGCTACAGCAAAAGTTATTAAGGTCACTACTTAAGGTACCTAGGTGGTACTCGCCGTTGGCGCATTGGAGCCAGAAGACTACGGGCCACACAGCCAGCCCAAAGGTTGCTCGAATGGCGTGCGCCTGTGTTATCATTGAAGTACCCACTGATTTCCCGATCTGAGGATGTGCATGGTTCCACTCAGCAATAACAGAAGTGGGTAAAACAGGGACACCCCTACACCACAGCCGGGACTAAACAGGGGCCGAGCCCCATGCTTCGCCATTTGACGTTATTGGCTGAGGCGATTGAGTGTCGCGAGCCGAGCTGAAGTACTAAGCTCACCCAGCATGGGACCATCATGCCTTCTTGGAAAGTATCATTAGCTAAAATGAAGATTTTAACTGCTCAGAATCTAGCTTCTAGCTTCTTATTGGTCAGGTCTATGGGCTACGGCTATTCCTCGGACAACTGGATCCCGTCGACAGCAATCACTCGTCGTGACAGAAGACAAGTCGAGCAGGGCCACAACGATCATTCGTCTCGACGAGGGACAGCTAGGTCAGACTCATAGCGATCACTCTTCTCGATGAGGATAAGCTAGGTCAGGGCCGTAGCGATCGTCTCGACGGAAGACAGGCAGGTCGGGTCTGCAGCAATCGCTCGTCGCGATAAAAGACGGGTTACACACATAGTCAGGGCCGCAGCGATCCCTGATCGACCTATCTCGACGTGTCCTTACTGTAGGCCTACTAGAGCGTCCCATTCTCGAACACTCCCTTCATTTTACTCCTCACGTCCCGTTGATCTTCCCGCTCAGGCGGGTCACCTTACCACGCCGCCGCGGGCTCAGAGATTGGACAATGGCGTCCGATAATGGGTGAGTGGGCATCAAATACAATGCAATGAGCAACGCTACAACTTGACACTGACTGACCAAAGCCAGTGAACAGGAAATACTAGACCTTGCGAGTCTCGACTGTCGTGTATCTACCGGAAACCATTAAGAAGAAAGTATTACCCTAGAGCTATTAAAATCACCGAGAATACTCTGCTATGTAACTCGTTCGAGACAATCAAGGAAGAGGCGTACAGGAGACGCTTGAAACCATATCCCTCCACGGCAGATCATTGTTCAAGTCACAAAGAGCCAGCCTATGTACATATGCGGAGGGACAATCAATAATTCCACAGCTGCACAACTAAGCCAGCAACCCCGTTCGGTCCGGGCGCAGGCATAGACTATTGCACACCCTAGGTGACCAGCATATACTTGAAAGGGCCATCGAAAATTCGGTAACATCTGCAACACCTAACGTAGACAGGAGCCAACTGTTGCGTGCCAAAAGGGCCGTGGAATTGGGAACATCCGGAGTCAACAGTCTCCCACCCAACGTTAGGTGAGACGGGGGCCAACTGTTGTGGACCAAAAGTGCTGTAGAATTGAAAACATCCGTAACATAAGTCAATAGCCCACCCAAAGTTGGATAGGATTGTACTATGCCCCTCAATTGGCCTTAGATCAACATAACCCTGGGGCTCGTCATACAAGCCCGGAACATGGGATACGGCATCAGGAGACACCTGATGTTGCTTTCGTTGAATATCATAGCCGCCACTGCCCTGAGCGATACAAAGGTCGTCCCGCAGCGATTTGTCGAGTGGCGTGCCATCACTCGATGGAGGGAACGCCATGTCCCGGTCTAGTAAGTGTCAGAGGTGTTTGCACGGGATTTGAGATTGCATACATACCGGCACCCGCTACATCTTGAGTTTCAGAGGTGGGCAGCATAGTCTGAACTTCAGACCCTGGCGTCCCTTTACCGTGGGCTCGAGATGTAGGTGCTGACCCTGCCTCGCAGGAGATGGAGCCACTGGTGTCTTCCGATAAAGGCTGAAACGCCTGAACAACATCCTTCTGTCTTTCTGATTCGAATATTCTCAGTCGTGCCGAGTAGGAATTTTCGCTAGACACTAGTTAAACCAAACAAAGGTGCTGCGCTGCGAATAGTAACATACCTAAGATCCTTATGCCCCAAGCTTGCCATTATCTGCCGTATTTGGGGGAAAGGGAATTCTTCCACCAAATGTAAATGCACAAGGAATCTCTCATGTGCAATCCAAAAGCGTTCCCACAATTCACGCCCCGGTGGAAGCTCTGTTCCGGCATCCGAGAGACTGTAACAGAGTCCAGCTTTTGCGCAAATCTTGCAGTTCTCCGGAAACAATCCAATTATGCGGAGAACACTTATTATGTGCCTCCAAACGCGAACACTAAAAGCCAGGTTAGGCTAGATACATGGCATTATGAGAATGGTACATTACGGTAAGCGAGGAAAACTATACTTCTCTTCCATAATCTTGACGACTTCAGTGGGCGTTTTCTGTTCCTCGTGTAATAGCCTCCAAATTGTTATGTCATGTTTCTTCCACAACTCATTGTGTTCTTTAGTGTCTTTCGGGCCTTGGATGACATTTCTTTCTGACAGCGAAGCAGGCTTGTGGGCAGGCATGTGTGGATAGTCATAGCCACACTTGTTCCCTTTGCTTTGGCACTTTTGACATGAAGGCTTTGTCTTGTCGCATTTAATCTTGAGCCATCTACGTTAGCATGGTTTCTTCATATTGAAATTGGGAGGAGAAGAGTATACATGGGTCAGATAGCAGTTCATACATGCCCGATGCCGGATATATCGGATACGTGCTGGCTTGTCGATCGTAGATACGGTTAGGTTCATCGCTGGCCCCACCGCCCCTGTGCTCATTGCCATGCTCACATCAATCGAACTGTATGTCGATGCAGCCTTCCACAGGTCTTGACAAACGGGCGGGGGGGGGACAGGTATTTAAATTTTCAGCTGGCCAGGCTTCACTCCATCAACAAACAGCCCGCACGTGACGAAGGTCCTCATCACACTGTGAAGCCACAATAGCACGCAAACAAGGGTCTACTGCTCTGCACATACTATTCATATCATGAAACTTAAGTACCGCCTAGCCCCACTTACAACCCAGGCATTCACCTTAAGATCATCTCCCCTTTCCCCCCAGACGGAACTAACTTGAGTCCTTAGCGACTAGATAGCAGGCAGGCCCACCACCCTCAATGGAACGACACCACTTTGCAGCGCAAATACAAGCGCCAACAGCCGTCGCTTCAGTATCCTCTCTTCCCTGTCATATCATTTCAGCTGGACAGCCAGCTGGAAGAACCTGGTCATACAACCATGCGCACCGGATTGTTCTCGCCGCCCGCGCGAGCAATATCCCATATATAATCTAGTTTCTCCCTCCTTCAATTTCCCCCCTTCCTTCTCCATCACCCTGTTCGTCTTCCCCACAACCTTTTGTATAATGTCCTCTGAAAGAAACCGACCCGGAGCCTGCTCGTTGTGCAAACGTTATAAACGAAAGGTAAATTCCACCACTTTGTATCGTATTCAACTGTTAACGCGTCTAGTGCGACGGAAACGAACCTGCTTGTGGAAGATGCGCCCGTTTAAGAAAAAATTGTGTCTATGAGCCCCCCAAACCTCGCTCCAAATCCTGGCGCACCTGCTCGATGTGCAAACTTGAAGAAAAAAAGGTAAATTCTGCCACTCTGTATCGCCTATCGACTGTTAACGCATCTAGTGCGACGGAACCGAACCTTGCGGAAGATGCATCCACATGGGAATAACTTGTGCCTATACGAAAACCAACCTCAAAACTCGCCCCAAATTCCGGCCAAGTAGCGTCTGCTCGATGTGCAGACGTTATAAACGAAAGGTAAATTCTACCACTCTGTATCGCCTATCAACTGTTAACGCATCCAGTGCAACGGAACCAAACCTGCTTGCACCCGAATGGGAAAAAAGTGTGTCTATGAATTCAAAAATCAGACCACAGAGTCTATGACTCAGGCTCAAGAAACGATTTACACATATAACAATAAGACGAGTCAGCCTACAGCCCAGGCTCATGAAACGATCAACACAGTTAACAATCAGACGATGGAGTCTACGACCCGGGCTCAAGAAACGATCTACACATTTGACATTCAAACAAGAGAGACTATGGAACGGGCTAAAGGAAAGATCAACTGGACTTCAAATTCTCCCCGAAACCCTGAACCAGAACAAAGCTCAAACCAATTCGATACTGGAAGCCATATTTCGGGCACCCAGATAGCCCACCAGGAAGCCAAACAGACTGAGGGTAGTAGCATTGATTTTCCCGACGCTCACGAGGCCTCGGGTCGAGGCAGCCCCGTGGACCCTTCCCTAGATCATGTGAATCGGCAGCCCGATACGATGATAGTTCATAATAGTCCTCTCGGTGTCAGCACAACGACGTGGAATAGCCCATCAGACCGCATAGATGATATCCTTTACCGGGCATCAACACCGACCTGCTTCGTTGATCCGGCATTGTACTACCCAGATGCAATGATAGACGGGGGTAGTTTTAATGGTGTTGGTACGATGATGCTAGGGAATAGCTACGACTGTGTGGAGGCTGGCTTAGCTTACCAATGGTTTGAGGATTTAATATGAGGACCAAACAAAGAGACTACGGACCGAGGACAGACCAAGGCAAGTGTGAGGTTGGCAGTTATTGTACTTTGAAATAAGTCTCTGCGAGAGCAAAGCCGAGTTGAGTGCTTTGTATCATCATGACTGTCATAGTCACGGAAGTCGCGTGTATATCTATAAAAAAACATATTTGAATAGAATACCTCCTGTAACAATACTTTCCTTTGAAGGGCATGTCATAGCCGACCAACATAGCCTATTATCGGGTGTCAGGTGTGCGGCAAGGACTTGTACGAACCGTCGAGCCGCGGGGTCATTCCCATCCACACATTTCTTCGAGCACTATGTGTTCCGCTTCCTTGCCATTGAGAGGCCGAGGAATCAGGGCGATGCCGTGAAATCTCGAAGGCTTATCGCAGCGAGGCTCTGAGCTTGATGGCATCGGATAATCAGTTGATAATGAAGCGGTGAGGGAGGAAGCTGTACACACACAACACCCACAACACCCACAACCACACAACACAAGGGTATGTGGCACACAGCAGTTATCGCGTTAATTGACAGCTGCATCGCCCGCATTGTGATTCATCGTACGAAGACTCTCCTCGTCTCGAGAGATTGAACGGATTGAGAAGAGAGGGATCTCTCACGAAGTTTGAAACGCTCGTTGCAGCGCCTCTTGAGGCCACAGCCGGCTTCAATTGAACAGGGGCAATGCGAATAATTACTTAGTTCACTCGTCAGTTACATGTTAGCGTCTCAATTGCATGAAGAGAAACGAGTATGGTTTCTGCCTAGACCACCAAAAACGGCTCCTTTTATCTATCCGGTGAACGGCATAGCTTGCGAAAACCCGGACCTTTTACCCCTGCTTCAATCCTCCCCTGAGTTTCGCTCTCAACCGTCGCACAATCACCCCGAACCCCCCGCGCTCTCTCCAAACAGCATAGAATACTCTCAAAAAGCGTATAGGCAGAATGAGGAAGGTCTTTTCCTTTCTGATATTCTCAATGTCGCGCCAGAGTTGTGACAATAGCCACGAGGGACCTGTCAGCTTAGCAAGCAAGGCTTCGCTCCCCTCAGAAACTGGGAGCTTTTGAGACTTCTCGCAAACTTCCGCCCACAGCTTAGCGTAGTATTTCATCATGTCCAACGTTTGATTCGGATACTTCAGGCTGCTTCCGCTCGCTTTCTGTGCCTGCTGAGTTAGTGTGATCAGATCATGGCACAATTGCGCGTAGACCGCTCTGTCTTCTGCGCACTCCTATGAGCCGGGTAGACCGAGTAATCTGTTAGCTAGTTCGAGCACATTAACCATGCCAAAGCTCACCACGGCCGCCTGGACGAGGTCCGATTCCACTTCTCTCGCGCACACGGGATACGTTCTTTTCTTGATCTCTCGTTCGTAACCTTCGAGCAGGGCTTTGAAATTGGTTGATTTGTATTTAACTAAAAGGCGTTGTATGACCTCATCCGCGTTGAAGTCAAAGTCGGACTGATTGCACGTCGAGCGGTGCTCGATTGTTCGGGGGATTTCGACTTTTCCTAAATCGCTGCATTCCGGCCCATCTCCTCCATCGCGTAGTTCCATCTCTTGCATCTCAAAGGGATAGAAATATCTGCTTGTGGTTACGGCGACTTGGACGGCATTCAATTAGGCGAGGCGTAGTCGAAGAGCCGCCAGCAGAAAATCTATTGGAGAGAAAGGACCGTTCGCTAGCCTATGACATGAGAAAAGAAATCAGTTAAGGATCTGTGATCGTGATTGCGGCGTTAGCTTTTTTGCCTCTTTCCTTGAATAAGAAAGAAAGTATCAGTGCATTTCAGGGGTAATATAGGAGACAGGACGCGCCAGACAGCCTAGCCCACAGATGGGGGAACGTTTTCCCGTTCTACCTACAATTATTAAGAAGTCGTGGGTGGAGATCTGAATACGGGAATCATTCGACAGGAACTTGGCAAATCCCATAAGCAGGATGGAAGGTATTCTGAAGGCATGAGCACTCTTGATGCTCTTGAAATATCGCTCTGACAGCCTGTTCAGAGCTGCCTTACATTGATGAGTTGGGTGTGTTCGCTATTCAGCGTTGAATGTATCTAGGGGTTCTATACCACTATCGGCTAATCCTGTGTATATCAGGGTTTGAAGTTGTCCCGGTAAGGGGGATCAGATAGAGTTTGGTGAAGATAGAGTTTGGTGATTGAGACTATCTTAGATACGAAGCCAGAAGCGGTTATTGCGGCTGGAGTTGGGGATGGATGGTTTTGTGAGTTGCTGTGGCTATTTTATAAGCTGCAGCAGCGGAGGGTATGATTGTCATCGCAGCCACGAGTTCAGGCAAGATGGCGAGAATTACTCTGGAGAAATAGTAGATTCTGTACTATGATCTTGATTATTCCAAGTGCCTTGCAATGACGGGGCTTGCGTTAAGGGCTGATTACAAGCACTCAGACATACGAGCGCTACGAGCGCTGCTTGATGGGAGGGGAGATGAGTTAGCAGGCGAGCGGGGAGAAAGTTCTTTAGGGCTGCTATGGATTGATGAGCTGAGTGTATTCACCGTTCGGCCTCGAATGCCTCGCGTTATTAGGCCGTAAATGACCGCTGCCTGGACCAAGGCAACTTGAAACCATCGCTTCACATCCCCTACTAACAGCAACCAGGTAGTTCCCGCTTTCTGCGGATAATTTGCTAATCACAGTGTCCCTAGCACTACCACTCCAACCCTAATCCACGCTATAGATTTCATAGCGTTAACTACAGTATTCTCCTTAGTGACCTTAAAAAATTTCATAAGCAGTGTGTTCTCGTAAGACTTATAGGTGCCTAAATATTAGGCTATAAAGTCATAGGTGTGTTAGCTAGAGTAAGTTTAAGTTTTAGCGATAACTTATAATGCTCATATCTGCTCGCACGGGAGTCGTCCAATTTCTCCATAATATCAGATAGAAAGTGAGGAGGCAGTAGGATTCAATATAGGTTAGAAGAGTTGTGGAGGAAATTAGATCCCATAAGATAGGATTAAGCAGTATATTTTATACCTCAAAGGTTCTTGGCACTATAGCAATTTGTGCCGTCTATCTCGTTACAGCTAAGAAAAGCATGCAGCTAGTAGGTCTTTATATAATAACTAGGGTACATCTAATAAATTTACTTGATCCCTAATATAGGGGTGAACATAGAAGCTAGAAGACGAAGTAGGGTGAGAATTTGCTAGAGGTATTACGGGAGGCAGGCCCTAAGAAATCTATTATTACAACGCTAAATTCTTGGATAGATTCTTATAGTATACTTGATTTCTACTACAAAAGACGCTGATACAAGGTATTCTACTATAAGAGACAGTATAATACTCGATGGGAGTGAGGCTAGTTTAAGCCCTGGTAAATTTTGCTAATTATACTATAGCAAGCATTAACCTAAGTACTGCCCTAATCCCATTCAACTTACAGGTGGCGAGAGATAATATAATTTATTGATATCTCGCTTACAGACCAGATTATACACGATTAAGCGCTTTCGGAAGAGGGCCTCACCCCTAGTGCTACGTGGACACTGCTAAATGTATAACTATAATGGATCTACATATGACTATAATTTACTACTGCCCACCTCCCAGCCACGCAATAGCCACTAACCGCAGTATATCCATATAGCAATGGTGCGACTTAGTTCATATGTGTATCTTTAAAATAGCCAGGTATCTCTTCCGTGGCTTGTAGAAGTAGACGCGGCTATGCCGTTGCGGTTACGAGGCTTATCTCTAATAGACTACTGAATTAATTCGAGGTGCCCTTCTGTTTGCAAATACGCTATTAGTATTGCCTCAGTGTACATAGGAGAAAGCCGGAATAAGAATACTCATCTGCAAGGTACTTAGGCGAGTATCTCGTGGATATTTTATATATTAAACGGCTCTATGTTTAGCGTATACTATTTATTAGAATACCTAGATCAAGTAACTAACGCGGGCGATCACACCTTGGAGGTCGAAATAAGGTAGGTATAAGCCTTCCGCCCGCTCATATATCTCACTCCATTAAAAGTACATATATAGCTCGACATAAGAGAGCACTCTGCACCCTCAGGGTATATGCATGCCTATGTAGATAGTCCTCCACGGCCGTTCTAGAGTCTATATCACTGCCAGAGTTCCATTACAACGCCTATATACTCCTGTGCACAGACTATTAGTTTAATACCACCCTGAGAAGCTTAGCCCTAGTAGGTGTGCACTAAACACCCTATAAGTATATTATACTTTACCGCTAAGTAGGGGATGTACATAATATTAGTCTAGTGGCGCCAGCCCCTTGCGATGTATCGTACAGTACCGAAGCTAAATGAATACACGCCCCTCCCCATAATAAGGGTGATGCGATAATCGTTTAGCTAGGTATAAAATTATATCTATCTCCTCTTTGCTATCACACCTTCTCTAGAAACCTAATTAGTTTTCTTGTCCATAGGACTTTAACCTATACCTCTAAAGACTAATATCTTAACCCGCTTCTATCTTGAATTAGTTTATTGTGCGTTATTTCTAGCTTCCTAACACTTCATGGAAATAAGGATATCATTAAAATGACTCTTAGACTAGCGATAATAGGATCTACCTCCTAAGTTACTACGCATAGTCCTGCTTTTCATTTAATAATCCACAGCTACAGCAACCATGCTTTTAGGGGCATTCTTACTCCTCGCTCCTCCCCTATTGCTAATGCTACTAATCTTGGCTCTAACCTTATGAGCCTAGCCGTTTATAGGTATATAACTTTCGATAAAGATAAGGATAATATCATAGATAATAGTAAAGATAGGCCAGGCAATAATACAGTATATGCACCTTAGGAACCGACGACAGCTGAACTTCTCGCAGCTTGGTGGCTTTTGCAGCTTATGAACCCGGAAGGCAGAACACCAATTAAGGTCGCTACAGAAGACTAGTGCATATAATTACAGGCCCTCAATAGGGAAGCTGACAGTGCGGAGTGGATAACCAAGCAAAGTGAGGTTCTTAATAATTCCGGGCATGGAAAGAGTATCAATAGCACCCTCATCCATAGCGATAACCAGGTTATACCACCTCAACCAGACGCATTTGGCCAATAACCTAAGTCGCAATCCTCTGCTAACACACCCATATCGCTAGATGGGTTGAACTATGACTGTTGTGGGAATACAGTCCGATCTGATCTCAAGTACGTATCTATTCATCTGATGTATATCCGCCCATAATTCTAATAGAGTTCAGGAAACACCTTAATCATTAATCCAAACTATTTAAATGTAACTACGAAGACTGCGCTAAGAACCGAGTTAGCTTTACCTCTAACCCCGACCTCACGCGACACAAACGGACCGTCCACAGCGATAACCTCAATAGGAAGACCTATATCTGCACCTGCGGGGATTATGCGAAGGAGAACCCTCTGAAGAAATAGCCCAGAACCAATAACTTCCGTGCGCATTTAAAGAGGGTCTATAAGATTGGTCGTGATAGTGATATAAACTTACAGCATTATTCTATTTCATCAGAGAGCGTCGCGGATGGAGAGTAGTTTATTGCCCTCGATAATAACACTAAGAATGAGAAGGGGGGGGCTGAAATCACTGAGAATGAGAAGGCGGGAGTTAAAATTAATGAGGGCAAGTTTAGAGAATACTTCAACGGCTTGCCCTGGGCTAAGAAGCTTAAGTTCCTTGCTTTAGTGCCCGCAACGATGTTGCAGGCGGTATTACGTCAAAAGGAAGAAGCCCCCAAAACAGATGCTTCTTAATCCTCCGCTAGTGTCAAGGGCAAGGTGGAGTGTAACATCTACGGAAAAGTATTCATCAGGCTATACAAACTAAGGTATATTCCATTAGTATACATTATTAGCATATTGCTAACGTAGCATAGAAAACATAGCAAGCGGCATAAAAAGCCCTACAGGTGCACAGTCTATCTATATGAGAAGACATTCAGTAGTAAAACTAACTAGAAAAGGCACGAAGGCCAGTAGCACACCCTACTTGAGATGTGGGTATATAAAAAGAACTATGGAAAGATCTTCGGCCGCCATAAGCAGTTTAAGTTGCATCTGGAGGACTTGTATTATAAGATGAGCCCCCCTACAAAGGAGGCGAAGCTCGAGGACAACAGGCAGAATATACCCTCCGCGTCCTCATTCTGGTGTGGGTTCTACTGCTATATAGTCCCCTTTACTAGCGATATAAGCGATCCTCAGGGTATCCGCTTCGATTATATTAATGACTATTTTATAGGCCGCTGTGATTAGCCTAAGAGGGATATCTCTGAATAGCTGTACATAGAAAATACCTCTACCGAACGCGAGGTAATAATAGTTAAGCGAGGCTTAAGTAGTTAAGGCAATATACGGAAAAGAAAGCTGAGGGTAGCATCCGACGCACGCCCTCCCAAGCAGCTATATACTAGCATTGTTTGAGATAATTATTACTTTTCTCTTTTCCCTTTACATTTAATTACAATACTCCTGGGCTATCTCCATTCTTACTTAATCTCCTTATTTATTTTTGCTATTTTTGATTTAGTAGGAAATTTTTTATACCAGTCTAGCTCGCTTAAGGAAGTGGTAATACATTAATAATAGATAGTAGCCCAACCTATATAACCGATGTATTATGAAAAATAATAATAATAATGATGATGTGCGGAAAGCAGGTAAAAAGCGATCATAGGGTTTTAGGAATTACTTTCGTGTCTTGTAAGTTTAAGGCACGAATGGAGAGTGAGGAGTTTCTAGGTGCACTTAGGAATTATATTCCTTATCCTCTACTAGCTTACTATCTTAGTTGTCCCGGTCGTCATGGTCATCCATTATAGTCATCTTAGCTAGCTTTAGCTATGGTTATTATAGCTGTCCGCCTTAAGAGGAATGCTCCCTAGTTTCCTATAGTAATGCGATATATTATTTTAGATAGTCTAAGGAGATTGGAATTTGCTACAGCAAAGGTTGATAAGGTTATTATATTATTATATTGTGTTGAGTTTGAGTGTGTTTAATTAAATATTAGTAAGTGTATTAAGATCCGAAATACTACTGGTTTAGGCTATATAGTAGCTAGTAATGGCCGTAAGGTATATCTTACTAATACTTATCTACTCTCTCTAGGCTAATACTGAACTTACAGCGTATTTCCTCGCTAGATCGTTCAGCTGCTTATCTAGTTTGCCACATACATCCACAAGATTCTTAGCTAAGTAGGCCGATATTAATCACATATTAGATTTTTCTTTTGGGCGACTAGATCATAGTCTCACGTTTTATCGTCTTGCTCCCATTAGATGCTAGACTTCGCCTAAAGGGTTAAGGCTTAAAATAGTTACCATATAGAACTAGAATACATAGATCTATTATAATATAGGCTAGTGATTATTCAACCTGCGAAGATGTATGAACCATACTCAAACGATTATCCGTATTAATATAAATAAAGTAATAAAGTTATACTTACCTGAAAATAAAAGTGGAAATAGGATAAGCGACAGGGAGGTACTTCTAGGGGTCTTCTATAGGCACTCTAGGATATAACGTCCACCCCTCCCTAGCTTAAAGCTATAACCTTACAGCGGCTAATAGGTAAATATCTTAGTCGAGCACCCTTATCGGCCACGTATAGTAGCAAGAGCAGCCCTACGAGTCCCCCAGTACCTCAACTATTTGCGAAGTAATACTAATACTATCCTAATATACTCGGCCAGGGTCTCCCCCTTTTAGTAGTTTAAGTAGCTAATAGTATTCATAGTTTAATTACTTAACTCTATCCCCCTATTAAGCTCTAACCCTTTCCCTCTATCTATATTCTACTACTCCTATTGCTATTATATCTTATAGTAACTTGCCATAGCGCCCCGCCACTAATTTTCGCTAACACCATTAATTACTAGCTTTAGAAGGATCGAGGGAAGGGCGTTAGTTATTTAGTAATTCTTATTACTAATAATGTAGCTATGGATGACTGCTAACCTATTTAAGGTCTGAAATGTGCGTCTACATATATCATCAGGTTCGGATAGAGACAGAATATAATGAGATTGAATTTACAGAAACCTCTAAGGCATAATGCAAAGACCAGTAGGACGGGAAACCCTGCTCCGGATTCTTCATCACTTATAATAACAAGATTTCGATAAGTTCAACGATAATCCTCAAACTACCTTCGAAACCCACATGAAGCAAGTCAACTCAAACACCAAACGTGAGATACGCAGCGGATCGACTTTTCCGCTATCGTAAGCTGAGTCAGTTAATAGTTGCCTGTTGATCTTCGAGGCCTTTAGGCGATATACAGGCTAGGTCCAAGGATTCGCAGTAAGTTAAGTCGTGAATTCTAGAGCGACCTAGTAGATTCTAAAGTGTTCATGGTAAGCATAGATATACCCTGGTCAAGAAAGACCTTCTCGATATTAGGAAGATTAGTATGCGCTATAATGGATACTAGCGTGTTAAGGCCGAAACTGAATAGTTAGCTTAATAAGCTATCTTATAAGTTTAATTTAGTCCTAGCTTCTGATATCGTTTAAAACTAAGAGCATTAGAATCACCTAGTTTACCATTAACTTCCTAACTCAGCTACTCGATGCATACTTATTACATTTTTTGGTGACTTCTTGCCCTTATCGTAAATTAGTAAAGATTTCTATAATAGTCCCCGATATAGTATACCACCGAGCGGTATTTAGAGGAGCGGTTAAGGCATATACAGGATTACCATAAATTTAGCGAATGCGATAAGGTAAAGAAGTTCTTCCGAGCGGATTACTTTAGGTAGCACCTAAAGCATAGTTATACTAGTATGAGCGGGAAATAGACTAATATACTTAAGACCACTTGTATATTTAATAAGGACCCTGTACAAACACAGTAAAACTAATAACTGAGGCACAGCTATTACCTTCCCTTTTTAACTACTTATACTAAATAGTCTCTTAGTTATTCTTTGTCTTTATTATAGGCTGAAAAGAATTTCCATGTTCTTGTAGCATAAGGATTTTGTCTTAAACCTTGATATAGTTTGGAGTATAACCAGCTTCCTCTTTTTAAACATATATTAGTTATAAGTTAGTTCCCCACACAGTGTCAATAATCCATAGAATGCACTATATATAAAGTTCATATACTACGCGACTTAGAACTCGAGTAGTTCTTTATTCCTACTTTCTGGACTTAGCCTAGAAATAGACACACCACCTATATCACAGTGTAATATCACATCTATTTCACACTTACATCATTTAGAATAGCACTAAGGCTATCATATATTTAACGTAAGACTCTTATAAAGTTTAGCTTTATAGATTATATAATTAAGTCGTCAGCCTAGCAACCTAAGGTTAGATATATAAATCAATATATATATATTATATGCGTTAGTTAGTTTACTAACTATCTAGAGCTAAGACTAATAATTATGTATATAGATAATCTACCCCTAGTTTAACTTCCCTAAGGTGAATACATATTTACATTAAGTCGATAGCCTCTGTTTCCTTGCCTATAGACATCCAAGTGAAAGCCAAGTTATTCATACTTATCAGTGTATTAGGATAGTCTTCTCCAAGCTTCATCTTACTTATCTCTATCACCTACACCTTAAGCTTCTCTACCTCCTCCTACCGGCCTTAAATCCTATATATTAATGCAAGATTAGCCATACTCCTTAGTGTATTAGGATAGTCTTCTCTAAGCTTCATCTTACTTATCTCTATTACCTGCACCTCGAGCTTCTCTGCCTCTTCCCACCGGCCTTAATTCCTATATGTTGATGTAAGATTGGCTATACTTATCAGTGTAGAGGGATAATCCTTACTAAATATCCCTTTTCTTATACGTATTCCTTCTAGGTTGAGCGGCTCTACGTTATCCTATAGTCCTTTAAATCTAAGGTATACAGCCATATAATATAGAAGAGATACCTTTACCTTAGTTTTATCTCTAAAGCTAGAATCATATAATCGTAGTATAGTAGTTATATAAGAATAATATATAGCGCAAATTACTTAAGTCTTATATGTGCTATAAGGATAAAGATTTAACACTACTATTAATACTTCCTTCGTGTAATAATTCTATATATCACTACTAGTAAGCCACTTACGCATTACTAGCTGGATAAGGCGATGAATATTATAGCTTCCGTTATTATCTTTAGTCATAAGGGAGAAAGCCTTAAGAACCCCTAATGCTTCTATAAGCTTAATATTACTTTTTAGTTCTATATTTTCTTTTTGTTTAATATAATATAAAAGAAATTCTACTAGAATGTCCTAGCGATCGAGGTAGCTTATAAAGGAGAGGAGTTCGCTTACTAGAATATGCTATTGCTTAATCTGCTAGAATGAAAGAATCTATATTTGTGCTATAGCCCGGGGACTCTCCGAGTCTCGCCTAATAGTCTCGAACTCCTTACTTAATAGAAGCACCTTATTTTAGTTATTCTCTTTAAGTAGCTTAAGATATTTTACTACTATTATATAGGTCTCTTAGATAAATGCTGCCGCTTATATAAGGGCGAGTAGTAAATGTTTAAGCTTGGATGAGAGAAGAGATATATTATCTTCTAAAATCTCCTTATCCTCTAGGATTATATATAGTAGTGAGTATGCTTCTTTATCATTTATATTACCGACCTTAATTAGAAGCTTTCCTCGGGCTAGCCTTAACCCTACCTTCTTATTCCTAGTTATAATAATAACTAATCTATGCCTACACTCCGGAATATAGCGACTAAGACTATAGTCTATATGCTTTTTTTCTATACTTATTTTTAATAGCCCTTCCTCTAGTTAATATAGGAAGAATAACTCCACATTATTAGCATTATTAATTACTATTAGCTACTAAGTTTTATTATTTTTCTCCAGCTATTCTTAAATAAGTAATAGTAAATCAGCTTTTAGATTATTATATCTAGGTATATTACATTCTTTTGTAATAGAAGCATACACTAGATAAAAACGTTCTACGTTACTAGTATAAACCCAGAATATTACTATATCTAGACGCTATTTTCAGAGCTAGTAAATATAGGCTAATATAATTTAAGTTTTACTAAAATTACATTAGTTAACATTCTAGAAAGACGAAAGAAAACATACCTAATACCACTAAGACCGTAGAGTGCTACCCTTATACGTAGCTCTACTAATCCTTGAGGCTAACCTAGGCCGAGTTATTACTTAAGTGTGCGTAGAATATTAGATCTCCTAACAAAATCAGGATTTTAATTATATAGGACTAGGACTAAACTTCCTTAGTAAAAGCTAGAAATATATAATATATCTTCTATTATATATATATACTTCTCGCCTAAATGTAATCGCGCACTATTAAAGCTCGCTGAGTAAGACCCCTAAGCCTATCACGAACGTTAGTATATTTATAATCTCGAGGCCTAAATTTAACTATATTAGAATACGTGTGAGCAATTACGTAGATATGCTTTATACTGTTTTCCTAAGGATAGCAATATATAGCTAAAGATTTAGTAACTAATACTATAGGCAGCCCTTTTATCTCCTAGCCACTATATTTAGCCTATCCTATTTAGTAACCACTTCTTCTTAGATAGTATATTATATACCTTTTGTGCTATTAGCGACTTAAGCGTTTTATAGAAACTAAAAACCTCTAAATAATCCTTATCGCCTAATGTAGTAAGAAACTCTCTTTATTAAATTGTAAGTATCTGCGAGTTAATATAACTAATAGACTTAACTAAGAACCAGTTTAGCCCATCCCCAACTATTAGGATAAGTGAGCTAATATCCATGCTATCGTATAGTACCCTAAAGAAGATAATCCTATAAATAGCCTTAAGAAGGTTTTAATCGTCCTTATTCTTTAACTTTAATAGGGCCACTAAAGCCTATAGTAGATATTATTAGTATATATCAAAGACCTATATATATGGATTATTTTACCTGCTTTATAATTAGGCCGCCTAGGCTGTGGGCGATAAGGATAATAGGTCTTATTAATAGAGCAGCCGCTAGCGTATAGAGACTGCTGTGAAATGTGGTAGCGAGATCCTCTATGTTTTATATATTCTCGCTTTCCGCGATACTTAATTTATATCTATAGGTTATAACCCGCGCTATAGGCTGACTAGTCTCCTCCCAGGTGATATCGTAGGGGAGGGAATCACGTAACTATATATAATCTCCGCCTCTCTCTTTAAACGATCTAAAAGCATAGCTGCTGAGACCTGATAATGTAATAACACTAATAGAATTAGCAGGGAGATTTTCAACTTTCTAGTAACTAATCTACTTACTCGATTTTATAGGCATTAGGTGGCGGCGTATAGAGCGTAGTAATACTAAGAAAGGCCTTATTAAGTATTAAGTATTAGTCACCGGAGAGTTAGTTATCTGAAGACTTAGGTAATAATATCCGCTTGCTCCGGTGGCTTTCTAAGGAGAGTAGGGGGTTATGGAAGGCTACTATAGCTGTCTAAGAGTGGTTGTAGATATCCTAAGCGTGGGACTTAATAGTTAGGATAGAGCTCTTCCACTCTGTGAGGAAGGACCCTAGTTATTCTAGATCCTAGTTAATAGGCATACTAATAACCTGGAATATATTATAATCTTTTAGTGGGTTTTTGCTTATAGGTGTCTCCTTATTTATATATGCGTCCTCTAGTATCAGTTATGCGCGACCTTCAAGAACCTAGTGCTATATGAATACTATAAGGATCGCGATGGCAGCTAGAAGGCTAATTTAGCTAGGTGAATCTATTATAATAACGTTAAGTGTGCTCTAGGCTTATATAAGTGACTAGGGTTTATTTAAAGGCAAATACTAGTATAACGTCCTACTGCTATTAGATATAGGGAAGTTTAGTAGATATTATACTTATATGTATAGGGCGATTACTATGTAGTGATGAGAGTTAATAGAAGTAGATGTGAAATAGTAGGAGAGAGGGGAAGGGGGTAAGGCGACCGGCTGCCTCTTAGATTATAGCTAAAATACTATATTAAATAAGTATGTAAACTATATAAAAAAGGTAATAGCTACTACCCGCGGTCTTGAATATAAGCTGTAAAGTAGGGCGAGTAAGATCTATATAGAAGAAATTAAAGTAACTGATTTCTTATATAGTATCTATCCTGGTATTTCATCGTGAAGGATGGTCTTGATAGTAAGGCTTTATTGGGTATTAGGTAGAGACTGGTCTGTGAATCTTAAGGATACTAAGAGGTATATAGACTGATGCCTATTAAAATTCGGTTTATCTATAATCTGTTTTTGGGCTGTAGAGTAAATAATGTAATTAGCTAGCCTAGTAAGCTGAGGTCGGATGTACCTTATCGCTTACTAAAGGTATTGAAAATTTGCGCTAACACTATAGATATAATTGTTCCTACCTTAGTACTTAGTCTACTTTGAGGAACTCATTTGCTGGCTATTAATGGATATTCCCTATACTGTAAGATAGTGTGATATATACACTAAGGTACTTTCAGGTACTCCGTCTTTTTAAAATCAAGTATAAAGACAACAGAGCGGAAGCTGGTTATGCTCCACACTGTAAATTTCACGTAAAAGTAGCTTAGATTAATAGTAAGACTATGAATTTCCTTGATAAGGCTTTACCTAATAGTACTACCACCGACTGAAACAATCTCAAGGACTATTAGCTATTAATATTTCTTCCTATAGGCCAGGCGTAGCGATTACCACCAGCTTTATCCTACTTTAAAAGTGCTACTAGTATATATTACTACTATCGGAAAAAGTGCTATAATAGTCTAATTTGCAAAAGAAAAAAAAGAAATATATATTATACAATTAAGGGGCAATTACTTTTAAATAAAGCCTAAATCTATCTTCGCTCAAGCTAGAATATATTTCCTTTTCCCTAACCTGGGATAGTAAGCAGAAGCTATAAGAGAAATTCCGAATACCTGAAAGAGACTACTATATATAATATTATAACATGTAGAGGGAGCCGACTACGTTAACTAGTCTCTAGTCACGCCGAGCCGTTGCACTCGTTACATCTATTCAAACATCTTTCTCAGTCCTTCTATACGAGCTTTCTCTTCCCCTTTTAGAGGACGCGCAAACCATAGTTTAGCTCCATCTAGGCCCTTACAGTCCTGGAGACACCACTAGCCACACTCAAGAGGCAGTCTGATAGTTGCTTGACGCAATAACCACCATTTGATATTACTATATCGCAGGATAAGTACCTTTTTTTCTAGATCAAATTTTGCAGGTATAATCTAGTAATCCTTCGTAGAGATACTTAGATAGATGTATATACTATGTCCTCTAACATCCTTTAGTGTTAGTTTAAGGGTGAGGGAAATATAAATGCCTTTAGTATACACTGCATCGCTATTAGGTGTAGTTGTATACTATTAACCAGAACTGGTGCTTAACCCAGCCAAGCCAGTTGCGTCCCAAGGAGGCAGCCTACTTTTAAACTAACTATTGTGATAAGCGCTTATATAGCCACACCTCATTGCTTATAATGAGCATACTTACTGTGGTTCTAGGGAGCCTAGGTTAAGATCCTTACAGCCTATCTCCTACGATCTATAATTAAGATTATCTATCGTTTAACCTTCATCCGTACAATATCTAGGTCACACAGGTGAATATAATTCATCATATAGATTATCCGATGTAGATTATATAGTTCTAGTTTTCCCTAGGCCTATAGCTACCTTTCCGGTAAAAAATGAAATAATATTATTTAGACTCTTTAAAAGATGACATAATAGATAACGTGATAGATATTTTAATAATTTAGGACAGACGGGATATTTTGTTTTATTGTCCTTATATTATAAATCTAGAAGGATATAGTTTGGAAGAGCTTAGCTTAGTACCTTCTTTAAAATAATCTATTATTCGATCTTATAGTTAAATTTATGTGTACGGAAATATTCCTAACTAAACTCTTCTAGGCAGTAAGGACACCTTTCAGGAAGCCTTCCGTTAGGGAACTTAAAGCAGACCTTGATACTATTGGTTTGTGGATCTTACTGCTCTTGGCTGTTATAAGGTGGTTTTCGAGGATATATAGTCTATATAGGGCTCTCAATAGAAGCTAATATAGAATAGGTATCTTCTATCTTTCTCCTTTTCGCTTCCGGGGAGTCTAGGCGGTCTTAGAGATAGTGGCTGAGATTTTTCTATCCTATATGCCCAGAAGTAATAGACCGTATTAGTAATATATCTAGATCTAGCTGATGGATGATGCTTTGATTTTGTGGTTGATTAGTTAAAGATAGTATATCGGTTAACGTGTTAACCGCTAATAGTTCTTATTGACCGTTTATGCTATTATAAAGCTGCGATTTTAGCGGACTTATAATTAAATGATTATAGTATATAGGGTTAAGACAGTCTATAGCAGTAAGAGATTGTATAGTCGCCACCTACCCTACTTCCACACTATGTGCCTTATGCCACGCAAAATCATAGCATAGGATATGCTGATGGGATAGTTATAAATAAAGGGGAGGAGTAGAAGAACGAGATATATCTACTAAGGATTCTCCTTCTTAGGGGAAAAGGCTAAGGATATCCCAGCCTGCCGTTAGGCAATAAGCTGAGTTATCGGTAGGAGATTGAGTGTTAGTAGAGGAACATAGTTCTGGTTTAATACTTATTAGCTTCTGGTATATAGAAGTCTGAGGTGAGTGCTGTAAGAAAGGCATACAAGCAGGGCCGAGAGCGTTTGCTAGAAATACTCCTTATTAAGGGAATAACTATGGGTGATTATAGCCCGCCGTTAGTTCATTCCAGGACTCCGAGCTTTCAAAAGTGAATTTAGGGTCAGTGCCCGGCTCAAAGTTGCTATATCGTATGATTATTAGAATATAGCCCTCTTAAGACTGAATGGGTGACCTAGAGGATTTCGAGTTTATTGATAGGGGGGACCAGTAAGCTATTTTTAGCTCTTTTTTATTGGTCCGATTTAGGGAAAAGTATTATAACTACTGAGTAATCCTCACAAAAAGAGAGAGAAATACTAAATCTCAGTATATATATAATAACGAGTTAATTAACTGTCGGGCTAGGTCTTCGAACTTTATTATATATACTATTAGTAAGAGTAAGGTCCTTTTATTTAATTTTATATATACCCGATTAGGGAGAGCTAAGTGGTTCAGCCTAGTCGCTAGCCTAGTCTCTAGAACCCTGGCCCCTAATCCACTAAGACCACTATCTTTATCGCCTAAGAAAGAAAATAATCTTCGTATTTAATAAAGTAACCTATTTAAGTTTACAAAAGTTTACGACCCTAACTACCTCCACACTATATACCTATTTATCCCTTGTAATTTCAAACGCCTGTTTTTATCCTAATTAGTATCCAATTTTAATAACAAATATATTTTTGGATAGCTCTAAGCTTGTAGATTATATTTAGTATATAACCCCTGTGCGCGAATTACTATACATAATCTATTTAGTAGTAACTCTATCAGCCTCCAGATATATAGCTAAGAGATATTTTACTATACTTCCTTTAAGCATTCTATAAATATTACTTTATTAGCTATATTCTCTTTAAAGTTATAAGTATTAGGGCATTTTCTTCTTATTTAATACTTAGTAATAACCTAGAGGTTCTCAGTCAGGCTTAAATCAGAAGAGAAAGGCGGCTGCTCTAGTAGCTAAATCACTTACTTTACAAGCTTTACTATAGAGCTCTTAGATATATAAATCCTTATATTATTCTATTAAAATTATTAACTACTAGTGTATAATGGTAAGATACTTTCCTTAAGGGCTTTCTAATAGCTATAACCTTTGCGAGAAATGTTTTTATTATATTATAAGTATAAGGGGTATCCTATCAGTCTTTCAAATTCTTTCCTAATATATCTATTAAAGTAAGACCTAATAATAATTCTACTTACTAATTAGCTCTTTATTATACTTCTCATAAGGGTACTAGGGAAAATATATAGTAGGGTTATTAGATTTACTCTATATTATTACCTTATCTAAATTAATTATTTAGCTGTATAAGTTATATAATTAACCCTCTGACCCTAAGATGCTTTAACGAATTTTTTGATATTCTCTAATTAAGCTTATACTTAATAAAGCTAAACTCTTATAGCTTTAGCTATTAATTTTAGCCTCTTTATAGCTTTTTATTTGCGATTAAAATAGCTATATATAATATAGTATATTATATTAATACTTATAATTTTATTAACTTTATATATTAGAGCGCCTGGTCTTTATAAACTATATATATTATATATTTCTTTTACTTAGAATAACTCTAATTATTTATATCTTTGACTTACACTAGTTCTCCATTTAGTATAAGTCGCCCTAACTATTATAGTGAAGTAAAAGGAGTAGTATTAGAGTAGTTATTTATAGATCTAGTCCTATCTCTTAAGGAAGTGGTTCAAGTTAACCAAGATCGTTGAATATATGCTAAGACCCGGGCGTCCTAGTAAACTTACAAAGATAGAGGATGATTAGGTTGTGTTAGCGCTATGCGAGTCACTACTAATATACAAGCACTAAGGAGTTAGTTTCAATAAAAGCGGTAGCGATTATATTTATAACTATCTAAGAAAGTGTTTCTAGCTAATAGACTAAACGTTATATAGTTCTTTAAAAGGTTCCGGGATAATCTCTACCTCAGATAGCCTACTCAGAAGGTGGCTAGTCTATCTAGATAACACTACCTACATTAAGAATATACTCTAACTCCGATAGCCTATTGCCAAAGAGTTCAAGAAGACCGAAACTAATCTATACCACTTCTTATATACCTCTATCAAAGGCCTGAAGAAGACTAAAATCGGTTCACACCACTTCTTACATACCGTCGTCAAACGCTTAAAGAAGATTTCGATCGGAGCATACTATTTCCTCAATGCCCGCCGTAAGAGATAGAACACCACGGCTCGGCCCAACTAAAACTATATTTACAACAAGAGTTAGCGAGCAAATGGGAAAAAAGACAGCTATACTTACAATCAAATAGTTAGATCCTATCGCTAAGCCGACTAGAGCTAGAACCAAGGAGATAGCGCACAAGACGTAGGTAGATATCGGCTTAATAGGCTTATGAAGGGTGTTAGAAAGGACGAAGCTTTCAACAGCGAAAATCACCCGTTCGGTGAAGCACAGACCCCCTGAGAGCAAAGGAGACTAATGGTTGAATATCGGAATAACAGTGCAAAGTGTACTAAGGAAGGGCAAAGCCCAGTGAGGCACTCTATCCCACCACTGTATGGTGCGGTTGTTATTGCTAACTATCCTACCGCTGAAACAGGCCAGCCAGTAAAGTCGCTTAAGATATATTAGATACATTCATATATAAGAGAGGAATAATTCCTTACTTCACATAAAGCAATAAAGAACAAATTAGCATAGATAAGAGTATATACTATATTAGTATATAGTTCTATGCTAATTAGCTCACTAGGATGCTCTATATACTAAACCTAGGTAAATGCCAGAAGAATAGTAATCGAGAGGCATTCTAACATCAGGATAATGACCCAGAATGTTAAGAACTACCCTATAATAACATCTAAACTGTCGGCTTCCAGATAGTCTAGGGCAGATATTATAACTGTAAAAATAGAGGCTACGTTAGTGAAAATGATATAGCTTAAAAGTATGTCGACGTATAATACTTAGTGAAGTAGACTTATAAACATGCCTAGGAGATAACAAGACGCCCTTTATGCTAAATTATTAATGCTAAATTATATGTCCTGAGTGCCCGGCCTACCCACGCGATCCACACTTTAGGCAGGCATCCCATATTCTCATTCGGCCGGGCGAGAACCATGCCATATGGTACGTGAATAGCCAAAACGACGGCTTAGGGTCCTAGTCTGGATCCACTGATTCACTAATCCGCTAATCTATCACAGAATCAAAGGCAGGCCGGCCTCATCATATGTCCGAGGTCAGGGGGACCTGCTCCTGGTATTACCACCTTATAGAGACTTGTTTCCTCTTCACACAAGATAGTAACCGTGATATACGCCCACTAACACCAGCATCCACCCTTCACTAGCGGCCCACAAAGGCAGACCCCACCCTTATCTCTCCCTCAATCGCCTCCCCTACTACGGAGATCTCTCCTCTTCCCATACTAAGAATATTACACACTTACCCACTAATTCGTAAAACGCACGGCCTATCACCCGCTTACATAACGGGCAGATTCAATATAGTCGTGCAGCTGATTATAGCCAACATCCACCACACCGTCCATCCTATTATGTACAGACCCCTGCTCCTATTCCGCGTACCCATATCACCTAGTGCGACTCTCCACTTATTATAATGTCTACATTAAGTTAAGCAAGCACCCACCTACACACACACCCTAATTAAAAGGATCCTATCTCACCTGCATCAAGTTGAGCTATAGTTCCCACGTACACGAGTGAATTTCAAACTAGAGTGATATAAATCAATATAAAGGCGAGCGAGAAGACGTTTCCTTTTCGACTGCCTTAAGTAGCTATTCTAGAAGAAAGGGATAACTTAACTACTATAGCCGTGCTACCACCGCAGAGATTGCAGACTTTACTAGCGATGATGATGTACAGGTGGTCGGCGAGACCGGCGAGGGCAAGCTAGACGATGCACCTAACTAGCTAGATAAGGAAGAGACACTAATAATTATATGGTAAGAGCTCGATTTCCAGAAAACTAAGCTAGTTCTAGTTAACAATCATAATAGATAAAGAGTTCACGATATATTTATAGTCTAGTGTACTAGGAAGATATCCTAGAGGTAGATATTATGCGTACTTTAGAATAATCTAGCCAACGTTCGGTATTAGTAGTAATTCATTAGCATATCTTAGCTAGAATTAGCATCTATGAATTATCTAAATTAGTAAACAATATATATCTAGGCATAGCTAATGTACTTAGGAAGGACACAGAAATTTCATTATAGATTTAGATGGCAAGAATTATTAAATCTAAACAAGGGAGAAACCATTAACTATATTCATTATGTTCGCCAAACGCCGAGAAAGTGATTGCAGCATCCTCTAGATCAGCCCACTTATCTACTACCCTAAATCATCATGAAAGTTCATTCTATATTAGCCACCTTCTAGTAGATATAATCCTACGTCCGAGCTAGAGGAGTCTCTCTTTTCGTTAATTAACTATTAAAGCTAGCTTGAATTATTTCTCGTCTTCCTCTACCTTACTATCTTTAAACCACTACGATAGCAGGTAGTCCTCAGTATAGACCAGGCTCCTTATCGCGAAATCCTCCGGTAGAGGACGAGGGGTATCATTCTTAAGAGCACCTAGAAACTCCTCACTCTCCATTCATGCCTCAAACCCACAAGACTAGAAGGTATAATTAAGCATCGTTACAGTAAGTTACCATAGGAAGTCTCGCTCAAGTTACTCTATAGCAGCAGGGAATTTGCTCATATGCCACATAAAGGCTAGGAAAGTATAAATAAAGGGCAGTATGTTTAGGTCTCTAAAACGTTTAGCAACTATTTTATAGATTTTCATCGCGAAATCGCATACCTTGGGGAACATCTCGTTAAGGACAACCTCGTTAGCGCCAGTAACGCTGCTAGTACTAATAGAGCCTATAGTATCACCCTCTTCAGATAGTGGCGAGATCTCTCTTATAATAAAATTTATTTCCACTCCGTAGCCCAAGAGGGAATAATATAGGGAAATCCCGGTATAATAGCTAGTATAAAGTCAGTGATTGCTCTCCTGTGTTTATTCTCTAATATACTTACCCGACTTCGAGAAATTTCTTAGTCACTTTACTAATATAAGGATCTAAGAGCGCGATATATTTATTAATAGACTGATCTAAGAGTTCTTTATTCTTCTTGGAGAAAAAGATACTATACACCCGAACAATAGTAGCATTAATTACAGGGAGGCAGGCTGCTGAACTAGCGTTAAGAACTAGATCGAAGAGAGTTATTATACTTTCCCTAGCACTATGGAATAAAATAATAACATAGAGAGACTTAGTATAGAAGTATAGCTATTAAATAGCATTCAGCTGAGCTAAAATCGCAAGATAGTGGTAAAGACGGCCAGTTACTGGTGCCTTCTTAGAAGCGAAGCTATACCACTATTAAGCGACTCCTATCTAGGTCTCGTGATCCTTTAAATCATTATCCTTAATAGCTATACGGTATCTAGTAAGATCTCCTAGACATTCAACCTAGGTATCCTCGAAATTAGGAATAGTCTCGTAGAGTAATGCTATTATGGTATATGCCAGATAGATAAAGGTGAGCATATACTCATATGAATCAGGGAGTCTGCGATGAAGCAGTTCTAGAAATGAGTGAATGCTGTGTCTCCACATCCGTGCAGGCATAGCATACTTAGATGCAAGGCATCGAAGTACAGCGTTAGCTACAGGATGTTAGCTAGCTAGAAAAAAGTCGTGGTGCTCGTGGAGGAGCGTGCGATGGAGCGCGATGAGGGCTTACTATTGATCCTTTAATAACTTTTGCTCTAGGCATGCCGACTAGGCATTATTAACCTTGATACACTTAGTTTCAATCATAACCAGGCCTGCGTAGATCCCCTTCACTTCGGCCACCAGTTGTTCATAAGAAATAGGCTTTGTTTCTGGTTGGGGGGCGATCGATGTGTGCGGACTACTGATGAGGTTTAGTGCGCCGTTGTCTTAAGAGTCAGCCTTAATAGCAGGGGGTGGTTATTATTAGCCGCGGCTCTCCAGCTGCCTCTTCTGTTGATGTTGCTGCTGCTGCTGCTGCTGCTGCGAAGCTTTGGAAGCGTGGAAGAGGCCTTTTAGTTATCGACCTACGCCTGGAGAATCCTGCTCTAGGTTAAAGAGGCGGCCGGCAGGAGATGTGTATTAGTGGTCAGAAGAAGTCAGTGAGCGGACTTTTCTATTCCTTCGTTTGTTGCTTATACTTATATCTCTATAGTTAACACTCTTAAGTATAGCTAGGCCAGACGGTCTCTTCTTTATTAGTTCGTTTAAGGGTTAGTCAGTAGATTTAGTTCTAGATATATTTTCATATTAATAACCTAGAAAGATTACTCTCTCTATATATATATAGATAGGATAGATAGAGTAGAAGAGGCAGATATATCTAAATCCAATTATAGTACAGGGAAAGAATATTTATAAAGCAAAAGTAATATATAGGGTTTATAGTAAAATAAAGGGGCAGGTAGTATCTAACTCACGATATTAAGCTGATCCATCTAAAAGCATCTGCAATAGCGGTATCACTAGTTAGATAACTATACTCAGAGGCATTATCGCGGACGTGTACCTTAAAGCCCTCTAAATTACTATCGAGCTTAGCCTTACATTCTAGACAGACGATTCTACATACAGCAGCTTCTGACTTCCGTAAGTGTTTAGCCGGACTGTCCTGGATATAGTTATTCATCGTAGGTTAGAGAGAAGAGGGTAGCGGCCTCGTGGTTATAGAGCTCTAATAGCTATACGCTTGCGAGATAGACAGAAGTGCCCGCAAAATGAATTAAGCAAGAATGAAGTTAATAGGTACTAAAGGATTAAAATCTATTAGGTATTTCTAGGCTAGAGATAGAATTTACAGCGAGGAAGAGAGAAAACCTCAAGGCTAAAGGGAGGGGTATATCTAGGCAGAAATAAACAATAGGTCAAGTAGAGCAGTACTTCCGTTAGATAGTGCGCAAGCCATCAGTAAGGTAGACATAGCTAATGAATACTATATCACTCCCTCTTCTCAAAGCCTATTACATACACAGTTTTTAGTAGATGCTTAACATTAGCAAGCCCTATAGCTAGAGGTGCTTGTACTTAGCGCATTAAAAACAATAATTTACAAGAAACAAAGTAGAAATAACCAAAACAGCTATAAGACAGCTGAACGGGAGCATGCCTGAGAATTATCACAAATAACGATAAGGATTCCTCTAATCTATATCACGGCCAGTATTAAGCCCTCGTTCTATTTAGTGCCTCCCCCGATCTTCATTTTAGCTCCTACAGGCTGCTCCAGGGGGTGTTAGCGCCTATGGGCTTTCAATTTAAGGCGGCGAATAGCCAGTTGCCTATATCACTGCCCAAACGCGCCCAAGTAGGCAATACACGTCTAGCTGAATGCCTTCATGCAGGGAACAAAAATGGTCTGTTCCAGCTCGGGTATTACATGCAATTAAGCTGCTGATAGGGATCCTACGACGGCACATATAGACCGATAAGCAAATACAATGAGTTCATCTTACATATATAGCAACATCATTACAGCCAATTACAACAGTACCTTCCAGCTGAGTAGGCACCAAAGGGTATATAGACAGCCAGAAATAGTCGTAATCCACTACCCCCTAGTCCGAAGTCACTAAATGGCCCCTTGCAGTATAGCCGTGACACTCCCCCAGGCGGCTGTATCACATCATTAATTCCGATTTTCCTTAGATATTAGAGGTCGTCCACCATTCTCTAGGCAGCTCAGAAAGGCAGCCATTTCCTTAGTAATATGGGATTATGGCCAGAAAAGGCTAGTAGACCTCCGAAACTGATACGCTATGCCATGATCCCTAAATTCCATGTGCGTTACTAGGTTGTTTTGGCCTTACATTAAGCTTTTGTAAATATACTATAGAACTGCAATAAGTGTTTTGTGAGCAGAGCTAAGTATATGTTGGATTAGGTATAGTGTGGAGCATAACCAGCTTCCGCTCTATTATCTTTATACTTAATTTTAAAAAGACGGAGTACCTAAAAGTACCTTAGTGTATATATCACACTATCTTACAATATAGGGAATATCCATTAATAGCTAGTAAATAAGTTCCTCAAAGTAGACTAAGTACTAAGGTAGGAACAATCGTGTCTATAGTGTTAGCGTAAATTTTTAATACCTTTAGTGAGTGATAAGGTACATCCGACCTCAGCTTACTAGGCTAGCTGATTATATTATTTACTTTACGGCCTAAAAACGGATTATAGATAAACTGAATTTTAATAGGCGTTAGTCTATATACCTCTTAGTGTCCTTAAGATTCACGGACTAGTCTCTACCTAATACCTAATAAAGCTTTACTATTAAGACTATCCTTCACAATGAAATGCTAGGATAGATACTATATAAGAAATCAGTTACTTTAATTTCTTCTATATAGATCCCACTCGCCCTACTTCGCGGCTTATATTTAAGACTGTGGGTGGTGGCTATTGCCTTTTTTATATGGTTTGCATACTTGTTTGATGTGGTATTTTAGCCATAATCTAAGAGGCAGCCGGTCGCTTTACCCCCTTCCCCTCTCTCCTACTATTTTACATCTACTTCCATTAACTCTTATCACTATATAGTAATCACCCTATACGTATAAGTATAATATCTACTAAACTTCCCTATATCTAATAGCGGCAGGACGTTATACTAGTATTTACCTTTAAATAAACCCTAATTACTTATATAAGCCTAGAGCACACTTAATATTATTATAATGGATTCACCTAGCTAAATCAGCCTTCTAGCTGCTATTATGATCCTTATAGTATTTATATAGCGCTAGGTTCTTAAAGGTCGCGTATAACTAATACCAGAGGATGCGCATATGAATAAGGAGACACCTGTGAGTAAAAACCCACCGAAAGATTACGATATATTCTAGGTTATTAGTATGCCTATTAACTAGGATCTGGAATAACTAGGGTCCTTCCTTATAGAGTGGAAGAGCTCTATCCCGACTATTAAGTCCCACGCTCGGGATATCTACAACCGCTCTTAGACGGCTATAGTGGCCTTCTATAACCCCCTACTCTCCTTAGAAAGCCGCTAAAGCGAGCGGATATTATTACCTAAGTCTTCAGATAACTAACTCTCCGGTGACTAATACTTAATACTTAATAAGGCCTTTCTTAGTATTACTACGCTCTATATGCCGCCACCTGATGCCTATAAAATCGAGTAAGTAGATTAATTGCTAGAAAGTTAAAAATCTCCCTACTAATTCTGTCAGTGTTATTATATTATTAGGTCTCAGCGGCCATGCTTTCGGATCGTTTAAAGAGAGAGGCGGAGATTATATATAGTTGCGTAATTCCCTCCCCCATGATATCACCTGGGAGGAGACTAGTTAGCCTATAGCATAGGTTATAACCTATAGATATAAATTAAGTATTACAGAAAGCGAGAATATATAAAATATAGAGGATCTCGCCACCACGTTTTATAGTAGTCTCTATATACTAGCGGCTACTCTATTAATAAGACCTATTATCCTCATCGCCTATAGCCTAGGCGGCCTAATCGTGAAGCAGGTAAAATAATCTGTATGCATAGGTCTTTAATATATACTAATAACATCTACTATAGGCTTTAGTGGCTTTATTGAAGTTAAAGAATGAGGATGATTAAAACCTTCTTAAGGCTGTTTATAGGATTATCTTCTTCGGGGTACCACATAATAGTATAGATATTAGCTTACTTATCCTAATGGTTAGGGATGGGCCAAACTGGTTCTTAGTTGAGTCTATTGGTCATATTAACTCGCAGATACTCACGATTTAATAAAGAGAGTTTCCTACTATATTAGGCGATAAGGATTATTTAGAGGTTTTTAGTTTCTATGAAACGCTTAAGTCGCTAACAGCACAAAAGGTATATAATATGCTATCTAAGAAGAAGTGGTTGCTAAATAGGATAGGCTAAATATAGTGGCTAGGAGATAAAAGGGCCGCCTATAGTATTAGTCACTAAATCTTCAGCTACACATTACTGTCCTTAGGAAAACGGTGTAGAGTATATCTGCGCGATTGCTCACACGCATTCTAATATAGTTAAATTTAGGCCTTAAGATTATAAATATACTAACGTTTATAATAGGCTTAGGGGTCTTACTCAGCGAGCTTTAATAGTGCGCGATCGTATTCAGGCGAGAAGTATATGTATGTAATAGAAGATATATTATATATTTCTGGCTTTTACTAAGGAAGTCTAGTCCTAGTCCTATACAATCAAAATCCTGATTTTATTAGGAGATCTAATATTCTATATACACTTAAGCAATAACTCGGCCTAGGTTAGCCTCAAGGATCAGTAGAGCTGTGTATAAGGGTAGCACTCTATGGTCTTGGTGGTATTAGGTATATTTTCTTTTGTCTTTCTAGAATGTTAATTAATGTAATTTTAGTAAAACTTAAATTATATTAGCCTATATTTACTAGCTCCGAAAACAGCGTTTAGATATGGTAATATTCTAGGTTTATGCTAGTAACGCGGAACGTTTTTATCTAGTGTACGCTTCTATTGCGAAAGAATGTAATATACCTAGATATAATAATCTAAAAGCTGATTTACTATTACTCATTTAAGAATAGCTAGAGAAAAATAATGAAACTTAGTGGCTAATAGTAATTAATAACGCTAATAATGTGGAGTTATTCTTCCTATATTAACTAGAGGAAGGGCTATTAAAAACAAGTATAGAAAAAAAGCGTATAGACTATAGTCTTAGTCGCTATATTCTGGAGTGTAGGCATAGATTAGTTATTATTATAACTAGGAATAAGAAGGTAGGGTTAAGGCTAGCCTAAGGAAAGCTTCTAATTAAGGTCGGCAATATAAATAATAAAGAAGCACACTCACTACTATATATAATCCTAGAGGATAAGGAGATTTTAGAAGATAATATATCTCTTCTCTTATCTAAGCTTGAATATTTGCTACTCACCCTTATGTAAGCGGCAGCATTTATCTAAGAGACCTGTATAATAGTAGCAAAATATCTTAAGCTGCTTAAAGAGAATAACTAAAATAAGGTGCTTCTATTGAGTAAGGAGTTCGAGACTATTAGGCGAGACTCGGAGAGTCCCCGGGCTATAGTATAAACGTAGATTCTTTCATTCTAGCAGATTAAGCAATAGTATATTCTAGCAAGTAAACTCCTCTCCTTTATAAGCTGCCTTAATCGCTAGGATATTCTAGTAGAATTTCTTTTGTGTTATATTGAATAAAAAGAAAATATAGAACTAAAAAGCAATATTAAGCTCACGGAAGCATTAGGGGTTCTTAAGGCTTTCTCCCTTGTGACTAAAGATAATAATAGAAGCTATAATATTCATCGCCTTATCCAGCTAGTAACGCGTAAGTAGCTTACTAGTAGTGATATATAGAATTATTATATAAAGGAAGTATTAATAGTAGTATTGAATCTTTATCCTTATAGTATATATGAGACTTAAGCAATTTACGCTATATATTATTCTTATGTAACTGCTGTACTATGATTATATGATTCTAGCTTTAGAGATAAAACTAAGGTAAAGGCATCTCTTCTATATTATATGGCTGTATACCTTAGATTTAAAGGACTATAGGATGATACAGAGCCGCTCGACCTAGAAGGAATATGTATAAGAAAAGGGATATTTGGTAAGGATTATCCCTCTACACTAATGAGTATAGCTAATCTTATATTAACATTATAGAATTAAGGCCGGTAGGAGGAGGCAGAGAAGCTTAAGGTGCAGGTGATGGAGACTCGTAAGACGAAGCTTAGAGAAGACCATCTTAATACACTGAGGAGTATGGCTAATCTTGTATTAATATATAGGAATTAAGGCTGGTGGGAGGAGGTAGAGAAGCTTAAGGTGTAGGTGATGGAGATAAGTAAGATGAAGCTTGGAGAAGACTATCCTAATATACTAAGGAGTATGGCTAATCTTATATTAACATTATAGAATTAAGGCCGGTGGGAGGAGGCAGAGAAGCTCGAGGTGTAGGTGATGGAGATAAGTAAGATAAAGCTTGGAGAAGACTATCCCGATATACTAAGGAGTATAGCCAATCTTGCATCAATATATAGGATTTAAGGCTGGTGGGAGGAGGTAGAGAAGCTTAAGGTGTAGGTGATGGAGATGAGTAAGACGAAGCTTGGAGAAGACCATCCCGATACACTAAGGAGTATAGCTAATCTTACATCAATATATAGGAATTAAGGCTGGTGGGAAGAGGCAGAGAAGCTTTTTGTGCAGGTGATAGAGACTCGTAAGACGAAGCTTGGAGAAGACTATCCCGATACACTGACGAGTATGGCTAATCTTGCATTAGTATTATGGAATTAAGGCCGGTGGGAGGAGGCAGAGAAGCTTGAGGTGTAGGTGATAGAGATAAGTAAGATGAAGCTTAGAGAAGACCATCCCGATACACTGAGGAGTATGGCTAATCTTGCATTAATATATAGGAATCAAGGCTAGTAGGAGGAGGCAGAGAAGCTTTTTGTGTAGGTGATAGAGATAAGTAAGATAAAGCTTAGAGAAGACTATCCCGATATACTAAGGAGTATGGCTAATCTTACATCAACATATAGGAATTAAGGCCGGTGGGAGGAGGCAGAGAAGCTTGAGGTGTAGGTGATAGAGATAAGTAAGATAAAGCTTAGAGAAGACTATCCTGATACACTAACGAGTATGAATAACTTAGCTTTCACTTGGATGTCTATAGGCAAGGAAATAGAGGCTATTGACTTAATGTAAATGTGTATTCACCTCAGGGAAGTTAAACTAGGGGTAGATTATCTATATACACGATTATTAGTCTTAGCTCTAGATAGTTAGCAAACTAACTAACGCACGTAATATGTATATATTGATTTATATATCTAACCTCAGGTTGCTAGGCTGATAACTTAATTATATAATCTGTAAAGCTGAACTTTATAAGAGTCTTACATTAAATATGTGATAGCCTTAGTGCTATTCTAAATGATGTAAGTGTGAAATAGATGCGATATTACACTGCGATATAGGTGGTGTGTCTATTTCTGGGCTAAGTCTAGAAAGTGGGAACAAAGAACTGCTCGAGTTCTAAGTCGTGTAGTATATGAACTTTATATATAGTGCATTCTATAGATTATTGATACTATATAGGGAACTAACTTACAACTAATATATGTTTAAAAAGAGGAAGCTGGTTATGCTCCAAACTGTACCAGAGGCCTAAAATAACTATTTATATAAAATCATTTTAAACTACGGTATTAGACTTTAGTTATAATCTTATTCATTAGGAGAGGCAGTTTTTTACCTAGTATTTATAAGATACGAAAATCTTATATATACACAACGTGAAAATATATAGCTAAGCAATTTTAAGCTAAATATCTCTCTACTATATCCTTTTTCTCTTCCTCCGATTTTATCTTACCCCTCGCTTACGATTATCTAGATATACTATATTCTCAGAAACCCACTAGCGTAAATCCTTTTCACTACTAATATAATCCTTAAACCATACATAGTACTCCAGTTTTCCATTTTTCACTCTTATCTTCTCCACTTTAACTCTATTTTTGAAACCTTAGTAGTCCTCCATAATATCATCAATAAGCTGTGTATCATTAATGTTCTCCTCTAGCTCCCAGGTTATGCCTCTATTAACCCACCTTACTAGAAATAGGGTACAATTGCGGTCTTTGTATATTTTAACTAATTCCTGGACTCCATAGGTGTTATCGAGGTCATATTAGTCGCCAGGTGAATGCATAGTATTTTCCAGATCCAGGGCCAGAAGTAGAGCCTCTTTCAGATGTTAGACGAAGTAGCTATTTTTCTCCTCGTTATTCAAAGCTTCCAAATCAATCATACTACTGGGGGTAGTATCAGAAGTAGCAATCAAGGTAGCCTAATATATAATTTCTAACCCCCTTTCTAGCTCTACAGTGGGCGATAGAGGTGGATAATTATTCTTAAGTGAATATATTTCGGAAGTATCTAATTGCCTATACTATAAGCGTTCAACTTCTGGCTTTTCTCCACAGTCTATATCTTCCTATAGTCTAGGATTAATATATTTCTCTCTATTAATAGCTGAGCAGCTTATCGCTAAATCTTTTCGTATATTTTCTGGTGAGGATATTATAACTTCTAATTAAAGATCATACTTAATAGTATTATATTACCTAAGGGGTAAGAGGTAGGGCGATCTAAGTTAGTTCTCAATATTCAGCGAGTGAGAGCTAGAATTAGCAGCACATTAAGCAAGGAAGGACTCTAAAGATTAACATCGCTTTTTAGTTAGACGGGATGAATTATTAAGCTCTTCGTTCTTCTAGTCAGGATTTTTTGAAAATCTGAATTTAAGCGGTAGGTTCACTCTTGGCTTTATAGTGCTTATGCTATCAAGTTTGTTAATTTCCAGCTATACGCTATAAATATCTGCTAAATAATCGAGAAATGTTTGCCGGTTATTAAAACTATGGGTGTAATATATAGGGTGTAGGTAAGGTATCTAGCCCTAGAATTTTTAGATATACATAGGGATGCACTCTAAAATATGCTTTACCTATAGGCCTACTAATAGAAACTACTTCATTCGTTTAGTAGGTGTAAGAGTAATATCGCCTAAATAAATAGGACAATAGCTAGCGCAAGCTGTGGCATAGCGAAAGATAACGGGGTTACATTAAGTCAGAACATCAGGCAAGTCTAAATAAGCTTATAGATGATCCTCCTAATCTGTTTTATTAGTTATCTACTTATTACAATGAAAGCAAAATTAGGAATATTTATTCTCTCGCCTATAATATATAGATACACAGGAAAACATATACTTCTAGCGTTCTTTCGCGTCTATACTATTTCCAAATTAGAATAATAAGTTATATTATTTTCTATTCTTAATACTTACCTTTTTATTTCTATTTCGCAATAGGGACAGTGGCCCCCTTTCGGTCTAAGTCCAGGCTGGTAAGCAACAGAACAATCGGAATTTCAGAGCGTGACGAGATCCTTAAGAGCATTAATCCACTCAAGGCTCCGAGGTTGTATCCTCTTATACATCACTTCAGCAAGTCAAATACGTTCTAGTGGAAATATATAGTGGATGCGTTTTAGAGATTCCTATTAGATATCTTCCTCTAAATAATTACTCTTATTACTATAGGAGATCTTCTAGGTAGTTTATAGCTTTTTCAGCTTATTTATAAGCATTCGCTTACGCTTTTTATAAAGTGAGATACACTCTAATTAGAGATCCCTTAACGTAAGATCAGTGACCTCACCCTCCTTATAGCAGTCTAGAGAGCTAATTTACGTGTGAAGGACACTGATCTTTTAGCTAAGGGTGATATAATCTTTATCTTCACACACTAGTCTTTTTTATTCTTCTAATAGAGACTGTAAAAGCTAGGGATTCCATCGTGCAGTTGCAGATCGAAAACTTTCAGCTAGGTCAGTTCATGGCTGTATTCCTAAAAAGGCGCTTGAACCATCCACGCTAGATATGTTACTCAAATAATAATGCTAGAGCACACCTATACTATTTTAGGAGGCGAATTTAAGCACTTATGCCAATAAATAACCTTCGTCTATATTTTATTAGGTGAAGTCTCTTAGTGGAATGTATATATTATACCGGCAGCTTTAATAAGAATCTCTCAGCGTACATCGTGGGGTTAAAGGCCAGCAGGGAAGCCTGCCCGGATACCCCAGTCAGACATTAAAGTACCCCAACTATACGGGGATCTAGACTCAGGGGATAAGCCACTTGGTGTCCATTTAGGGAACACCGGCTTCATTTCAATATTCCGATCTAATTCAAGGGTCCTATATGATCGATTACCTAGCCGCCTGACGGTAAGTACTTTATCGATGGTCTTATAATCGGCGAATGCTCCAGCCGAGATATAATTTCCGAGGAGGTGGAATACTAGTTGTGCGAAAAGCGGTGGTGGTTAACCATCAGACGATCAGAGTCTCTCAGGCAATGGATGCTCGGGCCTGCGGATGGTAAGCAAATATTAATATAGCTATTTGAGGCATATACTGGTTTTTGTCTTTTCCTTTGTAAAAGTTCCTAGTAAATTTAACATGAAATTCTAGCTCCCCATCGGTCTCCGCAATATACCATTCTAGATCCTAAAATAGAGTTAGCTAATATAGATTTCTCTTCCTTAAAGAAAATATTACCCTATATATAGCTATAATAACTTCACGCCTTCTAGCAGATATGAACGACTATACGTTAAGGAGGTTCGTGTTATTAATCCTCATTCCCTCATATATATAGTTATAGGAGTCACCTGTCCAGTAAAATATCTATATAGTTATATAATTCTCTATTGTGAGAAACTTTTTTGGCTTTTGTGCTTCATTACCTCAAGGAAGGTCGTACTTAGTGGCTATCTCATTTTCGATAAACTAGAGCTAACAGTAAGTAGCAGCATTACATAGAGAAGTCAATTTACATACCGGAGCCATAGATCTTTTAAATGCTTTAGGGATAGATATGTAATGTTAGCACTCCCACTGCTCGGTGAACATTCGCAGCTTTCCCCGTATAGTACCAGTGAAGGGTTTCTCCATCTTCTCTCCTATCTTTAGGTCCTTATGTATCTTACTAATCATAGTAATAACTAGATATTCTGCAAATGACTTTAAATATTAGAGGTCAAGAGGTATTACCTCAGGGTGCTCAATCTAAAACCTAGGATATTTAGTATATAGAGTATTATCTCCTAGAATCATTATTCTTACTCTTCCCAATGCTTATACTCTCTTTTATATCATTCTTTTAATATATCCTATAACTTACAGCGGACCAGATGTAGATCGACTTTTAAAGGCGGAAGAACTATACTAAGCTATCTGAATTCTCGGTATCACTCTAAATAAGAAGATACTTTACTCTTCATTGCTATAGCTAGATAGAAAGGTATTTTCAAAATTAGCTTAGGACGAATGAGCATAATTGAAGAGAGGTAGGGATGCCTTTTATACTTAGCTAGAATAGGTGGTGGGGTGAAAGAAGTACTCATAAACAAATCAATCAGATAGAACCACCCCTGAAACTCAGGCGCTTGAAAATTTAAGTCCTAAGTAAACCTGAGTGTACCTAAGATACATTGAACTAGCGCCTGAGTTCTTCCTGCTTAGGGCAGCGATGGAAAAAAAATCAAGATTCGACGACTGAAACAATCCAAGCAGTATTCTTGAAGATGTTGCTTCCTAATATGGCGACGATTGTCACCATGCTCATCAAACTATCTGCCCGTTGATGAACGGCATTGGATGCTAGGACCGAAGACTTGGTTTCGGCAGCAATCTTCATTGCTACAAGAAAGGAATTAGTATTGCTGTTTATAGAATGGGGTCAATTTCACTTTCGCAGAGGTACTCACTCTTGTGATAGAGCCACTCTTTGGCGAGGATTGTCAGACCGGCAATCCATGCCGCTTGTATACTGGGCACATCATGATGAATGTCGCCATGGGAATCATACCCTAGCCCGCTCTCCCCGAAAAGCAGCGCTTGGTCGAAGAAGCTTTCATGGAAGGACACCAAACTCTCCCAACCTTCATGAATTCCCATGATCACAAGGAGTCCAAAGATGGTCAGTGAGATCGACCCTTCAATGTTGGAGACGGTCGGTCGGAGAAATTCAGTGAGTTTGGGCATAGAAACGATGAGGACTGAAACCAGCGCAAGCAGATCCGTGACAAGATCCGTCATGCTATGCCAGCCATCAGCGGTAAGAGACTTCGAACTAAACGCCCATCCGCCAACCAATTTGATGACGGCAAGTCCGAAGTTGACAGCTATTCCAACCTGAACGACCCAGGCGCCGAGATCTGCAGGTGAATGGCCGTGATCGCTCTTGTGTTGATGAAGTTGGTGAGACTTCTCAGCGTCTGCTTTTGGCTGAGAAGCCTGTTGTTGCTGGTGCCGACGCTTGTGCATTTTCGGGACGGAATAATGAACAGACGATAAAACTCAAATTTCAGGTACTGGCTCGGCGCGAGATGGTCTCCAATTGATATGCTAGGAGGAAATAGTTGGTTCAAACACAGAACCACACCGGATGCAGTGGTCCTCCGAGCTGTCGTCTTTTATATCCCCGCGTGGTGTAGAGTGTGCGGAGCTTCTTTCCAAGCAGGAAAGTCGTCGTAATTCTGAAACTGGAAAGTTTCATTCAATCTGTGATGCTGACGCGTTTCTGCGTCTGCAATTGCTACACAAATCGTGGCTTGGGTGGGGAAACAGGGAGTATGATTCATTCTTCTTCCGCTAGGGGGCTCCGTGCATGGTTCTTCTGGCGAATCGGCGTCAAGCGCTTTCTAATGCGAGTTGTGGGTACACACAATCCCCGTAATGACGGCAAGTGTAAGGCATTCTCTCAGCATTGGCAGACGCTAAACGATTCATCTGCCACATCCCGAGGCCCTGGCTCAGGTCAAATTTGCGAGTCCGCCCACTCCGGACAGAATTAGGACGCCTAGATCCGTGATTTGGGGTCTGCCGCCCGAGGATTGGAGGGATTAATTTGTGAAGCATCCTTGTACTAGTATTCTCAAGATGCATCTTCGATTCGTTATCTCCAGACTCCGTCACACCTGGCCAAAGGAGAAGGTGGTAATTACTTCCTTAGACATGAGCACCTTTGCAATGCCATCGTGTCCATAACGGCCGAGGAATTAGGTCATCCGCGTCGTAATTATTTCGTGGATTTCTCCCATTATCATATCCCCCCCTCCTCCATTGCTTTTCCTTCTTTCAACTTTTGTTTGTTAGGGTATATAGTACCCAAAATTCCTGGCCGATGTTGTGTAAATGAGAGAAATGTACAAGGAAAATACCCTCTTTACTCTTTATGCGCGACGGCTCTTGGTCTTGCCGGCCCACTAGCTGTTGCTTTTCTTTTGACTTTTTTTTCATTGCCCGAGGTGTCAATACGATGTGAAATTGGAGATTAAGTTAACCAGCCTTTGATAGGTCCTTTTAAACACTGGATGATGAGATGCATGATTAGGATGGCTGGAGATGCCAAACGCAAGCTACTCAATAGCTACTCTGATGAGGGGAAGCAACATTATATGAAATGGAGATCCATTCATTTGGGTTCTGCTGTGATAGATATGCTTTTTACTACAAAGCCCCAAATTCGGGGTCATTTAGGGCCCTCTTGGGAGAAATGAGGCATCACTTGATGTAAATACAAGAGCCCTGTGGGTTGCCATGAAACCCGCCCCCAGAATGATTTGCTAGCCATATGGTACTATCATCACGGCCTCAATCTCTCAAAGTCTCTGAAGATTTAGAGTCAAAGGACATGCTGGAATATCTTCGAGAGGCTCATGCGGTGCCGAATAAAAGATGGCATTGGTCGGGGTTTCCCTCAAGATCTCTGGTCTACGCTTGCTTGATCAACATGTTCACTTTCACTTTTATCGCCTCTTTCATGTTGACGCGACACCCCTTGCCATCAAGAAGACATGCTTATTATCTCCATAATGGAACTGAAAGATGTTTTGTGGCCATCAATAAGTTTATCTCAAAACTCAGGCCCGGTGATTCGGATGACGGGTTGGCAATGGTCGCCTCAAGTATAACTCGATGGTGATAATTTGTCTTGTCGGTGAATACTTCCAACAAGCAAATTGTCAATAGTTCTACTGGTGAGAAAGGGCTAGACTTCTGGTCTTCCAATACGCCAGCATACTACTAACTTAGGGGGTAAATGACACTGATGAGGATCGCATTTATTAATACCAAGGAGTGACTGCCTTGGACAAGGAGCAGCTGGAGATCGACAGCGAGTTTCCATACCCGTGTCGGGTGGAGAACTTGCGGTGGCCAAATGAAGCAATCGCTGACGCGGCATTTGGAATTACCTCCGGAACTATTGTTGGTCAATGGGTTCAACAAAAAGGGGCCTTCATTCTCCTGCAAACGCTCTCACCGACTGTGACTTCACAACGTCAAGTAGATGAATAACAGGGATATATGGTTGCTATACTACTATGTAGCCTTCATGATCGAAGTTAAAAGCTTTTTTTACCCGCTTGACCCTTGCAAACTAAACTTGCCAGCGTGCTAATTAACAAGGTTATTATTAATGCTGAAGCGGTGACAGGCCGTGGAGAAGGGTATCGTCCACCTTCTGGAATAGGGACCCTTGAAGAAATCAAGCTTTAATGTCCTGGCAAGATAGCTGGGTTCGTATGTGTTTGCGCGTCAACGCCTACAATCATCAACAAGCACCTTCTGAAGTAATTCAAATCCCTTACTCGTCGAGGAAAGGCCTTTGCACATATAGCCTCGGCCCAATTTAGTGTAGGTCCTTGGTTATCACGCAATTATGTATTGCTTTGTAACAAAGGGGTGGAAGCCCAAGGGCTCCAGTCTGAAGTTCAATTCGAGACAAACTGCTTCTTGATTTCAGCCGTGTTTCATATCCATTTGCTGGCTCTCGCCATTTTCTTGGCCCTTATTAATAATAACTTCAACCTATCACCGAGTAACAATTCCAAGACGCAAGAAAATAAGCGCCTTAAACAACAAACGGAGAGCCGCAAGCTTGCCCAACTCTCCACAAGCTAAGCATTTGCATCCCTGCGTAACGCGCAAGTCGAGACCCTGTAGATGAGAAATTCCTTGTTTCTGATTGCTCAATTGGAAAAGGGCCCGCTTGGAAGGCAACCTGCCCGGTCCCGCCGGGGCATATTTATGCAGAATGAAACCAACATCGCACCACAGCCAGCCTCTTGAGCATGGCATGTGGAAGGTGTCCAAGCTGGAGCTGCGAGAAAGCAGGCGAACACCTACGCATGCGGTAATGACCCGGGTAGGTCTATGCTCGAAAATGCAACATCATGATGAAACGTCTGTATACGAATGACGACGACTTTTGTTATTTGTGTATTATATAGGTGCGTAGGCAAGCCATGACGAAAATTGGAGATGACTAGAATCTATATAAGGTTGGCCTGGAATCAGAACGGTTTGCCAAGAAGCAATCAACTCACACAAACGCCTTCTACTCAGATCTTCCCAATTGAAAAGTTGACAAATTGACCATCATGCGCCTTCAATCCTTTGGCGTTGTCTTCCTGGCTGGAAGTGTCCTGGCTCACCCTAGCCAGGACCCCACGAAAGAGGCCCTTGAGCGACGTGACTACATCAACTCTGTGCCTATAGAACGAAGATCTCTTAAGCACTGCGCTCGCCACTGGGAGGAGAGCGGCTTGGCGGCTCGCAATCATGCCCGCCGTGCTGCTCTTGTTCAGAACGAGCGAAAGAAGCGAGATCTCAAGAAGCGAGCCCTCGAGGATGTCTTGGAGAAATCGCACAACAAGACTGAACTTGGCTACACTCCTGAGACCGACCCAGAGACTCTTTTTTCTGGTATCAACTCTTGTGTTCTCACCCCGGAGGTTACACAAGGCCCGTACTGTAGGTCTAAGAATCTCTTTTCACCCAATGATTTCTAACAGCTGTACTAGATGTTGGCGGTGAGGATATCCGCGACAATATTGTCGAGACTCAGCAGGGCGTAGACATTCTTCTCGACTATCAAGTCATTGATGTTGATACCTGTGAGCCTGTGCCATCGGCCTATCTGGAGATGTGGCACTGTAATTCAACTGGCATTTACTCTGGCGTCAACGCCGATGGCAACGGAGATAGCAGTGATTTGACCAATATCGACAAGAGCTTCCTTCGTGGCATTCAGGAGACTTCTGATGATGGCGTTGCTGGGTTTACTTCGATCTTCCCTGGTCATTATACTAGCCGTGCCACACACATTCACGTCCTAATCCACACGAATGTCACGGTTCTCGCTAATGACACTCTTGGTAACGACATCTACGCCAGCCACGTCGGCCAGACCTTCTTTGACCAGAACCTGATTGACGAGGTCGAGACTCTGGCCCCGTACAACACCAACCAACAAGAGCTCACTCTAAATGAGAACGACAGCATTCTATCCGAAGAAACCCGTACCGACGGCGTCGATCCTGTCTTCGAGTACACCCTCCTCGGTGACTCTGTTCGTGATGGCCTCTTCGCCTGGATTGCGTTTGGGATAGACACCACACAGTCCCAAGAAATTAAGCCAGCTACTTTCCGCTACCAGGAGGGCGGAGTTGAGAACCCGAACTCTGGCCCGCCAGGCGGCGGTGAGGGCGAAGGTCCCGGCCAAAGCGGCACCCCACCAGGACTTCCTTCATCGACCGGCGCTCCTTCGTCAACTAGCTCGTCTGCTTGATAGAAGTCCTCCGCAACCAGTGCTGCTAGAAACAGAATTTCTGGGCAATGAGATGGTTTCATAGAACCTTTTAGTGGGTTTATGGTGTTATCTGAGTAGATTCTGGTTTCTGAAGCAACTAGTGCCGCCGCTTAAACTGAAAGATAGAACATCTGCATTTACATAGAGTTTGTGCAATAGGGGTAGAATAGTTTCATTGGTTTTGTATATTTCATTTCATGTGCAGTGGATAGTCAAGAACCACAGCCCGGAACCATCAATAGATAGACAATTGAGAGAATACGTCCCTCAGACGAACGAGATTCTAGGATGCTTCAAGTACTGCAGAAAGATTGCAACCGCGCTGGCGAACCAACAAACGCCAGTGAAAACGATAATCCAGTGAAATGACATTGCTGGAGCAGTGGACTTCGAGGCCGACATGAGAAGACCTCCAATAGGCCCAGCGAGTACATTCCCGATGCCTTTGCCAAAGTTTAGCAGACTGAAGACGATGGGTCCGGCAGTTACATCATCAGTGATGGCACTGCTCATGCGGGCCCAGATGGCCGTGAATCCAGCACCGAAAAATCCGTACAGCAGAGCGAAAACGATCAACGGAGGCAGTGAAGTAGCCAGCCTCCATAGAGTGAGAGAAGCAACTGCCGCGACTACTGTCGACAGACAGGCCAGGACATTAATTGGCACTTTGCGGTCAGAGAGAAAGCCGAAAAGAAACTGGCCACCGACTTGAGAAACGCTCATCAGCGCGAGGAGGAGAGCACCACTTCTCTCGCCGAGCTGTAGGGAGGAGGCATGGGAGGGAAGATATAAAGAGGGAAAAAAGTATCCAAATCCTTGTAGCAGATTCGATAGTGAGTACACCCAAAATAAAGGGCTTCGAAAAAAGGTCTAGTTTATTCTAGGGGTAGTCGCTCTCTGGGAAGGGGGTAATCGACCCTTCAGAAAAGGGATCAACGGTCCAGTGAGGACTGTCAGAGCTACAGCCACAATGCGAAGTGTCGTACGGTATCCGTAGTTAGCTAACAGCGCTTGCAGCACGAACGGCATAATGGAACCTGAGACCCCGGATGCACCACAAAGGATACCATAAGCCATGCCACGGCGCGCGATCCAATACTCGTTAACCATGCTGATGATGGGATAGTAGAATATCAGAAAGCCAAGACCGTAAGCCACACCTTGTGTGAGGATAAGGACCTCTAAGGTAGAAGCAAAGGATCCTAAGACCAGTCCCAGAATGCAGATTGGCCCTAAAATACAAATTAGCAAGCCAAACTATCAAATTATTGCAATCAATGAGGAGGGACGTACAGCCAACCCAAATCATCTGTCGCTGCCACCACGGATACCGCTGAATCAAAGGCATCACAACCGGTGCACCGAGATAACCGAAGCCGGATGCTATAGTGCCCACCACGGAAATGTACCGATTATTGGCAAATTCTGGCACTCTGCTATAGTATTCTTGAAAGACACCGAACGAAAGTGGGAAGCCTGTTAAGGGGCATGTTAGCATTCTCTGCGGAAATCCGGCATGCATATTCACAATTACCCCAAAGTAACGTCTCGAATACAAAAGCAGCACATAGTAGTCTCCAGGCAGCAACTCCTCCATCTACAGGGGCAAGTTCCTGTCCTGATCTTCCGCCATCTGGCCCCTCATGCTCTATAGCTCCATCAACCGGCTCAGATAGAGCATGGTTTCGTAAGCTTGGGGCTCGCGCCGATTGGGCAACGGTAATGACTTGTAACTCGGTACTACTCATTGCTGCTCATATAAAAAAAAACTAGTTCAAGGGGAAGGTTGTAGGAACGATAGCCGGAAATTGGGATGATGGCTGAGGTACATTTCGTCTGATCGGGGGGCGCTAAATAATTCCCCGCACAAATATCTCCTTTTATCCCTGTGCGAGCAAGAAATAGCCGAGGAAGCATGTGTACGAGCACCGCTTACTTCCATGTGAGAAGCGTTATTGAAAAGCACTGGAGGAACCTTTGCACAATCAATTCACCTGGTTTGGCCACACAAACGTAACAGGAAGACTGAATTCTGCTTTCTGAAACCTTTGTAGAGGTTTCGTATGCGTCTCTCGGTGTATGTACAATAATCAAGCTTTGCTCAGCACAGTCTCTGGTACCAAAGCCTGTTTAAACAACGGTGCAACGTTCTCATCTTCACCGTCCTCCTTCATACCACCCAGAATCATTGATTTCGGCGCCATAGCCTGCCAAAGCTCAGGGTCTGTAAACGCCTTGAACTTCTCATCATGCCATTGACCAGCAGTAATAGCACGGCCTTCTGAGTCAACAAACATGGTGTCATCCTCGGCTCGCAAAAAGTACGCAACTGAGTAACGGTGTTCGGTTGGATTGAATGGAACGACGCGATGGATGCAGCTTTGGAACTTCATGCCACTGGCAAAGCGGAGAGAGTCGCCTACGTGGACAAAGGCACATCCCGGCTTGGGGGCGACGAATCCCATTTCAAGAGCACCGCACTCGCCGGGTGGGCGGACCTGAAGGCCCCATTGCTCGCTAAATAAAAGCGTCAGGGTGCTGATATCGGTATGCTTCTGGTGGCCGATGTTGTTTGGACCAGACAGCTTTGAAGGCAAGTAGTGCATCATTGATAGCTAATAGATGACCGGAGTCAGCTCAGTATTAGATGGCAAGCCAAGCAAGAGATAACATCGAGGATTTCAAAATGGAGAAAGACAGAGGGATTAGGGAAGAGGACGAGCTCACCGTCGTAGTCGAGGGACGTTCGTTGCGATGCTGATTCTCAAAACGGCCGGCGCCACTCAGATGAAGGCCGTCGGACAGCGCAGAGAGAAGAACTTTTGTGATTGTGTTACAGCTACCGATTGCGTTCTCGAGGATCTGAAGGTCGCCACTCTCTTTGGCCACAGCGGGAATCTTGGGGCTGTCTCGCTGGATCTCGTCTCGCGACACCTTGAGCATTTCATATCCATCCTTGGTACCGGCTGCCACGCCAGTGCGGCTGCCAACAGGCTCGTAACCTAGATGGGAGGAGATGAGGCCGAATTCGTTCTTGGCTTCCAATGGCTTATCGAAGAATCTCTTCATCAACTTGAGCGTGTCTTGGTGGTCAGCTAACATACGGCGACCATCAATACCCCGGAGATCAAGGTAAAAATAGCCCTCGTCGATACAGGCATTAACGAGTTTATCGATCTCAGAGGGCTCATGAGAGAGCAAGAGTCCATAGTCTAGGGTTTTCATTGACCAAACAGGAACAGCCTTGCCCATCCAGTCAATGGTTTGAAGGGGTTCCGATACAGAAGCCATGGTGAGAAGTGATAAAATGTGTGAATGGATGGTATTGGGTATAGTATACTTAGTGCTGATGACGGTTCTCAACTCTCAAGACCGTGGACTACAAGGATTTGATGAGGCTTTTATAGGTTTCCGCCTGATCTCCATAGTATCATCAGTGTCGTATATGATGGCGCCAAGGCTTGCTTTAGCAGATAAGAGGTTTATTGACTTTGTGCTACCTGGTTGACGACTGCATAGCGTGCGGGTTCGGAGTATCGAGCTTCCTGAAACAAGTACTGCTCGGCTTAACATGATACTATCTCAATCCAGTACGGGGAGGTATGCCGACCATACGCCAAGAGATACGAGAGGGGCAGCTTGCTAACGCATTCATGCTCATTCATGCAATGTAACCAACTCCACTTCTACATTCGGCATGATGTGTTAGTTTGAGAGGAAACGAGGAAACATAATTGAACGCATGTGGCCTCTTCGTAATGTGGCAGTGCTCAGGATAACATTACCCCGCTGCTGGTTTTATTGTATGCTTTTTTTCTGCCGTAACTGCTGGTTTTATATTGCGCAGTATGATCGTGACGTGATGGAGCAGGTCACGGGGTTTCTCACGTGATACCCCCCCTTTCATTCAATGAATAAAAAGATGATCCGCAGACCCTCATTAGATAAAAGGAATTTAAGTATTCTATCAATTCCGCTTAATTTGGTGACCGCTAGCTGTGGCGAATCGTCACAATGACTGTAGTTGTTTTCTACCTGAGAAGACTAATACAACACCAGGCACCTCACTTCAATGCTCTGCCGAGACTCGCAATCACGAAACGCGGGGTCCTCAAACGCTGAGTGTAACGCTCTGCGAGCCACCTTCTCGTTCGAGTCAAAGCACTTAATGAGCAGCACGTCTTGGGGTGTCATCCCAGACTTGAAAAACCATCTGTGGTCAGGGTTGTGCCGAACCACCCAACTCTCGCCCACAAAGCCCTCCTCCGTGAGCTCGGCTCCCACCAAGTCGGCATCTGGAACAGAGTTTGAGTCGGCTACAGCTATGGGGTCTTTGAGTATGGGCTTGATCGGCCTCCAGACGTTGATGATCTGGTATCTTTTCTTTATCAATTCACCCGCCTCGTGGGGGAACTCCCATCGCAACCGCCTCTCTGCCCCCTCATACGATTGATCGACATGCGTTCGCGTCACGGGACCCCTGTTTGCAAGATTGTGTAGACCGAGATGATGCCATTGCGTCGGGCCACGTCGTACTTTGTAATTGAAGACGTGGACGTCCCGCGCCCCCGTGACGTGCTTGACGAGATCTTGGCACTCGGGTACATACACTGATCGTATCTTGTCGTCATCGACGAAGAGCTCTTCTTGACTTTTGTGACTGCAGTATTGGAAACCGTGGCTGTCGAGCTGATAATGCTCTTCGTCGCCTCCGAGGTCATGAATGGTGAATTCATGGGATTTATGAGGGCGCTTGTTACTTATCCTGCCTTGACCAATGTAGATGGGGGTGGGCTTAGAGCCATCACCTGGATCGTCCCAGTACTGTAAATTCGTCACCACGTGGTGTTTTTGGGCTGCCATGGTTGGGCCTCTTTAATAGATGCTTTGAGGGACCTCTTTAGTAGATGCTTTGAGGGAATCGGCAAGACATCAAATCGTGACATGCCAAAAAGAAAAACGGGCGGGAGAATGCGCAATTGGAAATCCCCGGGCATAAAAGTGTGACGCCGCATAAGTATGCAGCATGATTGGAGGTATTATATCTCTGCGAGGATTCGGATGTGCAGCTGCCTCGTATCTAAGAACTTACTCAGCCTCTGCCAAGAGAAATAGCCTGCATGAAACGCCGAATATGGGTCGTATCGTCATTTGCTTGCCGATATCTTTGGAGGCCTACTCAATGTTTCCTCTTCCCCCACATGCCCCCCGCGCTTCAATCACAAGGGTCGACGTTCTGTCATCATGGAAGAGGATGGGTATATTCTGATTCCCAACTCTATCAAGAGGCAAGATGTTGATGAACATGGCCAAGAGCTGCCCCTTTGCTTGTCTGAGATCGACAATTTCATCGAATGCATACAACCCTCTATTTGGGCTCTGAATGTTTTTCTTCACCAGAACCCCGAGCTAGGCTTCGAGGAACACAAAGCTCATGATGCCTTGACCAACTTCATGCGCAACCAGAATGGCTGGAAGGTCACACCTTCGGTTTATGGCATGGAAACAGCATGGATGAGTGTTTATGACAGCAAAATGCCAGGCCCAGCGGTCTCATTCAACGTGGAGATGGGTACGCTATCACCACTCAAGTACCGTGGCAGGATCTTGACACTGATTGAACGGGACATCATTAGATGCCCTCCCTGGGTTAGGACATGCATGCGGTCACAACCTCATTGCCGTCACATCGGTAGCTGCAGCTCTAGCAACAGCAGAGATGATGCGGACTCATCACATCGGTGGCAAAGTCGTTGTGTTTGGGACACCAGCAGAAGAAGGCGGCGGCGGTGGCAAGATTAAACTCCTCGATGCGGGTGCCTACGACGATGTTGATGTCTCAATCATCTCCCATGCCGGAATCCTGAATAACAGCCCGATGGTCCGCACAACGGCTTACACGCGCCTCAATGTTTCGTATCTTGGCCGTGCAGCACATGCAGCCAACAGCCCTTGGCTCGGGATTAATGCCCTGGATGCTCTCGTCGTGGCGTACAACAGCATCTCAGTCCTGCGCCAGCAGTTGCGGCCAGATGACATCGTCGGTCTCCAAATTACAGATGGTGGTAACAAGCCAAATGTGATCCACGAGCGTGCCGCAGGTGTGGCAGTTCTTCGAGCAACTAGCTTGTCCCGGCTGCAAGAACTGCAACAGAAGGTTGAGGCGTGCTTTCTAGCTGGTGCTCAGGCCACAGGTGCTCAAGTAGCTATCGAAGTGACCCCAGGCTACTATGACCACGTCCCAAATCGCGTACTCGCAGCTTCGTGGCGAAAGTATTGGGGGGCTTTGTCTGATCCTCCCGGACCACCTTTACCTTTACCAGGTCAGTTTACATGGGTGAAGGCCAGTACTGATCAAGGGAATCTGAGCTATGCTTTGCCAAGCATGAATGTCAGTTTCGCCATCCCTCCCGGCCCTGGTGGTGGACAACCGCACACTCGTGACTTTGAGAAGGCATCGGGCACGAGAGGAGCGTTCGAAAGAGCGATGAGGGTGGCCAAAGCCATGGCAGGCACAGCAGTGGACGTATGTGCTACACCTGGGCTGGTAGACAAAATCAAGGAGCAGTGGAAACAAGATATGGCAGAATATCGCAACTAGCTTGGGCAGACATACAACTTGCAAAATAGAGGCAGCTTCCACTGGGTGGTCAAGCTGTCATTCCCTTTACATCAAAGCTGCTGAACCAAGGTGTCGTCGGATGTTCCCCCTGTTACTTTCATCATCACGAGAGGCTAACTTTATTTTAATAAATCACAAAAGTGGCAGTAGTATAATTCAACTCTGTCCTATAAATTCACCAAAAGTGAATCATTGAGAACTTATCCCAGGAACTAACATTGAAGGCATTTGATATGGGAAACTTTCCGCTGTTGGCTGGTGTACACCAAGAGCATTGACAAGTGCTTCCTTCCCTGGAGTCAATAGCTAACTTGCCCATACATTTCTACTTAAACATTGCTCCTGTTCACTGTTTACTCTGTTGGTGGTCCGCCGGGGCCGCCTGGCCCACCGCTGCCCGGGTTCTCAACAAAGCCATCCTCATAACGATAGACGGCTGGGCTGACAGTTCGCTGATAGGTGGTGTCGATGCCAAATGCAAGCCAGGCGAAGAGACCATCGGATAGGTCATCACCAAGATAAGTGTACTCTGCGAGTGGGTCAACATCCTCGGCACCATTGCCGACCTCCTGTTTGAAAATGCCATCTTGGTCATTAGTGAGAAGCTGCTGTGTGTTGGTATTGTAGGGGGCCAATTCCTCAACCCTATCAATGAGGTCCTGGTCAAAGAATGACTGGCCAACATGACTAGAGGCCAAGTTGTGTCCCAAAGTCCCGTTGGCAAGGAGAGTAGCGTTGGTGTGAATCATGATGTGAATGTGGGTAGCGCGGCCAGTGTAGTGGCCAGGGAAGTTGGTTGTGAACTCGGCAACACCGTCGCCATCAGTCAGCTGGATGCCACGGTGGTGAGTTGTCTCAATGTTGCCGCTACCACCGCCGTTCCCGCCAGCGTTGACACCTGAATACACTCCAGTGGTGTTGCAGTGCCAAGCCTCAAGATACACCTCTGGGACAGGCTCACACGTCGAAACATCAATGACCTGATAGTCCAGAAGGAGCTCAACGCCCCTCTCAGTTTCGCGAATGTCAGACCTCACGTCCTCTCCAGAAACGTCTAGTATGCAATGTCAGAACTATCTTTTGAGAGAGACAGAGATAGAAGAGCAAAATGTAACTTACAGTAAGGACCCTCGGTAGTTTCTGGAGTAAGAATGCACGCATTGATTCCAGAGAATAGAGTGTCTGCGGGAGTATCAGGGGTGTAACCCAAATCCGACTTGTCGTGAGACTTTGCAAGGACATCTTCCCAGCTACGCTTGGACAGGCCACGCTTGTAGCGAAGCATCTCAATCTTGGCCGCACGGCGCTCATGGTTCCGAGCTGCGAGGCCACTCTCTTCAAAGTGACGACGGCAGTGTGAGAGCGAGGCGCGCTTCATAGTCTGAAGGGCCTGGCGACGTTCGAGGGCCTCCATTTCCGGGTCATGGCCAGGATGGCCCAGAGCCAAGCCTGCAAGAAGGAAAGTGCCTGCAACTTGGAATCGCATATTGGATGTAAAGTTTGATAATGGAAAGATTCAGGGTTGATGGGAAGTCTGGGGATGCTGCTGTTCATTTCGAGACTGGAACAGGAAGAATACCATCACTTTATACTTTTCGTTCTTGCCATCGACCAACCTGTCGTCACCGTTCTTCCCTTTGATACACTCGTCTTGTCTATCCCTTCCTCGCAAGGCAGGAGAGAGGTTCTTCCCTTGTTGTTCAAGAAGGGGGTATCATCTCTGAGTTGCATTTCCCTTTCTTGGGAGCTGACGAATCCCATACATTCAAATTCTAAATCGGACTCACTATTGGTGGGAAGCTGATCCATCTTAGATGGTATGAGCTTCCGAAGATGCATATCGGCAATGCGACGTTGGCGAAACAATGCTAGTTTCCGTCCGGACATATTGTCTTAGTCGGACAGTACTCGGGCTACAGAGCCGTCCCAAAACAGTATGTCACTTTTGCCACGGCCACAATCGTCGGCTTCCTAAAATGGCCTCCTCCGGCAGTGCAGCAAACCAGGTGTGAGCAATTTCAAATGGATGCAAGTTCCCTGTCTCGCGAAGCGCCATTGTAGCACCAGTGCCGACGTTATAAAGTTCCGGGGCAAGTCGAGATAACCTTGCTCAGATGGTTAAAATTTCAATCTCCGATGAGGAACAGATTCTTTCACTGAATGTTTTGACCCAATGCTAACATGGGGTACGGGTTCTCAATGCCATTCAGGCCTTGCTTGAATCTTAAGCCCTAGCCTAACTGGAGACCTTCTGTAATACTAAATGACCATGTAGCACTTGGAAAGATCTTCTAGTTTTCATGCTTCATTGAAACTAAACCAAAGCTAGAAGTTATTCTCTTCAAAAAGCTCCGTAGACTGCCCCGCTCTGCCAAGTGAGCAGTGTCCCATTCCGACTGCGGAGAAAGCTTGATTTGCACCCTTTTCAAAGCTTGTGTGGATGGGAAAGTTTACACCCCTGAGAATCATGATGCCACCGCTGCTCGATGAAAGCTCGTTGCGAAGTTTTTGAGGTTGGACCAATGCAACACTCTCGTGTTTCACTCAACTGCCTTCGAGGCGTATCGATCGCTTCCCCTCTCTTGGAACTATTGTTCTCTGTCCTTTAGGAATGCAGGGCGTGCTGGTAGGGCCATGGTAGCTGACGCGTCGTCGTCCATTTCGGGACAAGACCTTTTTTCCCATCTTCGTCCGCTTAACCAGTGAGTGCCGATCATCAACAAGCTAGGAGTGTAACGCTGTCCTGCCAGCATCATCGACAAGGCCCCCTGGGCGCAGGCTTCCACACGATGCCTGGTAAGTGCTCGTTTAATACCACATGGAACGTGAAGCCCAAATTCACTTCTAATAGTGCCGCAAAGCAATGTTACAATTTCAATTGCACAATCAAGGCCCTAGCTCGGTTAATGACACGGCAGCATTTTGATACATGCTACCTTGTGTGTTTATGTACCAATTCTCGGCAGATGGTGTGACCAATTTCAGGAGGTTACGCGGCGAGCTCCGTAGGTCTAACTAGTATGAAGCAAGAGTAAGCTCCGTCTCAAGAACTATTGCCGGCATCACATGCCATGAATATTTCCTCCCCCAAGTTTTACAGCCTATCGAGCACGTGTTAGCATCAAGGCATAGATAGATGAACGCTTAACGTTCAGTTGTTATTTGATGATCAGATACCACCGATGGCCTATCATCTAGATACATATCCAAACAGACGCAGTTCAGGCTAAAGCTCCAATGAGGTCAATATCTTGTCTTCTAGTGATTCTCCAGAATGAGCGCCCGGGGAGGAAGTGTGTTCCATGATCCCGCTCTACACAACGGATAGGCGGGAATGAATTGCCGACCAAGAAAGGTCACACAACTTCGGTATTTTGTCGACTACTTCCCTTGACCTATTTGGGTTCCAATTTAGCAGAATAATCAAGAACTAGAGCGAACGCTTGACCAACCATGCTTTCGGAACCACTACCACACTTAAACCTACGAACGGTGAGGTCACTTCTCCGTAATAATAATCCAAAGGAGTCCCCCTTGGAACACCTTTGTCCTACTTCCAAACATCCAATTAGTGCTTGCATACAGATAGCTGCTGGTGTTCTGTCTCTCTAAATTGGCAGCTGGGCCGAGTTTAGAAACATTGTCTCTGCACTGCAAATTAAACAGCCTCCCTTCGACAGTGATAGCATCATTCAAAAAATCAAAGAAACAAGGAATATCGTGGCTATGGTAATCACGATTCGGTTGCCAAATTGGATTTGTTGCCCCTCGTCACAATGGAGGGGCGAGAGGGGTGACATTGCAGGTAGTTTCCAAGATAAGAAACCCCGACGAGAAAGTGAATCCTGTAAAAATTGAAAACATTTCACCATGTGAGTCATTAGTAACCCACTACTTGTATTTGGTCATACATTAAAATTAAGGCAGGTATTGTGTCATGAAGCAGCGCCTTGTCAGGTAGCGCAGTTCCGACATTGTACATGTATAGTTAAATCCAGCTTTATCAGTTAACCGTTGACCATCCACGTATCAATCATATATGATCATCAAACTGATATCTTAGTAGACTTATGTACTTTCTTAACCATGGCATTCATCGCTGTACTCGTTTCCTCCGCTCAGCGGGACTTCAACTCTTCAACTCAAAGAAAAGTCGTCACCCTTCTCCGTTTATTATAGGCCCCAAGAATTTTTAAGTCACCATTGGAAAAATTAATCCGCTGCGACCATCCATGCTATTCATGGCATGGTAAGCGTCCTGATCCCAACCATTTAAGACTATTTATCAAAGAACAGTTCCATGTAGCCCAGCGCGGATTTCGCCAGCTTGAGCAGTATCGGGAGAAGTTTTACAGTATTTTACTCGCAATTTTCATCCCTTGAACAGTTACACACATGTACAGATAGGTAGTACAGATGCTAGATTGAGTAGAACCTCACGATAAAAAGCCAGCTTCCAGCCGGAACTTTACATAATAGGTACATTGCAGTCGAAAGCATTGGAGTTTTTAACAAAGAGCGACTTCTCGATCTCAGTCTAGTGTGAACTAACGCACTTTTGCCATACCCATCGAAGAAATGAAATGCTGCGTGGCAGGCATGTGAAGTTCAAACTCCCGTCCACTGGGGAGGATTGCTTGGGAGCATGGCCTACCCTATAACATCAACTGTCTTCACACTCCACAGCCAAGCATCAATCTTCCTTCGTTGGATACAAATAACACTAGATATCTCGGTACTGTAAAAAGTCAAGCTCATCCTATGTCGTTTGGGCTATACGGAGGGTATATCGACCCAATTCTAGGTAGTTTGGGCCAGCATATTTTGGAATCATGGTCTCCAAGTCACAAATTCTCACGTTTAGCTCCTTTCAATGGGGAAGTAGTAAAAATAACAAAAAGTAATCGTGCAAGAGAGATAAGTCAACTTATGATATGAAAGCTTTCTCTATAATTTTATTACATCTTGTAAGTTGAGAAGCACGGCGACCAGAGACCTCAGGGCTTCACTGAGCACGTCCAAATTCCCGCTCCTCCCATTCGCCAAGTTCCGTGTTCTAATAATATTCCCACATCCCACGGAAGGACGGATGATAGTGTGCCTGCTGAACTGTTATTGGTTGGGTTACGGACAGCCATAAATTCTCAGCCACTAATAACTAAACAAGTACTGTGCTTGCCAGTTGACAGTCAACTGTGGACTGACAGTAAACCGTGAACCTCCAATTTTGGCCCCAGTCAAGATTGCAATCCTTCAGCGGAGGGTCTGACTGCCAAAATTGGCACCTTTGGTGGGTGCTTGGTGCCGGTGCATTACGGCCAGACGCTTTTCTTTTGGCTTTTTGCCCAGTATAGGTTTGAGGTCAGACTACATGTAGCTTGTCATAAATTTTAGATGGTTTATGTCATCAGTTGCCTTTCTTATAATTTCTCTTCTTTCTTCCATTTTCTTTATTGAGAACTGTTGGTGGCGTTGCTTCACTTAGAAAATCACCTAATCCACCCAATCAATTCTTTATCTCTGCATCATCTCTACATCTTTCTTTCACTTTCAATCCATCTTCACACCCCAGAGATGCATCAATATACTGTTCTTCTCGCTCTTGGCTTCCTCAGGACAGTCGCGGCTGCATCGAACGCTGCGGGCTCATCCACCCAGCCCCACGCCCGCGCGTGGGATGAAGATCTCCACGAGCGGGAATCTACCAACACTTATGCTCGTAGCTTAAGAGCCCGAATTAACGAGGGAGAAGAGCCTCGGCTGAAGGCTCGTGGACGAAAGCCCTTCGATGGCGAGAAGGTTTTGCGCAACAAGGCCAAGATCAAGCTTAGCATCCCTCGCAAGAAGGCCAGCTCCTCTAAGAAGGCGAAGAGCCAGTGAGCAGGGGAAGTCATTTATACTTTCTTGTACATGGTTGGGGTGTGATGTGACGGCTTGGTGACCTATACTGGACGATGGGTGTAGGGTAGGTTAGAGATAAGGTTGAGGTTGTTCTAAGTGAGATGGTGAGGTTGTCTTAGTTCTGTGCAAGCCATTGCTGATATGCGAGCACTAAGGAGCTAGTATTAATGAAGAGGTAGCTATTGCCATTAATAAGTGTTTAGGGGAGTGTTTCTAGCTATAGAAATGAACATGTATATATACTGTGAGGATCACTAAGGCTCACGAGTGATCCTGAGTGAGTTGCTGCGGATTGGGTATGAAAGCAGGAAAAGGTAGGCATCTTGTGACCTTGTTTCCTAGGGGCAGGCACACCATGATGGAATCTAGCTGAGAGTTGTGTGTAAATAAGTTATCTCTTTGGATACTTTTTCCCTTCTAAATTCTGATGATGCCGTAAGGAAGCGAAAGAAAAGATGAACTCATACAAAAAGGCCAGGATAGATGTGGAGGAACAGAACTTGATTGATGAACGTTCATATAGTCTCTATTTCTTGCTGCAAAATCGGTCTTCCATGGTATTCATTATCAATCCTATTGTATCCATTTGGTCAAAATGGGTAGTGGTAGAGAACGATCCAACTGCTATATGTGAAAAAACACAAATGCAAAAGTTGAAACTGTCGTCCGTCCAGCTAGTCGTCTCCACCAGATGTTGTCGTAGGCAGGGTCGGCGTTTGGTGGGAAGTGGCCGAGGACGACTCCAATTTCTCGAAACCAGCTGTAACGGTTACGTTGGTACGCAGGTCGCTAAAGCTCGAAGTCGTCCCCGTGTAATGTGTTGATTGCGCCTCTCCAGGGGATCCCGAGATCCTTTCTTCTGTGCAATAGGCAATATCGGCCTTGGTATCAAGTGAACACGCTCGATTATAAGACCTGACAAATTGTTAGCTTGAATGAGCGTGGAAAGCAGAACAGGAGAAGCCTCTGACGCCACGTGTGTTGCACCTGAAATGGGCCATTCCGTTGTAGAGAGCGGTGCATCATAGCTGAATGTTGTAGGACCATATGTGACAGTGTCACCATACATGTATTGACAAAAGTCGGTCTTCGAATGGGGCGGGCACCCAAGAACAATAGCTGTCTTGTTGGCGTCGGCGGAAACAATTGAGCCCATAACACCATACGCGAATTGGTCGGCATTAGGCAGAAAGACACTGGCGATTGATGTAGTCGTGATCTCTTGAACTGTCGCCCTGGCGCAAGCCAAGAGACCAATGAGGAGCACCCGGTGACTGAACATGACTATCACCCCGTCTTTGTGTTTGGGTCAAGATTATTATTTTGCAGTTTACGGTCTTCATAAGTATGAGACCTTAATCATGGGATTCTCATCCCCGTTGTCTCTGAAACGGTGGTGTGTTCCACATATGTCGCATGCCGATCGAAATATTGTCCGACGTAGCTGAGAGAGCCACACCATTGTGAAGAGTATTGTCAATTACATGGACTATCAACAACAGACTTGACCGACCATAACCAGCATATTCTTGAGTTTAGTAATTTGTATTGTTTGGCTACTTTACTTATTTCAGGCAGTGCTCTGATCATGATTGCTCACCAATTTGACGTCTCATTTCTTCCCTCAGCCGGTTGGCATCTAAGGAGGATGTTAGTCACTAAATTGTGGGCTAATCTCATGACTGTGCAGAATCAGAAGAGAGAGCGGCACCGCTTCTCAAAGAGCCACTGCCATGCCCGAGGACCATCAGCCGAGATATCTGGTGGATACATCCTCCGAGCCGGGCCGTCGGCGGTAACAAAAAGCGGGTAGACTTACGGTGACAACTATGGATTATGCCAGGGATCCGGGAGTCACGCAGTAATCAGCATGTTGATTGGCTTTCCAGGATGCCGAAACAGTTTGGTCGGCGACTGAGTTTCTACAAGCTGGCAGGCACCTGACTATTACTATTATCGCGGCCGGGCGTACACGACGGCTCGGACGCTGACCGCGGGTCGGTTCACCATAAACTGAGAAATCAAGGCTTGGATTCTAATCTTGGGTATATATTGCGAACCTTGCACAACAGAATTCTTCGCGACGTTTCTTCGGAGAGCTGATTATGATTACACAACGTTTTGCCAGGGTGGAACAATGGCCTCTATCACAGTTGCAGACAGATCCGATATTGGCCGTTCGAGGGAGGCTTTTGGGAACCACAACATCGCGACAGTTCTTCCCTTTGTTAACGGAGGCGCTTCAGGCATGGTCGCCTTTGCCGTAATACAGCCCGTCGATATGATCAAGGTACACGAAGTCCAGAACAACCAGCCACGACGGGCGAAAACAGAAAAGGGAATGCAGAATGCCTTTCCTCGCAAATCATAGCTGACCAAATCACTCTAGGTCCGCATGCAGCTTGTTGGTAAATGTACGCCCACCAGCACTAAACCAACCCCGTTTGCGTTGGTCAAGGATCTCGCCTCTCGGGGAGGACTACTTGAATTATACTCTGGTCTCTCTGCTGGGCTCCTGCGGCAAGCCGTATACGCCACGGCACGCCTCGGGACTTTCGATACTCTTATGAAAGCCTTGCAGAAACGAGCAGATGAACGCCACGCCACTGTTACGTTCGTCCAGAGGGCCGGTGCAGGGTTGACCTCTGGGGCTCTGGCTGCCTTCTTGGCCAATCCCGCGGACCTGGCGCTGATAAGGATGCAGTCAGATGGTATGAGACCTATAGCTCAGCGACGGAATTACAAGTCGGTCTTTGATGCCTTCGGCTCGATAGTACGCTCGGATGGCATTATATCCCTCTGGACAGGGTGCGCGCCCACCATTGCCCGAGCCATGGCGCTGAATCTTGGGCAACTGGCTCTGTTCTCAGAGACCAAAGCCCGGCTGAAAGAGCACACGGCGTGGTCCATTCAAACACAGACTGTAATAGCCAGTGCTCTGGCCTGCCTCTTTGCATCGACCATCGCCCTCCCATTCGACCTCGTCAAAACGAGGTTACAGAGACGCGCAAGAACAGTGGAAGGGGCTCTATTATACCGCTCAATGGCAGATTGCTTCCAAAAGATAGCAAGCGAGGAGGGGCTAACACGCTTCTACCGTGGATTCGGACTCTTTTATCTTCGCACTGGTCCACACGCGTAAGAGACCTTTTACGAAACAGACTTTGTGTAATGAGATTGCTTGACTAACTTACTTCTAGGATGTTGACGTTGATATTGGCTGATTACTTCGGGTGGCTGACTGGAGCCAAACAAGCATGAAGAGGTTTGTAAGACTGGCATTCCCCTCGGATATATTTTCACAGACACTCTCCTATTCATTGCGGGAGGAAGGTTTTCTATGTTTATTTACTATAGTATGTCCATAGCTAATCGCTCGGGGACGAACATTGGAGCATTGCGTGTACAAAAGGTGGATGAGAGGGCAGCTTTCCATTGAAAATTGGGATAAAATGCAAAAAGCCCTAGGGCTTTGCTGGTTGGAACTGCGTTCTGGATCGCACTGCTCTTAAAATGCTAACTCATGTTATAAAGCGATGGGATATTCATGCGTAAGAAGATACGGCACCAGCAACACAACAGCGGTTGATGATCATGAGTTTAACAGAGAGCAGAGTTATTTGAAGTGTTAACCGAATAGAGAGGCATAGAGCCTCTGAAGCCGACGTAGTATTATCAATGTTCTAACCTGCAAATAGGCAACAGATAAAAGAGACACTTCCAAGGAAGATTAACCACATAGAGTAAGGTGTTGCTGAAAAATAAAGGCTTAGACCCTTAGGCTGACTTTGCCTTCAAATTAAGGTCTATAAGTAGAAACGCCTCAAGAATCACACTCAACTCAAAGTCAATACCTGCTCCCCTCCGAATCTCTACTAAAGTTTCCCCTCCATCAGGCTCAATGCTCAGTCTCGCGAAGACGTATTCAATTGGTGCCGGATTAATATGATTAGTGTAGAGTTCGCCTTCCCATCTTAGCTTTGCGCCTTTACCCTCATCAATTTTCCATTGAAAGTACTGAGGCTTGGCAGGTCGACCAGGTACCGTGACAACCGGTATATGGGTGTCAAACCATAAGGGAAGCCATGACTTTTCCCAAGTAATAGGGCGCCAAGGTGCATTAGGCTCGGCAGGTGAAGAAGTGCATACCATGCCGACAGGCAGGGTCTTGCTTTTCTGATCAGCTGATGCACGTGCTGCAGCGAGGAGTGTACCATCAGATGCAGAGAAGATTTGGATATTGCCGACTTTGCTGGGCCCAAGGACAAGTTCAATGCGATAGAGAGGTGTAGGGTCGACTGTAAGAAACAGATGGTAGGTTGACTCAGAAACACGAATGATAGAGAAGTAGTCAACCTGGCCATCCTTTATTGAGCATGTTTGGACAGTACCGGCAAGACGGCTAGGGTAAGAAACAAGAGATGCTCTTTCTTGAGCGAAAGGCTTCTCCTGGTAGGGAGGTAGGTTGTCGTTACTGGAAGACATTTGGGTCGTAAGAAGATGAAAAATGGGCGAAGGAGATGGTGAGATGGCGACTGCTGGCGTGCTGGAGTGTATCAGATCAGTGAGGGGTAATTAAGGTAATCAATACTACATGTAGGTGCCCAGCCAATGCAAACCACGCCACACTCTCAGTAATATGGGTAATATCGACAGTGGGTCGACACCTCAAGGTGACGATATTATCATATGGTGGGTAGGTACAAATCTTGATACGAAATTAGAGCAAATTAGCTGAGATATGCAAGACTTTCCTTTTCAGGTGTTGAACTGCCGTTTCTCCCGTGTAAGTGAGCTATAAATTAACATCCTGGGTCAATTTGTGATAGTTGCTTTGTAACAAGATGCATTCTTACCAACGGTCTGGCGGATCCGAGTAATAGCGGACAGCGGCTATTTACCTGATTGGCTCAACAACTTCTACAAGAGCCTGTAAAGCCCCACCCGTCGCGTTCCAAACTGATTCTCATTACGAGGTGCATATGCTGTTGGTTCTACTCTTCAAATCGCATCATGCATTACGTGAACATCGCTGACGAGTACAGCTATGCGAAACTAAAAATGGTTTGCCTCATCCTTGTAGCGGGTACTTTTTACCAACCGGACTTATTCTCGTATTCCTCAGCCTTGGTCTGAGGTTCTTGGCAAGGCCAAGTTTAAAAGGAACAGCCGATGGGCCGGCTTCACAATAATTATATATACCGACATCGACAGAGATAATAAAGCAAGAAACATCATAGATCCCACTTTATTCATCTCTTTCCCACTCCTTGACGAATTCTAAATCACACTTTTCCGTCTATCATCATGCGCTTCAACATCACCTCCGTCTGTGCCTTGTTATCCATTGCCACCCAAATCGTCTCTGCCGAGCCTGCTAGAGCATGGGATGACCCGCAAAACACTTTCTGGTATGTACTCGCGTCTTGGCCTGCACCCAGAACTCATAAAGCTAAGTAAATTTTCACACAGGTACGCAACAAGTGCGGCAGTCTGCGGCTATGGAGCCAATCTTTGCAGCACCCATGGCCAAAAGGCCTCCGCTGATACACTCGCAACTGCCGCGTTCTGCTGTACTATGACTGGTATCGCAGCAGTGGCTAGCCGTACCGAACAACTTGAAGACGCGAAGAAAGGCTTTGAGAAGACGAAGAAAACGTTCGGCGATGCTGCCACGTTTGTCAAGGAGAAAGCTGGACAGTACAAGACTAAAGCTGGAGTGTTTTTCGCCGATTGCAGTGACAAGTTTTGTCGACTGGTCAACAGGCCAAGACCCCCCACTCCTACAAGGCCGAATGGCGCTGCCCCCAAACGCAGGAACTATCAACGCAACCAGAGACGTAGTGGGCATAGGAAGATGAAGCGCTCCTCCCCCACAGGTACGCGGATTCGGAGCCGTGACCTGATGAGCATGGGTTACTACTACTAGACGATTTGGGAGTCTATAAAAGTAGGCTTACTGCGAGACGCGTTATTGGTGTGGCTGAAAGTGGCCAGCGAGGATACTGATCTTGTGTGTGTACCTTTCTAGTCTTATGTGTTATCTCTTACCCGGTATAAGCAAAAGCTTTTGAGTCTCGAAGAAGATTTCCCAGGGAGAGGTAATTTTTTGAGGCAGCTTTCAAGATGACAATTCATGTATCTAACAATAAGGTACTCCGTAGTGTGGAGCTTGATACCCCACTGGAGCAATCTTGAAACAACCTAGACGCGAGCGAAGCGGACAGGCGAAAAATAATTGTATGGAATTAGTTTAGCTATAGCTCAAAATGAAAGCTTTTTCATAAGGCGCCGAACTCACGGTGATCTATGGAGACAGTTAATTCGTGAGCAGTTGACCTGGCTGCCTTCCTTTAGGGCCAAGGCTACATGTAAGGTGGGCGGTGTTTACTGCGCAACGCGGTGCAAGGCATAGAATGCAATTTCTGAGTATTTTCCAAGTTGTGACGGAATGATTAATAAATAATTCTATGTCGGTGACGATGCCCTTGCTAGAACACCCTGTTAGCTAGAACATGGAATAGTCGTAAGAGCCTGATCTTCTTGGCACAACGGGTCCAACGAGAATATCGTCACCCACACACGACACAATGTCAGTTACTAATCCAACTGTCCATCTTGACCTCCTAGACATGGCCGTAGCGTCGTATGTAGTAGTTGCCGTAGCCGGAGGTACAGCTGTGGCTGGTCTGATGCAGCTAAAAAGGGCAAAAAGAAGCTCATTTAGTTATTTCAACCAGAAGAGGCATCTTTGCAAGAAGGAAAGGGGGAGAAGAATATAATAAAAATGAGAGCATTCGCAGGGAACAGGAGTCAACAAAATTTCCAGGCTATGATATATACGAGATCGGGTGAGATGTTTGGTTAGGTACCTGGCATGACAACACATTCGCTATAGCTGAAGATGAATTCGCCAGCCCCTGCTCCCTTCCTTAGCAAACATGCACATTCACAAGGCGGTGGAAAGCGGGAGACCGACGGAGCCAAGTCTAGATCTTTATTTTCGACAGTGAACTACTTTCAGATCGCCGTCTGCTATCCTTAATTCGCATAAGCGCCCATTTAGCTGCATGTGCTGAAAGAGAGAGCATAGTACAAATGCGCCACCAGACGCGCCCTATTCTCATGACTCCCGTCCATTGGGCTGGGCACAGGGGTCGAATGCATGGAGTCAGCACTCAGCCCAGCGCTATTTTCAAGTCTGATCAGCCCTAAACTTCCTAGCAGTTGAGTGGTGGCCATTTAAAAAAGACAAAGCAGTGTTGAAATCATTGAAAGACTAGGTGGCTGTATGTATCATGTCGGTCCTTGAGCAGCATTGTGGAAGTGTATAAGAGACCTTCGCCAACCGCTGGCCAACCGACCTTGGATTACTTCTCCAAAAACCGACGTATATTTTTGTTCTTGGTTGATTTTTCTAGAGCAGTAGAACATTTATACACTTTCCTTTACCCCCACATTGGAAATGAACAAGGCATTCGCAACCGAGGTTCTCCTGCTTTGCAGCTGGGCGTTGCCTGTTGCCCACGCCGCCGCCCTCTCAGCAGTCGATGATATAGGAGACACTACATTACTCTACACTCGGAAGGGAGGAAAGGGCGGCAGCTCGGGAGGCAGCGGTGGCGGGTCTTCCTCCTCGTCCAAGAAAAGCACCATCTCTACTGCAGCCATCATCGCCATTGTCGTCGTGATCCTTGCTGTGCTCTTCGTCGGTTGGATCCTTTGGAAGTGCGTCCTCCCACGAGTCTTGGTCAAGAGAAAGGCGAAGAAAGAACAGAAATACCAGGAGCAAGTCTATGAACAGAAAATCGACGACACGGCCATCACAGCCACCACGACTACTCCCCAAGTCTTCCAGCCCCCATACCAGCAGCCATGTACTTACCCCCAGCCTCCCTATGGACAAAACAGCTACGGGCCACCGGTTGGGCCTCCCCCATCTAGCCACCATTAAACAGAGGGTTGGAAATTCACACCGATGAGGAAATGAGAAGTGCGTTGGCAACCTGAGCATACCCTGGTCGTAGGGCTGAAGCACCAATGCACTTGGGCGGGGCCATCCGCAATGAAGATCGGCCGCCACTTGCCACTTGGCATGCTCTTGAATGGTAACATGATCACATAGATAGGTGTGGGGATACCTGAATGCCACTGTGATGGAGAGAGGACGAGAGACTATCGAGAGGGTATCTGATCTGTGCACACGACAGACAACTTGGTTTGAAGAATACGATACGAGATGATATATTGGGTTTAGCGGATACTGTATGAAATGAATGAATACGAAGTCTTTTAGGAAGGGTTAGGCTTTTTTCTGCTGGCGGAATTGTGATTCCAGGCTCTAGAAGGGTTAGATCGTATCACAAAATATTGCACTCGGCGACTCACTACGGCACCGCTATGAAAAGTCAAGTTGGAGCCACATGGAGGCAGCCTCTCACAAGCCACGGTCCATGATCTCTTCTTTACCATTGCAGTGTGGCTTGCTTTATACACTTCCCTTCCGTACTTCATGTTGAATAGGCGTGCTTGTACTGTCCCAGTCGCAACCAAGCATCATATATTCACCTGGGACCTGAGAATTTTAATTATATTCGGGCTTCCGCGAAATTACGATCAAACAGACACTTATAATTTAGCTCTTGGTGTTCCACTCCAGATACTTCTCACAATCTCCCAGTACCTAACCTCATCCTCTTTGGCATGTGCGACATGGCCCGATCCGGCGAAGGGCTCCCTGTAGACCTCGAAACCGTTCTTCTCGGCTTCACCTGCGTGTGCTTCGACGTCCAAGTGACTCACGACCGGATCCGCGTCGCTGTAGATATATACCCGCCGCCTCTCGCGCACCCTGGAAGGGTCGTTGTGGCTCTTGCCCCAATGGAGAAGCACGTCTTTCCACAAACCGAGATTGATCATTGCTGACATTCCAGTGGCGATGGTGTACAAAGTGGGAATGGCTACCATTCGGTGCGTGGGCGAGGACAAGCCGGTGGTGAGATACGCGACCGTTTGGTGGATGCGAAATACCGAAGGGCTTGAGTCGAAGATGGTGACATGGTGAGGTAGTACCGTGTCCTCTGCATTCTCTGATGTTGCAGCATACTGCTCATATAAATTGGAGATGCTTGCAGAGCCGCCATTGGAAAAGATGTGTATTAGGAGGGATGGCGTCGCGATAGACGACGATGGAGGTGAAGATGGCGGTGATGGAGGGAAGAACTCTCTGATAATGTCCAATGCTGGCCGAACTGCCGGCCCAATCAACGACGTGTTGTTGAAGAGTCTCGTCGTGCTCCTCAACAGAAGAATGGAGGCAGCCGGGTACAGCTGTTTGTATTTTGATATGTATTTAGCAATATGCGAGTCCCGTGCGTCAGTCCAGGTGCCGATAATGATGAGCCGCGGGCTCGCCTTGGCGTTGGCCACATCACCGGAAGGCCCGGGGTCGTATCCAGGCGGACGATATACAGATATCTCGTTGGAGAGCTTCTCCATGTATGACAGCGGCCCGCCACCGGAGTCGCTCGCGCTTGGGGCCATTTTGCCGGTTCCTCGTATGTCGTGCCTGTGTCGTGTCTAGTCAAAGCTTAGCTGACAGGCTCAGCACTCTTCTCGAGGCTCCATTGTTGTTATTTTTTGTTTACATCGGACACGGCTGACAAAGCTTCTGACTCGGCCCAATCCCGTAGCTTGAGAAGATCTCGGCCACTTGGAACAACATGAAGGCTATTCTAACGCGTCTTTTGCTTCCTGCCAGCAGGTTCTCGTTTATGCGTCGGCCCCCGTGTTACTGTGATTGATCCAGAGTTGGTTGCATGCAGCCAATGGCACCGTTGTTCATCTCTCCAGCCCCTGTACATGGCCAATATCCAGGCGTGTAACCAGCCCACGCTGCAGGATACGGTTCCTTCCAGCAGTCTTGGGCATAAATACTCTCCGGACATCTCGCAGTAGTCATAATGGTTGACTCTTGGCCGCGATTAGGGTTGCAAGGCGGCGAGGCGTAATTCAAGGCGCGCGACAATTAGGTTCGAGGCAGTGTTGTTTCCAATAAACATCCCTGTAAGGCAGACGCGAAGGATCGAATTTATTAGGGGGTGACACGCCGGAAATGAGACATCGATCAACTGATTCCCAGGCATATTCCCACCGAGAGGCAAGGCGTTGTCCATCCTTCCTCCATCTAAATAATTCCCCGCGCGGCCAAGTCCATCAGTCACAGCACCATCGGGTTCTTCTACGGCCACGCTGCAGGCCAACTTGCTGATATCAAGACTCGCGTCGCTTATTTGACTCGGCTGCGGGGTTCGCGGACTCCAAACACATCAAAGATGGCGCGGAATGGATCAGCTCGCAGGCTGCAAAGGTTCATGATGCAGTTCTTGGAAGTGGTGATAGACGCCAGCGAGGACGAGCTTGAGGACTTTCGCGATGAGGCTTTGAACCCAATGACCATCATCGCGTGGCTCCATGAGGCCTGGCGCGGACTGCGGAATGGAATAAAGAAAAAGGGCGTCGCCAGGTCCATCCCATCGATCATCCTCATGTTGGCCTGCCCCGTCCTGATACCTCTCGCCTGGCTCGCCGCCTTTTTGGGATACTTGCTTCTGAGTTCCCCCACCGTCATCGGGTTTCTAAAGAGGGTTTTGGCCTACCTGGAACGGAGGACCAAGAAGAAACAGGATATCGCATTCCGAGACAAGTTCTTCCTACCTATCCCAAAGGCATCTGGGGAACACAAGCAAAAGGCGGCCAGTGAATCGCTGGCCCATCGGACGGACAAGTTCTTCTTACTTCCCCCTGAGCTTCGCTATCAGATTCTGGACGATGCCTTCGGTGGGCGGACCTTACATATGAGCCTGGAGTATCAGTACCCATTTTATATGGCCATGTTTGAAAGATATGACGATCCACGGTTTGGCTGCCATGCTAAGATCGAACGCCTGGTCACAGTCAAAGACTCCCACCTGCGGACAAAGGAACCTAAGCAGTGGGTATGGTTCGGGTGCGTGTGCCATCGTTCCTCATGCCATGCATCCAGGACTGCTCGATATCTGGATAAGTTCGGTGATATCAACGGGATTGTATCTCGAGACAGTGACGCCCCATGCGAGCCTAAAGATGACAGGTGTCTAGAGGGCATCGCTCGTTGTAAGGAATGGCCGGGAATATGGCCAGAGAAGTGTCAGATTGGGATTCTCGGATGGCTCCTCACCTGCCGGCAAGCGTGAGGCTTTTACCGTTCAAAGAGACCAGGTCAAATTGCTGATATTTCTCCCACCCTAGGTACTTCGAGGGCTCCAGTGTGCTGTATAGAAACAACACTATCAATATTGCCTCGCCTGCCCTTCATCGAAGTATTCAAGATGTCCTACCTCAGCAAGCCCTGTGTAACATGACTTCACTTGAATTCGTCTGGGATCTGGACCGTGTCCCTCTTGACGAGGCTTTCAGAACTGCGTCAAAGAAGAGAGCCCGAGAACACTCTTCACCTCTCTTTCCATCCATGACCAACCTTCGAGTTGCCTTTTCAAAGAGTTCTCGCGACGCTAGCTCTCTCGGGCTTGACAGACACGACATGCACTGGACCGAAATCAAGAAAGCCCTCCTCGGGCAGCTATTTCCTATGGTTGATGACTTTCTCGAAAGAGTTGTTCCTAGTACAACAGATGTGGTGATATCCTGTCCATCATGGAGCTGGTATTCGGCTATTGACCTAATTCTCATCGATAAACAAGGTAAAGATGTCTCTATGGCGCAACACTCAAGCTTTGGAGGTACCAAATTCTGGAGACAGTCCCCTAGGCACGAGGTGACCTCACCTCAGACTAGGGATGTTCAAACTCTGGAAGAGGGGACGCAATCAGAAACCTTACGAACTGGTTTCTGGATTCATACTTCTGACAGGCAAATACGCCATGCCTCGCGGGGAGCCAATGAGACTCAAGGTAAGCGCCCCGACCTACTATACATCCCCGGGCAGGTTCATGTGCTCATCAATGTGATTTCCTCTTCTATTTATTTATCTCAGCTCACACGGAGAATTTCAGACGATCAGCGACGCCGAGAATTATATGATGGAGAGGAGAGTCGCTCCCAATAGTCCTTCCCAAAGAATACAGATCCTCCCGACCTCTGGTCTCTAAAGAAGTAGCAATGGATACTCTAAACATCCACGGGTATGTTTAGTGAGAAGCTTACGTCTTATGATCGATGCGGTGGAAACGGGCGACTGTCCTCTTTTCTTTGTAGATGATGGTGTAGAGATGCTATTGGAGGCAGGGTCCAGAATGTTGTGTGTACAAAGCAGCATGTGTTTCCATGCACACTTACCTGCGACTCTTCGAGCAAGCAGCTGGGCATAGTTAGTGGCTAATACGACTTGTTTCCACAAGTTCCTCGCGGTGAAATCCACATCTCGCCTTCGCACTCCCTCGCGACCGACATCCGCAACAGGTAACTAGGTTCGGCAGCCGCCGCATTTTAAGTCGCTACCCTAGTCATGAATCATGATGATAGGAAAGCCTCCCTGGATCTCTTCTGTTGCTTATGTAATTGCTTACGGGTTAGAGTTTCAGACCGCTCGATGTACGCTCATTCCTTTGCTGACGCGGAGTTTGCGAAAGGAGTTCTCAAGAACCACCAACACACTGCAAGCCACTCTGTCATCTACCTCAGGTAAAATACCCTCAATAGATTCATCGCAGTTCCAAGGTGAAATATAGCATGGTAGTTAGTGAGACGATGTGCTTTTGGGTGAGCCGATGGACTACTGTCCTCGCTCTCGTTATCACCGTGCGTTCATTCAAGGACTTCCCAGACCTTATCTTCCTCTGTGTCTATGTAATGAAGAAATAACTGATTTGGCCAGTATCCCATCATCCGAATCATCTACAACCTGTATTTTCATCCTCTGGCAAGGTTCCCGGCCCAACCGCATGGTCGGCGTCAAGGCTCCCGTTTGTCTTTGCGCTTCTTAGAGGAACCATTGTGCACGACTTCCAAGATCTCCATCGTCGATACGGGCCAGTTTTGCGGACCGCGCCGGACGAAGTTACTTTTGCCCAGCCAGATGCATGGGCAGATATCTTCCAGCTGAGGCCCGGTCACCAACAGTTTCTCAAGGACCCAATCTGGTGGAAGCGACAGCCGGGCAAGCCTGATTCCCTCATCAGCGCGATTGACCCAGAGTCGCACGCTCGGGTTCGCAGGGCACTCGCTCCCGCATTCACTACACGCGCCTTGCGCTCTCAAGAGCATGTCCTCTACCGATACGTCAACCTTCTGGTTGAGCGGCTTCAAGAAACAGTCAAGGCACGGCCCCAGGAAGCTGAGCACGCAGTGGTGGACATGTCGCCATGGTTCAACTTCACCACATTTGATATCTTTGGAGACCTAGGCTACGGTGAGTCCTTTGATTGTCTACAGAATTCCCGATACCACCCATGGATCTCACTTCTATTCAACAGCGTCAAGGCTGCTTCTTACGTAGCAGCGGCGCGCTATTATCCCGTAGTCGAGTATCTACTTCTCAAATGCATCCCGGCATCGCTTCGCAAAATGGCGGATGATCACTACCGACAAATTGTGGACAAGGTCGATCGGCGTTTCAACTGGGAGCTGGACCGCCCGGACATCATGTCGCATGTGATGAAGGTCAAGGATGAGCCAGAAGGGATGACCACCGATCAGATCTACGCGACATTCATGGTTTTGACAACAGCGGGGAGTGAAACAACTGCCACGGTCTTGTCGGGGACTCTGAATTACTTGACTGCCAACCAGGACAAGCTTCGTAAGCTGGAATCCGAGATATTGCGTGCCTTCCAAAGTCGAGACGAGATCAAACTAGACACTCTAAAGGACCTGGCTTATCTCAATGCTGTCATCCGCGAGGGCCTTCGGCTCTGTCCTCCGATCCCCTGGATGCTTCCGAGGCAGGTACCACCACCTGGAGATACCGTCTGTGGTGTTTGGCTGCCCGGAGGGGTAGGTCTATCTCTCGATTATCCCTGCTAAGACCGAGGTGTCTTTTGACCAACCTACGCTGACATGAGCCACGTATTCAACTATATATAGACTTCTGTATCGATCCAAGCATACACGATGAACCGAGACCCTCGCTGCTTCCATTTACCTACTAGCTTCGTTCCTGAGCGATGGCTCCCCGAGGCTCTCACCGACAATAACTCTGTATTTTATAAAGACCAGCGTCACGGCCTCCAGCCCTTCAGTGTGGGACCTCGCAACTGCATGGGTCAACATCTGGCCATGGCTGAGATGAGACTCATCTTGGCAAGCCTTGTATGGACATTTGGGTTTCAGTCGGCAGGCCCGCAGCTGCGCTGGGAGGATCTGAGGACGTTCTTACTGGTGGAGAAGAAGCCAGTCAACGTGCGGATGAAACTGAGAGATCGTTCATTGAGGCCGTCGCCTGCGTAGATCCAACTAGAGTGGTGGGATGTACACATGTGTAATGTATACAGCCCTACTACTCAAATCAAAACCTCCAGGGCTTGGAAAACTGCCATTACGTATGGAATACTACCCGATTGTTCTTTGATGGGAGCGTTCTAGGTTGCCATCTTTGGCATGCGGGGAAGTCAATATATTTCAATTCTCAATAGGGCAGGTTTAGGCACAATCTTTGACATATTTCTCATCCCCATGGGGAATCACGATCCTCATCTTATGCTCCACTTGGAGGTGCCCACAAACAGCCTATATTCTTGTGCTCGCCTGGCCTCATGGTCCCGAGACCTTTCTGGGAAATGGCCGTGAAAATCAGCCGACTACCCCTCACCTTTCTTATGACCCATACGTTGCTGGGGCTTATTGGGGACTCGGATGGTTTGTTCTCATCTCCACCGTGAACGGCCCGATTGAGGTTACGGTTCAATTTTATCCATTCGGCAATTTTAAGCGCCTTGAAAGAGTTATTGTTGACCTATCGCAAGTCTATCAGACATATTTTCTAGGCACTGTATATAAATATGGTGGCCGTTTGTAGAAGACCTTGCCGGGAGTGAGTCAAATTCGTACATCTCTGATTGAATCTTCGTCTATTCGCGAGTGAAAGACGTCTAAAACTTGAATATGAAGCTACCATTAGCTTTTGCGGCACTGTCCAGTTTGGCCACGGCCAACACTATCTCTCAGCATGGTACTTGTCTTCAATCTGTCCCCAGGGAGCAATTGTTAACCAGAAATAGCTCCTTTGAAACCGCGTATCATTGTTCTGACTGATATTACTCAGGCCTCATGGGAGCCTGATGATATGCAATCGATGGTACATCTTTTTGCAAGCGCTGATCTATTCGAGATCGAGGCCCTCATCGCCACATCTGGATGGAGCATTCCTCCTGAGCCACTTGGTCCCAACCATATACGCGATGTGATCGAAAGCTACCGTTCTGATTTGCCAAATTTGATGAGGCGAAGTAACCAGGTCACGTTTCAAAAATCTGAAGATCAACAAAAGATTGGCTACTGGCCAAGCCCGGAATACCTCGAAAGCATCATCAGAAGTGGTTACCCAGAACGGGGAATTGAATCAATTGGAGACGGAAGAGAGACAGATGGCTCAAATTTCATCATTGATATAGTTGACCAGGCAGACGACAGACCCATCTATGTTGGAGTATGGGGAGGAGCCAACGTTTTAGCCCAGTCCATCTGGGACATCCGCCGCACCCGGTCAGAAGCCGAACTGTCTGCCTTCTTGTCCAAGCTTCGGGTTTATGCCATCACTGACCAAGATCGCGATCAAGGGGCGCCCTACACGAACAGCTCGCAATCTTGGATGCGGCAGACTTTCCCTGAACTCCTTTACATTTCCAGCGAGTCTGCTTGGGTCGCTTACGGTCGGACTATTCGGGATTCGTATTGGGATAGCCACTACGTGACCGAGATCCAAGGCAAGGGTGCTTTGGGGAAGAAATATCCCAAGTGGAGATACATTGCTGAGGGGGACTCGCCATGTTTCGCCTATGTCTGGCCCGGCCTTAATGACCCTGAGGACCCAAGGCAGTCGAGCTTTGCGGGGAAATTCGCATGGGAGCTCACCCCGGACAATGTGACTACGACCTGGACTGATTCTTCGCCTCAGACTGCAGCTTGGAGCAAGGAGTCAGTCACGGGTCTTCTACCATATCATATAAATGACTTCATCGCAAGAATGGACTGGGCAGCGAACGGTGCAGGAAACCGGAATCCAGTAGCCATTCTTCAAGGTGAAGCTGGCTTTTCGCCAGTTGTTCTCAAATCTCGTCCTGGAGATGTCGTCAGCTTGAGCGCAAAGGGCTCGAGAGACGAAGACGGAGACTCGCTAACCTTCGACTGGTACCATGATAAAGGTGCTGGAGGCTATTATGGTGACCTTTGCTTGGAAGGAAAGGATACGCCCAAACTTTCCCTGAGAATACCAAGAAACGCATCACGAACCAAAATTCACATTATCAGCCGAGTGGTTGACAATGGAACGCCACCCCTCGCATCTTTTAGGCGAGCAATTATCAGTGTCAACTAAGCAGTCAGTTTGGTGTGATCTTCTTAGCACAGTTAAAAGACGGATCATCTTGGTACTGATATTTTGATGCAAAATAAATATCAAATATGTATCTAAATATCGCAGACACGATGCGAAGCATTCAAATTGGCTGTAGCTATCCCGACAGTTCCTCAGAAAAGTGGCTATCAGTGATACTTTGTTTTTTGACAGCACTAACAAACCTTACCCTTCTAATTTGGTTTCAGTGTGTCCTTCAACTAGCCTCCACCAAATATATCCAAATTCAAGAGCTAGAATGAACATCAACCAATGTCTAATACGAAAATGATGGAGGCATAAGCAAAATCCTCAACTACCACCACGGGAGCTAGTCAATGACCTTCTCCGAGACTATACCCAAGGACATTCCACCCTTTATAATATGGTAAGTACAAATCTCCACCAGAAAGAAGGACGGTCGGTTTGGAAAGGCTTACCGGTACCCCATATATTCCAGTAATGACTTCAAAAGAGGGTAAACTCAGTTCAAAAGGAACAAGGGGACCGCCATACTGAAGGCCGTAGTTGCATAACTCATACTCCCACCCCCGGTCTGTTATAAGCTAGAAGAAAAAGGTTAGATATTCAATGATGCCATACCATTGAGTCTCTAGTTGAGAAGGCTGTGGAAGGGGGAGGTACAGCTCAACATACAGTAGCAGAACTAAGCACTCCATAAATGAAGGGATCTTCATTTGGTTTTAGATCCCCTTCGATTGTTAATATGGCTCGGACAAACCGCTCTCCACCTTTGCTATCAATCTCAAAATAGGGATGCTCCGTCTCTCTGTATCCATATCCCGTTGGCCATGACCGCTCCAGTGGAGGGACACCGTCCGATTCGTAAGTGAAGATAATTGCGGTACTCAGTTCCCCACGAATCCCAGAGAGAGACCCGAGTAACTGGCCATCTTTACCCCCAAATCTCGTGAAGCAGAGTGGCAGATACCTTGATCCACTCACGGCCTCGCCTTTTAGAGTCGGGTGAAAGTCATAGGGAAGCATTGCAAGCTTTTCGTGTAAATTTGCTGTCATGTCCGGCATTTCTGGGTACCAAATTCCGGAGTGAAAAACAGACGATCTTCTGTTTTTCATTTTCCCTTCCTCCTCCACTGTCTTTGCTGGATGTCTTGAAAAGGACAGTTTAATCAATTTAAATCCCTAAAAAGAAAAAGGCTCTTCGTAAGCTTTATCAACCAATGATTAGAAAGGGACGTACAGACATCAAACACGCCTTCAACCGCAGTAATCTTGTCATGGAGTACAAGCCTCCTCGTTGTTGGCATATCAAGACCGACTCCGAGCCAGTCTGACATATCTCCATTGGAGTACACCGCCTGAACGGAAATAATGCCCAAGTACTCGAGCTTCAGATTGAAGCCAATTGGGTCCTCGCGCAACTTGAGCCTGCGTACTGACCCTGATTTGTACCCTATGTGCCTGCTCCTGCTAGAAGTCATAAGAAACGTGATGCCAGAGATGAATTCAACTGGACCAAGCCGGACAAAGTACACTTGGATCTCCTCCAGTGGACCAGGGAGCTGAAACCTTTGCCTAGGAAGCTTTAATTTGGGACCGTTCTCGGATGATCGTGCTGCATCCTGTTGGCTGGTAGTCACAGAGGCCCAAACATCAAACTCACAATCAGGGCCAAATATAGAGGGCCTTGTAGCAGATTCGATCGGTGAAGATGGTGTCGCGTCCCTGATGAGCTTGGCGAGGTTCCAAATCCTCGATCTATTGCGAAGACTTTGTGGAAGCCGCTCGAGCTGACTCGTGGTTTTGTAGAGTGATCTCCAATCAACTCTTCGAACCTTTGCAATTCCTATCGCCTCAAACAACCAATCTTTATCTCCACCGGGGGTGAATTTCAGCGCCCAAAAAGACTGTTGGTGAAATATGAAGTAGAATGCCCTCGACGCGAGCCGCAAGGCAAGGAGATCAGCTGTTGGAAGCAGATTTGCAACCAAAAAGCGCACATCAGATGATAATAAACTCAAGCAATCGTTCAAAAGGCTAATCTCAGGGGAGACTTCAGCACCTGAAGGCGGTGTTTCGGAACTCTGACGAAGAAGACCCTCAATGTCCTCAGAAGAACAGGGATCTTGATTGAAAAATTCAGGAGCATCACGCCTGTCATCCACGTTACGGCCTTGAATTCTATCACCATAAGTGACCTGCAATGCGCCCCCATAATCGTGACCCCAGTCGAGAATTCTATGAGGTTGCGGTCCCTCCAGCGACTTGCAGACGTTGAAGATCATGTCGTAGGGAACGGGGGCTGGGGAATAAGCTTTTTGCAGCAGGGACCAGCAATTCTCGTGCGCAGGAAATCCATATCGCAGATAATCCTCAGAGGCAGAATGATAGTCCATCACGCGGATTGATTCATGGGACGGCAGGTTAGTGATGCCCGAATATTCGCGAGTATCGTCGTGATCCCATGGTGCATACCAGGAACGCCCTCGGGCATCACGGTGAGAGGCTAAGCCGCTTAATCTTGTGGAAAACTGACGATCTTGATAAACTAGTTTTGGACAGTGAGTAACATTGCGTGAGAGAGCATGATTCTGATTCACACACACCAATGCGATATCTTTGCTTCCACGCCAATGCCGGAATGTCTTCGTCCGTGAGTCTCGGCCGAAGGACTTCATGGCCGCAAATAATACAGCATTTAGTCTGGGCTATTCGAGCCATGAGAGCCATGTTAGTCTCGTGGCAGGAAGAACGCAATAAGGGGAAATAGTCGGGAGCGGTGACTGGAGCGGAGAAATCACCGTGAATTGAGATAACTAAATTAAGAGTCCAAAACCGAATGACTAATCAAGCTCAAAGTTGCTATATTTAGCCCAATTCACGGAAGATGTCAAGCAGTGCTGTGATTTCCGCTGCCGTAAATCGTAAAGTCACCAATCTTGCCGGCAGAGACAGACCCGTGGTCAAGGGCTTTGGAATAACAAGGCGTTTCTCCAGGGGCTGGATACGAATTACCCGAGGAACCATCATATACAGTCTACGAGAGACTTATGTAACCATAAGTCGAGCAGGGCAATGGACTTGGTTTTGGGCTAGGGCTTGCATGTCTGAGTATCGTACGTACATTTCAGTGAGAACGGTACCCCACGAGATCAAGTCGTCAACAATGGCGCCGTTGGAATTCTTCTCCTTTTCAGTGCCGGCTCAACCTTCAATGTGCCCATCCACCCCCCTTAGCTCATGGTGATCTTGACACCTCAGCGTAAAACTGTCCTGGAGAGATATTTGAAGGTCACGGAATTAACTAGTGGGAGCCTTAGGTATCTCCGCTTGGAAGGTAAGCTCAAGGGCCCGCTTGATCGCTTAATCGAGCAAAATTTCGGGTGGAGAGTTGTTCTGCTTCCAGTGGGTGTTGCTTCGTAAAAGGGTACATAAATGAAGGGCTACAGGTTGCCTGGGAGTTTGAGGACGGCTCCGGAATTACAAGGACCATTCTGGCTCGCACAGCCTCGGGTCCTAATACCATAACTGTCACCGTCACCGTCACCGCCCAGCCTCAGGCTTGAAAGGAGTAGGGGTATTCATTTAGAACACTAGCGACCTAACGATATTTATATGTCGAAGGACCCATGGTTTCAAAAGATAATCCCCTGCTTATTCTTTTTATTCTCTTCGTTTCTCTCTACAATCTGAAGGAGCTTGACCATAATTTGGGCACCATAATTAGTAAGGCCTATTTCTTTATGGTTTTGCACAGAGCTCGCCCATATCCACTCTACTGATCTTTTTTACACGTCCAGAGCCAAGCCTAATTATCTCCTTGACATAGGTCATCTTCATTTGGCTTGGCACGTTTATGAGGACTTTTGTAGTCTCTAGACTACACTCAATAAGGCAATTGAGTGCTTCGATTCGCCTTGGCCAAGCATTAATGTATGCAAAGAAGCTTGAAATCTATAACCTACGACGTGGCTGTGGCCAAAAACTTAACAGTAGACCAAATGACCAGCGGAACTAGCCTCACCATGTTGTCAATGTTGGATATGGAAATTCACGATTTGAAGCCGTTGAAGGCCCGTTCTAGAATTAGGATAGTTGCCTAGCCGTGTAATTTGCAGAGAGAACCACCATCAAAATCCTCATTACCACCAAATCTATGTGGTCACGCTGGCTCCGTCTCTAGGGGATGAAAAACTTTGAGAAAAATGCAGCAGATTGTAAGCATTAGCAGGGCCGGCCCCTCCATGTACACTCCATGTACAATACGTCCAGTTTATATTCATGCCCATCATGGGACCCACAGATAAACTTGACAACTTGAATCTTTAACTGGAAGAAACTCTTCTGAACATTAAGAGTTTAGCGAGGGAGAACTAGAAGCTTGAGAAGCACGTTCGCAACCCAGAGCAAGAGAATGAGCCATCGTTCAACACCTCCCCCTGGACCAACAACACCGAAATTCGTGGCTTTCGATGAGTCGAGGCGCACCTACATGAGAGACTGCGGCTATCTGCCATTATTTGATATTTCGTAGGAATCGATAAGCCTAGAGCTTCTAATATACCACTTTGAATGTTCACAGGAGAATTGAGTATTCCCTCCAAGAATTACCTAGAAGACCGTAGTAACAGGTAGCCCGTTGCAGCCAAACTATAACACCCCGTCTCTCCTAATTACGTGGCGTTATTAGTAAAAGCGTGATTTACGCGGGCCTGACGGGTAAGCGTATGTAACACTATACATAGAACATGGCCCGAATCCTGTGACGCGGCCTAGACTTACGTACCGCGACGTTACGCAAATGCATGCAAATTTGGCCGTGACTTAAGCCATCAGCTAGATTACGTACGTAAGAGAAAGAGAATAAAGTTAACAGCAATGGAAGCTGCCAGAGCCCGACAACTCAACACAATGAATACAGCTAGAATGCATCGAGGATCTTTTCCCGACCTAGGGATCGAGGCTTGTGCCTCGATCGGGGTCCCAATGACCTCAACTCTTTCGTGACTGATCCACAACTTCTGACACCGGTAGCCACAAGATGGACGACTTCTCAACTTCTCGGCTCGTTTCCGAAGAGGCACTGGCGGACCCCGTAGGGGACAAATCTCTAGTTTATCACTTAAACCAATACGTAAGAGAAAGAGAATAAAGTTCAACAGCAACGGATGCCAGAGCCCGACAATCTAAGGCAACGAACACACTTAAGCCAATACAATGTCTCTAACTCCTCGTATCTGTTTTCCAGCTCCTTGTACGTCATACGAATGGCCTCCATCTTCCGTCTATGGATAAGCAAATCAATGCCCGTTGTACCTACCCAGAATCCAACTCCTACCGCTTGCCCTACGACCGGAATCAAGGTAGCGGCAGCTGCCGCTACCAAGTACCCTGACTCCTTCTTCTTCCCCATGTCATACAACCATCTTTCACGCAAGCCTAGAAGTGATCGAACAACCTGGGTTGACTCGATCGTGTTAATGGCCATTTGCGTGAGAAATAAGGCAAAATGTTGGCAGTTCCACAGCATGGGCCGGTACTCTCCCCAGTTACTGGACATCTGCCAACCTGTAGAAAAGTGTCAGACGTTTAGATCGATGTAAGAATTATTCCCGCCCTTCAAAATAGTACGCACCGCGCCTAAAGATCCAATTATCCGACTCCATCGTCACTCCAAGATCTTGCACGGCCGAAATCATCCTAACAGCCTTTTCCTGCCAGGTATTATTACCGTGGCCGACATCGTCGTACGATTGACTGCTGCATATTATGCTGAAGCAGGTCTCCAGATGCACACTAAGGTCAAAATACTTCGCCCTTAGGAAAACGTCCCGGCTGATGGGGTCAGAGGGGTCTATCCCCTCACAATCAACGATGCATAGTGCCCAGTGCTGAACAAAGGGAAGACTTTCTATCAATGTCGGGACGGGGGTTTTATTGCCGATCGTCGCCCATCGTTCTATCATAGACGACTGGCTTAGCTCGATGGGCCTGGAGACAAGGAGGCAACGACGATCTGGCACTCAAGAGTCAATATGCAGGGTTAAAGATATCAGATAGCTTCCAGCGAACAACTCACCCATCTAGGATATCAAACAAGCTAGGTCACCGTGCAACCAAAGAGAGAGAGAGATGGGGAGCTTTTCTTGAAAGACATGACACAATGCTGAGGAACGACCACTTGATTTACTGCCAATGCTACCCCGCAAGCTTCCGCAGGTCTGATTGCCTCCTTTTCGTCGCTGGTTACCCCTCCCCACTCAGCGACACAACTGCTCCGTGTTTACAGTTTAGGCATCAACGCAGTAAGATTTGAGGGATTTTTGTAATTGGGTAATTTCGACTATAGTAAGCTATTAATATTTAAGCTGGAGACTTAATATGTTTTAGTTATCGTTATATGTGTACTTTTGTGTCCATATACCTGTATGGGCCGAGAACCCCGGGCTCGATTTGAACCTATTCCCGCGCAGCTTGCCTTTCTTGCCATTCTTATCTCTTGAACAAAATCGGGAGTCCTATCCAAATCTGCGATGACAAGAATGAAATCATCGTCCCTGATGGGATGACGCCAAGATCAAACTCGACCTATAGAATCAAGACTGGAGGAGGCCAGCTCAACTATGGCTTCCGCATTTTTTGAAGGTTGATTTCGATAGTCCATCTTCATGTCTTCGCTAAATTATAGGCCTTATCGTTGCAATAGCGATCCAAGGCCCATCCAAAGAAATCCACCTATCGGTTCTGCAGTTGGGGTCTAACTGTGAGTAAAGAAGCGGCCTACACCTCCGCCCTCATCCTTAGGATCAATTGTAAAGCCTTCATCAAATTCCATAAGGGAGAACTACTAACAAGAGTTAGACCAAATTTTCAATGTATCAAGGCATCTATTCATACTTTATTTTACCCTTTTAACCCAATCTTCATGATCTCTTGAGTCGTTATAACTCTTGCCGCGGACTTATCCGAGAGGTTCTTTCGTTCCATCCTGCTGACCAGCTCAGTGGCCTCGAGAGCCGTAGTTGCAGCACCGCTGGGCGTCAAAAAGCTCTGGATGAACTCGCTGGTAAGGTTCGAACAACGTTTGGCCTGTTGCAGCACTGGTTCCGGCAGCCGGCACTCGGATGGGATCTCCAGCAAAGTGTTCTGCGCCTTATTAGGCTGCTTTCCATTTATATGCATGAAAGGTAGATGAATAAGTATAATTATAGTAAAACTAAGATATAAATGGGGTATCTCAATAGATAACTGCTTCTTGGTCACTGAATGCTCGGTCGTCCAAAGAATAGATCCCTTAAATTAATAAACACGCAGGATATATACAACAGGTGATCATCATCGAGTTACCGTTACTGTTTATCTAAAACACGACGTATGCAACATCAAACCTGCAGAAAAATTTGAACAAGAGAAAATCTTTACCTACTGTTTATCTTCATTCTCACAACTCTCTATCGCTAGAGAACTACCACGCACATTAGCTGGGTTTACGCCATCACCCCCCTTTCTAACAAGCTACCCAGTATGGGCTCCTGTTTAAGCAGATTTCAATGTATTCCCATAATTTTGGATCCGCGTAGAATGATATATAACTCTGATCATTTTACTATTTTAATTTGACGAGATTGGCTAGCGAGTTTACTGCTAACTATCTAATTCCAAGTTCATCTACGTTAAATGTGATGTTAGGATTGCCACTTACCCATAATCTGTTGTTAGACCTTTCCCGCTCAATGTCGGAGTCTTCCTGGCAGTAATTTTGGAGAAAGTGGCAGAAGGGACCAGGATAATGATGTGCCAGACAAGTTCAACCACAAACGGGATTGATTTTCTCAATAGTATGCTCGCTTTAAAAGCTACCCATGGCCTTTATCTCACTTTCTTATGCCCCAAAAAAATCGCTTCTCATACATATTTAAGATTAAATTCTCACAAAAATGGATATCAATTCTCAACCCAATAAATCTCGCCGACACAAAAGACAAGTAAGCCCTATCCCAACGATATTACAAGTCATTTATTTAATGCCAGTCAGCTGCGGGATTGTCACCATACAATAATGCAGAGGGGTTCCCTGTCCTCTGCTGATGTGAGTCAATTTATCGTAACCTTGACATTCACCCGATGAGTAGGCATGGGTTTGAAACTGGCGGATGTGATTCTTTTGCTCAATGTTGTGGAAGCCAATCATTATATTCTTGATACATGGCCCAAGTCTGCCATGCTTGAGATATCTAAACATATCATATCGTAACACGTTCTGCCCATTTAGCTGATCAGCTTGGTGACTGACTTGCCCTTGTTCGCTCCACCATACATGGCCGCCCACACGTTTGGCACATCTTCTATTTTAGCCTCACGGACATCCTCAATATCGACTTTGATCGTTCCCGCCGCAGCTGCCCCGATCAGCACCTCCATCGCTTTGGGTACTTTATTAAGGTAATCAAACATGAAGAATCCCTTGATGATGATTCTCTGTGACACCACTTCAAACCAATTCTTGAGAGCCATTGGCTCTTCAGAGTTATACTGACTGACTGCTCCGCAGACGGCAATCACGCTGTGTTTTGCCATGCGGGTGAGGACGCCATCGAGGACGGCACCACCAACATTATCAAAGAAGACATTGACCTCGTCTGGAGTGGCGGCCTTGAGGTCCTGGACAAATGTCGGGCTCTTATAGTCTACACAGGCATGGGCCCCGAGATGATCCCGCACCCAGGCACACTTCTCTGGGCCCCCGGCGATACCGACGACGCGCTTGGCGCCGAGCAGCTTGACGGCGGTCTGGACAACCACGGATCCCGTCGCTCCAGCGGCAGCCGAGACCACAATGGTATGCTCAGGCTTGGCTTCAGCAACATCCAGCAGGCCGATGTAGCCTGCGAGGCCCGAGCCACCAAAGGCACCCAGGTAATGGGTGATGGAAATGCCAGCCGGTAAGGGCGCGACGGGCTGAACGCCCTCGGCATCGATCACGACCTTTTCGCTCCATGTAGCGCGATGGAACTCCATGATGAGCTCGCCAGGCTTGAACTTGTCCGACTTGGACTCAAGCACCTCGCCAATGATGCCTGAGCGCATAGGAGTGCCCAGTGGGACAGGTGGCAGGTACAAGCGGTCACTGTCCACCGTGGTGCCGATGAATGTTCGGATACCAGCATCGTTGGAGAAGTACAGCACCTTGACGAGGATCTGGCCGTCCTTTACGGGAGGGAGGTCTACCGTGCGCAGCGTAAAAGTCGGGTTCTCGCCGGTGATTGTCGGTGTGCCCACCGGCTTGGAGGTCAGGATCCACTGCTTGGTAGTACCGGGACTCGACATGTTTCTTGATTTTTATCGTGAAAAATTAAGTAATAGAGAGGAGAGAATGCGGGAAGAGGGAAGAGGGATGTCACCTGGTCGTGTCCGGTATTTGCTCTCGACTCTTCCCCTGTTTTTATATGGCCAACCGCCTCAACTCATCTGCTGCAAACGGGGCCGAGGCCTGGTCCTCTTTGGGTATTTTTACCGTCTACATACAATGTGGTGTGTGGAACCAGCCTCCGTCTCTTGTTTAAAATGGTGAGACTTCTAAACCAACCCAAAATGGAGAGATGCTCCGCGTTAACCCCTGTCTCTTCTCATTCAGGCCCGTGCCTAGCTTCGCCCGCAAGTTGGCCGATCCAAGGAAATGGAAGAAAACATCACAATGATCCGAAGTCATTCGGCTTTATTGCAAATGCTGGGTTGTGAATACTACATAGAATGCATATTACACAATCTCCCTGTAAATGAAGAGTCAACAGGGCTGATTTAAAGAAAGGGCGCAAATTCCATCCCATCTCGACAGGTGGCAAGTTAAGGATCAGGGTGGGCAAGGGGAGTTGATCCAAGTGCCTCTGAGCCCCCGTCTCGGGTCACTTTCGGTGACAGGGCTAACTCGCCAGCCTTGACTGTTGGGAATATGTATGTTTTTGGTAGAGATTGACGTATGTTGTCCACTGCATGGCTCGGCATAATACCAAGACTTACATGGGGGGAGGCCTCATTTGCTTGAAGCCTGAACCCTGGAGTTTGCCTCGACCCAGACCGTTACAACGGGCCCTGCTTGAGCATCCCCTTTGATTGGTTCCCAAAGCTAGGGGATTTTCCCGAGCCACTTTTATTTTTGGTTACCCACGTACTGGTGCCGTTCTCGCGCTCGCTTGGTGGTTTGGAACGACATATGCACCGTGCATAATCGATGGCAGCGAATGAAAAGGAAGCAGTATGCATCGCATGGACCGGGGAAGACTACCGTCCACTAACTCTGGCCCGTGGGTTCGTCGGAGGGGCCAAGCATGGGTCTGAATTCTCGCTACTGGTCGCCGTTTCAAAGAAGAGAATTCGAACGGGATTTTGCAGATCAGGCATGGAAGCCAGACCAACCTGGATACCAAAAGAATGTCGCTCTCCTGAGAAGTGAGGGCTTCTCACTTCTTAAGTTGAAAAACAAATCTACATTCGTGGATCGCTGAGCGGTCATTTTCTTTATCATCTTTCTCTTTGTCGCCCATTCTCTGTCAAGATATACAGTCAGGAGAGTGACCACTTTATCTAATTTTTCTTTGACCCGCCCGCCAAGCCACGGCCTAGGGAGGCAGCAGCAGGAGAAATGCCTTGGTTACCCGAGCAGCGGATGCCGATGACCGCTGAAGTTCGAAATGAACTCATCGTGAACTGTATTGTCGTTTCCATTACCTTGGTTGTCGTTACGCTGAGAGTGGTCGGGCGTATCTACGGGCCTGGATTTGGATGGGATGATGCACTCGTTGTGCTTGCAACGGTTGGTCCAAGTACCCTCTTTCAAGATGCACCCATTGCATTTTGCCGTTTCCAGGACTCTCACTTACGATGTGGTGTTGGGTAGCCGATGGGCGTCGCAATGCTGATCTGCCAAGGAGTCTGTAAGTTATGCCTGCCCAACAGTTTTCGTACTCATATGATCTTTGGATGATTTTTGCTTACCTTTGGGACGCATGCAGTCTCGACAACTGGCAGCGGATATAATCTCGCTGAACATCCACAATGTACGTCGATCCTCGTTTTCGGTGGACTCGAGTCTCTATCATGGTGATCACCTCAACATGATCTTTGGCTGACCCATCTTGTCCGGCATCTAGTGTTGCCAAACGTGCCGTGGATCCTCCAGGTAAGAAGTCCACCGATATTCAGTATCAAACAGCATCAACTTAACGAATCCCGAATCCTCCACAGGTCTCATTTGGAATGCAGCCCGTATACATGACCCTCCTCGCTCTATGCAAAGCCAGTATGCTGTGCTTTTACCTCCGAGTCTTCCCGACACAATTCATGAAATACGCCTCGATAATCTGCCTCGTCCTTGTCGGTCTGTGGAATATTGCTTGTGTCTTTGCCTCTATATTCCTTTGCAAGCCCATCTCAGCTCAGTGGACGGGGCTGGGAGTGTGCGGAGCTTACATTCCCTTTATCCAATCGGTGATTGCTACAAACGCAGCCGGTGACTTGGTCGTGATGGCTTTGCCCATGAGGTCCTTGTGGAAGTTACAGAAGAGAAAGACGGAAAAGCTGGCGATCATGGCCTGTTTCTCTTTAGCTACGGCGTAAGTGCATTTCCTGTTTACCCACCTTGTCTGGCATTCGTCCAGTTCATTGCACTGCTTTATCTTGTTTTCGTCTTGATCACTCTTTGGATCAACTAACTGACTATTCTTTCGATGTGCCAAAGAGTTGTCGTCTGTGCCATCTTCCGCATCGTTTATATCTCGACCGTCGACCTAGCCATGAACGTCACCGGTACCATGCCCACGACCATCCTCCTCTTCATCCTCGAACCCAACCTCGCCATTCTCTGCGTCAGCATCCCCATGCTTCGGCCATTCTTTACAAGGTTTAGAAAGGGCGGAGGTAGTTCTGGCGAGGGATCAAGCGGTTACCCGTCTGCGCTCGGATCCGGCGCCGGTAACAGTAAGAAGGGGTCACGGTCGAAGGACTTGTCAACCTGGGAGATGGGAACATACGGCCACGCTATGAAAGGAAGCCATGATGCAAATGTCTCTCGGGCGGACGATGAGTCGGGTTCCGAGAGGAGATTGACCACGACATCCATCATGCAGGATGAGATTCGCGTGCAGAAGGATTGGAGCGTCAGACACGACTAGCAACACAAGCACGAAAATACAATTGGAGGTAGCATAAAGTGCTACGCTCTTATTTCTACCGAGAGCAAGGGCCCGTTCTCTACTATCTCACCCCGTTCACTATTCGTATCCTCTACTGCCACACCAGCATATGCAGTAGGTTCTGGGTCGAATAGCGGCATAGATCATAGCCATATCCTCGCTATATCTCGCAACGTAGCTGCCAAAACTCCAGATATCTAATTACAAGGTCAATACCACAAAGGCCCGATCGAAGCTTTACTCGAAATTACTTTACTGGCCGACCTACTCACAAAGAGTCCTCACTGTATCACTTACGTTGCGGCTCATTCCATTACTTCAACCTTGATTACCGTCGTCCAGTGTCTTATATTATGTCAATTGGTTATTGAATAGAAGGCATTTTTTGTAAGAAAGGTGGTGGAAAGGGGACATCGTCGCTGAAGGACAGGTATCTACAGCTGCATCTGCTCAAAGAGAGCATTCAGTGCAGCGGAAGCAAATCAACAACATGTATCAGCAACAATTCACCTTAAAGCGTAGATTTATCCCAAATTAGATAACAGACGTAGCCCACAAAATTCATCGCCCTCAGTCAAGCCTCGAGGCTATTTAGATGACATTCACCCTCCTAGCCAAAAACATATGCGTCATGTGAGATGAAGGTACAAAACAAATGCGAAGTTCCTCCTGTTGCCCCGTACTGAAAAGTCTAGAAATGATGTCGTCTAGCTTCCGGTCTAAGCATGGCTTTAAATTGGTTCCAACGGTGATCTTCCGAGCCGGACGGGAGCGCGAAGGTTGGCAACGATTGGCTGATTTACGAGGGGATCTACAATGACCTTCAAATGTCCTCAGCCTCAATTTATGATAGAATAAGAAGTCGCAAGCCCCTTTTTCTGCATCTTTTGGGACATTGAGCAAAGCCCATTATCTTTTTCGATTCCAGGATGATTTTTAATATTGGAGGTTTTTCTTTGTCAACCGCTTGATGCTCATGTTGAGGTCATACAATAAGACATCGCATCGGATATCTTTTCGACCTTTTTCTGTTTTTTTGTCGCTCCATAAATTTACCTGTCCTAACTTGTGTTTAATTAAGATGAAATAAATTGAATTAAATGAAAAAAATATACGAGTCTTCTTCTAACGCAACCAATCTGGCCAAAATATGAACAGTTCGACAGACTCTAGGGTAGGACAAAAGCATTGGCAGTCATCGCGTAGATTCCATACCTCTGGCAAGATTTATTTTTGCGCTGTAATATAGGGAAGCAGGTCCCCTGTAGGGCTCTGTGCAGCGCTCTCTGAGCTAGACATCTTTTGCCCTTCTGTGGAGCATTTGTCTTGTGACTTGCTTGTGAGCTTACTAGATTCAAGTGCGGCTGAGTCTCACTGACTCCTTATTCGTGGCTGGTATGGACTATTGATGTCTAGATTTCTGCTCAGGTGAGCCAGGTCTTGGCAGTCTACCATTCATCACATCCATCTCTCGATTCTCTCCTTATTCTAAGTCTCGCTGCTTTCAACATCAACACCGTGCACATCAGGTCACTCAACCACAAAATCCCTCGCCGCCCCGATGGGTCGGCCTCTCCCACCAGGAAATGAGGACCATGCAGATCCCAGCCCCCCGGGAATAGAGACCGGGCTGGATGATCCCTACACGGATGCCCTGGTCGCTCCACCGGCCTACGAGGAGGTATCCCTTTTGAACCACGGCAGCAGCATCCGCGCCAGCCGCCATGATGCTGAAAACTCTCGTATGCCACTCTTCCTCCTCACTGGCACGACTTCACGTGATCTCCATAATCCAAAGGGACGATACCTTGGTCGCACCAGCATTGCCTGCGAGGTGAACGCTGTGCAAGATGAGCGCTCTGATTCGGATCCAGACTTCTTGAAGCAATGGGTTGAGTATATGGCGGCGAGGCCCCCGGCCCCCTACATTCACGTCATAGGCAGACACAACGAGACCAGACGATACAAGGTCAGTGACGACGACGAGGACAAAGAAACAACCGAAGAAGTCACCGATTTCCGCATTCTCATCGGCATGCAAAACTACGTGTGTCCAGACTCCGGTCTAGATGCCATGGAATTAGTCACTATCGAAAATGATGAGAAAACTTATCGTGGAACCGCGCTGAAGAGGACGGCCCCTCGTACCAAACCAGACCTCGAAGTTAATCGGATCAAGCCGGGATTGAATGAGTGGTGCCATCGCTATTGCGCAAGCTCCAGCGGAGTGAGAGTGTACGAGAACCTGCCTTCTCCTCGCTGAATTCCCTAAGACGGCGTGCAATCTAACCCTTGTTGATGCGTAGATTCCGCCTCACGCGTATGGTCACTGGCATGGACGAGGATCTCCTGAGCTCGCGTCTCGAAGGCCTCATTCGCGGCACAGGCTACAGGGGCAGACTCTCGATTGAATTCCCCGTCGCTGATCGTGCTGTCGATATCCTCTCAACCAGCGCGCTCAATAGATGGCGCACGACGACCTGGATACGCTGGGTCTTCTACTTGACCTTTCTTTGGATATTCTCCTGGCCTATCCTTCATTTCATCACCAAGAAATACCATGTGGTGCGTGCAGAGTGGCCATTCTCTCGAACCGATGACCAAGGCAGAAAGAAGTATACGACTATCAGCGAAGAGCAGTGGATTGCTAGATTTGGCCCTGCAGTTCAAAGATTGTGTCTGGATAGGTACGAAGGAACGACGTGGGAACACCATCTAATACAAGTCTTAAGGAGAGATAGCGACTTCTACTCATCTCAGGTAGAGATCTCAGACCGCCCAGGTCTTATCAATCTTGCCGTCGGAGCATCCCAAGGAGGCCCTGTAGATTCTCTCTCCCAAATGAGCAATATCATACACTTCGCGAGCCGGTCAGGCGATCAAGGCGGGTGGGGGTTTGATAGAACTAGGTAATGAATATGAAATGGCAGTGTTTCAATCAGGGCCTGCTCGAGTTTAGTAAACTAATCATAGTTTCTTATTTCTAAGGCATATGTATAGGAACACGTCTGACGTCTAAGGCTGCGATAACCCTTCCAGCAAGCTCCAATTTCTCTCTTCCTGACTCTTTTAACGTCTATATCTGTCTCCCCACTATACTGATTAACCTAAATTTACACACATGGTTCCAGGAACTAGGAGAGGGGCCAGCAGAGGCTGGAGTTAGGAAGAAAAGAAAAGAAGACGCGAGGAAGATAGTCAGGGTAGCCTCGATGACAACATCTAAAAAACAACACACACTAGCCAATCACCCACCACCTCTCCCGAAGCCGTATTGTTGTAACTAGACTGGCAGGACAACCTCGTAACCGAATTGTGGAAGTCCGGCCCACAAGGGGAAAGAGTTGATGATCTTGGTGTACTGCTCAGCGTTTCTCAACGGCGCGACGTTGGTTCTGACTCCTCCTTTCTTGGACAGAGGCTTGCCCTCGAAACGTTCGTCAATCCACCTCTGCCAAAATTGGCGAGTAGCTCTGAGAATGGGCACGTGTCCCACACCCGACGCCACCAAGAAGTTGAGGTCGTTGTTGGGGTAGTTCGCCCAGGCTTCCTCCACAGTCTCCGAGGTGACATCGTAGGGAACATAGGTATCATCAGTGCCTTGCAGAACAAGAATGGGCCCCTTGAAATCCTTATGACCTGCATCACCAAGTTTGGAAAATGCGTCGACATACCATGTGTCCTTGAAGTCTGCCTTGATGTTCTCCGTCGAGTTCGCCAATATCTGGGTAAAGACACCAATCCCACCCTCTATTTCCTTGATCAGATTCAGTCTGGCAACTCCGACAGGTGTCATCCAGTCACTGAATTCAAAAGAAGGAAAGATTGATTTCAGCATTTGTGCGACTGTGGGAGCCATGAAGAAGCCCGGACCGGAGAACACCCTGGTGGTAGGGCTGGCAGCAATAACACCTTTGTACCCGGCCAATAGATCGGCAAACTCACTCTCCTCATAGTGGAGGACTTCAGCAACGGCCCAGGCAACTCCCCCTCCCTCGCTATGGCCCATGGCAACCCAGTTATTGTCCAGCGATTCGGGGAAAGTTTCCAGGGCTGCACGAAGGCCGTACACGGCATCGTGGGCTGTAGCTGAAGTAGCGTGATATTGATGAGGTATATCACTGCCATCCCAGGACTTTCCGATACCCAGTCCAGCAAAGTCTGGAGCAAATACTGCATATCCCGCCTCTGCTAACGCGAACGGCCCGCTGTTGTCATACCAGAGGGAGCGATGAGCTGAGGGGGCTTGAGGGCCGAAGAAGCCGGATGTGCCGTGCGTCCAAACTGCGACAGGTGCTTTTGCGGTCCCATTCGAGACATCGCCGAAAGTTCGGGGAGCATAAGGCCATAGTATAAAGCCGGTCGTAGGAATGACGGTCCCGTTGAAGTTGGTAGTCGTGTACATGATGCGCGATAGTCCAGTGTTGGCGGGGATGGCATATGCACTGGGGTCGGTAACTCTTTGAACTTTCAGAACCTGGCCTGGCTTGAGACTTGTTGAGTTGGTCAAGGCAGGGAGGGTGTAAAAGTCATCCTCGTTTGGCCCCCCAAAAGCCATCTGAGTTCTGTCAAAGTTCATGACATTTTGAACATTCTGAACGAGGGTATCGTCGAGATCAGCAGCTTTGATCTGAGCCTCGGTGAGAACAAAGGAAGAATTGAACCCGGTATTGTGAACTTCCGTTGGCACTATCTGCGATGCAACCAAAGAAGGCAGCACGGAACCAACGGTGAAGAGTAATTTTCCCCAACCCATTTTCTACAAGAAAATAAATAAATCCGAATTTATGTTTGATTTTGGTAAGGTTGAGGAACTCAGATTATACCCACTAGGCCTCATCACGGGTTATGGTGCGCTCGTAACTTCTAGACTTATATAATTGTTGTTGCCTTGGTACAACCGCCCCCCATGCTCTATTCAGGTACACCAGACTCCTTGCGGATTTAAGGACAATCCAAAAAGTCCGAATTCTATATCTGAAGCCTTGCCTGCCTAGAAATTGAATTTGTCATCAAGCTTATAAGCAATTGGCCGTTTAATATCGGGTACTTCAACCTCCGTGGTGATCTCTTAGTGGAGCTTGGTCCGACCGGAGTCCGTAGTCCGGAGCTGTGTCTCGGTCGCTTTCATTAGCAAGCCATGGATGTTGCATTTAACTGTTTGGAAATAGAATGTAGAGCCGAAGATGTTATCAAAGTGACCTTGGATCTATCTTAATTATTTAATTCTATCTGGAATTTAAACGAATTGACTGGATATGCTAAATGAAGTTTTCTTCAAGCGGCCAAACTGATATGGGATACAAGTTTCTATGAGAAGGAAAAGGCACGGCCTATTAGATTATAGTATTATTTGTTCTAATTTTGTACATATGATAATTGTTTAAGACGTTACAGGTTAGCCTTCTTAATTTTCGGGATGGGTGTCTCTATCGCAGCACGTAATAGAATGAAATCATCAGATAGAAATGGCTAGGATATAATCATATGAAAGAATAGAAGAAACTTGTTAGTTGCAAATGCAAAACGGAGAACACACGGATGAGATGGCCTAAAGCGGGCAACATGCCAACATGCACAGGTGTATCTAACCGGAGCTTATTGTTGTGAACTACCAAAACTTGTAGAAACTTGTTTTCTCCACATCAATACGGCGAGAAGCATTTGCTGACACGGTTCTGGAGTCGCGCGGGATCCCGGATTGATCACAAGTAGGTAAGCATTAGTCACGAGGGTGAGCGAAAAAGAACATCCACACTTTCGAATCGGCAAGGATCACTAGCCATGGTCTATCACGGTTCACGTATATCGTATGCACAAAATGGTTGAGACTGTAGTAATATATAATGACGACGCAACACGCTCAGCAATTGCAAATGGCTACCTTCGCATTCCCTTTTCCTTCACCTGCTCGAAAAACTTGAGCTCCTCTGCCATAGCTCGGGTACCTGCATCCAAGGGGCCCACGGTCGGGTACAAGGCCTCCAGAGTTACTTCGCGTACATTGACTGACTGGTCGTCTTTGCTGCCTGCCATCAAGATCTCCACGATGTTTCCGTTTCCATACTGTGGCTCCTGGAGAACTCGCATAATCAAATCTGCAACATGCTCCGGCTCAAGAGCCACATCCCCTCTCTTAAGCCTATCCCGGCAATACTCTTGTTCAAAGATGGGCGTCTAGCTCTGAGTCAGTGACGTGCAACGACATTACTCGGGTGGACACAACAACGTACAAATACAGGGCCGGGACAGACAGCCGAGTTACGGATGCCTAGGGCCTTGTTCAGGCCGGCCAGGGACTTGACCATGCTGACCAGGGCGGCTTTGCTCGCAAAGTACAAGGGGGCTTGCATGGAGTGCATGTAGCCACCCATGCTTGCCACAAACAACAGATTTCCTTTGACCTCGGGATTCTGCTGCCAGTAGTCAATCGCAATCTGTGCCAGTCGGATTGGCCCGACGGTGTTGATGGCAAAGCTTTTGTACTGGCCCACCTTGGCGCCCTCGGCATCCTCAGAAAGGGGTGAAATGCCAGGCGGGTACCAGAAGGAGCTTGATGGGGGCTCATAAACTCCGGCACAGCTTACCACGATGTCAATTCGGCCGAATTTATCAAGAGCGGTCTTCCATAGCGAAGAAATTTGTGTCCAATCAGATATGTCAGTCTCAACAAATATGACAGATGGCTTGTTGGGCTCGGCCGCCGGGTGAGGATATTTGCTGATTGTCTCCTCGGCTTCAGGCCTCAGCCGCAAATCAGCAATGATAACGGAGCACCCCGCAGCAAGGAGCAGCTTCACGAGCACATGGCCAATGCCTAGAATGAATAAGTCTCGCTGTCCCCGGCTGGAGAGGTCATACAGGGATCACTGACCGGAGCCGCCACCCGTAACGACAGCAAAACGATCCTTGACGGCGTAAGAGGCCATGTCTTCTATTTGTGGAAGAGGGACGTGGCGGGGAGGCGAGAGTTTGAGAAGACACTTGTTGCATTCACTTGGGCAGTGGAAAGGGGGAGGATTATGAATACGTATCAACCAACATACCCATCTTTATTCCCTCATCCGCGGCTTATCCCTGTTATTGGTTGGTCCGTCTGATGAACTTGGCGACAAGGTTATATGCAGTGGTTCGTAGTCCGTACCTAGCACACGACAAGGTGAGGAGCACAGGTTTCTTTTTTCTTTGACCCGCTGCCATCACACCGCTAATGAAGCGGTGATCGACCGGGTTGACGGTTTTCAAACTAGGTGAGGGAGCCGTGTTGAGGCCCCTGCCCTCACCCTGGGAGACAACCACCTCCACGCTTGCTGAAACCAAGCATCACTACTACTGGTCACCAAATAAAAGAAATACGACATGAGTTAAGCTCTAGTTCCAATAAAGTCTTGCATCCAAATTCGATCCAGGACATCTTCATTTCTTAAGCTAGGTAGTTGACAGAGCACTACCACTAAGTGCTCGGGGGGAGCTCGCGAGTGGCAATCCCAGCAATTCCACACCAACCTGTCAGCTTCAAACCTTGCAAATACCGGGGAACATGGGGCCTGGTTCCTTAACCCGCTTTGAGGAGGTGGTGTGTCAGGATCTCATCATGTCAATTGGCTGGTCGAACCATGCCCGCATACGACGTAACGTTGGTGGACAGGATAATGACCAACCGCAGGTCTCATACGGGGCTCTCAGGCAAGCCATTCACGGGGAAACAAAGGTGCGTAAGGCAAAGGATTCTAAAAGCCTAATTACATGCATCAGCGATACCGAAAAGAAGCGTTGTCGTTGACGATCAAACATATCAGGGATCGCACATCCTCCAAGAAAAATGCTCAGCGTCGTCGCCAGTCAACGACTCAACTACGACTTTCATCACAACCCATCCGCCATGTTTGCCCCGTCCAACATCGCATCTATCGTCCGGTAGTAGCCAGTCATTATGGCCCAGGAAACCGGTTGGCAGCCCGTGAAGCCAGAAGGGCTAGCGCTTGGGACATTCATCACCACAGTCGTCCTCTCGGTGTTGTGTACCATAATCGTCTCGATGAGAATGTACATCCGAGCAAAGCACCAATCTCTGGGTACAGACGACTATCTTATGTGTGCAGGCTGGGTAAGTGAGATATTCCCAGCACTAGGGCTCTTGAAGAATCTCATGGCTCACATCTTAGTACGCAGGCCGCATATATAGTACACAACGTCATTGTCAGTATCGGATGCCACCGAGGCATAGGCATTCCCCGAATTAAACTCGAAACCGCCCAAGTAATCGAGGGTATGAAGGTACGAACACGCGTCATCGAGTCGAGCGAAACAGGAACCGAAGAGTAACATTTTGGCTGTGGCAGTACGTGTTTTTCTGGCAGATATTCTACGCCGCCACTCTCGTATTCGTCAAATCAAGCATCTGCGTCACCGTCCTACGAATTGCGGCTGGAAGAGTTTATATCTGGACACTGCGAGGACTTATTATTCTTGCAGTTCTGATGAGCTCTGTCGGACTCATCGTTATCCTAGTTCAGTGCCGACCAGTTGAAGCATTCTGGGATTCATCGAAAGGAACTTGCATGGACAAGATTCTTCCCACGATCTTAACATACGCCGCTTCGGTATCGAACGTCATAACAGATTTTGTTACCGCTATTATACCTATAATGTTGGTACGAAGGCTTCAGATGCGAGCCAAATTAAAGCTGTATGCTCAGCTGGTTATGGGCTTGGGAATATTGTACGTGTCTCTCGGACCCGTTGGCATTCACACAGAGAATGATACATGGCTGATTCTATGACATCCAGGGCATCCATCGCAAGCATTGTTCGTGTACCATACTCGAGTGCTTATCTTAAACCTGATGATTTTATCTGTACGTGGCGGTTTGTTCTTTTCATGCACGTCGCTCTATTGATTTCCATTCTAACCAATAACTGTGTATTTGATTCACAGACCAAGTGTCCAACATTATTCTCTGGACAGTAGTTGAGTGCGGAGTTGGCATTCTGGCAGGCTCTTTGCCATCACTCCGCGCCTTCTTCAAGAGCCTGGCCAAGGATAAAAGCACGAACCCAAGTGGTTCATACGCTACCGACCTTGTAACCATTGGGCAGATAAGGGCTGGACAAGATCACTCCCAAGCCATGGAGCTAGGATTTACGACAGTCAATCACGATGCCGATATCCCACACGAACACGATAACGACAGCACCAGCCACATCATCAAAGGCACAAGAGAATTTCAAACGGAACGCGCTGGAAGCGACGAGGAAGGATTATGCGACGGGAGATATTCAAAAGATTCAAGAGAAAGGAGGTGACAATAGGAGACACCCGTGACTCTTGCGGGAACAAAAAGTAATTACATTTACCGTCCAGGGCCAGTTCGAACAGGGCTACGATTCGGCTACGGCTCTATATTGTGACTAGAGCATGAGATCACATTCAATGTGTACCAACCGACCCGAGTTGAGCATCGATCTAGTATCCAATGCGCGGAATAGCCCTCGATTCGACCGAGGAACGTGGCCACAACTCCTGGAAAAATATATACATTTACCGGACGAAAAGTCCAAGCCAATTGGATATTGGCTGCATTAATTCAAGGCTGAACCTACATATAAGCTATAACGCAGGAGCTAACCACCAGGGTTCGTAATGTGTTGAGATGATAGCCTGCGACCCTCCCTCTGCGCTACAATTTTCAGCGAGGTGTGCCGGAAATGAGAACACAGGAAGAACAATATTATTGACGATGAATTACGTGATGATCGGCGAAGTACGACCACTCATTTACACCCCCTTGACTTAGTCACTCCACGCTGTACACATCCCGAAACTGGCCTTGCGCACTAAAGTCCCCAAAAGCAACAAGCCGATGTCTAACAGCTGTATGCCTCTGCTCCGAGTCTTGGATGGAGTCATCAATTATCAGACGGATTGTCCTTCCTTGAAGCCTCTCCTGTATCACAAGATGGAGAATGCTTTTCAAGTACGCCCACGTAAAGAATCCTGGATCTGCCTCGTCGATGCTCTTGATCTGGGGTATCACGTGCTCTAAAATGATCATCACAACTCGAGTCCCCTCACTTAGAAGCGCGGTGATGAGAAGTAGCATATCAACACGGAACAACGTGAAGTTCTGACGAGTGAAGTTCATGCCGCAAATGATCCCGAGGATCACTTTGGCCCATGCTTCCGAGACGGGAGCCACTGCTCCTGGGTTGAACACGGATCGGAGATAGTTGCAAATCATCCGAGACAGCAAGTACAAAATGTGATCAAGGGCCTTGCTCTCGTTTGAAAGCCGATATGTTACCAAGACATCCGAGATGGAACTGCTCGTCACAAAATCCGAGTCGGTGCCAATTTTGACCCTTGGTAGATCAGACTCCGCAACCCCTTCATACCACTGGTCTAGCTGTTTGGCGAAGTAAGTACATTGTTGTTTTATCACATGTTGGGTAAGGCTGTCTGAATAAAAGTCTTTCTGCTGAGCCTGGTGGACGTCACAGTCTCTGTTGAGAACCAATTGAAGCCACTGGCTAACTCTCTCGGATGGACTCGGCACAATGCTGCCCTCCTCTTCATCGTTATTTGCACATGAAAAGGGCGGCAGTGAAGAGTCCATTTGGGAGTTTGACAAAAAGGTCGCTTCCATGAAATATCGTGAATGAAGTTTCCACAGCCCAATCAGGACCTCTCGGATTGCGATCTGTTGATCAAGAACACTGCTCATGTCGTATGCATCGACGGCAGTTATGGTTTTGCGGGTTGCCAGGCTTGAGAATTTCCGATCGCAGCGAAGCATTCTCCACGCCTTGAATAGGCCGGGGGTTGAGCAGGTGCTAAAGTCCATCCGAGAGGCGAGTGCGTCAAGCCCACATGCATGATTTCTCACACCAAGAGGGGTGCCTACCTCAATATCATGATAAGCCAGGAGCAATGCCGCGCCAGCCAGCTGCTCCAGGTCCTCTTTGTGTGGGCTCTCTAGCTGCTCATTGAGAGTCTTGACTGCCGTGTCATAGTACAGCCAGTTGATTTTGTCGTTGCGTCCATATGCATGAACTGCTGCATTCGCGACATTGTGGCTGTTGCCCGGATTCCGGTCCAATTTAAGAAAGCTCGAGGAAAGAGCTAGGACAGCCGCTCGAAAACAACGATTTTTATAGAACCATTGGGGAAACGTTACGCCAACTGGAGTCCTTGGGAGGACTTGCTGCCCGAAATACATGAGAAGGGCTTCCTCCACCTCGGGGCGCAGGGGGAAAGATCTAGGTTGAGAGCTCGAGCGGTCACTTGCTGATCTTGGTGACTCCCCCCACGACTGTGAGTGGCTGGTCGAACTTGAAGGGGTCTGCATCGGGTGTGGAGGGGATTGATTCGAGAAGTGGCCGGAGTCACTATCGCCTTCAGTTCCCGCGCCTCCAAAGTCGTTGGGGGGAAAAAGCTTGAGTCGAACACTATCCTCCACGGTTCGAGGGCCAGGACCAACGGTATCATCTTTCCACTGTCTTCTGATTTCATGAAGTTGCAATCCAGACACATATTCGTCCAGAGAAGGTAAAGAGGGCTTAGATGTGGGTTTTGATATACTGCCCCAAGTTAAGGATGGTGGTTCGCTAACTCGGGAAAGACTTAAGACTTTGGTCGATGTTAGATTGTCCGACTGAGATGAAACACATGTGTTTTCGTGTGGCTTAGGAGCATATCCGGCCTGCTCGCGACTGGCGTAGATAACCGTGTTTCCCAAATCGAAGGTAGATGACTCCCTGACCAGGCGGCCTCCTTCCGGGCCTCTTTTCGTGTCGCCATGACGCGAGTCCTCTGGTGAGTCGATTCGCTGCTCGTTGAAGCCTTTGAAAACAAGCGGCCGCTGGTATATACAGTCCAACCCGCGCTGGACGCAGGCAACACACTGGGGTCGGGTTTCATCGCACTTGATTTTTGTCAATGGGATTCTTTCGCGAGAATTGGCCGGTAAAGCGCACCTTTTTCCGACGGTTGCGGCAGGCCTGACACCCTGTCCTCCTCCTACTTGTCTCGACTCTTCGCCTCCGAGCTGAGGTCTCCATGGCAAATGCTGATCCGCTCACGAGATCGAACTCTGCTGGAATATCACACCACCTATTGACATCGACGGCGGTTGCCGATTGCTGTCTATCTCAAAGTAGGTATCCGGGTCTTTGCGCGACGCGAGCTCATATCAGCATGACGCCATATCGTTATTCGCGCACGCTTTGGTGAAAGGAGAGCAGGTTGTGTTAAAGTTACCCAGGCTATTGATATAAAGAGCAAGATAAGCTTGACGGGCCACACGCGAGAAGTGGGCAGCAGGCACATATTGGCTAGGCCAAATGGAGTGAAAACAATCGCCGGTTACAGACAGGAGAAAGACAGCTTTGAAATCATCCACTGATTGCGAGTTCCAATGACCTGGAACGGGGCATTGTGGATGCCCAGAATGGCGCAATCTGACCCCGTTCTTGTTGCATCCATCAAAGCCCTGGTTTAGCGTATGCACTTGGATACACCCAACTTGTGCCATTGGTCAATTGACCGTTCATTCACCCAGTTCCTTGAACGGCTGGCGATTAAATTTTCCCTTTTGGGTTCCTCGTGGCTCGACGACCATGACTCAACGTTGCTCTGCGGTGTGGCAGATCGGAAATACTCCATCGATATCAAGGGCAAGGCTCATGTATAATAGATACGATCCCTCCACCCTGAATAGGTGGTGGTATCTTCACCTCCTCTGGACTCTACTCGCCTCATAAAAAGACTCAGGCTCGCCCTCGGGTGTTTCATTCATGATGGGTAAACCCTCACAGGCCGTCACACACACAACTGTGGAATCGTCATCCGTGGACGATGAGGTCGTCGACAATGAAATTCAGCGCAGCGAGCCCCTGGATCACACAGAACAAAATTCTCAGCTCGTGAAAGGCGCAGTTATTGTTCGTGATGGAAAGGACATCTCCGAGTATGTTGTCAGCACTCAGGATGACGGCGACCCAGCCTGCACTTTTCGCTCCTTCATCATCGGATCTGGTTTGACTGCTCTTGCCGCCTGTATCAACCAGATTTACTACTACAAGCCAGTTGAGGTGTCATTTGCCTCTGTTTTCCTCTGTCTGATGGCATATGTTATTGGAGTTGCTTGGTCTAAGCTGCTTCCACGCCGAGAGCATGTTGAGAAGTTTTTTCCCTCACAAGCTGCATGGCTCGGTCCTGTTGTCCACTTTATCAACCCCGGACATTTTGGTCTGAAGGAGCATGCGGTCGCTTCAATTCTCTCTACCTCGAGCGGCAACGGAGCTGCCATTGTCCAAGTGTTTGGGGCGGAGAGACTATTTTACAATCGTGAGACTGAGGCCGGAACCGCCATCCTTACCATATTTTCCGCGTCAATTTTTGGATATGGTCTCGTTGGCCTTCTTAGATCGATCATTGTTCATCGTATGTTCAATTAATTTCCTGTTAGGTAGAAACAGATCAGCTAACATTATTCTCATAGCAACTGAAATGGTTTGGTGGCAATGCTTGCCAATGATATCCATCTACCAGACCTTCCACCGGGACCCCAAGGGCGCCAACAGGGACCGCCTGCGCATGTTTGGATTTACTTCTATCGGCATGCTGATTTGGGAGCCAATTGCTTCCTATATTTGGCCATGGTTGAATGGCATTTCGATTCCATGCCTTGCGTCGATGCACGCCCCTTCTGCTACTAGGACGGTAGTCAAAACCATATTCGGCGGGATTTCTTCCAACGAAGGTCAAGGCCTCTTCAATTTCTCACTTGACTGGCAGTATATCACCTCCCGGTACATGTCTCTACCATTATTGCAGCAGGCAAACTCCTGGGTTGGAATCCTGCTTTCTTACATAATGTGTTTCTCGCTGTACTACGGAGGAGCCTGGGGCGCAAAGAAATTTCCCTTCATGTCTACCGCCATGTTTGATGCAACTACTGGAAAGGTATATAACCAAACGGCCATCTTTGGAAGGACAGCCATCCTGGACCCCGCTGCCCTTGAAAAACATGGGCTACCCAGACTCACTGCAACCAATGTCTGGGCTAATATGGCCGCAATGGCAGCTATAGGCGGTCTCTTCACTCACATTGGTCTGTTTTATGGCCCCAAAATCAAGCAGTCTCTGATTCGCGCATGGAAAAATGAGCAGCCTGATATACACTACAAGATCATGCAGCAAAATTACAAGGACGTTCCCCAGTGGTGGTATGCTATTGTTCTGCTGGTCGGGTTTTTCTTTGGTCTCGGGGCGATATACGTCGGGAACACTACGCTTGATCCATGGGCCTACGTGGTTGCTATCCTCCTAGGCTGTATCATTGCCCCCTTTTCACTTTGCCTTTACGGCCTGCTTGGAACAAGCATCTCGACCAACAATCTGTCCAAGATGCTTTGCGGTGTCCTTCAGCCTGGAAAGCCAGTTGCAAACCTCTACTTTTCCATGTTCAGCCACGAAGTAACCGTTTTGTCTGTTTTCCTGGCCACGGATCTCAAGATGGCGCAGTATCTTAAGATCCCATGGCGAACCATGTTTCTCCTTCAGACATACGGCAGTCTTCTCGGCACGGCGCTCAACTATGTCATCATGGACAACATTGTTACTAACCGCCGAGAAATCCTACTGGATCCCATCGGCAATCAAGTCTGGAGTGGTCAAAAGATCCAGTCCCTCAACACAAATGCCGTCACTTGGTCGTTGGCTAAATATGTGTATGGCTTCGACAAGGATGGATATGGGTGGATTCCCCTCTCGATTCTCTTTGGTGCCGCTGTTCCCGTAGTCCATTGGCTCATCTCACGGAGGTTTCCCACCATACGCGGCCACGATACTCGCAAGATGGTGTCTCCTGTCATCTTCCACAACGCTTCCTCTACAACCGCAGGCACTACGTCCGTCATTTGGTCTCAGGTTGCAACAGGGATAATATCTCAATGGTGGCTGCGTCTCCGGCACCCTGCATGGTTCGGCAAGTATAATTACATTGTCGGCGGCGGCTTGGATGCGGGGGCCAAGGTCATGATGTTTATTCTTACGTTCTCTGTGTTTGGTGGCTCTGGAGCTGAGGTTCCTTTCCCCAGAGTAAGTCATCAAATCCATCAAAGCGATATTTTCAGGCAACTAACAACACTTCTAGTGGTGGGGTAATCCTGTATCCAGCTCAAAACAGTATGCCGACTTCTGTGGCACTGGTTAAAAAGTGGTGACAGCCACCTAGTAACATTCCACATTTACCGAGGGTAGATGAACTGCCTGGTCTTTATGGGTCTCATCACAATTAAAACAAATCTGAAATAATACAACCTCAAATAGAAATCTCGTGTCTCACACCCTCGGTTAGAGTCTGCTTAATGATATGACCTTAGCTTCTCATGAAAAAGACGGCTGGTTACGACTAGGGTCCAACTCCTAATAATGCACAATAAAAAAAACCTTAACTTATTTCATTGTTCAGAGGTATGAGGAAGTGATCTATTTTGTTACTTCCAAGAGGATCATGAGTAAATGAAAATCCTAGCAATGAGCCGGCCTGTATATCTTGCTGTACTTCAAATTTTCCTAAAGAGCCCGAAAAAACTCATTCGCAAGATACTCAACCTGAATCAATTAACATTCACAACACAGTTTTTTTAAGGTATACAGCCATGAGGCTTAAATATAAGACTCGTTTATGGGGCTATTATCGACGGAACTGACAACGAATCTCATGATGGAGCCAGCCATGGTCAATATTTAGAGAGGTCAAAAGTCATATTCGCCGTCATATTCGTTCCCTCGGCCTAAACCTCCTCGACAAACTCTAACGCCTCGCTTTGTTCTTATTCCAACGCCACCCTCCGCGGTGCAATCGGTCCTCTCAATTGAAGTCTGCGCTGATAAATCCAAGCTCGCAACCACAAGCGACAACTTTGACTACCTTAACATGTACCCACGTCACTTGCCACAAGCCCAGCCACGAGCTAACCACCCTTCTAGATGCCGTATCAACATCGTCCTCCCGACAATATATACAACGAACATGATTGGTTGGTGTTCTCTCAAAGACGCCTGCGTCAGGTTGGTGAGAGACTAAAAAAAAATTGGACGAACGGGGAATTGAACCCCGGACCTTTCGCAAAGCGCTATCAGAAGATGCGAAGCTATTCCTGTTAATTTACGCTCGAATTATTCTTTTGGGAAGATGGAAACTCACCGAACGCCATACCCCTAGACCACACGCCCTATTGTTGGTTTGCTCCGTTCTGCAATCGCGAGATTCAATGCTTCCCGATCCTCCGGGAACCGACAAAGGGAGCTGTCCATATCCCAGGCGGATTCATAATCATCATGCCTTTCATCCTTGATTGCATCCTCGTAACCGAGACAGGCGGGATGAATCGTGTAAATTGCCACGATCGCCTCCAAAGCCCGCAGTTGAGGAATCGCATTCCAGATCCCAATGCTTACCTCTCTGAACTCGTTGAAGATCTCCGGGTCTGGCGTCCCGTACACGACGCTCATCTCATATACCATCCGCAGGGGAACCAGGTGGCACATGAGCATCCGTTGGTATAGGGCCGCAAGTAGCACAGACTTGAAGTACGACTTTTTACCCATCATGAGGTTCTTTCCATAAGGCTCCTTAGTCACCTTGTCTCCTCCAGCATCGGCCTCCAGTGAGTCTTCTTGCATTCGCAGCGTCGAGTCCTTCATGTCCTGCAGTCTTTGGCGAATAGAAACGGCAAGTCGTGTCATGCCTTGGCTAAATGGGTCGGAATATATTCGCCCAAAATCATGATACAGAGGAGCGAGACTTCTGATGTATTTATGAAGAAGCAGCATGTCGTTTACCAAAAAGGGCCGCACGTCCGAGGTAGATGACTGTTCTTCTGCACATTGGTCGAATGCCTCCTTCCAAGGCGAGGTCCTGATGAAATCGTTCTCTCCACTCCTAGTTGGATCACGCAACTTGAGAGGAGGGGTGGGACATTAGCTATGGTATCACACGAGGCATTGTTGACCCAGACTAACCAGAAGCCCGTGAATTTCGTTTGTAACCGCGATCTCAAGCGGATCCTCAAGCTTCGGCAGCCCTCTTCTTATAAGGGCTTCTCTGATCCCTTTCAGATGTAAATCTGCATATCTCCCTCCATCGAAGAGCTTGCTCGTGCGTTCAAGAAGTGTCATTGCAGCCAGAGTTTCAACACTGCAGGCCTGACTTGCCACCAGTGCACGTCGAAGACTCCGCAGAAGCTTCCCGTACTGAGGCATCTCCATCAGCTCTCTTCGTTTCCGATGACGACGCGAGTCTGACCATGCCGCGCAAAAGAGGTCCACTGAGTCACGCAAACAGGCGCTCGAGCCCAGGCGTCGCGGAAGCTCAGGAAGGTAGCTCATGTGGACGCTTATTAGCCCCTCAGAACCATGATCCATGCTGGCGACGAGACGGACGCTGATTCGGTCCGCGAGGGTTGTGGGGTTGCTTCTGGGGAGCCCGACTTGAAGCAGCAGGCCGTATTCTGCTGAATCGTCCCCAACCTTTGAATAGTATACCTTGCGCAACCTCAAAGACGGGCTAGGACTGCTGCACGGTGTTCTCATGGGGTCTATTACTGAAAATTCGGCCCGTGGCTCGTCTGGATTTTCACTGTGTGAAGCATTGTTAATGAACTTGACGAGCTGAGTAGGTCCTGGGCATTCAAGTCTGCGCTGCTTGCATTGTTCGCAAGATGGCCAAGTCTCGTCGCACTGGAAGAGAGTATGTTAGCTTGTCCTGATGAGCCTGGGGTTCGTGGATGCACTACTTTGATCTTTCTCTGCTTGCAAATTTGGCAGCCCCTCGACTTTGGAATTCCAGGCATTATGTCGATATGTATAGCGAAAGAGTAAACGTTTGAAGTGAGAAGAACAAAAAGAATGATCTGTGATGCAAGCAAAACAAGCATATACCAGAGACAGGCGATGAGCTAGTAACAAATATCGATTCCATTCGGGAGAAGCACCACCGGACTGGTGCAGAACTATATCTGCATGCTGACGTCTGGTGGACGGTTTTAAGTTAGCCTGTCCCACACGTCCAGACCAAGCAAGATCGTGTGAGTGGCCAAGGGGCCACTACCGCCAGATGGGACTTTGGGGTTGGAGGATCGGCATGGGTCCCAAGCATCGAGACAGGCCTGCTATCAATTGATGATGCTGATGGAACTTAGGGTGTAAAGGAGGCCTACCGGCGACCTGGGAGGTAGTATCGACCCTCTGTCCGTGAAAGAGAGGTTCGACCTAGGTAAAATGATGCATTATTTCCCTAAGGGGAGTTCGCCGGCAGCTCATTGAGTGGCGAGGGCACCTCTGCCACGCTCTGCTCCACGGCTGCCACGCGTGTGCCCTGGCACAATACGACAATGGCCGCTCAAATGGGCGGTGCCATGTTACGTGCCAATATGACAGCGGTAGGGCTGATATGCCGACAGATCTGTCTTGTCTTCAGTGGAGGGACTGAGATTACACTTCGGCAGTAGATCTTATTGCTACTAATTAGGCATCATGATGGGAGATACAAACGTAACCCGTTGGCTTAGTGCCGTAACATACCTTGACGCTGTCTCGGCCAATACCGGTATCGTCAGCCATGTCAGCTTAGCTTATGCTGTTTATCTAACGTACGTCGACATCATGAAAGGCCTCCCACTGGTTCGATCACGATTTCCGGGGTTAATTTTAAATATCCGGCCTCCCAACCGATTGCCGTATGCCACTCTGGCCGTTAACCTCCTTGTATGTTCTCCACCGAGCCATTGTGATGATTGCTTCGGCTGCCGATCCTTGCCTCCCAGGAGAGACCCCGGTCGGTATATCTACCCCGATTAGGAAGATTCTCGTTCATTAGAGCTCCATCCGGCACTTGGCGGGCTGCAGCATCGGCCAACCAAGTCCCCATCCGAGATGTGATCGCCGACCAGAACTGTGCCTGCCACGCATCATCCCATCTAATATCCAGCCATACCGCCAGGTTCGTTGCTAATTTTACCTCGGGGATTTCTGGACATGCCCACCCATGATTTGCTGGAGCCAGGTAGGTTTCTTGTTTTCCTGTTTCTGCTCTCGTCTAATGCCAGACGCATGCCAAGCTGTTCAACTGCCGGAAACATTTACAGGTATCACCAGCCAAGTACTAGGCCTCCAAGGCCTCCAACGTCGGTAACAAACTCGTTCCACTGATTTATTACCCACCAGAATCCACCAACGTATAAGATGCGCGTGGAAATAGAGTCTATGGGTTGGCGCATGGCGACCTGACGTCTATTCACCCTTCAGAGTGTCTGGACAGAAAGTAGAAGTACATTCCTGAGACTCCATGATCAGCAACTCAGTGTTTCAAGCCTTAATATTTCCAGCCAGTGAGAAGACAAAGATCTCGTATCGGCTTATACCGCCGCCTACTAGGGTCCGGAAGGTCTTTTCTTCCATTCCTCCCTTCTTCCTCGGGCATAGCTAGCACTGGCCTTGCTATTTGTTGTTTTTTCTTTCCCGTCTTTTAGTTTTCAATGTTACATTCGCGAAATGAACCCATGAACCCATCGCCGCGGCTTGCTCACCCATGTTACCTAGGAATTGCTTCGCGCGGGGCAACGGCAGTAGTGTAGGATTGCACATCCAAGACCACCACTATTAAAATCAGACCCTTGCAGGGTGGTATTCTACCTAATTCGGTAGTGTGTGAAGTATCATAGAGGCGAGATAAGCTCTTTTGCAACACGCATTCGGACCTAAAAAAAGTATCCGCCACGTGCCACCGTGAGTCCCGGGATCTTGACATGTTCCGTGGCAGCTGGTAGCCAATAAGATAAGGATCCCATGATTCAGAGGGTCACTCTCAAGCGACGTCATGCACTTGGCCCAGAAAAGGACTGTAGGCGGAGGAACCTGGTAACCGGCTTGTCAGGCCCATTGCACCACCATGTGGAAGGTCTTTGAACAAGAGACCCAGCATCCTGTGAAGCCATCACACCCAGAACTTTCTGAAAAAGCCCTAATATTTGCTGATTTTCCCCCTTTATCAATTTCCCAGTGCTTAACATAATCATCAAGGAGGTAGCCGGCCACCATCGTTACATCGTGAGTATCAATAGTTCATAGAACCGTGCCCTTTCCAATCCTACTCGAACTGAATCCCCATATTTGCCACACCAGAGTGAAGACCCCTTTTAACGGTATGCTGCCCCATAATAACGCCCTTTGACTGCATTCTTGTTGTCTTCACGAGGACTTTGGTTCACTCCCAAGTTCTATTTTGTGCTCGCGTGAATAATCTAATGCCATTTCAGGGAACTGTCACGATCTAATTCACGGTATTACCCTTCCATCATGTCAAGAAGGTCACGTAGTGACCCCGCTGGCTCCTCAGTTATTATAAATAAGTTGCCTAACTTTTGTAGAGGTAGTAGATACTTAAAAGAACTTATCTAGACGATTAATTAATCTCAATACCTTATTTATAGATTATACTATTTTAGTCTTAATATTGTAAAAAGATGTTCCACGTAGAGGCCACTCGTTTCACTATCTAATACTGGTGGCGTAAGCGATGTTATGCAGCAAATGATTTCCATCTGTTGTTTGGTGGGCACCAGTGGGATTAAGCCAGCTTGCAGTCGATTGTGATCCATTTATCTCAGAAATTCTCTCTAATTAACTTCCAAAATGGACATATGGTATCCATAAAGCCGGCTTACCCTCGAATAATTCAGCATCTCTCGTGTCTCTGACTGTCTTTTCAGGCAAGTCTGACTGCGTGTGACCTGGTTGTAACCTGTTGGTATCTGTTCTGACTGCATTCTCCAAAACCCATTGCGTCCGAGACTTTCTGCTCGCATGATGAAGGCCCTCGCTAACAGATTCGTCACTCATATTCCTGGACTTAACCCACTCGTATGTCTCAGTCGCTATTCCTACGCATGATTCGTCGTTTACCTCCCAAAGAGTGCCAATGACATGTCGGAAGCCAGCGAGTTGATAAGCGGCAATCAGATGAAGCCTCTCGTTTACAAGCTCGTTTTGTTTGATTTGACCAGTTCCGCAAGCGGAGAGGTAGGCAAGGAAAGGTGCGCGACTTTGTAAATTCACCTCGAGCACGCTCGCAACTGATAGGTGTTCCGCGTGTAGAATTAGAGAGCTTTGCAATGGATCTGAGCGGTCGGCGAGCGCATGACCGGCAAAGTGAAATACTTCGCAGTCCCTTAATGCGGCCAGGATATCTTCTCGACGTGGCTCGGGGCTTGATATCTGTCCCCATATACGTTTGAGGCCTTTAATCTCCTCCTTCACAAAGGGCAAATCACTCTGCCCTGGTGTTTCGGTAAGACCAACCGCTACGATCTTGTTCGGCTCCCACTTCGTTTCTGCAGAGGGATCTTTTTGCCGGCTTCTGAGCAGTGTTCGAACGGAAGAACTGTAAGACGATATGGCACGGTCCAAAACGGTGCTAGAGGAGTCGTGATAACCCGCTGCATGGATAGGAAACTTGGCTAGGAGTCCGGTAGGTATCCACCATACATGAGGCCAGCGGTCTCGAGGAATTTGGACAAATCCCAGTGAATCAAGAACTGGCTTTGTAATTGTGTCCCATAGCCACTCAAGCAAATTTGAGTCTGGGCTTGTCAACGTTTCCGCCCGAAAACGGATATCGTCGACGTCCAATCCAGGAAGTGCTAAACTCCTTATCTTGTCCTTAGTTATTATCAGTGCGTCGCAGCGGTAGTCGCTTACGTTGATGATGACAACTGGACCTAGCTTGGCAGCACTCTTCAACTCATTTTCAGTTGGGCCTAACAGAAATCCCTCAAAGCCGGGCAAAGCTTGAATTTTTTGTATAAGTCGTTCCATATTGCCGGGGCCGCGAAGCTTCAACCTCCAATCCCGGTTACGTACAGTAATGTCTGGATTGTAGCTCTCGTCATTTAAACGGAGGGTATTGAGTTGATCCCGAAGCTTTATGTATTCTTCTCCTAGCTCACGATGTTCCTGCAGAAGCTTGGATATATCAGTCCTCATATCGCTAAGAGCTGTTGTGATAACGTTGTGCCCGAGCTCAAGAGTTTGAAGAGCTTTGGTTGGCTTGTCGCCAGCTATGAGAGCAAGGGCCGCTGCGTCGGAAGCCAACTGGGATATCTCACCCAGCACAAGCTGTTTGTCTGGTATACTAGACCCACGAGGCGCAAGCTGATGAATGTGTGATATGGCCGCCGAGGCCACGTTGGAAGCTGAAGACGACTGCTTAGTCTCCGCAAGTATTGAGACTAGCAAGTTTCCAGAACGAATCCAATAGTAAGGGCTCAAGGCCACCGGGCTGTCAAAGGCTGCTTCGCAGTATTGGGTAGAGAGATTGAGATCTTCCATGTCCTTGTTTCTCTGATATTTATGATAATAGCCGGCTCCCAGAAAATAATCCTGCTGCTGCCTCGATGCTGCATTATCCGGTGTCCAGTCCAAGGCATCTTCACACTCCTGTATCATCATCTCTAAATCCGCCCAGGATTTGGTCTTGAGGTATCTATCATAATATCTTTTCCCAAGAGTCATATGCATATCGAACCGGAACATATCATCTGACGAGAGATCAAGGTCCTCTTTGAGGTATCGAATCGTTTTGCTTAGATCTTCAATATTCCCGGTTCTCCAATATTTCGCATGATATGCGGGCGCAAGATCTTGAAGTAGAGTAACCCGCACTTGGTCATCATCTGGAGTCAGATCAAGAGCTGCTTCGAATTGTAGGATGGCGCCCTCTAAATCTTCCAGAGCCTTGGTTCTTTCATACTTGTCGTCGTAGCTACTCGCAAGGGATTGAAGTCGAGCTACCCGATCCGGATTATTCTTTGGCGTTAAATCCAGAGCTCCTTGGAATTGTTGAATAGCATCGTCCAAAAAGTTCAGAGCCTTGGTTCTGTGATACTTGTCGTTGTAGCTAGTCCCAAGATCATGAAGTCGAGCGGCCCGCAACGGATGAGCCTTCGGCGTTAAATCAAGGGATGAGTGATAGTGTTGGATCGCCCTGTCCAGATCTTCGAGGTTGGTAGGTGTCCTATAGTTATTGTATCTTTCTTGATACAAATAACCAAGATGGTGAAGCTGAAATGCCCGATCTGGATCACCCGGAGGCATTAGATCGAGAGCATCCTGGGATTGTTGCACCGCCACGTCTAGATTGTCCATGGCTGTAATTTTTGGGCTGATGTATTGTAATAATTGTTAAATCGAAACAAAGCATTGAGATGATGAAATAGTTCATGCATATGCTACTGAAAGAATCCATCTGTTCAGCGCTCCATCAAAACTCGACACGTTACAGGAAGAGAGGTGGGGCGTAATCAATACTTGAGCCCTAACCACGCGGTTAGATGGATGCATCTCCGTGACCGGCCTGATGTAAGATAAAGAGCCTTGTCAGCTGAACACAAGGTGCATATTAGGCACATCAAACGTGCGAATTCCAGTGAAGGGTGTGGTAAATGAGAAAATGGTGTATAACCTAGCTGGTAGTACTGCCGCTGTCTTGTGGAGAGGATGGCTCATACTACAATCCTTAGAAAGAGCTTTCCCTTTAAATTGTTGGTGTCTTTTGGCATGTAAAGCAATTGCTGAAGGAGCTCTGTAGAAGTGTATTCCGTTTGTTTGTGGGCCGAGCCTTGATGCTCTGGATAACTGCTTCAAGTTGATTCCCGCCCACATCGAGGACTGTCACATACCTTTCGTCAGATGAAACCAGCAGTCTGCAGTTCCTTGACAAAGCAAATGGTGTAAATAAGAGGCTATAACTAGGTCAAGGTGTGGTCACATAGATTACCTATGCACCAAATCAAGTAGCTATGATATATAGCCTAGGTACCTACATCAACTTCGCTCAAGCCAGTAATCGCGTTTCTAAAACTCTATTTTAACGTATCAGGGAAGTATATGACTACTGTGATTTGCTACCAAGTGAGCAAATACTTGTTTGGAGCAATAGATGCGCCAAGGAGATACAAAGTCACATTCGAGCTACATCTGGTTCCAGTTCTTATTATATTGAGCGCAATAACTTGTATAAAGTTATTCTCATATAGAGTTAACCATCTCAGGTACCGCCGACATACCCACTAGCACAAATCCGCAAATCCCCCAGAAGGAACGGATAATCATACGTGGTATGCCTCCCGACCCTAATCTCACCCGGCGTCCTATCCAAGGCTGCAATCTTGGCCTTCCAGGCCCGAATCTTCTCCAGCCACCCGTCCTGCATCTCGGGCCGTATCATCCCCAGCCCCTCGAGCCCCTGGCAGACCATGGTGTTCTCCCAGAGCCGCTGCCTCCAATCCTTTCCCTCCCCACCGTCGAACCACCAATCATCCTCGAAATCGTCCTGGAAGTCCTCCGCTGCCCTCTGGCGGAGTTCTCTCCAGTGCGGCCTCCACCTCGTGCTTCGGAGAACCCATACCAGGGCGACGTTGTTATTCTTGGGGAATTCCAGGTAGTTACTGCCCTTCTCGGTTCTGGCGTATGGTCCCACGGGCTTGACGTCCCGGCGGGGATCCAGCTCACCACTGGGGAGACGGGCGTCTTGGGCGTCAATGCTGCCGCGCAACTCGCAAGCAAAGTCCGGGACGCAGTACTTGATGAATTCAAGGCGCGTCTCGACACTCAGGGCACGATGGGTCACGTCTCCGTCCAGATAGGCAGCCAGGTCCGGGGCGAAGAGCTCGCCGTAGATGGCGAGGTGGAAAAAGGTGCTGTCCGGGTCCGCGTCGATGGTGTACGCGTCGTCCACGCCGCCGTCCCAGAAGTCGGGCGTGGAGTACCACTGCTGGCCGACGCACCGGTCGATGATGTCGGTGACGGGGTTGATGACGGAGAAGCGCAGCGCGTGCAGCTGGCGGATGCGGGGCATCGTGAGGCCGCAGTGAAGCAGGGCGAGATCGAGCATGCCGTCCGGGCCGTTTTGGAAGGCTGTCGCCAGGGATGTCTCGTTGGCGGGGTTGAGACGGGCCCATTCTCCCAGCTGGCGAGCCGTGGCGGCCACGAGGAACTCGGGGGACGGGCGGAAGAAGATGCGCGACTGGTTGTTGGCGAGTCGCAGGATGGTGTTTGGCGCCACGGATTGGAGAGTGGTGCGGAGGTATCTGCATGTCGATGAAAGGGCGGAATAATCCTCGATGTTGTGAAGACGATCTGCGACGAGCAGAAGCAGCTCGGGCGCGAGAGAGGCCAAGGAAGCCATATTGTCTTCGATAACTAGGTACTCTTGCAATCTGATTACCTTCCCATGGGTGATATGTTGGTGATGTCGGGGTAGATATAATTGAGAAGAGGCAAGAGGCCGTCGATTAATAGTGACTCACTCCCCGCTGATGATGGGATCGACAAAGAAGCCCACCAAGGTGACAGACTTGCTCATGTCAGCAAGACGAGCCAGACCAACATCCATTTGCCGCCGAATCAAATCGATCAATAGTTGCACGGGCCACTTTACAAGCTTCGCCAACACTTGACTTGATGTAAAAAAATTCAAAGTGTCTATGCGCTGATATAATCTAATAACCAATCCAATACAATGTTCTATGTATAGTTCCAAAACACCTCGCTGAATGCGAATGCAAATTGACACAAACGCCTGATATCATACTCTACCCATATCCGACACCCAAGATCAAAACATACGTCATTACTCTCCGCCCAATGGTGATATTGCACTAATTGGAATTGTTGCTGATGCTAACAGCCTCCTCCATCTCTCTCTCGGCCAGCTTCCTATGCCGTTTGCTGGGGTCTTTGGTGTCGACAGCCGGCCATAAGTCGATGACGAACGAGAAGACGTAAAAGCTGAAGATGAACGAAATGGTCCACTCGAGAACGGCGGCTGCGTCGGTCTTTCTGGCTCTGCTGCACGCGCCGAAGGCGATGAGGAGGGCAAGTTCGACGATGATGAAGGCGAGTTTGATCCAAAAGGAAAGGCGAAGCTCGGGGAAAGTGCGGTTTTCTAAAGGAAAAGAGAAGAGTCAGCGTTAGGCACGCTTCTACAGTTTGGATCGGGGAGGTGAGGCGGGAGGCAACATACTGGATTGGAGACGCTGGTATTCCCAGCAAAGAAAGATGGCAGAGATCAGGTATCCAATAATAAAGAGTGCCAGGAAGACCCAGTGTAGACGGCCATGCGTGCCCGTCTTGAAGATGGACAGGCAAATGAGCCCCACGGTTCCGACGGCGGCGAAAAACAGACTCAGAATGGAGAGAGCTTTCTCGCCCACTGAGGAGTTGGGCACAAGACGGCCCTTGTGTCTTAGCCAGCGCTCGGCGATAAAGGCAGCGTCGAGAAACACAGCCGTGAGAACACATCCGGTAATGAAGAGAGGCTGTAAACGATCGGCACCTATGTTGCTGATGTAGGCGATGGTAGCCCTGTCAGACATGGTGTCGTAGTGGCGGGAGTTGTCGTCGATGATCCACGAGAGGAGCATGCCGAGGAGCATACCCAGCCATACTAGGCCGGAAATGATTGGGAAGACCTAGACAAGTCAGAACCGACCGAGGCAAGGAAGTGAAATGGGAGAATGCCTACCCAGTAGGAAACGTAAGCCGGTCTCTTCATCATGGCGAAGGAAATGAGGGCGACGATGATGCACGCAGGGCGGGGAGGGGCGTTGACGCTGGTGTTGATTCGGCCAGGCGGACGCCAACCACAGGGATGAGCAAAACGAATGTGTGTGAACCAACACGGGCGTCGATAGAATTTTAATAATTAATTTTTCGCTGCTAAATCGAGACACGGATCGGATCCAACAATCAAACAAACAGGGGCTGCGGGTCCGCGGACATAACGGGGTCCGAACACGCACGCACGCGACAGCTCAAGGCCACTGCGATTCAGACCTCTGCCATGGATCGGAGGTTGACTAAGGACTCCTGCGCCTCACTCCGCGTCATCGTCGCTGTGAGCACGCCGGTCAGTCTGACTTCTGCGCCATCAACCACGGCCCGCGCCTGGTTCCAGTCCTTGCGAGTGCGCCCGAGGCTCAGTCAGGCGATGGACTGCTGTCGCCTCGCTCTTGGGCGCAAACGGTCTAGTGTCGGTGTCGACCGAAGCATCCGAAGGCAATTGACTGCTACGCGCACGGATTCTTCGGACGGTGCCAAGCAGCTGATTGATGAATGATGTGACGCAGAATGAATGACAAAGCAGACAAAACAAAACAAACAAAGGAGAAAAGTATTTCCCTGCGGCAGGCACGTGCTACCACATAATCCACCTACCCTATAAGCCATGAATCCCACAATGCGCTGTAGATAATTTGCTAGTTCGGCTCTCTTTGTTGCATCTAAATGAATTTCTATATCCTATGAGGGCATACAGGATTGTAATTGACTGAATTTTTCTTTTCAATTTTGCTTAGCTGGTGTGGTTTGTTTGCTTTGAAAGGGTCTTAGTCAAACGCTGGCAACACCTTTGGTATATCCATGAGAGGTCTGTCTCATCTGACTTGGAACCTTTTAAGTAGGTACCCAGACTGTTTATCAATCTTTGCGTCTAACATTAATACCTAGATCTAATATCCCGATTTTATTTATTCATAGCCTACCTTAGGTATTGGTTTCAATAATACAATCGTCCAAGCTACGCATGGCATGTTCTCATAGCCTTCAAGTCGCTCTACTAGCGTATCGGCCCCTTGGTCTAACAAAAAGCCATTCCATTGTTTAATTATCCATCCCACCAACCCAAATGTTAGCCCGCCCGCTAAGCACTTTTGGAAGTGTGGAAATGGTTGGTCAAATCAGCTTTCACATACGTCATCTCGGGGTGCGGTTAACTGTCAAGGAATCGCATTGCGGTGATCAAGCCGCATGTCGGCTTTGGATTCCTGGGCCTAACTTAATTCATTGCATTGCACATATCAATACTTGTTCCACGACCTTACGCCTTTAGGTAGAGGAAGGCTGGTAACAGTGCGGGGTGTCAGCCCTACCCATGACTGGAAGCAAACGTGAAGATAAGCTGGTAGACACTAGACAGTAATATCATCGCTAAGCTCCTGCCTAAAAGAACATCCATCGCTCGAATCCTTCTTGAGCTTACAGTACAAAGATCCCACTAATCTTCAGATTTGGTGCGGGGTTCTTGGTATATCTAGAGACAAGCAATCCACCGTGATTTCTTTTACTTCCGTTCAACAAGACGTTACAATGAAGCTCCACCCAGCCCTATGCCTGGCAATTGGGCTGGCGCAATGCTGCTACGGCGAGCCCATCCCGGAGCCTCCAGGGCCTTACAATGTTGGGGTTAGGAGACATGTCATCAATTTCGACAACCCAGACGACCCCGTAAGCCCAAACAACATCTCGACGGAATATCTTGCAACAATTTACTATCCAACCGAGGACAGCCCATCAGCGCCCGCAACATACATTGAGCCAGAGTTGGCACAGATGTACGCAGACGTATACAAATTCAACATATCCCACTTGACCTCGACAAACCGCTGGAACGCCTCGTATTTGAGCAAATGCGCTGGTCCCACGCTTGTATTCGGCCCTGGTGGATGGGGTCCCTCAACTGATGGCTTCGTGATCCTGCTCTCTGGCCTGGCATCCCGCGGTTACGTCGTCGCTGCACTTGACCATCCATACGAGCAGCCCTTTTTGCGCTTCCCAAACGGTACTGGGTTGTTTGGGCTTCCCATCACAACCCCGGCCAGCCAGCCTCTTCTTGATTTGCTGCACGCCGTACGTGTACGCGAGATGCTGCACTTTGTCCACAATTGGCCCAAGCTTGTGGCGGAATTGGGAGCCCCTTTTCGGAAAACTCGCATCGGCGCTTTTGGCCACTCCTTCGGCGGCTCCTCAGCACTCAGCGTCGGCATCGAGAGCGATGCCATCGTCGCTACTTTGAATCAGGACGGGACCATTTGGGGGAGGGCGGCCCACAACGACTCTTCAGCTGACGCTGGCAAGCCCACGATGCTGCTGACGGCCCAGGGCCACCACAACGACCAAGACCAATCCTTTAAAAACTACACGTCGAACCAATCAGGCTGGTGGCGGGTGATCATGGTAAATGGAACGGTCCATGCGGACTGGACGGACGCCACCTTCTGGAAGCTATGGGGCACGACAAGACCTATGGGTACAATCGACGGTCGACGAATGGCGGATATTCGGGGTACGTACGTCTCGGCGTTTTTTGGCGAGCATATAGGAGGAGAGGAGTCGCCGTTGCTGGATGAGAATTCCGAGGAGTGGCCAGAGGTGACCGTCTACGATGGCAATGATATTTGAAAACTGCCACCAAGACATTACTCTGAGGCATATACACCGGGGCCAATAGTCATGATAGAAACATGCATCGCATTTACTCACAGAGGTCAGACCAAGTGGCTCAGGCTGGATGTCCATACAAGTAAATGATCAAGTAAATGATTGCTCTCATCCGGTCATCTAGGTGACCTTACCAAATTTCTCATGGCTCCATTTCATTTGCTGCGTATTCTACGTTTACTACCAATGATACTTTTTATTCCTGCCGTGATTGTGTAGATATCGGTGACTCTTCCCTTCAATACTGTCTTTGATTTCCTAATTTGAACGATTGCATCAAGCACAACATCCCACACGAGGAATATAACCTGGCAGGGTCTTGGCAAAGGTGACATTCAAGCTTCAGCTTCTTCAGCTGGTATCGGTAAAGTTGCCGCTTTTTGCTAGCAGTGGATGTTTGAACAGGGATGCGGACTCTAGGAATGGGCATCCAGCGAATGGGGAGATCTCTCAATACACTCGTTGACAAGGGCCTGAAGATGCCCAACCCCTCATTTTCTCAACGGTTTCCATCGCTCTGTTTCCTCGACCTCTCTTCATATCATCGATGCTGGATTGCAAAATGTGGCTTTCGCCTACTCCACGGCCGTTGCCCGGGTTGCTGTTCTATCTGTCAATATGCCAGCTTTGTCTGGCTGTTGTCTTCACCAATTCCGATTTCTCAATCCAACCGGACAAAGCGTTCAATTTACAATGGGACCAAAACGAAGGACCCGTTACCCTCAGCGTGGTGACTAGCACGTCAGATAATGCCCAGCAGGTAGTTACCATAGCGGGTGAGGACGTTTCGTACCCAGTCTCAGAGGTCCATGGGCGTGTGTCTGCAGCTATTTGAGAACGGCAGCAGTCTAGTACCGTCGGATGTTTCAATCTCTTGACATGACTGACGCTTGATCTGTACTAGAACTCGCCCTGGGAAGCTCGCGCTACTGGACCCCAAGCAGTAGTTTACAGTCGGGAACATATTATCTCAGAATCAAGGATGAAGTGACAGGGGAAGTCAGCTATTCTTCAGAATGGAAGTACTCGGCAAGCAGCAGCTCCTCGGATTCGTCTACTCAAGCAAGTTCAAGAACCACCTCGGCAGCTTCACGTAGCTCCAGTGATGCATCCGAGGACAGCCAACAGGCCTCAACGAGCCGTTCGACGGGCACTTTCTCAACCTCTACCAGGTCGTCATTCTCAACCACTCTAGTAGTACCTGCGGGAACTGGCGCAGACGACGACCAAGCAACCCGTACTGGCAATCCCACGTCAGATACACCTTCTTCGGGTCTTTCGACCGGGGCGAAGGCAGGGATCGGCGTCGGCGCCGGCCTTGGTGGGATTCTCCTGTTGGCTGCCGTTGCCTTTTTATTCTACAGGAAGGGCAAGTCCCGTGCTGAGAGACAGAACGCGTCAGTGACCCAAGGCCAGGTTCCTCAAGAGAGCCAGGAACCAAAACCACCGGCGACGCATCCCTCTTACCCGGAGCTGGGTGTTACAGATGAGAAGCCGATAGGCGAAATTGCTGGAATGCCGATTGCCGAGGTTCCTGGCGCCAATGTTCATGTTAATCCCAATACTCGAAGCAAATTTGTTGAACTGCCATAAGTGCCTTTAAAGAAATGCACCCTTATATAATAGATACATTAGTAATGGGATAACACCCAAATATTTGACGATATCAGACCATATTAGTTTATTGATAGAAGTGTAACTTGCACACCCTTGATGAAGCTGGGTTATTTGCCTTGATTGGTGCCCGTACCACACTGGGTGTCGCTTGAAGTGTTTTACCAACCTCGGATTGCTATTCTAAACATTCTAGAGAATTTGGAATAGTTTTAATACTCAATGAAGTTCAATTTGCTGATGTCAAGTTTCTGGAGCCGTCGTTCGAGTAAGCTAGTATAAATATATTGAATTAAGTGGGAGATGTGTTAAGTTGTTAGCATTTCTTTAGTCGCTTGAACCGTTCTCTTGACTCTTCTTGAAACAGCATGTCTTGGCTTATGTTGACTAATATTGACTATCAGTCTCAAACAAGCATTCACACCGCCTGTCATATAGGATCGCTCATATGTAGGTATAATAGGGTTGCTCCACTCGAAAACCGACATCGGGATGATGGCAAAGATAACCGGGTTTAAGTCACTATCTATGTTACATAGCCTGTTATCTTGCTTTGGGAAACCCCCGGTCATCTGAGCTTCCTAAATTGCCATATGGGGAGCAAGGCATTCATGCAATAAGAGAGAATAGGCCTATATTCGGGATTAGTAAGTGCCTGAATAGTTCCCCGGCCTTAGGGCACAGCTGTTTCCTTTGAGGTGCAACGTTACTCCTGTATATAGTGGCATTGCATCAACTATGGAATCGTGAAAATCTGCTCCCACAACGGTTTGATTCGTATGCCGTTGAGAAGAAATGAATCTATTGGCTCGCACGTTTCTAGCCAGGGAACCTCATAGGGCGAGCATGAGATGATCTGAGACAAAAACAAATGCCACTTTCTCTTTAAGACAACAGAGATTGCGAAGCCGAGCGGGGTGATGCAAACCCCCGTATATCAATGACGAGGCCCCAACAAAAAGCCCCGCAGAGTATGCATGTAACACTGCAAGCAAGCTCAGCGTTGGGGTATCATCGCTTACCTCGCTTGAATTTTTCCGTCCATGGCTTTATAGAGGCCTTTCCCCCGAGTTCCACACATCAACAAAGCATAGGACAATCATGTTCTGGCCAGAGATATTGAAGACGGGCACAATGACTCCTCGCTGCTATCCATGTGTCGCGTTGCTGGCCTTCTTAGGGCTGGCCTCAGCTGCATCCGAAGTGCTCTCACCACTACCTCCGATGGGGTTCAACAATTGGGCTCGTTATATGGACGCCTTGAACGAAACGCTTTTCGTTGAGACGACCGATGCCATGCTAGCAAAGGGCCTACTCCGGGCGGGCTACAACCGCATCAACTTGGATGACTGCTGGTCTCCTCGGGAACGGCTTGCCAACGGCTCTATGACATGGGATATAGACAAGTTTCCACGAGGTCTTCCTTGGCTAGCAAGCTACATCAAAAGCAAAGGATTCATACCTGGGATATATACTGATGCAGGAACCTTATCATGTGCTGGGTACCCGGGCGCATACGGCTACGAGGAGATAGATATCAAGGACTTTGCGGATTGGGGTTTTGAGTTTGTCAAGCTAGATGGGTGCAATATGCCAACGGGGACCGAGGCTGAGTATAGAGAGGTGTATGGGAAGTGGCACGAAGTCCTATCCAAGTTGGAAACCCCGATGGTGTTCTCAGAATCGGCACCGGCATATTTTGCTGAAGCAGCGAATCTGACCAACTGGTACAAAGTGATGAGTTGGGTGCCAGAGTTTGGGCAGCTCGCGCGCCACTCCCGAGATACATTGGTATGGAATTCGACCTTGTACTGGCCAGACATCACTGGCTGGGATAGTATCTTGTTCAACTACGGACAGGAAGTGCGCCTCGGCCGTTTCCAGCGGCCTGGTTACTTCAATGATCCGGACTTCCTCAATGTCGATCACTTCGATTATACCATCCACGAGAGACGCTCACATTTTGCGCTTTGGGCCTCATTCTCAGCTCCGTTGATTCTGAGTACTGATGTGCTTTCTCTCACCGATGAGGAGGTCAAGTATCTCACAAATCCTGACATCATCGCGATTGACCAGGACCCTCTGGTCCAGCAAGCATCGCTGGTTAGTCAATCAGCTGGCTGGGACGTCTTGACCAAAAGCCTTCACAATGGCGACCGCCTGCTCACTGTCTTGAACAAGGGCAGCGCGACTGCTGATCTAACCGTTCCCTGGAGTCATATTGGTCTTGCAACAGACACTCCTCATACCCCATCCAAACTCTCTGTCAAGGATCTGTGGACCGGCCGCTCCCAAACCGTTGTTCCCACGCGCTCAAAAGGATTCACTGCAAGGAGCGTACCGCCTCATGGCACAGCGATCTTCCGCATCTCGAACCCGGCACCAGGATCCTCTGTCCAAACCGTGCCGACTGGTGTGATTTTCAACACCTACACTCTCAGCTGCTTGACTGACTCCTCCTCACGTGGAGGCCTCATTACATGGACCAATTGCACCATGTCGGACTCTCAAATTTGGAGGGCTCGCGAGGACGGTACATTCAGCAGCCTGGCAGATGAGAAGCGCTGCTTGGTTGAAAAAGATGGAAAGATCCAATCTGGAGAGTGCAGCAAGCGTGCTAAATGGGACTATTTCCTTTCTGGTGCATTAGTCAATCGCGATTCGAAAAAGTGCCTTACAGAAATCCACGATTTGGGAGCGTCTGCTACATCGGACGCATGCGGATACATGACGAATGAACAGGTGGTGGCGCTTCCTGTGGGTGTGACTGTCAACCGCTTGACGGACGACGGTTCCGTACTTGACTTGCGCACGAATGGTGCTTGAGGGCCTGGTATGAATCGAGGTCTGAAAATTGAGGCTCTGAGTTATCATGTCAGATATCTGTAGCTGGAAAGCCGAATGATTGAACCATCATAACTCATCGTAAACGGGAGACCGCTGCCGTACGTCGTGACTCCCGTCCATTAACCCAACGACCATCCTCCTCCCTCTCGTGGCATTTGGAAATTTCTTGCTCTTCCCACACCTTTTGGCATTTCTCTCTTTCTGTTCTTGGTCGTGATCTCGTCCCCTGCGGTGTCCCTGAGCCTTGCGTGTTATTCTCTACGTGCTTTCGTTATGCCAGCGCTCTCATGACTAACTCTCGCACGCATCTCTCATCGTTGGTCACTGTATGCAGTCATTCGATCGCCTAATCCGCTCATTTTGCTACCTGTTCCGCCTCGACTGCTTTCTCCCCAACGTGCCGGGTGACCTCTCATCCTGGCTGGTGTCTAGTCTGCCCTGTGTCATGCCTCTGCAAACGTTGTGTGTAATTTGTGCTCAAAGGTTCATTAAAATATGAGGTCAGACAAGAGTACCCTTTCATACAGGGCAATCTGTGTCAAGGTAATTGAATCATGGCGGAAGAGCGGTGAGATATCTGTATTGAGGAAAATGTGTCGAGATGAAGAGAGGACGTTCTTCAGGCTCATTTGGACATGCTCATACGGCTTCTGTAAGTGCAATTAAGTGGTCACTGCCTATCTCATTGAAGAAAAACAACATGCATGCAGCAGAAGATTAAGTAAAAGGTAGATGAATGTATCAGGCGAGGAATTTTTATGTATACATGTATGATCTGTAGATGAACGTTGCTTCACTTCTTGCACAGTCTTCCGTCGAGACGCTGCTCCCAGGACTCACTCCCCACTGCTGTCACGGCGTAGAAGATGCTGTCGGGGTCGTATTTTCGCTTGATGGACAGCAGCCTCTGGTAATGACCTCCGTAGAAGGTGTGCTGGAAATCGGGAGTTTGGAAGTTAGCCTCGTTTAGATATGCACCTCCATCGGGCGTGATGGCCTCTAACGCAGGTAGTAGCTGGTGAGTGATGCTGTCTTGCGCCTGCTTGTTGGCCTCCCAGTCGGTATAGTTGACAGGCGTACCGATCGCAGCATTGAAAATGGTCATGCGGAAATAGGGGTTGGCGGCAACCTCATCGGGCGACGAGACGGAATGTGCGACGTTGAAGGCGACTCCCGACATGAATGTTTGGGAGGCGATGTCCCGGATAGCACCCACGAGGGATGTCGTGCCGGCGTTGTCTTCCACGAGGCTGCGAGGGATCAGGCGGCCGCCTGCGTTGTAGTCCGACACATTCCAGACGGTTCCCAAAGATCGATAGCTATCAAGGAAATTGGGATATTCGGCCGAAGAATACTGGTATTGGAGTCCTAGCTGATCCATACTGTCCAGAGCTGGCTGGAGGAGCGCGTCCAGCTCTGCCGGGTGCAGGCCAGCAACCATGGCCGGCGAGATCATGAATCCGAACGGGCCTGCAACCCAAACTACCCAAGCACCGGCATCAACAAGATTGGGTAAGGACTGCAGGAAAGTCCCCAGAGCCGAGTAGATACCATCTGTGTTGTCCCCGTTGTTCGGCAGCATCAACGAAGCCGTCGAGAAGAACGTGTCCGGGAAGGCTTTGATGGTCATGGAGAGGACAACACCAAAGGTGCCACCGCCGCCGCCCCTCAGAGCCCAGAACAGATCCTCGTTGTGAGTTGGGTCTGCGGTGACGATATCTCCCGCCGCCGTCACGACTTGGAAGGACAAGACTTGGTCGGCAGCGAGGCCGAACTTGGACGACAAGATACCGATGCCTCCGCCTTGGACATAGCCGCCAGTGACGCCCACGTTGGGGCAGTTCCCAGCAACAACCATCAAGCCATGGTCGTGAGCAAATTGATAAAGCTCGCCTCCTTGAATGCCGGCGCCTACCTTGAGGGCCGGGCCCCCGTAATCTGAGGATGGGTCCTGATATTGGGAGATCAGGTCGATTGACTTCAGATGCTGCGTCCATATTGCGAGTGCGTAAGCACCCGTTGATTTCCCTAGATAGTCATGACCACTATTGCGGATGACGAGCCGGATATTGTGGTGTTGGGCGAACTGGAGAGCAGCTTGGATATGCGTCACCGCGGTGGCATTGACGGTGTAGGACACAATATAGCCTGGGTTGCAGGGAACGTCGGGTCCCAAGAAAGGATTGCAGCTGTTGTTGGTGAAGGGATATGCCATGGGCGACGAGGACGAGGGCAGGTGAGTTGTCGCCGAGAACCAGTTGCTTTGCAGAGCATCGCAAACACTCTGGTCGTAAACGGAGGCGTTACTTCCGTCGCCGCTAACGAAGGAGTAGTGACACGGCGCGGCCAAAGGTATGCTGGGAATAAGCTTCCCGTCTATCGTCTTGTTGAATGCGTCCCAATCGTTCCTGGTCGGCCATGCGGCATCACCGGGAATTGTGCGACAGAACGGCGCGCTGTCCTTTGCATAGCGGATGGCGAGTCCGGCCGCAAGAATGATGGCTGAGAAGATTGTAGCAATTCGCCGCGTGCCCATTCTGTACTGAATTACTCTCCAAAGTAGTAGAAACAGTAAAACGGTTCTGCTGAGCAGCGAATCTCTCACAAGGCGGGGAGGATGGCGTATATGAGTGTTGGAGAGTGCTGGCAACAACAGTCCTGCTCGGGAAAATTGGCCCGAAGGTTGAATGCAAGGGGCATTCAGGAGGCTCGTCAGCACTTGTGCCCATGGGTTATACGCATTACGACAGGGAATGACAGGGACCGGCTCTCACATCCCCCACAGCTGCGTCCCACACCGCGTTGTGCAGCCAAAATAATGTAACCTACTACCTCCACCGCAGTCTGGGCCAGTACCTGCTGCGTACATCAAGGTACCTAACATTCGTAAGCAAAAGATGCTGTATCAGGTTGCATACTCACTCGAAAGGAAACCCTGCTCGTCCGGGGTGATATTTGATATATAAACACCGGGGCCAATAGACTCGCGACTGTGGATTCGTACCTCTCCAGATCTTTGACCATGTTTTCTAAGTTGTTGCAAAGCGCCTGCTCTTGTTTATGGCCTTTTCCACTGACGGGCATTGCTTACTTTGGACTAAGTGCGTTGTTACTGGGGAGGAAACATGCCAAGTTTCTTTCGGTTGGCGCTTGGGATGTTTTGATCCCAACATTCATCCACAATGTCATCTTTGCTCTGTCCGCCGCATCTTTGTTTAAACGAGGCTACGGAAAGGTACATCCCCTACGAGGCCACCCGGAAGACCAGAGGAACCGCGAGGACTGATGGTTGCCGGCGTAGTTTCCAGACTCAACCTTTCGACTCACCCGTAACAATGAGGCCATTGTCATCTTGCCCCATGCGCTGCTGAAAGAGCTGGCCGGTCTGCCGTTCACAGTGGCAAGCCCACAACGGGCATTAGAACGAGACCTGCTCGGTCATTACACGGGGATGAGCCTACTCGTTGAGAGCTAACTGCATCATTCTATAATGCAGAGGAGGTTGACGCCGCGGATCCCGTTGCTCATCCCGCGGATGGAGAGGACGGTAGCCCATGCATTCGAGAAGCATTTCCCCAACCACGATGAATGGGTCGAGGTCCAGCCCTCGAAGATTCTTGGCCCCGTCTTGGCTAAAGTTGCGGCCGAGGCCCTCGTAGGTCCCGAGTTCAGTCATGATCCTACCTGGGTGGACATCTCGACTCACCATACAGAAGCAGGTGAGCAGGCAGCCGCACTCCCTTATCTACATTGGTACTGTACTAACATTTGGTCTTGTTCCTAAGTCTTTGCTACCGCAACGCTGCGCATACTCCCGACTTGGATGCAATGGGCTGTGGCGCCACTACTCCCGACGTTGCGCGCCGTGAACCGTCACCTGGCCCAGGCAAAGTGCGACGCGAGCTGCATATACATGGCCGCCGTTGCCGATGGCTCTGGCTGGGCACCCGACGCCTACGGCCGGCTGCGCAAGATGGACAGCGTGATGCGCGAGTCGCAGCGGCTCTCGCCTCCCAGCAACATCGGCATGAAGCGCGTCTTCGTGCGCGCGCACACCTTCGCCGCCGAACGTCATGGCCCACGAGTTCATGTTCACATCCCCTGATCGGAGGATCCTGGTAAGGCGGAGCAGGAAAGCAGCTTGTCCGTTTTAGCGGTAATACTCTCAAATACGAAGTTGTGTAGCTGCCGTATCTTGAATATATGGACAGAACTAGGCGGCCTCTAAGACGCAATCTTGCCGAGTTTCCGATGACGGCCCCAAGTTCTTGGCATAACACGCTCGTGGCAGAGTGCTGTGGGACACCTGCGGCCTTCTCCTGGATTGAGATCCTCCCGAGGACTGTCGAGAGTAGAGCTAGCCACTTCGGGTTCCTTTTCAATGGATAATCGGATTTGGTCGTCCCAGAGGCCTCCATATACCAAAGCTTCCGATTGCCTGAACCGTCATCACTCTTCGTAAACGGGAGTGAGACTCGAATGGGATAACGCGTGTATATCGTAATATTGCTCTAGACTGTCCCATGGACGTCTTCGTTATTCGAGTCCTGGAAAATAGAGGAAAAGTAAAAGCCCATGTGCCACGTGCCAGCCATCAAAAGTGCCTCCTTAATGTGGATTTCACGTGATGTAAGCTTGGAGGCTTACAAAACGGCCATGTGACATCAGTGGCATAAGCCGACAGTTTCTCCATTTATTCACATCAAATACGTTCTATTTGCCAACCAACCGACACCAAATCAAGCCTACAGCCAGGAGTATTGCTCCGATTATAAACTATTTGTAGAAGCGCTTCACGTATCTATCAGAAGCCATGTGTTTTGGCGTATGTTGACAAACTGATATTCCGGAATAGCGGATCAGCTCACTCATATCTCGCAGATAAAGTCCAGCAAACCGAAGGCTGACTTTAACAATCCGCCACCGGGAATGGCGCGCGATAATATGGGGAGGCTATATATTAAGCCAGAGAATCGCAATAAGAAAGCGTGGAAAAAAGCGAAGAGGGCACGAGAAAAGCCACGATTTGGTTTCTACCTCCCCGGGCGGACCGACAAAGGCGGAGCATAAGCAATACTGAGAGAGCACAATGGTAGTCACACTGACTTATTGTGAATCATAAAATCCCACAATATCCTGCTCATATGTTACGTATGTTTGGTTGAAGGCGTGATTTGTCCACCGTTTATTTCCCTGTACTGTACCATCTCCCAATAGAGGTAGCCTCTGAAAAGAAATTACGTTTTGCAACCTTATCAGATAGACAATTAAACCTGAGAATATTGTCCGGCAAGTTGGAAAATGGAGAAACTCTCATTTTTCACCAAGAGAAACTATCCTCTACTAGTCTGACGGCAACACCCTTTCTCTTATGCGCAGTAACAACCATTCTGACCTCGTCTGCCATCCCCCGAGGGCCACATGTGAGAATGACGGTGCCTCCTTGGCCATTAACTGCGGCTAGCTCCGTCTCTATCGCAGTCCTGAAGTCAAATCTTTCTCCAACCCTGACATGAACATCAACATCCCCCCACTTCCGCCTAGTGTTGTTGTGATTTTCTTGATCCCCTCTGACTTCCTTGGGCTCTCCCTTGTGTTCCTGGCGTCTCCCAATCATGTCTTCCACGGCCCCCAAAAGTCCTAAACCCTCGTCACGTAAACCCCAATAGAGTGTTCTCCTGCCGACTGGTTTCTTGAAAAGGGATTGTGACGCGGTAAGTTTTGGCAGAACCGCAGTAATACCCACTCCGCCCGCAATAAAGACAAGATTTGGATGACTTGGAGTTGGTTGGCCATGGAGATCATGGCGAAGAACAGACTGATGGCTATAGCACTCAGCGAACAGAGGTATTCCGTCAGGCCTACCGGCATGGGCTGCAAGAAGAGATGTTATGCCATTTTCAACGCGGATGAAGAAGCTCACTCCTGTTTTTGTTGCATGAGCAGCTGAGTCATTCTCCTGTGGCGAGGTGGATGACGAGGTTTCGCCTGCCGTAACGACACTCGTCAATCCGACGGCCTTTTCGGAGTCAAGGACTGGAGGTTCAGGGTCTTTCGCATTGCTTGAACCCGCCTCCAGAACCGTGAGTTGAGAGACACCGATTGCCGAAAAGGGGTGGCTTTCCCAAACCCGCCACGTAAGAGTAGGGAAGTACATGTATGCGTGACCTGGACAGCTCAGGCCGGGCACGTCGAGGCGAATGTATTCGTCGCCGAGTTTAGTGATATAACCCCTTTTAATTCCATTTCCAGCCATTCTTACTGCTCGCAGGACCCAATCGCAGGCCCAGATGACGGAAGCCATGATGACCCAATTTTCGTATCCCCATTGACGTTTGTAGCGGTAGATGATGTGATACCAACATCCGACAATGGACAGAATAGCGAGGACAATGTGCGCCGCATGGAAGAACTCGTACATTTTCTGACGGACTGGTAGTAGGGAGAAAGGGAGAATGAGGACGAGGGCCAGCGTCGCGATGATACCCCAGTACCAGTAAGGGATAGCGGCAACTTCGCCATGGTCATGAGAGATCCCTACATGAATATGCAACCAAAGAGCTGAATGAATCGCGGCTTGAAGCACACAGAGAAAGGCAACCCAGCGGTGGATTAACAAGAAGGTAGAGTATGACCAGTTCGTCAACCAGAGAAGAACGTTATTGCGACCCGCATACAGAATCACCAGTGGCAGGTTGGCAAAACTCAGCATCCCAGTACGGTTTGCCACATAATTGAGGATTTCCTCCCAGAGGCCATGTTCCCACCAGGAGTTTGGTTGACGAGGCTTATATCCGATTGCCACAAATATGACATTGATGGCAACGAGGTACAGAATGAAAAGAGACTGGCCTCTGGTTGGGACGAGTCCTAGACCTAATATCGGACTCGCGTGGCGTCCCCCGAACAGCGGAGGCTCAATGATGTAGCCATAAAATTGGTCAACCAAAGTGGGAGGGAAGGGTATGAACCGGAGCAGTGACAACAAGATCGGGATTCCGGCTCCTGTGACCAGGACAATGAGGCTATTCTTTGTTTAGTTAAACTGTCTTGAATTCCTCGGATAAGAGGCTACTCACGATAGTTTTTGGTGGTTAATCTCCGTATATTCGAAAGCCGTGTTGCCATTCCAAGCCGCAGTATAAGATTCGTCACTAACAAGGGTCGTTCTATTGAAAGCCGTCGTTTTGGCTAGCAATGTGGTTGGCGGATCGTTCTTCACAAGAGCAAGCGATTCCTGATATGTATATTTAGGCTTTGGTTGGTCCAATTCTCGTCCTACTAGTTCGGTCTCCCAAAACGTTTCCAGTGTTGAGACTGCCACATTCTCGTCCGGGCAATGTGTGTATATACACCAAGCAGCTGAAAATAGGTACGGCTCGCTCAAGGCCAGGCACTCGGCCGACACCGTACTGCTGTGGTGACCATTCAGGTGAATGTCGCAAGGAATGGACGAACGTGGCAACGCAGACCGGCAAGCGTGCGCACACTCAGGCTGGTACATGATGATGGGATAACCGACAAGGCCATGACCAGGACGCCCAGAACCCTGGGCAGATGCCAGTCTTGCCCTAGAGAGCAACAGAAGAGCAAAAAGGCCCTTCTTAGCAGTGTCTAGCATCATTACTGATGAGGCTGTAAAGACCCAATGTGTTAACAGAATTATTGATGAAGAACGAGCTAGACTGAGAGCTAGAGGCACAACGTGATGCGAGACTAGAAGGTATTTATCAATTTTATCAAATAGAATGAAACACCATCCAAGAACCCGGTGACTAGCATGAAACTGAAAGCCAGCCCCTTGGCAATCGGAAACCAGCCAATACGAGGATAGATAATTATGCAATTCAATATAATCACGATTGATGATTTCTAGGAAATCTGCTCGCCAAGACTTTTGTGCCACGGGAAGAGAACAATTGAGCACGTTTTTCAAACAAATGTCACCCCAGAGCAACCCTAAAATGGCAGACACCTCTGTCCGCTCGTAACCTTGCCGGTCTAGACCTAGTGACGTTACGTTGGCGGAGGATACTGGGTGAACCCTGAATTTAAGCATAACAAATCTTTGGGTCGGATCAACTGCCAAGTGGGTGATATTCAATTTGAGACACTTAAACATTATACTGCTGACTGTCAAGTTTATGAACCGTATGGTCAGAGTATTGAGGACTAATACTAAACTTTAAAGAGATAATGCACTGAATATCATTAGACTGTGTGATTTTATGCCACTGTATTCTTACGATCATTGCAGAAGGTGGTCTGTTCATAACCACCCTCTAGTTTGATATCTTATTTCTTCTATCACTCAGTTGACTGTTTTATCAAAGTAGCTAGGGATTATTAAGGCAAGTAAAGATTTTACTTTATTAAGGATATACATATAATCTTATAGGAGAGCAGTAATAATTTTACATTCAAAAGTAACATAGATGAGCAGGGGATCTGCTAACACGCGTCCATGACAAAACAATTTCTACATATATAATTCGCAACAAAATATTTAATAACTAATACTTTACAAAAAGGGATCCCATTACTATTCAAGGAGCTCAATCGCTCTGCCTCCTAGAACTCAGGGCCTCAAACAGAAAGAAACGAGTATGAACAAAACTGATCTCTCAAATTGCCCTTCGTACACTCATACCCTAATCAACTCAACATGGCGCAGGGAATCACCTGGGAGTTGCTGTCTTTTGCATAGGGATATCAAATCTCACCGCGGTTCTCTGCGTCTTGTTTCACCTAGAATCTGGGGTTCCCAGGGACCACCTAGTATCGGCTATATCCTCTCTTGGCATAAGATCGCCTCTTGTTGCGGAATTGAGGAGATCGCTTGCGGGTCTTTTTGCTGCTGCTGGCGGGCTTCTTCTTGCCCTCGGGCTCGGGCGAGGGTGAGCGCGAACGAGCGTTCTGCTGGACCAGTCTCCTCATTTCCTGCATCATGGTTTGGGCTTCCGTCTTCTTCCTGTTGCTTCCTGACTGGGCAGTCTGAACTTGAATGATGGCGCGAGCACCAAATCCACCCATAGTTGCTTTATACTTGCCCCCCGACCAAGTGGACATGCCATTTATCACCGAGTCCTTGCGAGTGGTTTCGATCTCTTCGGAGCTGGATTCTGCGCCTTCCTTTTTGCCCTCCTTCCAGGGGACGCGATAGCTAATGGCAATGGCAGATACACAAGTCGTCATGTAGACGAAGCATGCCAGGAGAGTCGCGAGTGTGAGGCGCATGTTGACTGATGTTCTAATTCACGAGTCAATATCCATTATTCGAGCACGGCCGAAAACGATGATATAGGAGTCACTGACTTGAATACTTCAGAGGAGATTCCGCGATGGAAGATGATCGCTGTGTCGAAGGATATAGTATGAAATTCAAGTTTGTTGATGCTGTTCTGATTTTCTTGTCTCAACCAGCAGCTACAGCCAGCTTTTTATACACTTTCGCCGTCCTCAGCGCCAAGAGTAAAACATGAATCCGGCTTCTTTTCTCGCGAAGCTACCATCTTGTCTCAAGCGAAGGCACGAGACACAATGCTATATTTGGGACACTTTAATTACGTCGTCCTTGATTGAGGGCTAATACATGGGTTTGAGATCAACCCAAAGGGTCGGGTTGCTCGTCTACTCACGCCTTGGCTCACTTTCCGACCCACGTCTATACGAATGGACGAAAGAGAACGTCTTTCTATTCAGAGGCACAGTTTGGGACTTTGGTATCATGACAGTGTATAGACTGACTCGGTGATTTCTGCTATTTTTAATGCACACTAACTCAACCCACACCCCGCGTGTGTGGCACACGCGGATGGCGGGTCATCTCTCCAAATTCAGGTAATTGCCGTCACCCCATTTACTCGCATGATCCAGTTAGCGGTGGCATTGACCAGGTTTTTGCGATTGCTCCTTGACATATGGCCGGATCGTGGCCAATAATGGCCCCAGTCTGCCCGGCCACCTCCGCCAAGCTGCATGGGCAGAGATATATCATCGCGGCGATTTCCCAATTTCAACCAGGCCGACCACATACTTGGTTTTTTCCTTCTCCACCCAGGACTCCCTACGCCTATTACGATTATTTATTCCACCTCGTTCACATCTCGTTTACACAATATAATACTGTGTACTTCGGGCTCCCTGGTATGTGCAATGAGGCCACAGCGAGGGAATCGCGGAGGACCAAAAATGTCAACCTTTCATCTCTTCCCCCAGCTTCCACCCGAAATCCGCAGTCAGATATGGCACTGCGCGCTGCCCAATCTCAGTCCGGGAGTGCACTTCTTCAAAACAGGCTGTTGGACCCCGAGAGAATTGACCCCCTCCGATGAAGATTACCTGCCTCCGCCACATTCTAACTGGTACGCGAAATTCGACTACAGCCGGATCCAGAAGACATGGATTTCTGTTCCTCTTCTTCACGTCGACCATGAAGCGCGCGAGATCGCGCTGCTCTGGGCAGGGCAGCATAACTTGCAGCTCTCTTTCCAACAAGACCTGCAAGAGCTAGTTTTCCTTCGCCGATACGACCATCAGTTTGACGCGCTCTATATTACCCATGACACTTGCGAATCTTTTGTGATGGAGCTGTTGGCCCGTGAAGACCCCAGTTTTATGAACCTAACCTTTACAATATCTTCGTATATCGATAAAATCATAATGCCAGAATCGCTCTTGGAACAGCATATGCAGGATATTGGATATATCTTCAACACTCATAATTTGGAGGCTCTTTACATCTGCCCATCGGAAATACAACCCAGTCAAGGAGGCCCGGATCCTTCGTTTCAGTATACGCCATCTGGAGGGGCAGGCTTGAGTTGGAATGCGGAGCATCAAAGGTTTGATACTATTGAAAGGGAAGGCGAACAGATGGGTTCTCCTAGATGTGATCAGCTCTTGAAAGAGGCAGCTCAAGTTCTCACTAAAGGATTTTGTGAGGATAATCGGACGGCTGGATTTTCTCTGATTCCTGTCAACCTCTATAGGATATAACTGTGGGATTATTTCTTGTATGCGTAATAGAGTTAAGCTCCATGTTGCTCTACTCCCAGGCGGACAACTCAATCTTAAGTCTTGGAGCGTGTTTGTCAATTTCATAGGTAGGACTCTACATGAATTCCAAAACCTGGATACTCGTTCTGACAGCAACAATAACAATAACTCGCGAGAAACTATCCATATTGCTCTCCCAGAAAATCTGGAACGCGTTTCTAATCGTATCTCACGCATATTAGGGGAGTTACAGCGGGGGAGCTGCTCTTTTCTGACATCAAATGATTTAGCTCTCATAACTAGACCTAAGAACTGTCTAGACCTTTGATGCAACAAAGCAGAGCGATCTCATCATGATTGATGCGCTCAAAGCTCTGGGACGTTGTCGTGGCTTCTCACCTCCTCATCGCTATTATGGAAGGCCCCTTTCGATAGAAAATGCTTGGAGGAAGGTACGGTATCCCTGTGTCATGAATTACTATAAGTTCAATGGATATTTCAATTAGTAACATACCTGAGCTCGAGAACCAGAAACCCAAGTTTGACGTCCTTCGGCTCTACTATTATCATGACTCTAATCTAGAAAAAAGCCAACCCGCGGTTAAGCTGCGTCTGTGCATGAGCGAGAAGGGACTCGAATGCGAGTATGTCGGCACCGTCTCGTAGGTGGCTTAGGTACTAAGAAGTTGTTCTTTGCATGTGAAAATGACCCTGCTATACCTATAGGGTATCAAGACGAGTGCATTCAGGAAACCTATCAAGGTTTTCTTGACTCAAATACCGAACAACTTTGACGATTCTTTTGTCTATCCCTTGTTTAAGATAGAACAGACTTAGGGTAGGTACTCTAGGCATGAAAAAAAATTGTATGGCTTCATAAAAAACCGTGAGGATACTTGGTTCGCACGTGAATTGCACATTACATATGAGACATCAAGTCGATTCACTTCATTGATAAGTAATTAGTTTCATCAAGCCTGGAAAACTTTCCTTCATCTACGTTGAACTCGGAAATAGGAATTGCCTGTTTTTACCTGTCAGGGGCCTCTTATTCTTCACGGCGAATGCCTATTCGGGGCAGATACGGTTCCACATATTGATCTTTCTCATGGACTCTAGGTTTCGCCTTGCTCGGCGTTTGATCAAAATGGCATAATCTGCGCCGCCATTGCCTCAGATTGAGACTATACAAAAAAGATGACGAGGCAGATGACGTTTCCCATGCTTTGACAACGCTCCTTTTCGGCAATACTTATAACGATCAGAGATTGCAACTATAAGAAGCGTCGTTGACAACCTTTCTACTAGCCATTCTCCACTCACTCGACTACTACTTGTCTCTTTTGAAGCAACATTCTCAATCAACCCCTTCGTCAACTCAACATCACCGTATTCGTCATGGTTGCCATTAAGATCGTCTCCATGACCATGCTGGCTTTCACAACTGCCTTTGCCGCCGCCCAGCCCGTCGCCGATGCCGAAAAGATCCAAGTTTCGGAGCCAAGGAACGTGGAAGATGGGGGTATTGACCCCCGTGCAATCACTACGTGCACCTCATCGGAAAAGTCGAAGTGCACAAAAAAGGGCTTGACCTGCTACAAGGTCGATGGTAGTGCCAAGTGCCTTTAAATCACCAACACGTTCTGCAAGACGGTCCAAGGATATTTGGGGGAGAAATCTGTCCCGGCGCGGCCCAGAATTCACAGTTTGAGAATGATGTGAGGCGAATCGGCTGATGGGGGACGTTACGCTCGGATTTCTCTTGGTTATTGGCGGCAACTGAATGTAATTCAACTTCTACCAGTGTCATTGGATCGATTTAAATGTGATGCGCCGTTTGAGCTTCCAGAATATACTTTTTGAAAAACTCAAAGCATGCAAACGATTGGAACAAGCGAACGGGGGTTTTCTGGTGGGCATATTCGAAAGAGATCAAATCATGGGCAAGTTTGTAAGGCTTCCCATGCTGTAATCTCTCTCGTTCTGCCCCCGGGAGGGAACGAGGGAAAATCCTATTTCAGCTGCAGAATGTTCAGAATCATTTTGTATATTAATCATTCTACCGCTGAATATAGCCTCCATCCACAACAAGAGAGCTGCCAGTAACAAACGAACTTCTGCCACCAGATAAATACACAACGCCATCGGCAATTTCTTGAGGCTGGCCCGCTCTGAGCATGGGCACAGACGAGGCTATCTTCTCTGCCATGACTGCCCGAATCTGTGGCGAGTCCATTGTCATCGGTGTCTCGATATACCCAGGGCAAATGGCATTGATGCGGAGGCCCTCCTTGGCGTAGTCCTCAGAAGCAGTCTTGGTGAGGCCGACAACCGCATGCTTAGAGGTGACGTATGATGTTGAGAGAGGCGTGGCGATGTAGCCCTGGATGGATGCAAAGTTCACAATAGAGCCTCTCTGTAGTGGCCTCCCGTCAAAGGTCGAGAGGATGGGATCTTGCTTGAGCATAATTCTCGCCGCGGCCTTGAGCATGTAAAAGGTGCCATTCAGGTTAATGTTGATGACCCGTAGCCACTCCTTGGATTCCGCAAAGGCCGCACCGCCGACGTGTTTGTAGGCTACACCAGCAGCATTGACGAGGTAGTCAAGTCGCCCGAATTCCTGGGCAACCTCCGAGACGATCTTGCTGACCTGATCCTCATCGGTCACGTCGACCACGAAGGTGATCACGCGGCAGGGCTTCCCACTGGCTGAGATGTGGTTTTTTTCATCAATCAGGGCCTTTGTCTGGGCAAGCCCTTCCGCATTGACATCGAATAGGGCTACGCCTGCTGCGCCATCTCTGGCGAAAGTCTGAGCACATGCCCTCCCAAGCCCAGAGCCTGAGCCTGTGATCAAAGCATATCCTGGTACATCCATGGTTGCTAGCGACGAGATCTGAGTGGTCAGAAAGACCAGGGCCGTGTTGTTATTCAGGGTTGGGAGAGCGAGTCATAGATCGGTTTCTATGTTTCCGAGTATTCAAATAAAAATTAGATACACTCATCTTGATACTTGGATCTCGTATATGAGGATGATTATTATTTTCAGATACGTGATTACCATTCCTGGACGATGGAAGAAGGCCCACGGAGTGACTGAAGAATCAGACAGGGATGTGGAAAGGGAAAGTAAAAACGAAGCTAACCCTCAAAGGGCGGCATGGCTTATCTCTCGCGGGTCCAAATGTCGAGGGTCGTTTCATTTCGCTCTTTGGGACAGGCTTGTGGAGTCCGAACTCGGCTTCTTAGTTGAACGGACGGTTGGGGTCGGGTCTCGTGGCCAAGGACGGGGCGACAATTCTTCTGGCATGACCATGCCATTCCATGATCTCGCTTGGGAAAGAAGGCTTTACGGACGCTGGAGAAAAGTAACTCGCATCATCGTATGAATATTTGAGGAAATTAAATTATATTGACTTGAGCGTATGTGAGCAACACGGTCAACACCAGGATAGACGAAAGTTCATTTTGAGGATCTTGCATAACACCTGCATCTTCACTTTGCTTGATTCTGAAGAAACGTCATGGCTGCAGCAGAAGATAGCTCGCAATTCGACATCCTGGTCATTGGTGCCGGATTGTCAGGTATCAGTTGTCTTTATCACACCAGACGATTGTTCCCATCTTGGCGCGTCAAAGTGTTTGAGGCTGCTGATGAGGTGGGAGGAACTTGGTACTTTAACCGCTACCCCGGGGCACGATTCGACTCAGAGGCGGTGTCTTATCACTTGTCCTGGGACAAGGAATTTCTTGCCCAGTGGAATTGGTCTGAGGAGTTCGCTGCCCAGCCCGAGATTCTGCGATATATTCAGGCGTTTTGCGACAAGAATGACACACGAAGGGATGTCCAATTCAACACAAGGATCACTCATGCCAATTGGAACGAAGAAAGTAGACTGTGGCTTTTGACGGACGACAAAGGAGCCAGGTACTCTACTCGATTCTTGATTACGGGTGTGGGTATCCTGTCTGCCCCCCAATTGCCCAACATCCCGGGCATCTCCAGCTTCAAGGGTCAGGCGTATCATACCTCGAGATGGCCGCGGGACTTTGACATGGCTCGTGATCTGAAGGACAAGAGAATTGGTGTCATCGGTACAGCCGCCACCGGAATCCAGACCATCACCGCCATCTCCAAAGAGCCAGGGATCAAGTCATTGACTGTCTTCCAGCGGACGGCCAGCTGGTCGGCGCCCCTCCGAAACACTCCTATTTCTCCAGAAAGAATGGCCCAGTACAAGACACAGTACGATTCCATCTTCCAACAATGTGCGGAAGCGCCACAGGGGTTCCTGTATGGGCCTGACCCAAGAAACACTTTCGATGTCCCCGAGGAAGAGAGGATTGCGCTGTGGGAGAAACTGTATAGTGAACGCGGCTTCGGCAAATGGATGGGGCTATTCAAGGACACATACACAGACCCTGTGGCCAATAAAGCCTACTCCGACTGGATAGCTGACAAGATACGAAGTCGCGTCCATGACAAAGTGCTTGCAGAAAAGCTTATCCCAACAGATCATGGGTTTGGCACCAAGCGTGTTCCTCTCGAGAGCGGCTATTTCGAAGCCTTCAACCAGCCCAATGTCCACCTGGTCAACCTCCGCGAGACACCAATCACCACCGTCACTCCGTCTGGAATATTGACAGCTGACGGCAGGGAGCATGAACTCGATATTTTAGTCTTTGCCACAGGCTTTGACGCTATTACGGGCGCATTGGCTGGTATCGACTGGACAGGCAAAGACGACCGGCCACTTTTCGAAACAGGCAATTCTGACAAGGACAATCTCGCAATTTGGGCAGACAATGAGACAGTTACGTTCTTGGGACTCATGGCGCCGTCTCTTCCCAACACTTTCATGATACTCGGCCCTCATCAGCCATTCGGGAATATCCCCAGGAGTATTGAAAACTCCGTGAATGTGGTGATGGGACTCTTGCAATTTGTTAAAGCCAACGGTTACACTTATGTGGAGCCGAGGCAAGAGGCTGCAGATGCCTGGTATGAGCACGTGGTTGAGTGCAGTAAGGGGTTACTTTCAAGTGAGATAAGTGGCTGGGCGACAGGTGTCAACACCAATGTGGAAGGCAAGTCTCGTCGACGAGTTGCAAAATACAGTGCGACGTATCGACAGTTTCTGGACAAATGTGAGGAGGCCGAGAAGGCGGGCTGGACCTCATTGTATCTTCAGTAGTTTGGGCTATAGAGGTAGATATTAAATAGAAAATATAATTTAAGTCTCTTATAATAGAGTCAATTTCCTAGGGAAGGCTGTGTTGAAAGATTATTCATTGTATTGAGATGTCGGGTCTAGCATCTTCTATTTTGGGGTTTCACTGCGTGAGTCAAGCGTCTCAAACTCTCTCACCTGTTTTTAAATAGTGAGGGAATTTGAGTGGTCAAGCGACATGAAATCTTCATTTTCCGAGAGTTCCTATGCAAATCTGAGTTGGAACATCCTCGTGCGTACGTCACCGTAAATGGCAGATACATGAATAATAACAGGCAATTCCTTCGTCTAAATAAATATTACCATGGTCTGACTGCATCCTAAAGCAATGAATGAACATTAAATAAAATTAAGAGTCCTTTGAATGATTATATCATATATCTTCTAAGCTTTCTTAAGCCTTGAACACTATCTGATCTGACCAAACCAACAACCTTAGGTTATGGTCTCAGGAACACTCCTGCCTGGCTGCGCAGTCTCTCATGACTTGTACCATCAATCTAACTCCAGAGAGCCCGAACTTTATTGAACGGCTTGGTCCACTTGCTGGTGGACTTACTGTCCTCACGTTCCTTTTCAAGCGCATTCCACATCTCAGCTTCGGCATCGGCCTGGGCCACACCCGTTACCAGATCAATGTCACTGATTGACAGCCACCACGGGTCATGCCTCCCGGCAGTGAATTTGTGACCAAGCCAAAGTGCGGCAAAGATCGGAATGCCAATGTAAGTTGTGAGAAACCCACTCGCCGTGAACCTTCCGGGATAAAAGACCGTGAAGCCGTTGCAAAGTAGCAGGATAGAAAAGACCACGATGCAGATTCGGGCGGCGTAAGGTTGGATGGCAGAGCGATAAGGAGGAGTCACGCCCTTTTCTGCACAGGCCTTGCGAAAGCGGAAATAGATGACACAGCACGCAACCCAAGATGTGTACCCGGCGGTGTTGGTAATGCTGATGAACCAGTTGAAAACTTGCCCTGCTTCGGTGTTGAGGACGAGAAATCCCAGGAAACCAAAGCAGCTGGAAGCAAGGATGGCATACAATGGAATGCCCCAGCTGGTGCAGCGGGTAAAGATCTTGGGCGCATCTCCAACCGTGGCGAGAGAAAACAAGGCACGGGATGACATGTAGAGATACGCATTTCCAGCAGAGAGAGCAGCCGTCAAGATACCCGCATTGATAATGGAGGGAAGAACATCGATACCAGCGCTGCTGATCGCAATCACCCATGGAGACGCATCAGCATTTCCTGCCCCTGAGGTGAGACCCGGGGCATTGGATGGGCAAATGACACCGACGGCTGCAGCTCCGAGAACATAGAAGAAGACGAGACGGAAAAAGAATCGCCGACTAGCAGAGGGCAGGTTCTTGCGCGGGTTGACCATCTCACCAGAAGCGAGAATGAGCTGCTCCGGTGCGAAGAAGAAGGAAAACCCCGAGTAGACCCAGATGTACAGAAAGGCAGTGAAGCGGCCACCGGCGCCGCCGACAATGTAGGACTTGACTGCTCCTGGGTCGTTCCAGTACCGATATCCGAGACGGTCGTGCGTTGGACCACCACCAAGCATCAAAATCAGAGATAGGAGCAAAAGTCCAGTAGCCATGATGATCTTGACAAGTGTGAACCAGAACTCTGACTCGCCATAAACGCCGACTGGGCAGAGATTCAGAACCAGGAAGAAGATGAAGCCAACGGATATCCATACTGCCGGGTTGATATTGTTTGGCCAATAGTCGATAATAATAACCATGGCAGCGAGCTCATAGGCAACGATGATGGCAAAAGAGTAAAAGTACAGCCAACCCATAGCGAAACCCATTGATCGTGAAACAAAGCGACTGCCCATTGCGGACATGGAGTTTCCTGGAACAGGAACGAATGACCCGAGTTCGCAAATGAGAGTGACCATTCCGTAGACGAAGATGGCCATCAACCCGAATGCGAGGAGGAGCAGACCAGGGCCGCCGACCGCCAGGACCTGACCGACGCCGATGAAGAGATTGGTGCCGATACTGCCGCCAATGGCAAGCATTTGAGCGTGGCGAGTTTTGATTTCCCGCCTTGTTCCATGGGCCTGAAACTGTTCAGACTGTTGTCCAGGGGTTGCTGAATCGGCTCTGGTGAGTCCGGGCTCGACGTCGTCAAGCATTTCCTTGGACTTGACAGGATCGCCTGCCGTAGACGAAAGGCTAGCACCTCCCATCTTGGAAATCAGGAAATTGAGGCAACCAGAGAGTTACTCAGAAACAAGTTACACGTCGGGGAGTTGTCGGGTGAGAGTAGGTCAACTCAACCAGGGCTTGCCTGCGGCTGGGTAGGGCGCCTATGCGAGGCTTGGTGATTGGATTTCTTTCAAGTCGAGCTCAATTCCAAAATTGGCAACAATGTGATGTGGTCAGGAATCGACATGGAAGGTGGGAGGCCATCTGTTGTTTTAAGAAGGCTGGTTGGGCGACTGGCATGGGTCAAGCATCAGGGTTATCACCAAGTTCCTCCTAGGTTATCTCCAGGTTTAGGTTTACCGTTTTCCTGGACATGCACCCCAGGAAACGAATTCACTCAGCTGGTGGGCCGTTCCCCGCAGCCTGATACCGACGATAGGGTTGCTCGGTTTTGGAGCTACTGGCAGATAGCGGCAAGAAGGGGGTCATCTGATTTGCCATGAGCTATTACCGCTTATCTCAGACAGTTCTGAATCATGTTGGCCCGATTTTCTGGCCGGGTTATACCTATATCGGACAGTAGCCTCGCGTTGTTGGAGATATCGATGTGGTAATAAAAGAGGAATGTTATAACCGAGCGATACTTGATAAGAGCAAGTCTGGTGGATCCAAATGACTTATAAACCATGCGAGTCTCGCTTCTACTTTCTTGATTCTCTTGGTCCCCGCAAATCCTCTTCTTTCCATGGAAACACGCGATGGGATCTGGTCATCCATCCCCTTTCCAGTGAAGAATCACGATGGCAGCGAACCTGGACAGTCTGGATCTGGCCATTGATGAGCCTGGTTCAACACAGAGCCGATCGTTTGGAGGTTGTGAGACGGTATGAGATCAACGAATCAACCCCCGGCTCACTTGTATATGTGGCACTGACTTTTTGCAGTGTCGCAGTCGACGAGTCAAATGCGACGAGTCTCGGCCTACATGCGGGCAATGCAGAAAGTCTGCGATCTACTGCGGAGGGTACAGCAAGGCTATTTTCTTTGATTTTGAAGCCAACTCCCATCATGAAGAGAGGACTCGTTTCCGGCGGCCGCTGTTTAGTGAGAAGGCTCGGAGGGAGATGAGCGAGCAGCTCACCTCGAGCATTCCGTCTGCGCTACTTCTTTGGCATATTTCCCAGCTGGATGAGGAATGTCAAAGATTACCCCCTGAAAACGAAATTGAGGTGTGCCGTGGGCCTTTTGGCGCCTTTAACCTGTTACGAAGAGCATCTGATCCACCCCTTAACCCAGGCCCATCTGCAAGACACGATGAAGAGGGCCTTGCCGGCATCTTGGCTGAAGATTCGGATCAGGCTAGGGACACTCGCCATGTTCCCCAAGCAGAAGCATTCCCTTGCTCCTCTCTGGAACCCTTCGTTACGTGCATGTTCGATATGCCTGAACCAAACCTGCTTCCAAATTATATCAACATTATAGACTCGTCAGCACTGGGTTTCGACGCAGCTGAACAAGAGAACCCTGACTCTGTTATATCTATTTCTGTCGGCCCAAAGGAGGCAAATACCATTGACGACGACCAGATCCCCCAACATGAATTGTTCTCGGATCTCTCCTTCTCGCCGCCAACCATCCACGCGATCTCAGCTACGTACATTTCCTCTAGCATATCGACAGCCGTCCCTGGCACACCTAAAAACGCCATCTTTCTCCTCCAGCATTTTTCGACTACGATTCTCAGCTTCTTAACTCCCGTACGACATGAAAAGACCCCGTGGCATGTGCTATTTTTGCCCAACGTCCGAAACTGCATGGCTCTGCTAGCACTCGGCCAGCCGGTGGACCACGCCGGCATGTGCGCATTCCACGGCATGCTGGCCATCAGTGCTCGAAGCTTGGGTAGCATACATCAGTCTCAGGTGTGGCTGGACGAAGGAGAGTCCCACAAGAAGAAAGCCGCCGAGCATTGCGAGATAATGCTGCAGGCAGCGTACGATCTCCCGAAGAGGTACAAATACAAGTCCGTTTTGATGGCACTACAGACCATGATTCTCATTTCAACACTGGGAGGAGATCCTGTCACTGAAGAATATTATTTTCTCGAGGCAGAGAAGTTTATCAAGTTGAATGGTCTAGGGCGCAAACACTCTCGGAAAGTTCGATTGCTTCATCAATATTACGCATATGAACGATTGATGTACGAGAGCACATGCATGCGAGGGATTGATTTCACGCACCGGCATCGGGTGTGCAACGATATTGCCTCCATCAGTGTAGTTCCATATCCAGAGGATAGCATGGCCTATCGCCCCCCGAACTGGCAAAATCTCGACGAAGAAATGTCGAAACCACGGAGTCCCGACTCAGAGACAGAGCACGAGGATGAAGTCCTGGGAATTTGGCCGGACGCATTGTACTCCAAAGCGTCTGGGCTACCTGAACAGTGGATCCAACTTGTCCTCCATGTTGTTCTGCTCGGGAAAGAAAAGGACGCTGCAGAGCAAAGTTCTTCTTCCTCCGGAGCCATTAGCGACTTACAACAGTTTCTCGGAAGGGCAAAGACACTCGATCGATGCATCAACCAACATATCGCACAGGCAGCTCAAGCTTCTTCTCACCGGACTACCGGAAATTTCACCCCCGAACAGCAAGCTTTGGACAATGTGCTCGATGCCATTCGGCATTCGCTCCAGATTTATTTCTACCGGCGCATTTATGATGTCCATTCCTCATGGCTCCAAGATAAGGTCGTGAAAGTACGCGACTGCCTACTACGATGTGAGACAGTCGACCCGAGCTCTGAACTATCAGGTTGTGTTGGTCTGCTATGGGCGTCATTCGTCGCTTCTTGTGAGGCTGAAGACGTTCACGTTCAGAATTCATTCGCTGGCTGGTATAGTAGAGCCGCCAGGCGAACCGGAATGACTTGCTGGATGAATTCTCTATATCTATCCGAGCAGCTCTGGGATGAGAGGCGCAAGTCAAAAGGATCGAAGTTGACTTGGATAGACATTTTGAAACAGCAACATAGCCAAAGACAGCAACATCGAGCATTCGCTGCTGCAGCGTGATTTGTTTTACTATCTTGCGATGGTTTATGATTGTCCTCTTTTGCCTACCTAGTCCTTTGAAGTTTAGCGTTGGTACCTCTTTTCGACCTTTTTATGGAATAAGAACCCCTGTTTTAGTCATACCTATTTTCTAACTGTTGATAAGCAACTCGCGAATGATAATTGAAGTTAAGACCAATGGAAATGATTACGTAGATCAAAGTGGTTCCTTCAAGGAATCGGAGGATGCGCTTGATAAGACTATAGAATCCGGCCATATTTCGCACTTCTTATCACAGAAGAGCAATATTAGGCGAGTAGACGGTACACTCTTAAGAGTTTCCGTACTAATAATGGATCGGTCCAATATAAGGCTACTAAAGGCGCATCTGGAAGGGTTCGGTGGTCGATGTAGGGTGAACTACAGAGCTAGAGAGCTAAAAGGCGATTCGGTGATACTTTCCACTCTCATATCCCTGCAAATTTATGCACATGACTTACCCCACAAACCTCTCCACTTGCCAGCTTTGAAGTAGATGCTGTTCTCGGTCTTGACTTTGAATCACAAGCTCATGGTAACCAAGCCAGGCAATGCAGATAAGCGTGACGCTGAAATTTATGAACTATTGTGCGTTATCAGTTTGCTATCACTAGCACCTGTTTGACCACATTGCATTTTGAGCGTTTCACTAGACCTAAAGCATCAAATGCTCGTGTTATGCTCTACGCCTTGCTTGCTGGCCTTTAGAGTGATAACCCCGATTTCGGTGTGTAAGAGCCCCCAGCACTTCACTAGCCGCCCTTGCATTATCCATTCTTTGAGCATGGGGCACGGAGCGGAATATTAGTATTTCTAGGATTAATGCTATCTTTCAGCAGACGATTTTTATCAACCCCCTTTACATGCACTCGTCCCTTTCGAACCGCCATCGCCAATTTGAATCAACCTCCTCTATCTATCAAGTCTTTCCTTGATTGGCTGCAATGTCACAACAAGTTCATGGCAAGACTGCCATCATCACTGGAGCTGGCAGCGGCTTAAACTTTGCCCTCGCAAAAACCCTGCTCGGGAAAGGCTGCAACGTTGTGCTGGCAGATTTAACTCTGCGGCCCGAAGCTCAACAGTTTGTCAGCTCGCATAAAGAATCATCAAAGTCTCAAGGCAGGGCAGTCTTTAAGAAAACCGATGTCACGTCTTGGAAGCAACTTGATGAACTGTTCGATACAGCGGAGAAAGAATTTGGGACCGTAGACATCGTGGTTGCTGGAGCCGGTGTTTTCGAACCTGTAAGAACACTTTCCCCCCTGCAGCTATCGTGGTATATTTTGGCTTATGTTTTATCAGGACTTTAGCAGCTTCTGGGTCCCCCCAGGGACGGGCAAGAGTCGCGATGCGCCTGATGGAGATCGCTATGCCCAAATTGATATCAATGTTGTCCACCCCATCCGCGTTACGCAGCTGGCCATTACTCGTGCTCTGAATAGCGAACGGAGTCCAAAGACAGTGTTGATTGTTTCCAGCACAAACGGTCAGCAGGCGTCGTTCTCAACGCCAGTCTACTCGGCGACAAAGCACGCTATTAATGGTTTCGTGAGATCTCTCGCTAAGCTCGAGCCAGAGTATGGAATCCGCGTAGCTGCTGTTGCTCCTGGTATTATGCGAACGCCAATGTACCTAGAAAACCCCGATAAGCTCGCCTCTATCGATATGCAAAGGGATTCGTGGTTGGAGCCCGGGCAAGTTGCCGAGGTGATGCTTGGTTTAATTGAGCGAAATGCTATTGGCTCACGGATTGGAGATTATGACGCGGACAAGCAGACAATCCCTATCACCGGTGGGACTATTCTTGAGGTTGCCGGAGGAGAGATTCGTGCTGTAGCCCCTTACAATGACCCAGGCCCGACTGGTCCAGGGGCATTGGCATCTAACATCGGAACTTTAGAAGGGGAGATCAAGGGCACTCTGAAGAAAGGCTGGGGTATTCCATAAACACAAAATCAATAACATTATTAAATTCGACCAAAGAAATATGTAGATGCCTGAAATTTGACTACTTGCTTAATACTGAAAGCTTTGCAGACAGGATTGATGCTTATTCAACCATGTTCTAAGTTCGTGAACAATCAGCTCCATTGCCACGGATTTTGTCAGATTCGGAGCCAAAGCGCAAAAGGCCATCATCCTGTAGGTGGACATAGACTCTGACCATGGACATAGAGAAACAGTGTAAGCCAAAAAGCTTATAGCTTAGCGAGCCTTCCCTTGGTTTGGTCAAGCTTCACCATGAGGCCCTTTGCCAGCTTTGAGACGCTACTAGCGACCCCCCAACTGATTTCAAACCCTCTGCCCCCGGCACCATATGCATGAATGACGGGAAGTTTGCTTTCTGCAGAGTACGTGTTGCTGGGAAACTCGATTTCGAGTCTCAAGCCACCCTCGCGAGCTGGGCGTCGTCCAACAATTTCCTGGATAACTGAAATGTTCTCAGGCTGGCCTAGAGATCCACTGGACAATGCATATTGTTTCAGCTCTTCTACTCCTGTTAGAAGGCGGCGGCAGGTTGCAGAGTCGGGATCCCGCCGCCAGTCGTGAGGCTCTTTAGTACCACCGATCACTGTTCCTCCAGAGAAAAATCTAGGTATAATGAAGTTCCATGTACCATCCAGGTTTTGTCGCGTAATTGTCTTGTCAAAGCAAGTACTGTTCGTCAACACGATATGTCCTATCGGACAATTAGCATTGATACGAGCCTTTGAGAAGGAGTCACTAGACTGTGTTACCTCTAATGGGAAAAACCTTGGAGTCATTGAAACCAATCCCTGAAGTATTTACCAGGAATTGGACATTGGGTGTAATGATTGATGCCTCGTCCACGCTTCTGAGGGTTGCATTGATCGTTTTCCCTCCCGCGATAATGAACTTCCTCAAAAGGTCCCCACAATATATGGGAGAATTAATGCAGTACGATTCATACTCAAACCCGAACGTTGTTCCGTTTGGCAGCTCTTTCGCTGTCAATTCGCGGTATCCTTTTAGCCCCGAGTCAGCCTCGAAGCTCTCTGCCGTCTGAGCTTTGTACTCGTCCCCAGGTGCCTCGAATACTTCAATAGCCGGCGCCAAGGTCAGTCCAATTTGAGTTTCAGCTTTGAGAAGGCTGTTGAACTTCGAGACTGTCTGTTTTAGCCAAAGACCCTCTTGCCGTAGCTGCGTGGTGGTGGGAGGGATGGGCCGGACATGGGCCCCAGCCCACATAGAACTGTATTCGATTGAATGTGGGATGGGAGCCCCGGGAATAGAAGTAGGCCATTCTTTGGAGACAATTACAACCTGCCAAGAAGACTTGGATGGATCATCACGAAGTAATTCCTGCAATGAGAGAGCAGAAGATAGGCCGATCACACCGCACCTTGCGCGCGAGTTCAGTCATGTCCCACTACTAGGTACTCGGAAATACTTACCCGATAACCACAATTGCTGGGGACGAGTTATGAATCATGATTTGAATTGTGGGACTGGTACTGAAGCCTGCTGCGGGCTTTCTGCTGAGTAGGTTGTTTATGGCAAGTGCTTCACCAATTCCGGAGAGATAGAGGTTAAAAGCGATCTGCTCGTCTCATTTTTATCATAACTTTCCTCTTTGTGAGCGAAAATAACTCCAACTGTACCGGTTTTAGTAAATTGTCATAGCAGGGTTGTGTATAGGCACGGCCGAATGGGTATCGGGAGCAGATCGGGAGGCCTCGGCTCAGCCGATCTTAGTTTCGATGCATCCGATCAAGCGTCCCTGTATTTCGTCAGCCTAGTGGCCTCATGAAAACATAGCTGATTCGAGCAAGCAAGGCAAGATAGCCTGTAAATAGTATCAAACAAATTCATACATGCCAATTTAGGTAGAGCCATGAGTGATGGTACCTAACCATAGACATGAAACCCCAAGAATGGTAGCATATATCAATATGCTTCCCAAATATTACGTATAATGTTAAAAAAAGACCTTCGAACATAATAAGTCGTAAGGGGGGAAGTATGTCAAATAGACAAGCTCGGAATAATGCACTGTGAACCTTCGTTGCGTGCATTATTCATTTCTTCAGCCGTCTTTCAATTCTAGGATAGGCAATATAAACATGATATTTTCGTCGTCATATAACCAAGATGTCTCATTGATTCGCCTGGAAACACGTACAAAGACATCATTTTGACATACATGCTTCATCTCGAACGCTTCTTCATTGCAACCAAATCGTGTTACATTGATCCTTTGAAGAAGGAACCACATTCACCCTAAAGGCTGTGTGCAGTACTGAGCTGTGCACATATTTCCTTTACATACTCTTGTCCCTTCTTGATGAGCAACATATGCATAAAAGGATGGGGTACACCCATATATCGGCGCATAGAAACATGAACACCAGAAGCAGCCAACTTAGCACCATAACTCTCTCCCTCGTCCCTCAGAGGATCGCAGTCCGCCGTAGCAATGAAGGTCCTGCACAAACCTGCTAAATTTCCACGAATAGGACTATGCCAGAACTCGGGGCGCACTACGTCGCCATCCTTATGCAGAGACGAGTTGATGACAGAGCCGCAATAGGCGATTCTCTTCCAGCTTAGGCATGGGGAAAGAGCGTTCTCTTGATAGGATGCGTATGGTGAATCGCTAGGCTGCTTTAGTGATATGAATTCCTCGACGGAGGGGACTGCGAGAAGAGCTGCAAGGGATGATAAGCAAATGTGAGTTTTCCAGCAACACGCCAATCTAGGGTGACACATACCGAGCTTCAGCTCATAGCCCTCGTCCCGAGCAAGTTGCTGGCACACGGCGGTGATCTGCCCACCAGCAGAAATACCCCCCATAGAGATGGAATCGACTTTTGCATTGATGGTCTTGCCTTGTTCTCGGACCTGGATGCTCAGTATTAGCACAGCCGTTAAAACCACGGGGTGAGTTTGCCCTTCTTGCTTACCCATTTGAATGCTGCCCAAACATCTTCATGTCCCTTGTACCAGACGTGCTCTGCCACAAGTGTAAGCTGAAGTCGACTCAAAGTTATAAAACAAGATTGACCAACCGGGAGAAAGTCTGTAGTCGATATCAAGTACCACAATACCAACGCGATCTCGCACCAACATGCATAATTCGGCATCTCCAGTCAGGTCGCCAAAGATGAAACCACCACCTAGAATTGAATATCAGTCGCATAGCTCACCACATGAGCGTGGAGCTGTTTCTCACCATGGACGTTGATGTGAATAGGGTAAGGGCCATCGCCGTATGGCGAAGTCCTTGGATCAGGTGTGTAGCATCGAGCTTTGATAATATTCCCATCCGGCCCCGGGATCTCAATATCATTTACAAACGGCTCGAATGTGAAATCCTTGGCCCAGGAAGCGGCATATAGCTTCGGGTATTTGCGAATGTCGTCCATGCTAACCTGGTGGGTAACGGGCTTGACGACAATGTATGCATTGTAATACTCAATGAAGTCTTGGTCCAAACGAGGGATCATGGAAGGGTCAATTGGACTGGGAAGATCTTTTTGGGCCACCTGTTTGGCTCCGTTGGGAGCAGGAGTGTCGGTAACAGCAGAAGGGGCCATCTTGGGGATGAAAATTCGATTATGGTTTGAAATAAAGTTCCCCTCCTGGAAACTACAGAGCCAAGGACGAGTTAAATATGATATGTGAACATTGATTATTTTGGACGTGGTGAGTTCTTCCGGGACTAGAATTCGGGTCACCCCGTCTTGCCGAAGGGATCGGTTGAGCCGATCGGTACGATGCTGCTTGTGACTGAGCTTGAGATACACATTGGTTGCTTATCTCCCCGGGATCCGCTGTCTCTCAGGTCTTTGATCTTGTAGATACATACTATCCGGTTGTGTGGCATGATTTGGTGACGAGTACGACATATGTGTTCCTGAAACAAGGTTTTATCTCATTCTGATTTGCAATGAAGAGAACAGTTATATTCTCCTCAGATGGAGAGTTTTGTGACGAAGAGTGAATTAACCCGCTATAAATGGCTATTCATTCTATTGCTTCAACATCTTGATTGTCAAGGTGATCTCCAAGCCAAAGGGGCCATCCCAACGAAAAGCACATCCAGACGGACCGAGCCATAGGCCGATTGGCCGTGCTATCTCCCATAATCAACCTCAGAACGGAATGTATATCTCGCGCTGTACTGAGGGGTACAAATCCATCTCCGGACTGTGGTCTAAACTCGGTCGAGACATCTAAAGTTTCGCTTTCACTACTATCTAGATTCTCGTCGTTCTCCGCAGGTACTTGTCCCAAGTACGCTGCACGGTAGATGGAATGCATGTCGTCAATTGTTTTGATCCATGCTCGCACAAGACGATGATCAGACTCCCAAGAAACCAGCAGTCGTTGAATGAGGTCCAGATACCCCTCAACAGCACTCTTATTCTGCTCCGTGGAGAACTCGGCATCACTTGCGTACAAAATCCACATGAACGTGCTGGCAACCGATAAGAGCGACGCAGCAACCCAAGCAGACTGAAGATGCTGAACAGATATTCCACCTGCCTCGTAGAGATCCGTCAACATTTTCCCAACCAAGAGAGCATTTTCCACACATGTGGAGGCTAGTGTTGGCTCCCGGAACAAAAGAGACCAGCCAGCTGCGTCGGTGCTATCTAGAATAATGGTCGTCCCGTCCAGGTGTGGGAGATATGTTTGATGAGCAACGCAGTGACTGCTCCTGATCAAGAAGTGCATGGCAACAAATGTGTGCCCGTTCCCGATGGATGACTGAATTTCATAGTTCTTTGCCGTCCATCGCATGGATGCGGGAAGTGCTGCCTCCCAGTTACACAAAGCATAGTGACTCTTGAAGAAGGCGCTGCTTGAATCGGTAGGAGGGAGAGGATCTACAAACCGTTTATTGCATATGTAAAAGATGCAGTGGTCACCCCACAAAACAATCGTCTTGACAAAGTAGGGAAGTATACCCACGTCAGAAGAGAGTCCAGAGAATGACTCGAGCGCCGATAAAGTCAGCCCTCTACTTGCCTCCTCGTATAGCAATCCTGCTTCTGAGCTGGGGAGATAGACTGCCGTAGAATCCATAAAAATGGCCAATGGTTTCGTCAGGACGAATCCAAACAATCGATCAAGCATCACACATGCCCAGAACGTTCGGCGTCGTATCTCTTGCTCCCTCTCGCTTGTGCGCTCATGATATTCCTTGTTGAGTCTCATAATTTGGGCCATTCGGATGGCCGTACCTGCGAGCATCCAATGGCTCGATCCTGACCGGTTGAGAAGTTCAGAGAGGGCCAGCACAAGGTTTGCCTGGATGTTTGTCACTAGATTTGCACATGGTTAGTTACACGCCCCCTACGTTGAGGTATAAACTCCAACTTTGTGGATCTATACCACGAGTCCAGGATCGAGGACCGAGTATTCTTATTCTCCTCCAAGAGGCATATGCGGACCAGGGGGTGATTGTGCCAACATCTGTATAGACTTACCACTTGGTGTGAAAATCGAATCTCTTGCCCAGCCATTGGCAATAGTCGTGTAATGCTGGCAGAGGTCCGCCCCTGTCGCAAGCCCAAAGTCTTCTTGCACTTCTGACGGCTTCAAATGTCGGGAGACTAAGCAAACAACCGCGGAGGTCAGAAATGGTGTCTTATCTGGGTCTTTTTCATAGGTCGATTTGTGAAGGAATGAACAAAAGACGGTCTGTAAATAGATCTCATAGAACAGATCGAAGGATCGCCGTAGGGAGGTGTTTGGCCTGTGGATTGAGAATGGAGAAGAGTCTGGAGAATTGGCAACATGGCCCAATGAGGCTGGAGACAGAGAGTGCGGATGTCTTCCTCCTTCAGAAATGTCTAAGCCACCTGGTGACTCATCCCAAGAGCATTCCACGTTCCTGGATCTGCATTGTCGGCACCGAGGCTTCGTCCCGTCGCATTTCGTCTTTCTGCGTCGACTATGTCCGATCAGCCATCTGACTAGGTTATTGAGTAGATTATTGATCGTGACGAACCAGGTTTTGCAAGCTTGCAGGGTCCTACGCCGGGTCAAGTGAGCGGCTTGCTCCATGGTCGTTTCCGATCGTATCGTTGGCACAACCGAAGCGAGACAGAGCGATTTGAGAGGGGGAGGGAAGGCCTATCTCGGCTGGGCCGGCAAGACAGTAGTTTTGGCCGCGGATAAGCATGGGACAATCATCGGATGAGCCGAACTGAAGTTTGTGGTAGATCGGGTCCACACACACGTCCCTTTATCATGCTTTGGGGTGGACCAGGCTATCTTAAGCCGTCCCCAGACCCCACGCCAGTTGGGAATCAACCTTCTTATGATGGCAAGAAGCGAAGTATAAAGTTGGGCTGAGTGATGTCAGGTGCCAGGCGGAAAGAGTCTCGAGACAAGTTTCTGAATCATTGTTGATCCTGCTCACTTTTCTTCCAGTCACGCGGCCCTCGGCACAGCACCGAATCAAAGATGTCCAGCAACAACCAACCATCAGGTCTTGGCATGAAAAATGCCGACTGTGGCAAAACAGCAAGTGAAAATGGAGACAGCGAGATGACGTTTGACCCGGCTGTTGTCAAAAAGCTCAAGCTCAAGACTGACCTTATCCTACTTCCAATTCTGTCAATTGCCTACCTATTCAAGTCTGTTTCCCGAATCTCTTCTGGTGTCATTGTTTCAAGGCATCAAACAGTTGGCTAACTGTGGAGATCTAGCTCTCTTGCTCGGAGCAATATCTCAAACGCGAATACTGCAGGGCTTACCAAGGATCTTCACCTCCAGGGGAACCAGTTCAACCAAGTCCTCACGTACTACCAGATCCCTTTCATCATCTTCGGTCCGCTTGTGACAATGCTCACGAAACAGTTTGGCGCCAACATTACGATTCCTATTATGATGATCGGCTTTGGCACTCCGTCTTTGGCAACGGCGTTTGTTCACAACTTCGGGGAGTTAGTCGCCTGCCGGGTGCTCGTTGGTGTTTTCGAGTCTGGCTTCCTGGCATCGTACGTATCACAATAGAGGGAGAAGCTTTTACACGCATGCTAATCTCGTGTTTACAGAGTCATTTATTATCTATCTCTTTGGTATACGCGCACAGAACTCGCCAGCCGCATTGGAATTTTCTACGCGGCTTTGACCTCCTCGTCCGCATTCGGAGGCCTTCTTGCTTTTGGAATGTTCCAGCTGAATAGCGACAAATATTTCCAATGGTCGTATCTGTTCATTCTTGAGGGAAGTTTGTCTCTTTTCTGGGCCATTTTAACCTTCTTGGTCCTTCCACGCCAGACCTCGACTGCTTGGTTCCTTAGCAAGCAGGAGAGGGATATCGCTGCAGCTCGGTTAGCACAAGACTCCGTGGCCCCCCCAGAGAGCAAATTTAGCCTCAAGGAGTCATTTTCCGAGTTTTTCACGGTCCACGGCTATATCCGGGTCGTGATCTCCTTTGTTTCGGGGACTATTCTCACCTCCAATGCCAACTTCCTAGCCATGATTGTCCGTCGGTTGGGTTTCAGCGTGATCAAGACGAATCTTGTGAGACTGCTTCTACTTCTGCCGTCTTCTGCGGATCCATTTGCTGACTTCTATTAGTACACCGTTGCTCCTGCCCTCACTGGTGCCGTTTTCCTTGTGGCTTGGTGCAAGCTGTCTGATAGACTCGGAGAAAGAGGCTTTCATATGGCTGCCTCGGCAGTCGTCAGCTTGGTCGGCTACGTAATTCTGTCAACCATCGATACAAACAATACATCCGTCCTATACTTCGCCATGTTCTTGTGCACTATTGGGGTAGGTCTCAGTTCGCGTGCTCTGAAATTATGAAGTGCTACGCTAACAAAATCGTAGGCTTATCCTGCAACCCCTATCGGATCGACCTGGATGCTTTCCAACATTCCTAACCTCAACGCACGAGCAATGACTAGTGGTCTTTACATCTCGTTCGGAAACTGCGCAGGTCTTCTTTCAAGCAATATATATCATGAATGGGAATCTCCTCGATACCAAACTAGTCTCTCCACGAACATTGGGATGAGTATTGCACTCATCACAATCACTAGTTCATATGGACTGTGGATGAGATGGGAGAACAAGCGTCGAGATAGTGCTGCAGGAGTTGCATCGGCCGAGACCACGTCAGGGGGAATCCACAATGCAAGGGATCCTCGTTTCAGATTCCAGGTGTAGTCTATATCAACTCAGCTAGAAGAAGTTGTTACACTACCCAAATTGATGTACGGACTCCTTGCATTTCTTGGAAAGCCTTCGTTAGTACTCTTAATTATTAGGTGTATATTTATCAGACACTGATATAGGCAAAATACTGTGTTGTTAATGCCGAAGCAGCCGTCACCTTGTCATTGGTGTTCTTACTGTGATGGCCAGAAACATTTTTATTACATTTTAGCGTGTTCTTCATCTCAATGATATCTCAGATTGTGAAAAGGTCAAGATCCACGACATCCTAAGATATCCTACAATCGAAATATGCTACAGGGCTCTAGAATAGTAGAAGTAGAATGCGTCGTCTAAGAGCTGTATCTGAACATCTTGTCGTCAATGTCCGTCAGATCAGTCTTAGGCATGCCATTCTTGTCAAGGACAACATGGGTGGATGCTTGAGGACCACTCTCTGCCATAGCAAGATCTCGTTTCTTATTTTCCCGAGTGCAAATGACGCGATATAGCCCCGAGACGACATACAGCGTGACCCATGTGACGATGGCTGTAATGACGCCGTTGGTGTATCTTGGGCTTTCGGTCCACAGCTGGGGTGATCCGATGCATCCTGCGCAATATCCAATGAAGAACATGGTGTTGACGGTAGCGCGCTTTGTATTTCCCTTGATGTTGGAGGCAGAAAGAGAGAGAAGAACGGACATGACAGCACTAGCACAAGATGCCTGAGATTGTTAGTTGCTTGGCTGCACCTTGACTTCGGATTGGGAACTTACCAGCCATGCCGCCACGATGACACCCCAACGAGAGTCTGAAGGAAGCTTCAGCAGAAGGACACAACCTACGAGGGGTGTGATGTTCAAGATCCAGACCACAAGGACTCTGTTCTTTGGGAAGATCTTGCAAAGAGCAACGCCAATCCAGATAAAACATATCTGGACAGCTCCAGAGGGCGCGGTGAAAAGCATGGTTTGAAGTTTGCTGTAGCCGATCCTGTTGATCATTAATGTCGCAAAAGTCAGCACGGGGGATTGCATCGTAACCAAGACGCCGAACATGAAGATGAACCAAGCTCTGGGGTCCAGCATCGTCTCCTTGAACTGTTCCATGGAAAAGGACTCCTTGTCGCCACCTTCACGGTCCTGCGCCATCCGTGCGGACAGAATCTCTTTCTCTCTCGCGTTGAGAAACCACGCATCTTTCGGCCCGGAAGGCATCAGGGTGAAGAATCCAATTCCAGCGGATACGGTCAAAGCGCCGCAGACCAGGAACATGGTTCTCCAAGGTTGAAGCGGAAGTGAGGTATTTTTGCCGATGCCGTACATGATCAGGCAACCAAGGACCTGGGCGAGGCCGTTCATTGTCACCCAAATAGCTGTGCGCGTTGCATGCTCCTCCTTGCGCCACCAGATGGAAGTTATTGTCACGAAGGCAGGGGAGACGGCGCCTTCGAAGAAACCGAGGAGGAAACGGACGGTGGCGAAGCCGGCAAAGTTTTGAGGGGCGGCGAGGCAGAGGCAGACGATGCCCCAGACAACTCTGTATGATCAATGACGGTCAGCAAAGTGCTTCTGCATAGGATTAGGGCAGTTATTCGTACACTGTCGCGCCAACAAACTTTGTGAGGGGGAAACGACTCATGAGGTAGATGAATGGATATTCCGATACAAGTTGGCCGACGTAGAAGATCGAGCTTGTCCAGGAGTATTCCTTGCTGGTCAGGTTCAGGTCGTCGATGAGACCGAAGACACCGGCGTAACTGAGACTTTGCTTATCGAGATATTGCAGCATGAAGGTGAAGCACATCTAAAGTCACCAGACTGTTATTCGACATCTTTCCAACGACGGAAGAGGCGGATGACTACTTACAAATGGCAGGACCACCAGGTCAATTTTCCTAAGCACTCTTCTCTCCTCTTCAGGAGTGAAGGTTGCTTCCATGGTTTCGCCAACCCGCTCATCGCTACCGGCCTCATCGGCAACCTTGCCCGTATTCGTGGGTTTCAGGTCAATTGAGGTGGTCATGTTGGAGAGAATTGATTTCGTTTGGGGGACGATTGTTTCTCAGTTGGGCAGGAGTTGGCGACCGGGTAAAGGGTCGAGTATTTATCGACCACGCAATCCCAGCAGTATGGATCATTTGACTCTTGAGACACCGGTTATCAACCAAGTATCCACCCTATTCCCCAGGTTTATCGCATCACCGTGGCCCAAAACGACTTTCCTATCAACTCTAATCTGGGGTAGACCACGTTGCCGGGTGGGCCGTGGTCGTCGGAACGATGGACGCGGCGTCGGCAGTCTGCCACTTGGTCGCGGAACGATGCCATCCTACCTACCGATGGCTCCACTGCTTGTATCTCTGGCAGATAACTCGCTGGGTGATATGTGCCATGGTGTCAGATCAGTATCTCACGGCTGATCATATCCCCACGGGGCCAAGCTTCCGCGTGTCATCAACAAACGTGGGATCCGTCAACGGAGTGATATGAGGGGAAGCGCTTCTGCAGTATAAATGATAGGGCAAACCTAATGTTCTCTCCCTCGTAGCCAAATACGTGTTGTACTTATTTCCAAACTCTCCTTTGCACTCCATCAGCCATCAGTCTATCTTGATCATCAATAGTGCAACATCATGGCGCCTCAACCATCTGACATCAAGCCTTGGCTTCGGGACGGCCCCAACGCCCGTGTCTTTGTGAACGCAAATGTCGTAGACGTCCTCTCGTCCACAATCATTCCTAATGCTACGGTGAGGGTCTCCAACGGAAAGATCGAATCCGTCACCACTGGTTCCCCCAGCTCTCCTCCAGCAGGCTACACAGTCGTCGACTTGGAAGGCAAATACCTATCCCCCGGTCTTTTCGACTCTCATGTCCACTTCTGCGCCGTCCCCGGATTTGGCGATTTGTCCATGGCATTTGGCAATGACAACGACGTCATGGTCCTGCGTCAGCCATACGTCGCCTCGCAGATGCTGCACCGCGGCTTCACCAGTGTTCGCGACTGTGGTGGTGCCCAGCTCGCCCTGAAGGAGGCAATCGAGGACGGTGTCTTCCCCGGGCCCAGATTATTCATTGCCGGCCACGCCCTCTCCCAGGCTGGTGGCCACGGCGACATCCGCGGTCTCCATGACGCAACGGAGTGCTGCGGCGGCCACACCAATGGGCTGGGTCGTCTCTGCAACGGCGTGCCAGAGTGCATGACGGCCGTCAGAGAGGAGATCCGTCGCGGTGCTGACTTCATCAAGATCATGGGCTCCGGCGGTGTCTCCACGCCCACCGACAAGCTGGAGCACTTGCAGTTCACCGTCGCCGAGATCAAGGCCATGGTCGAGTGCGCTGACAATGCGGGGACATTCGTCACAGCCCACGCGTACACATCCAAGGCCATCCGGCACTGTATCGATAATGGCGTGCGCGGCATCGAGCATGGAAACTTTGTGGATGAGGAGACGGCCAAGATCATGGCCGAGAAGGGGGTGTACCTCACACCCACGCTGATATCCTACGACCAGATGGCTTCCGAGAAGTGGCAGGGCTACTTACCTCCTGCCTCGCAGGAGAAGAATACGGCTGTGTTCAAGGCTGGTTTGGCGGCTCTGAAGATTGCACACGATTCGGGGGTGAAGCTCTGCTACGGTAGTGACCTCTTGGGCCCTCTGGGTCTGGCCCAGACTGAAGAGTTCAAGATCCGTGCCCAGGTGCTGCCGGCAGCAGCGGTCCTGCGCAGCGCGACGATTGTCCCAGCTGAGATGATGGGAGTGCAAGATAGTCTTGGGCAGGTGAAGGCGGGTTTCATTGCGGACTTGCTGGTCCTGGATAAGAACCCGTTGGAGGACGTGAAGATTCTAGATGATACAGAGACCAATGTTTTGGGCGTGCTTAAGGAGGGCAGAGTATATAAGAGTAGATGGCAGGGCTTGAAGGAGGATCCCCCTATTCCCGTCAAGATCAAAGCCGCTTTATAAAAACGAACAAGCATGCGTAGTTGAAAATATTACAAATATTTACATGAGAAGTTATAACTGACTAAAGTCCAGTACATCCATCCCTGTTAGCTCCATCAGGAACGTTTGCTCATCGCCAAACCCTGCCAACGGGAAGAGCCCTTCTCCTGTCTGAAAGCCTTGCAATAAGGGAGCCTCTGAAAATTCGGTGGAGGCGGTTACAGTAAGCGATGATTCCGTTAGTATAGGTTGAGCGGGCACCCAAGTGTTGGTTCTCTCCACAACGGGATCGTAAGGAGATGTCGACTCAGATAGCTGCAGCATACTTGACGCTTCGGCCCGTGGTGGCGGTGATGAAGAGTCACCACGAGGCTGATGGTTTGCGCGGGACAGCCATTGAGCCCACCGATTATAATCGGCGGCTGTTGCAGGTGTGCCAACAGACAGCGGCGGTTGGGGGCTCTGGCCAGCTGCGTAGAGCTTTGCGACAGCCTCGTCTGCAATCTTTTGCAGTGCCTCAACGAACCGCACACCAATCTGGGCTGTCACAATCCCAGCAGACATTTTCTTCAGGCAGCTGAGCCCAAATCCTACTGAGGCTTCATAGTCCGAGTTCCTTTCCAAAATACCCGCTAGTATGGTCACGATCGTAGCAATGCTGCAGCCCTGGAAGTCCGTAAATGAGAACCTCGTCATGTTCCCAGTGGTGGCGATGCTCTCAAACAGATGCAGCATCTTCCTTGCTGCCCTGATGCAGGCCGAAGAGAGAACATACACAGATTCGTCGGGCTTGTCACTGTCCGTCTCTAGGCTGCTCGTAGCTCCTAGGCGGGTACGCAAATGGTACCGCACGACAGTTACAGTATAGGATTTACCCATGGCTATCCATGCGTAGTAGTAGTTGAGATAGAGATGGAAGATGCTCCGATAGGACGGCTCTTTTGGATGAACTTTGAAGACTTTGAAGTGTGAGGGGAGCGACCGCTTCCATTCCTTCAAATCAGCCTCAGCTTGGTTGTATAATGTCATCCTTGCACGCTGAGTAGTGCAGTTGCTATACATCATCAGCAATTTGGCATTGACTCTTGGCTCGCGCGGGGAGTAGCCTACCCAATTTCGATTACACGATCAAGGATCATCGCAAGTCTGGCGTTGGCAGCCTGCTGGATCACGTTGTCGAACTTTTGTTCCTTGTCTATCGGTGGGGATGGTTTCGGTAAAGGAACTGTGATTATGCTTGGCTCAATCGCACGGGGGCGGTTGAGCTTGACGGCAGTAATCCTAGAAAGAGCGTCAGTCCAGCCATGACATGTCAAACAAACAATTCCACAGGGCTGACCTTTCAAGTGCATAAATGGACCACCAAGTTCTATGCCGAGTTTCATTCTCTCGCTCGGTCAAGGATGGATCATCCGTACACTGGTGAAGATCGAATTCCAAAGCCTTCCTCAACGCAAGCCCCAAGTAGACATAGGAGGAGTTCAGGGCGCTAAGCGGCATTAAGTATACACCCACAAGGTACAGAGCCTGGATCGAGTACAGTGAGGGCATTTCTATAAGATCGGGAATCAAGGTGCGTATTTGGCGGTGGAAAATAGTACACGGATCTCCATCTTCACTTGGAGACCTATTGTGTGAGCCTTCGGGTTTCTCGAGCGATGTGAACTGGCTTCCTAGGGCGAAGACGGCGAGGGCCAGGCTAATGAAGCCAGCATCTGTGCGAAGGGGGGATTGGGTGTCTTTGTAGAATTCATCGATTTGTGACAGAAGTTGCCCTTGGTCGAAGAAGAAGAATATGTCGGTTCCACGGTGTATGCAGACGTAAAGCAGGAAATCGGCCACTGGTCGAGGAGGGAAGACCTCGATCGCCCGTTGCAGACGGCGAAGATCCCAGGGTTGCAATGTCCGGGGCCCAGTGATTCTCTACAATCCATTCAGATAAATCAGAAACAGTAGATTTATATCCCGGTGTATCTCTTTCTCTTACCGCCTGCATAGCCACAATTTCTTGGGCCTCGGGTTGGCTTTCCTCGTCGAGACTGAACGCCTCTCGCAGTCGTGATAGGAACCTCGGCCATATTGTTCTTTCCGTCTGGTCTAAACGTAAAATATTTGATTATTTCCAATTCTTAGTCTGCTTTTGTCCTTAGAGATACCTGTACTTACGACTGTTGATGGTTATATTTTCATTGGGAGAGTCTTTGGAAGTGTTGACTTCGCGTACTGATGCAGTCACCGAGACAGGGGTTTGGTTAAACTCCTCCGAGGACATCAGCTCCCTATTTCCAGATTAACACTCGAACGGAACGTCCTTTGCTCATCGTCTGCTTGCACCTACTTGTCGAATCGGCAGGACAACTGCTTTTTGGCACATCTCTGGCAAATCCCCACTTCCGTCTCTATGCATTTGCTCTTCCTCGATTTGCACTGCTCGCATCTGCAATCGTACTAAGTACAAGGGTCGTACCACAGAATGACGGGGTACTTACGCTCTGGGCGCTCTCTTCCGCTGGCTGTCGGGTACGCGTCGCCGACGCCGCCGACGGGCCAGAGCAGCAGAATTCATGCCTGGCACGGGCACTGCACGGGCGGTCAAGTCATGAGTCCCAGTGTTACATGCCAGTGTTCATGCAAGCGATGGATGCAGATCGGTTCAATGGCCGCGGATGGGTGAGGGGTTGAAACATGGCAGACTGCCGATGTTCAATTGTCATGGCGGAACGGTGGACTTTGACTTTGTGGCAGACTGCCGAAGCGGAGCCGCTTATCACAACTACCCTAGACCCTCTGATAATTATCGCAGAATCGTCCGATCATCGTCTGATAAGCCATTTGTACGTCCCCCCCGATACACGGCAATGAAGTCCTTTGATTAGATCTCTAAATTCAAGTAGTCTAGACGCCTTCAAGGAATCACCGGCGGTGAAGCATTGCTGAGGTCATTGGATCTGATGGTAAGTACTGCGATATCAATCAATCAAGTAGGGCAAGGTCAACATGCCGTACTTCATAGGCCATAGGTCTCGGTAAGTCATAGATTTAAATATTAGTAATTGGCATATATTAATTATCCAAAGGGTTCAACCGCAGAATTCATTTATCTTCATCCCCTACGAAATGGCCCTGCGGCACTGTGCACCGAAGTCCGCGATTCTACCTGGCTTTCGGCGCCAACTATCAACGTTGTCTCAGGCCAGACCTCTAAACTCGGCACTTGGCGCCTAATGTTGGTCATGGCGTGCTTTTCAGCTAACGGTCTTCTCTCCGTCATCAGGATCCTCCACTTTTTATTCCGTCTCTCTTCTTAGTACACACCCATATATCGTCATTTTGGCTCTCCTGCTGGGCCCACAAGTCGACTGCACTGCTCACCCGCCTCCGTAACTAAACCCAAGCATATGCAGGCTATAATCATTTTTGGAAGGTCCTTCGTGATGGGTTAATTCACGGGTAACGTCCGAAAGAATGAGGGGAGGGAGCGGAGGACCTCCGTCTATCAGGATTACCCCACAAAGATGCAGATCCTCATCCTTGGAGCTTCGTGCGGAGGCGGGCCAAATACGGTCAGAACTCTGGGGTCCGGGGTTGGTCTTCCCCTCTAAAGTTGTTTATATCTAGAGCAGCCGTGCCATGGTTGATCTAGGGAAATAATCAGGATACATGGCCCAAGTTGACAGAACTGGTTGAGGGAACAGAATAGAGACTCTCCAAGAATTTTCCGCGCCAGTCTTATATTCTTCCTCCACCTCCCAAGCACATCATCCAAAATAACGGCAACATATCCCAACTTCGTTTGAAGCTATCTTGCCGAAATGGCGGACGAAACCATCAAGAAATCCCGGGAATCTCTGGACAAGAAGCCCAACGGACACACTGAACATGTCGAGATCGAAGCTCCATCCAAAGTAACGCACTCACGCGGCGAGTTGAGCGAAGAAGAGCTCTTGAATCTTCGCCAAAGATACCCTCTTCTTGCAAATGCATCTCCGGAGAAGCTTGATGCCTTGAACAAAGCTGTACTGAAGAAACTGGATTAGCGCTTCCTCACTGTAATCACCCTCATGTTGCTCATGAAGTAAGTTATTCCACTCCCACCTCCCATACATATGACTTTTTCTAACCTATTTGTGTAGTTACCTCGATAGGATCAACGTCTCCAACGCTAGAATCGCCGGAATGCAGGAAGACATGCACATGAGTGATGTCGAATGGTCAGCTGGCATCTCCCTCTTCTACGTCGGATACATCATCTCCCAGGTCCCCGCCAACGTCATCATCGCAAAAGGACGACCAAGAATCATCCTTCCCTGCGTCATGCTAGCATGGTCTGCAGTCACCATCTGCATGCCAGCTGCCAAGTCTCCGTGGGCTTTCATGCTCTGCCGATTTCTAGTAGGACTCACAGAAGGGCCGTTCCTCCCGGGCGTCGCGCTGCTATCGTCGTCATGGTATGTGAAATCCGAAACGTCTTTGAGGATGGGTATCTGGCATGCGGGAAACATTGTATCCAACGCTTTCTCTGGCTTGCTCTCCGCTGCGATTCTGACAAACATGGACAATCTTGCCGGGATGCACTCCTGGCAATGGTTCCTTCTCTTAGAAGGTACAGTTTCCCTCCATTGAGAAATGGTTCGTTTTCAAACCTAATATGTTAATAAATAATAGGCATTGTCAGCATTCTCGTTGCTTTTGTTGGCTTCTGGGCGCTGCCAAACTTCCCAGACAACACAGGCGGCGGGTATTTTACTGACGAAGAAACACAAATGGCCCAATACCGGCAGCTTGTTGACGCGGGGGGAATCTCCGAGGACGATGAAGGAGACTATTGGGGAGGCTTCTTCCAGGCTTGCAAAGACCCCTTTACTTGGTTATTTGCAGGAATGCATTTTGCCATCATCATCGCTCAATCATTCAAAGACTTCTTCCCTTCTGTAAGTTCCAAGCCATTTTTTAACCATCCTATCAAGACTAACCACTCCTCAGATTGTGAACACACTCGGGTTCAACAAAACTCTCACGTATCTCATCCAAGCACCGCCATACATTGTGGCTTATTTTGTCACCTTGCTAGTGTCATGGTCGGCCGACAGACATCTGGAACATTGCTGGCACATTGTTGGCTCCATGCTAGCTTGCCTGGTTGGGGCTGTCATCATGATTTCTACGCTCAACGTCCCGGCACGGTACTTCTCCATGTTCCTGCTCTGCACTGGGCCTTTCATCAGTTTGAATGTAGGTGGCTGAGCCCGTCCTGACTTGGTCAATTCTCTCGCTAATTAGAGTGGCTTTAGATTCAAATTCCGTGGGAGGTCAGCGTGGTGCCCCGACCACGCACCAAGAGAGCTGCCCTGATCGCTATTGCCAACTGCGTGTCCTCTGTTTCTCACTGGTTCTCTCCCTACTTCTTCCTGACATCCCAAGAGCCTCGGTACCAGACCGGAGGAGGTGTAATCATCCTAGGCTGCGGCCTCACGATTATCTTTTGCGTAGCCACACGGTGGTATTGCCAGAAGAAGAACAAGGAAATTGAGAAGGAGCAAGAGCAGACTGGTGTTGTCAACAACTGGAGATACGTCACATAAAGAGCCCTTATGAAGCTCCGACGGAAGAGCCAGTATGATTTCGTCTAGCAGCAGATCAGCACTAGCTAAATCCGCTATGGAATAATCATCATAGGGCACAGGGTGCAAGATACTTCCAAGGCAGGCTCCATTCTTTAGGTATAGCAAGACCCCGATTTGGCATTAAATATAAACATATATATTATTGTCATGATAAATTCCGTTTCATTTCTAGCGCCTGTAGCATCAACGTTTGAGCTGGCACGGGGATCGAGAAGTCTCCGTTTTGACTGATGGTTGAGTAGTCAAATATCACGCTCTCTGAAGTGATCGAATTTGTGAAATTCTGCAAAATATCTCGGAAGATCGTGAATGCAGAAAATATCCCCGAGACTCGAGTCAGTAGCTGCAGTGGCTTTTGCGTCAGTACCAAGACCTGTCGATCAACTCCGGCAAGTGATCTGTTGCTTGTCGCCCGGTGATAGGTGACCCAGATGAGACCAACGGCTGTCGAGAACACCTCGAGACCATCCGCACTCGTAAGAGTGCAATCATTCGTGGTCGCATGCCTCTCCAGAGCCTCAAAGTACTGCTCGAAATCCTGAGTAGCCTGTGTCATGATCATAGAGCTCTCGAGCCCACCCCGATTTGCCTCACATATGCAAACAATCGCAAGCAGAACCCGGCAAGCTGAGGAATGGAAATGATAATGATGAAATGACCTCTCATCTTCATTTTCGATAGAGGCCATGGCCAACGGGGCTGTCTCTTTCCAATGCTGGTAATTGCTGAAGTGATATAAGGTGCCCTTTCCGGGGTACGCACGAATGTCGTGTAGAAGCTTGGCCTGGTGGACATTCCAAGCATGCAACTCGTCAAGTCTATCCGTGTGTTCCCGTGACCTTGATGGCCTCTGAAGTCATAACATATTTAGTATATAGCAAACACGCAAATGGGGGAGGCCTAACAAACCGCAGAAGTAATGTCTTCGTCTTGGATATTGAAGGGTCGACCCGATGATGCACTGAGAATACTACTGCTGCGTCAGAATGATTACTGAATTTCAGGTGGATAATGAATTGACGCACGCATCCAGCGTATAAATGGTCCAAAAAACACGGCTGCTGCTCTTTTGCCCTTCGTCATGGGATCGGTGATCTGACACTCTTGCGGTATGCATCCCCCCTGAAATGCATCGAGTCATGGCCAAGCCAAGGAGATGCCATGCAGAACCCCCAAACGGGGTGTACATGGCCAAAACAGCCATCAGTGTCAGGCACTGGGCTGCCTCTCGATCGTTAGCCTGAGCAAATACCCGGGGCATGAACTGATACGCAGTCAAAATGAACAGCGTCGCGAAGCTCTCAGTTTGCCTGTGCCCTCTGCCCATCAGCATCCCTATTGCGGCTGCTAGATATACTCGTATGACTTTGCAGGGAGACTCGGTGGCGGCCTTTTCCAGTCTTCCCTGCTCTTCGCTCCGCATCACTGCGTTGTAGTCATCAGAGAGCTGGGGGCCACTGATCAGAGGGAGACTGTGCTGGAGCAAAACCAAGACCCGATGCATGGCATTCGTAGGCTCTGTCATGGAAAGTGAAATTCCTTTTCGCAACAAAGTACGATGGAAGTCACCCAACTGACCCACAACGGCCTCATTTTGGCCTTGGGACTGGAGGATATTGCTTCCCGAAACACTGGTTGAAGCTTGGACAAGTTTGTTGAAAGAGATATTTGAGGTATGTAGGATCGGGTCCCCTGTGAAGCCAGCCATGGCTGTCAGAGATAGAAATCCTATCTCAGTCTGCAGGGTGTCGTGATGGGCATTTGCTGCCAGGGACTGGATCTCCATGCCATCGCCACCCTGCCCACTTGTAGAAGAAGTGAGTGGTACCGAGGCAGCACTGTTCAGTCTCGTTTCCAGGGTTGAGATTCGACGTTTCATAGATTCAATATAGCTATGGTGAGCCTCTGGGTTGTCCGGGTCCAGCAAGTTTCCCAGCCGTCGCTCGATGCACGGGGTTGAGGCCTGCCGGCACTGCCCACACTTGGGCTTAACTCGATCGCACTGAGCCCATCCATATCAGAATGAAAAAACGGAAAGAAGCTGCCAACTCGTGTAGAGATCTCACCTTCTGCTTCCTCACTCTGCAGCGTTCACAAGCCTGGGGAATCAACTCTTGCATTATCGAATACCTTTTGACGTTGCAACAACTACAGGGTAAACAAGATGATGCTCTCGAACTTGGGCTTACATAACGAGCGATTGATACACCCAAGAGCCAGCCAAGAGGAAGCGGAGCCTGTGGCGTTGACGCTCTGATGTGGACTGCCAACCGACGTGGGACGATCAATATGTGCAACGATGCGACTGGGAGGTTCGAGCTCGGCCAAGCTCCGGTGACTGGGACGCTGCTCCTCCCTTCGGAAATCTCTGCCTGCGTGGCTGGAACCTTGAATGAGGGGGAGCTGGGGAATGTGGTCAGAGTTCGTCGGAGGTCCGCCGGAGGTCCACCGAAGCTCCACCGGCCTGTTGCCGGATCCGACTCCATCACCACAAGCGAGGATGAGCAAACGATTGACTCTCGTTAGCAGGCAAAGAAGCCGCCGAGTATCGGCAAATCAAGAACCCACAAGCTATGTATCTAAAGTCGAATGACATTTAAAAGCTAGGGTTCGCATGCATCGTGATAATCTCGGAGTGATGGGCTAGCCTTGCCTTTAACGGATCACCACTCACTTACATCAATCCTATCATATCTCCAAGTCTGCTGTCAACCGTTCATATCTCTTTCCCTTATCGATCATTCACAATGGCTCTGACTCTTACCAACACCATCAAGGACAAGCTTGTCCGTAATGAAGTAGCCTACACTCTGAGCGTCAAGCTCGTGCGGTCAGTTGAGATTGCCGGCATTGCCAAGTCGGCCGGCTTCGATGGCCTCCTCATCGATATGGAGCACTCCTCCTTTGACCTTGACACCGCTGGCCAAATCTGCATTGCGGCTCTGTACGCCGGCATCGCGCCCATCGTACGATCCCCCAGCAAGGATCCCTTCTTCGTCTCGAGGATCCTAGACGGCGGCGCCCTGGGCGTCATTGTGCCCCATATCCGAAGCGTCCAGGACGCCAAGGACGTTGTCCAGGCCGCCAAGTTCCAGCCTGTTGGCGTCCGCTCCTCCACAAACGGCCTGCCCCATTTCCAGTTCCGCTCGCACCCCGCAAAGCTCTCGAACCCCGTGGTCAATGCGAGTACCCTGGTCATCCCCATGGTTGAGACTCTCGAAGCTCTGGAGCTCGTGGATGAAATTGCTGCTATTGAGGGCGTGGATTCGCTCCTGATCGGCACCAATGATCTCTGTGCTGAGATGGGGATCCCCGGCGACTACGACAACCCGCGGGTCACTGAGGCGTACCAGCGCACCATTGACGCCTGCAACAAGGTGGGCAAGTGGGTTGGTATTGGAGGCCTTCACTCTCGCCTCGACCTCGTGGAGAAGTTCTGTGGCATGGGTGCCCGGTGGGTTATGGCTGCTACCGACGGCCCTCTGCTGTTTGGCAGTGCTTCCAAGCGCGGGGGAGAAATGGCTGCTCTCAACACGAGAGTTGTGGCGGCTGTAAACGGGAATGGAAAGGCTTAGGATGGGAATACAATAATTAGACTACTACTTGAGTTCTTGTGTTTGATGTTAATAGAAGGCATATGCAAAACGCCCATATCCAGACAGATATCGTGATTATCATCGCTGTTATCTTAATGATGCTAATTTCTTCGTAGTAGTAACCATTCCACATCTATCAAGATGGAATCATACACATGATGATGAAACTAATTCGACTACAATGATCTCAATGTTCGTCACAAATTGTTCATGAGGAGCCTGTCGGCATTCCTCCTAAGCTGCTGGACAGATTCATCAACATGCGCAAGTTCAGGGAATGATCATCACCATCAGTACTCTGCTCCTTTGACTGCAACCCCGCATGCTAGATTATTGCAAATGATAAAGTAGTATGGCATGCGTCTTCTGACTGTCGGCCAACGTCCGATACGCCTCAAGTTGGACAACCTCGGCCAGGAGGTCGCGCTCGGGAGACCTCCGATGGAGCACGATGCCACCCCACCACTCCCTCACAGCCTCTCCCGCAGGCCTCGAAACCGATGGATATCAATGCGAGACTTGCTTGCATATCCAGGCAGGAGCGGGATAGCGGCATTCGCCCGAGGTGATAGCCAATGGAACATACTACTTGTCCACTTCTCATCGGAGATTTCAGAGCAGTATGTGACTCAGCGGGATACTCCCGGGGACATATTACGAGGGATGGCTGATGTCATTCTGAACATCTTCTTTCCTTCTCTCCATTAATCAAATGCATGAGAATTTATATACAGCTTCGAATTGCCAAGTTCTACCAACCCCACAAGAATACCATTCCCCCGTATACAGCTTGAATACACACACCATGGCGCCAGGAACCCTTCTAGATAGCAGCCGGGAGGCCAGCCCCGTCGACGATCGCCGCCCTACCGTCTACCTCTTGGACAAGTTCCACCCAGAGGCCATCAAGTACTGCCAGCAGCGCTTCCGGACAATCCAGCCCGGCGACAAAGACCACGTCCACTGGCGGCAGAACGCCCAGTATCTGCTCATCCGCTCCTCCTACCTCACCGCCGAGGACGTGGCCGCCTGCCCAAACCTCAAGGCCATCGGCAAGCAGGGCGTCGGAATCGACAAGATCGACGCCGCCGCGTGCGCCGCGAGTGGCATCAAGATCTTCAACACTCCCGGCGTCAACTCCCGCGCCGTCGCCGAGCTCGTCCTCGGCCTGACCATGTCCGTCGCGCGCGAGATCCCCAAGATCCACGAGCGGCAGGTCCAGGGCAAGCTGGTGCCGAAGGAGGTGTGCTCCGGCCTGATCCTGCACAAGAAGACGCTCGGCCTGCTGGGCATGGGCAACATCAGCGAGTCCGTCGCCCGCATCTTCCGCGGCGCCTTTGACGCGGAGCTGATCGCGTATGACCCGTTCGTGCCGGAGACGGCGTGGGCTGACATCCCGCACAAGCGCGCGGCGACGGTGGAGGAGGTCCTGAGGGAGTGCGACGTGCTGAGCATCCACGTGCCGCTCACCCCGAGCACAAAGGCGCTCATCTCCTACGACCAGCTGGCGATGATGAAGCCGCACGCGATCCTCATCAACGCCGCCCGCGGGGGCATCGTGCATGAGGAGGATCTCGCGCGAGGCCTGCAGGACAACCTGATATGGGGAGCGGGATTGGACTGCCACGAGCAGGAGCCGCCGAGCAAGGCCAAGTACGGCGCCCTGTGGCAGCAGAATGTGGTCAGCACGCCTCACATCGGCGCTGCGACGGAACAGACGCAGATGGAGACGGCCATCGCGGCGGTTGAGAAGCTGTACAATTTTATACAAGGTGCTTGAAGGGATGAAGATGGACCGAAACGAAGAATATTGTTATTTTGTGTAAATAGTTAGCTTGCTTGCTTCAGTGCTAGATGAAACGAGGCGTCATCCTTCAAAGCTAAACTGCGAGTCAGTCCAAGGAAAAGCGTTGGTATCCGTAGCCCCCCAGGCGTACTCTCCCAGTCCATTCTCCAGAAGCTCCATGAATTCGTCGGTGAGTTCCGGCCACACCTGATGCTCCCCTTGTAACTGATCCAGGCCGTGTTGCTGGTCCATGTCTGGCGCCGAGGCCGACAGCATGTCCAGAATTTCTAAATTGGAAGCATGCTCCGCGTTCATTTGAAAAGTCGAGTCGTGGCTAGAGATATCCGAGGTCTGAAGTTCCGGCACGGTAGTTTGAGGCTCGGTACGGCCAAATATCGGGGCGGGTGGTAACTCGAGCTGCTGCCCGGTACCCGAGGAGAAGTGGCGTAGAAAATTGTTGGTAAGCATCTCGAAGACGATGGAGAAACGCCCAGCATCGGGCATCTGGTTTCTGAAATCCTGCAGAGTCTTGCAACAGAGGCGCAATGTGGACTCCAAGCTGGCCATGGACGACCCTGAGTGGCCGTCCTGTCTCTGAGCACGCATGGAAATCCAATAGAAGACAGAGAGGCCCGCAGTAAATATAATTTGGAAGTACGTTCGCGTCCATGATATCCAGTTGTTCTGGGCCATTTTGTCGTAAAGCTCAATGGTCGCAGTCGCGCAGTCAAGGGACATTGTGAGCAGGTCGAGTGGTGGCTGTCCGTTCCTTTTGGGCGCGATATACATGGCCGACCTCACCAGCAGGAGTTTATCCTTTGCGAGCAGAAAATCATACCATTCTGGCCTCTGGTAGAGGGAAGTGGGGTGAGAGAAGACGGGAGCCTGGCTTCTCCAGGTTTCCAGCTCGTTGAGGAATTTATAGAGCCGAACGTAGACGTCGCCCGACGAGAGGTTTTGAGAGGGCGTGGTATCGCCACTGGCACTGCCAACGCCTCTTCCATTATAGAAGTCAGAGTAGATCCTCGACGTAATCCGGCGTAGCTGAATGACACAGATGAACACGGAGAGTTCAGTCGGTGCAGTAGGGGGAGGGGCGGCAAGGTCAGACAAGCGCGTTTTATCAACAGCCTCCTCAATGGCGGCATCAGAGGCGTTGACAGGCAGGTCGATTGCTATGTCTCGATCAGAGATGGCAAAAGGGCGGCCAAGAACACTCGAACTATAGCGGTCGAGGATATAGCAGTCCCAAAATATACGGCTCCGATACTGCTCATCTAGTGGGCTCATCGGCCACTGGGGAGGTAAATGGAGGTTGTGTTCGATACATTGGCGCATGCAGAACCTGGAGAGATCCCAAATAGAGGTACCTATTGGGCATTTGTTAGGTTTCGAAAAGTAACAACGGAAGGGACTCGTACCAATGTGGTGATACATTCCGAACCTGGCGATGAGCAACAAGTTTTGAATGGCATCGAGGCTCCCGATCAAGGGAACGCCCCCAAGATAGCCCTGTGCAGCCAGGAAATAACCGAACGGGTGGTCCTCGCATGCGCCAGTACGGAATCTAGGGACAGCACTAAGAGCAAATATCATAAAGAGGCGGAAATAGTCCTGCGATGAAGCAGATCGGTTCACTTCGGGATGGTAGACTCTGTTGAAGGTTTCCATGACATCTCTCCGCATCAGAAAGGTGTGGTTTCTGTGAAACCTGTCAAAGCTGTTTGTTCGCGGTTTAGTACAGGCCAGTGACACTCTGGGCGGTCGGGGGACGCACTATGTATCCAGGAGACCCAAGGCCTCGTCTACCAAGGGCTGCTGGTTGGGTTTCACGGCCAGCTCCGGCACTTGGGGCCGTTCCGCCAGCTGCCTGAGAAGCTGGGGTTCGCAAGAGCGCCATCTGCTGTCTGACAGAATGAATCGCAGAAGATTGTGGCCGCTTGCGTCGCCGACAAAGGCGCTCGAATCCGACGGCGATGCGGTCGAGGGCGTAGGGCCATCGACCACAGCGCGATCACCAGCTGCGGCCTGCACTGGAGGGGCACCACCGGCTCTCTGGCGCAACTCCTTCTCCCTCTCCTCCAGCTGACTGATCTCATCTCTTGAGTACTGGATCGAGGTGACGGGATCGACGATGATGCACGTCTTGGCGGCCTTGGAACAGCCACCGCATTTGGGCGCAGCCCTGTCACAGCGAACCTTGCGTAGTTTGCATCGCTGGCAGGCTGGAGGGACTCTGGCAGGGGACTCCGCAGCAGGCATTTTCGGATTGCCAGCTGAGCGACACCATGGCAAGCAGAAGAGCCCTTATGTGTGCGCGCGTGGTTGGAGGTAAGGAGGGAGGTGAAATCAAGGGTTGGGTTGGGGAAATGCGGAGGCCAATGGGGAGGATTTTGTTGTCGGGGAAGTGCCCAATTTTTCAGTCCAATAACATTCAGTGCAAAGCTGGGGCAGGACCGGGGCAAGTGGGTGACATTGAAATTGAGACACTCAAACATCAGGCTGCTTATTTTCAAGTCTGCGACCGTTCTTATTAGACGATTAAGGGCTAATAATAAATACCTAAGGAATGACACGGCATTTATTATTACTTTTTTATTCTATACTGCTAAATTTCTCTTTTCATTAGAGAGTAGCCTATTTATCACCACTCTTCTATTGATTGGATGTCTCATTTCTCCTGTCGCCCACTTGGCAGAGGTACCTGGCTAAACGCCTAATTTGTCCCTGATTGTTCAGCGAGCGGAAGACGTGACCTCGTCCAAAAAAACTCATAAAATTCCTGTGTTCCCTGGGTCTATATGAATGTAGTCAATTACTTCATTCAAGTCAATTGTAATCTAGGAGATAATTGCCCAGATGGGCGCCCCTTTCTTTCTCACCCAAATTGTTGACTAATCAGCCTCCAACACGCCTACCCTACACGCATCAGGCTTTGCTCGCATGATTCATCTCTCCATTTCTCTGTCACCAGCATGACATCTGATGAATAAAATACATGATAATAAAGGCAATAGTTGGCCTATTTTCACATGAACACTGCTTGCATCAAGTAGCATCACTCTGTCCGCCTTTCCAGAAAAAACATCCAGGCCATGTATACGAATTTCAAACTGAACACTGGATACTGAAGCACTTCCTATCATTTCACTCTGCTGCCATGGTCGGCGGCCACAGAGAGATAGAAACCTCCTGTCAAAGATTTACCATCCCTACAGGTTGTTCACCTATGCATCTATTCATTCTCCATCTCTCATCCCCGACGAGGCTTCTGGAGAATGATTCCTCTTTGGGCAATCAGAAATCATTGGTGTTTTATGGGGCTGCGCCACCACGCCAGTGTGGAGACCAGCGGGCACCAGCCACTCTGATCCATCTGTGCTTGTGCCCTCGATGTGATTGGCTGTGATGGATCTATCAACCAATCATCAAACGCGTCAGCCAAAACATTACCCCACTAACCAATACCACTAGGATCTGGACCCAGCGCCCGGCCACAGGCTCCGTCTTAGGGCTGGTGTGGCAAGCGAGGCCTGTGATTGGGCTGCTCGCAACGGGCCGACCAATGAGCGCCCGTGGTGCCAGATCTCGCTGTTGCCGAAATGTACCGAACCCGCTGTAATTCACTGGGCTGAACGATCAGCGCAGTGCTCCAACGCTTGCATAGCCCAGTGTGACGTAGGAGAGTTGTGATCCTCATCCCACCAGCTTCCTCCTGCCCCTCGCGGTATATAAAGACTGTCCTGTCGCATAAGTGTATTCAGGATATATTTCATATCTCACAAGACCCAGAAGAAGCACTTTCTGCCGAACATCAACACATACACTGAACCAGGACACCAAGACCTCATCTGGCACATTCAAGTTACCACTCCAACCATGTCGTTCTTCACCACCCCATCAAGCGACAAAAAAGGAGACCCGTCTTCCAGCCTCACGATTGACCAGGATACGGGCCGGATGTCCACTTCATCAAGAGAATCTGACATCCCGCCTGCCTACAACGATGCTGTTGGCGGCTCCTCGTCACCATATAGCTTTGCCACCACAGGCCAGCTCCAGATCCAAGCTGTTGGCTTTGACTACAACTCGGCCCTTATCGGATCTAAAATGGAGACGATTTCGGTCGACCGTGTAGAGACTGGACACCCAGAGTACACGTCTATCCGACTCAAGCGAAGCTCAAACTCTTGCGCCCTCGTTAGCGCTTCAGACCGAAATCAGACCCCCTTAATTTCAACCATCTACCGATGGGGACCGGGCAGACACCCTAGAATGCGGATTTTCCCCGCCAATACTGCTGTGTCTGTCGAGGATGCGATCAACTCGGACAAGGTCGAGTGCGAGCTGATTGACGTCAAGAGTCGCTCCATGCTCTCCCGCGCCCAGAAGTTCGATACCTCTTTTGGCTCCTTCGAGTGGCGGTACGGCAGCCGTGGCGAGCGCAAAGAGGACCACGACGCATCCTCGCTCCTAATCCTCGAGAGGACTGACTCCGTCGCATCGGCGGCCGGTGCCAAGGTCGGGAAGAGGGGCGTTCGTGTCGCTCAGCTGGTGCGTAGCGACGAGTTCCGCACCCCCGGTACAACCCGATACATGGGCGGCAATGGCGGTAGGCTGATGATGGATCTGAGCTTGTGGACGGACGACAAGAAGGCCGCCGCCAAGGATGTCGAGGCGTTTGTCGTGGCGAGCTGCATCTGTATGCTGAAGCGGGAGGCTGATCGGTTCCGAGATAACACGATCGCGGCTGTGGTATAATTTCGCCGCTCACTGATAGAAGTTGAAATTGTTTTCCTCTTAGTGTGTTTGGTATTATAGCATGTTCGGTCATTTCACAATAGCGATCTTATATCACATTTTGTTCTCATTTTTTGTCAACTGCTGAAATATTCCTCCTTGATTTTGTCAACTAGTCTATCCTCAAACAAGGAAGAAAATGCCATGGCTGTGGCAAAGAGAATAGCTAAATGCGAGCTCGATTTCATCTTGCGCGGCAACTTTCTATCAGCTAAACTTCTATTTTTATAAATTCAAATGGCCGTGATTTGATCCTCTCGCTGTTCCATTATAATGTGCTGGTCCTCATAGTCACGAATCATCGTCGTAATGGCAGCAAACCTTGTGCTCCAAGCCGCCTCCTGCGGTGTAGGATTCCAGGGCCGCGCCATATCTGAATCTGTATACAACCTTTGATTCACATCGATTGTGGGATCCTTCAATAGCTCCTGCGCTATGGCTTCGTCCCCCCCCTGGATCGCAAGATGGAGCGGCCTTGCGTATGAGCTGGAAGGTATCTCGGGTGATACCTGGGCATTTTTCTCCAGCAGCAGGATCACGTTGTCAATACGGCTGGTATTTACGGCAACAGCCAGAGGTGCCCATCCCCAGACGTCTTGTATGTTGACACCCGGATCTGCAGTGTTGAGAAGTGCTTGGACAACGGTGGCGTGACGGTAGTGGCACGCCCACCACAGCGGAGTCCTCCCTTGCAGGTCCCGTACCGCTGGTTTGACTCGCTTGTCATCCAATAGCCTTTGCACTGCCGAGAGATGCCCCCTCTTGGCAGCAATCAAAAGCGGTGTTTCATCCCCAGTATGTCCCTTCTGTAACTTGTACCCAACGAACCCTATCCCCTCCCCGATCGCTTCAGGATACTCCACTCTGTATCCCTCCATCTTTGGTGATTGGTAGTTCGGATCAACTCTTGGGTCGCTGAGCAGTAGATCCATCATTTGGATGTCGTCTTCATTGGCGGCAATTGACAATGCGGAGCCGCTCAACCCAGCATTCACGTCAGTTTGTGGCAGAGACAGCAGAAACTCAACAGTCTCTCGAGCAGCAGACAATACCGCGCGGCGTAATGGAGCACCAGGCTCGCCATCCTCTCCAATGGCGCAGTTGGGGTCCAGTTCCCCGGATTCGACGAGTTTCTTGACCTCCTCGGTGTCGCCACGAGCAACCACATCGTACCAACGATCCACCTCGTCGTCATGCCTTGGCAGAAGATCAGCTCCCGGTCGTTGTTTGACCATATCCACAACTCCGAACTCATAGTGGTAGTGATAGACCGAGTCAGATGTTGGGATTTCGATATCCAACCTGAGCTCTGGGTGGCGCAGGAACGATCTGAGCAGTGGCGTGTACTGCTCGCATTGATGAAGGAGGGTCCGCCACAAGGGTGATGTCTTGTCAAAGGGAAGATTGGGGTCTGTACGCCTGTCGTTTAGTAGAGCTTGGATGACAGAGGAGTGATTTCGATCACAGGCTGTGTAAAGTGGTGCTGCGTCGGTTTCATGATTCATCCTATAGTTTGGGTCTATGTCCACCCGCTGGAGTAGTGATCTGACTGTTGATTCCCGGTCTGCGGCACATGCTGTCCGTAATATTGACCAGTGAGGTCTCAGTGCGGTATTCGGGCTGATATTGTAGCGATCAAGTAGGAGGTTCAAGATGCCTCCATGGTCACCGAGAATGGCCCGCCGTATGGGACAATGCTTTCCAGCGCCGAACAATGGCTCCTGCTCATGGAAAGTAAAGGGTTGAACATCGTCCCTGTCAATAAGAATGCGCACGATGTGCTCATGCCCCTGTTGAATAGCCACTAGAAGCGGACTCGCACCCGTGTCGCGGCTCCTTGCATTTGGGTCGACACAGTTGAACCCGAGAATAATTTGCAACGTATCCGCCCACCCAAGTTCTGCAGCTTTGTAAAGCGAATGTTCGTATGGACCTTTAAAGTGTGTGCTCAGTGATATACCCTTTTGTGTCAAGAGGAAATTGGATATCTCTCTTTGGCGATGTTCTATCGCGACACTGAGGGGAAATTTGCAAGTTTGTCGGTATTGAAAGCAGAAGTTGATATCGGTGAACGGGTGCGACAGCAATCCTTTGACAATGCTAAGGTGGCCACCTTTGCATGCTGACATGAATGATTTGTTCACATGGTGAGGACTTTTCCCCAATTCAGTGCCAAGGAGATATCGGACAACATCTTGATGGCCCTGGTCAGCTGCAGCTTCCAAAATCGATCCCAGGTTACCGGCGACATGAACGTCAGCGCCATTCTCTACCAGCAGCTGAACAATCTCACCATGCCCATAATATGCCGAAAGATAGAGCGGATATCCGAAGAGCTCGTGGTAGCTATTCACATCCGTGCCTTTGGCAAGGAGGCACCGGGCAGCCAATATGTTTCCGTGGCACGCGGCAAGTTGCAACGCGCCATATGTCTGTGTTGCTCCGAATGCAGTGCCTTTCAAGTTCATGACTTCATCCCGAAGACAGGAATAAGCGATTCTTAAAGCTGTGGGTAAATATTGATCCTCCTCTGGACAACGAATGAGATCTCGAAGCACCCAACGATGACCATGATGCGCCATTAATGCATCACATGCTGCGTGCAAGTATTCTCCTTGCATGTTTGAGTTGCCCGAATTCCAGGCACCCTGTGAGGCCATAAAAGCTGAACAATCTTGTAAAAAAGGAAAAATTTCATGCAAGTTTATTGTTTCATTCTGAGCGAATGTGGTGAGAAGCCACCTAACAGTCGGCTCTTTCAGGTAGTCAGATCTGTGTACAAGAAGATCTATTTCTATCTCCTGAAAAGCTCTATGCGAGATAAAGGCGTCCAATGATCCTGATATTGTGAGCAACGGTGAGAAGTGAATCGTCAGCTCCATGAGAACCTACGAGATATTCGACGCAGCTCGAGATACTCGATCCATTGAGCGCGGTATTGAGCGCGGTATTGAGCACGCGCATGTCTGTGAAGTGCCTCGGCCCTTAGCCAGCGGCGGGGGAGCAGCGGATGGAATATTTGATCCAGCAGCTCGAATGGTAGGTTTTTTAGCGACATATTGGCGAGCTGGATGCTTGACTGCTGCCTATTGAAATGATCAGTGAGGAAAGATGTACAAATTGGCTCGTGAGTCAGACAATTGAACACATCACATATTGAAGTCACCTGACATAACGGCCTCCACTCTCCCCTCACCAATCCACCCAAAGACGCTGAATTCGCTGATGAAATATGCAGTCCGATGGGAATCTTTCTTTGAAATGCTTTTGTGGGAGCTAGCTTGGAGGGATGGCCAATACTAGTGAAGTTGATTGTTCTACAGAGATTTCCTTTTGCATGGCTGTAGCCTTGGGCTAGCAGAGCTCAACTTATTTTTGCCTTTAGTACATGTATTTATTGTGATGAGATCCCTCACTGTGTTTTAAAATCTTAATAGCATTTCTATGATTGCTATCTCCTAAAGAAGGTAGCTTTAATAGCTATTCGACGAGCCGCTCGTCCTGACGGCAAGTGAGTCATCGGCATGAAGGTTTGCAGACTTTTCTTTCCGTACGACCACAGCCTTGGGCTAGCAAAAGGCTCTTTTTTAAGGTTTTCGTATTCATTGTGTTGAGTTGTCGGGCTCTGGCAGCTTCCATTGCTGTTGAACTTTATTCTCTTTCTCTTAGGTTAGGTGATGAGATATCGGATTTAGCATCTTATAATTGTTTTTACTGCGTGAATCCAGCTACTCGAACTCTCACATCCATCGTTCTGGGGATTGGTAGATCAATTTCCCGGGAAGATTCAGGCCACATGTTGAGTCCTATAGTATGATAATTGGCTGTTTTCAATTAGTATGTAGGGGGGTATACTCTCTTCGGTGATTGAATGAGGTGATTTCATGAAAAATAAACACAAGTCACTTATATTTGGCCTGGAGAGGTGGTCAATTGCTCTGGTATAAACTATTTTTTATTACTTGTTCGAATCTAAACAACGCATGAATTGGTGGGATATGCTCAACGCTGATAGGTAGTACAGACAGGAAAAAAAGGAAAAGAAAAAAGAAAAAGCCCCATCAAGAGAGTCGTCGCGTCAGTATCTGTGTAGAGGAAAGCTAACTTTTCAACATACTGCCATTTTCTTATACTTGACTCTTTCGATTACTTACTCACCCCTAATCCAACGCCCTCACCTCAGGTTCCGGGCTCTTCCAATGTTTGAATTCTCTCGCCTTGAGATTGAGATCAAACATCTGGTCAATCTCTAGGGAACTTCTTCCCTTCATCTCCGGAATGTAGTAAAAGCACAAGACCACAGCCAGCAGACAGAGGCCAGCAAGGAGAAACCCTGTTTTGCCTGCCAAATCTCCTGCGTCGGGATTGTATGCATAAGGCAGAACGAAGCTCGTCATCACTGAAGTTCCCTGCTGGGCTACTCCACCAACAGCTTGCGTCTTTGCCCGCAGCCTCAAAGAGCTTGTCTCTCCCATGACTGCGTAACTCCCTGGCCAAACACCAATACCACAGACGATGATGATCAAGGTCAGTAGTCCGGCGGTCACGTTGGCAACGAGCGGGCCTCTCCAAAATCCAGAAATACCCATACTGGCCCATAAGACTGTTGCGCCCCAGAGAGATATGAGGATCGCTGGCCTTCGATTAACTCTGGACATGACCCAGACGCCAGCGGCGTTTGCGATGATGCCCACCACGACGCCGGCGATGAGGATCAACAGACTCGTACTCGACGGCATACCGATCAACTGCAAGAAATAGCTCGATTTGCCTAAAAGGTCCAGGCCAAACATGGTCGGAAGAAAATTCGCCAGGATAACGATCATCGTCCGCCTGAGATGTGCCTTGGTGAAACAAGTCATATACGTCGCGTTACTGGACATTTTCTTCTCTTCGGCAATGCTGGAGCGGATCTTCCGCATTTCAATCATCGGGTTTGCCCGCGGCGCGTAGAGCTTTTTCGTTGCCTCGAAGGCTTTCTCACTGAATCCCTTCTCCTCGAGGAACGCTGGACTCTCGGGCATGAGAGCTCCAACTATAAAGGGGGCGATGACCAAAATGAACTGAGACCCAAATGCACCTATGTATCCCTCCTTCCCTTCAACGTTGTTGCAAAGATAGATGACGATTGATCCCAGAAACTGGCCCATCAGATTTCCCGTGGGCACAAGGGCTAGAGCGGAGCCCCGTAGACAGGTAGGGGCAGTTTCAGACATGTAGGTCATGGCAGTGACTTTGAGGAGGCCGACGGAGAGCCCCTGAATCACCTTGCCTGCAAAGAACAGGCCCCTTCTCAGTTCAATATCCGGGGGTAGGTATGAACAAAGGATGATGGCAGCGCCGACACCCGTGACGCCACTTCCCGTGAATAGACTCATGCGGCGGCCAACAACATCTTGGAACCAGCCCGCAAAGAGAGACCCAATCGCCATTCCCAAAGGTGAAGCAGCTGTCCACAGAGATAGCCACATCGCTGGAATGATGAGCTCGTTCTTGTACATTTCTCCATAGTCTCTCTTGAAGGAATCAACGGCTGGAATGGAACCAACTAGAACAAGATCGTAGCCCCATCCGAGAACAACTAGCATGAGGGCCAGAGAATAGGCGACCACTTTGGGGTATTTGCGGGCAGCTTGGGCAAATGGAAGGGAATCGTCTGCGTCTTCCACATGGTCCGCATCGTTGAGAGGATGCATATCATCGGCCTGGACTGGTTGATAGGATGTCGTGGAATCGGATAATTCAATGTAATTGTTTGCGATGATTCCCGTGTCTTGGCTCAGATTACCCTTCTGATGATGCAGCATATTATCAACGAGTAGCTGCCCGGAGATGCTTGTATAAACAGATCAGGGTTTCCTTCGAAGGAAAAGAGATGAGCATGAATAAGTTGAGCTTTGAGTAGTGGATGAAGAAATGACGCTGATCTGGTAGTTCATTCATATTCCTACCGAGGAGAGCAGAGGTTTATATATCGAGGATGAATTTACCCGTACTCTTCACCTGTCAAAGCGAAACATTCTATCCTTACCGCGCGGGTCATGCTCGTGAGCCTCGACCCCAGAGGAGAAACACTCATCCTGACCCGAAAGGGTTGAATTACAGCGCGAAATAAGCCTCAAAATAGATCGAAACGTGCGCGCAGTACGCTTTGTCCTAGTCCATCGGCAGTGGGGGAGGGCTGAGCATCCGGGAGCTATGCCCAGGACGTCACATTCGTCAGCTCCCGAGGATTTAAACTCTCGAGCTAGGCTGAAGAATCCTTGTAAATGTGAGATCGAACGGCTTATCGCCCACTTTCCGTGTCCGACGGAGTTGACAAACGGAGAATCGGACATTCGGAGACTACCCCAAAACTCCGACTGCATACGTTATTCGGCAGTTCGTTGGCTAATGCCACGACATGCGTTTGAGGCTTGGGGGTGTATCTTCAAGGATTACTTAAATCCCACGTCACTTGTGATAGCCAAGCCAACAACACTGCCTTGAGATCGGGGTTCATTGACAGGCCTCGGGTGGATGCTGGCAGCGCTAAGACTCAACCGCGGTATACTTGTAACGACCTTCCAGTCCATCGAGGCCCGTGATTGCAACTCCCCCTGATCCCGGGAATCGCCCGCATATATCAGTTGCCGAGTGCCACCACTGAGAGTTGAGGGCAAGCACGAGGCCCTTAGTAACTCTATCGTCAGAATGTCGGCCGATCCCAAAGACTCAGCCATGGGCTCGCCCCCCATCTGCCAAATTGTGACGCCAATTGGTAACATGGGCTACGGCTTCGACGAAACCACGACTGCGTACCAGCTTGCTCACCTCGTACCAAATGGAGTCCCAACAGCCATCATTCTTGACTCCGGTTCAACCGACAGTGGCCCTGAGAAGTTGGCACTGGGTACTACGACTGCCCCAATCTCAGCCTATCTTAAGGACCTGATCAAGCTGCTTCGCCTGGTTCATCGGTTTCGGGTTCCCCTGATATTCAGCTCTGCTGGAGGCGATGGGACCAATGACCATGTTAACAAAATGCGGGAAATCATCGAGAACATTGCAGCCGAGGAAGCAAACTCGTCAGTCTTCACACATACCCCCAGCAGTAATTCTCCTCTTTAACCTTGTCCCAGAGACTATTTCATGAAGGCCATTTCAATCTATGCCGAGATCGACAAGGACCTCATCCGCGAGAGACTTCAAGCGGGCCGTATTGTAGGTTGCGGAACCTGCGTGCCTCCCCTTGCAGAATCGGAGATCGAGTCGTCTGCCCGAGTTGTAGCTCAGATGGGCCCAGAACCCTTCATTGATGCAATGGAGGCCAACCCTGATTTTACTGTCATTATCGGAGGAAGATCCTACGACCCGGCCCCCTATGCTGCGTATGCTAGCTATCAGCTGAAGCGCCAATACCCAGAGCTTACAGAATCAGAAATCCAACAACGGTATGGAGGCTTCGTCCACATGGGCAAGATCATGGAATGCGGTGGTGCGTGTTCTACACCCAAGTCACCTGGCGCAGTTGCCGTCGTATACCAAGACGGCACTTTTGATATCAGCCCCACGTTCCCCGGATCCCGCTGCACACCCTTGTCTGTTGCGGCCCACGCCTTGTACGAGAATTCGAGGCCGGATGTGTTGCGTGGGCCTGGAGGAGCTCTGCACCTGGAGAATTCCAAGTACGAGCAGCTTCCAGATGATCGTACAACTCGTGTGAGGGGCTCAGAATATCGGTCAAGCCAATCACAGGGCTCACCCTATCAATTCAAACTCGAGGCGGCTCGTGTTATTGGATATCGCTCCATGTTTATGGGATCTGTTAAAGACCGTGAGCCGACTCTGTGCTTTCTTCGGGTTTGACGAGCGCTAATAGAGGACACAGATATTTTGATTAAGAACGTTGATAACCTCTTTGGACGGATAAAGATGTACGTCAAAGAGCAGCATCCCGATATTACAGGAGAATGGGACCTCGAGTTTCACGTATACGGTCGTGGCCAGAGTACGCCAAAAGGCCCCGGAGAGCTCTTCATTATTGCCGAGGCTATTGCTGAGAATCAAAAATTGGCAACCAGCATGGCAGCCAAAGCTAGAGTAGCCATGATTGTGAGCCCTCTCATTTCGTCAAGTCGTGTCACCATTTAGCTGACATTGAGAATAGCACGGCCCTTATCCAGGAATGAAGGCGACTGCAGGCAATTTCGCCTTTGGTATTGGTGGAAAGATGGAGATTGAGCTTGGCAAGTGTGCCAAATTCTCCATATACCATCTCATGGACCTCGAACCAGGCGAAGAGAGGCTGCGACCTACCCCGGACGCTTTCAATGAAAGGAAGTTGTTAAGTTATACGACATCCATTATTGGAAATGGAAAGCCGGCCCCATCAGATGACATATTCAGAGCTGAAATCGCCCGCCTCCGAGATTCGCTCCCAGCTCCCGTCGCGAAAGGAGCGGCTCACGTCGCCGCAAGCAAGTCTGCTGCACCGAGCGAGCCACCAGAGACTCTTTGGGACCTTGCTGCCGTTCTTCGATCTAAGAATGCCGGTCCGTTTGATATTAGCCTTGATGTAATCTTCAAGACGAAAGAAGATTTCCACGCGGTCAGGTACTCGAATTTGCTTTCTGCCGAAAACGTGTCGCGTGCACTGGAGATCGATAAGAAAGATATAGTGTGGATGGGCTTTTTTGAACCCGCGCTGGCTTTCAAGGTTACGATACCTCGATTCCGAGGAGGGAAGAAAACACCCGCTGGAAGCTTCATGGAGAACGACGTCCATGGATCACAACAACATGTGGGCTTGGGTACAATGACTCTGCCTGAGGCTTTACGGGGGCCTTCCAAAACGTTATGGCAGAAGAGCCAGACGTCGGTGGCTGCATATGTTGCCTTTGGAGCATTCTTAATGACTGTTGGCGGTGTCAAAGGTTTCTTGCTAGGCAGAGCTACTTCTCGCTCTAGGAGATAGAGGGCTTGGTTCTTTTGTTATCGTCTCGGCTTTCCAACTTCGTGACGCTGAATTTTGCTTCAAGGGACACGAGTTGGACATAGTCGCTTTTTTTACGCGGATGGACGGACATCTTTCTCGATCAGGTAAACATATTGTGCAATAATAATCGATTTTATTTCCTATATCTTGTGCCAAATTAGTCTTATATTTAGGTAACAAGCACAGACAAAGAGACATGCTATGGTACTAGAAGCCGCATCCTGGTTGGTGTAGAGTGGTGTCTCACACTATATGGCGGGAACACTAAAAGACTTGAAACCGAGCTCTTTATTTTATGGTCTATAAAACGCATTCTAACAAGAAAAAATAATATCAACTTAGCATTCCTTTTACTATCCTGACTTTATCCTGCGTCATAAGTCCCACCATCGAAGTTCTCTATCCCGACCGGGATTCTGCCCATCCTTCAGTCTATACAATGTTGGCGATGCGGTTAAGCCTCGATTTAACGCAATCGAGGGCCTTAGAACCCGGTATCTCCACCATTGGAGGAGTAGATGCTTCCGATCGAAGCAGTGTTTTCGCCCGCTGCAATCATAACATATAGAGGAGCAACTTCGACGGGCTGCTCAAGGCGTCCAAGAGGTAAAAATGCGGTAGCAAACGCTTCAACCGACTCCTGAGTCTGTCCTTGACTGGTAAGAAAGTTGGTATAGGTCATTCCAGGGGCAACAGCGTTAACACGGATACCGCTGGGAGTGAGCTGAACGCCAAGAGTTCGTGCCATGGAAACAAGAGCGGCCTTGGTGGCGGAATAGTCAACGAGGTAAGGCACGGCGAGACGTCCGGTGGTGGAAGCAGTAAACATGATGCTGGACCCTCCTGGCATAAGAGGTACGGCCGCACGTGTCAGGAAGAGTGAAGCAAAGACGTTGGTCTCAAACGTGCGTCTGATTTGCTCTCCAGTAAGTTCCGAAATGTTTGGTTGGTTGTTGGCCCAGCCAGCGTTGCTAACGAGAATATCAAGCCCGCCCATGGCTGCATGAGCCTGTTGGACAAGATCGGTGCAGAATGTCTCATTGCGCAGATTTCCTGGGATGCCGTGAAACTTGACTCCGGCATCCTCAACATATTGCTGAACTTCATCTGCGTCTGATTGTTCTTCAGGAAGATAGTTGATCGTCACGTCGGCACCCTCTCGTGCATAAGCAATGGCGACAGCTCGACCGATACCAGAGTCGCCGCCAGTGATCAAAGCCTTGCGCCCCTTGAGACGCCCAGTGCCGACATACGACTGCTCTCCACTGTCGATGGGAGGATTCCAGTTTGATTGAAGACCTGGAAAGGTCTGGTTGGGGAGTGTGTAGTGACCCGGGAACCTGGTGCGAGGATCAACGAGGGAAGGTGCTAGAAATTCTATTGTTAGTAAAGATAAAGTTTCGAATTCGAGCATCAGATTTTGGACTCACTGTCAGCTACAACGTTGCTGATGTGAACAAGCCCTATGAGGGTGGTAGCGAGGTTGAACTTCATTTTGGCTTGTAGATGGAGAGCCTTCGGCTTGGTGACAATGTGGGGGTAGATTGGAAGTGGTTGTGGGGATTGCGGCTGTGTAATTTCGAGATGATTGTAGGATGGTATTGGGAATGAGGTCGGTCTTATAAGAATTTATTCTTCACTAGTATCCGTGATAAATTGTGAGATTCTTACTACTTAGTCTTGCTCCGGCTCCGGCCAGTATAACTCCGGCAACGTCAACGCGAAGCTCATACCTTAGTTACGGACTTGTTACACTACCTACAGGAACCGCACCCGAACTGGCGGAAATAATAACCCCATGGCCCAAAATCCGGCTGTTTCTGCTCATGATCGACAAAAGATTTATGGTGATGAATCCTTACGGAGCATGAGCGGATCATCAGATTGCCTTATTCCGGTCCACCAATCGGAGGTCGAGTAGCCCCCCTCTGTTCTCTCACATATCAACCAACTTATGCTGCTCTTTCTAACTACTCTTCTTGAATTATGATCCTTAATAATTTCTTAGAATGAAAAAAAATAAAAAAATAACCACAGATTACCGAGCCGGGGCTTGCTTACGTTTCTACATCAGTAGGTCCATAAGGAACCGCTTGATTTCGTAGGTGGAAAAACAGAGACTTCGTTTCTCCTCTTTTACGATCCAAATTGCCTTTACATCAAGATGAGGATGAGGCTTTTTATCACATGGCATATTAATGACTGAAATCTAAGCTTATAAATTACACAGACGATTGGATCCAATAAGCTTAAATCCATAGACTCGTAGCTATCAAGCTATTTTAGAGCACATAGCAAGAAGAGCTATGATCTCGAATCTACATCATGGACTGGTGGCGTGCCTTTCCCTAAGACACCGCATACCCCAGATACCAACAACTGTAAAGCTACCAAGATCCATTGCGTTGAGATTTTAGCTCTGGGATCTTCCATTGCTGTTTTTAATCTTATGCTCTAACTCTCTCATTCGTAAAGATACCAAGAGAAGCTTACCAGCCTGTTACTGGGGCTACCGTTACTAGTTACAACGAGGTGAATCGGACTGGCTCTATTTCCCGTGCCAGGACTATTATCGAATCTATAGTCTCTGGAAATGGCTTCATATTAGTAGTTTTAAATAAACAAACTAGTTACCTTCACTTTATGTAATACAATATTAATCTCAATCCTCGAGTAAGAATATCCTCTATTCAGGTGCAATTTGCAAATCTCAGGGGGATGTTTGTGGGACCATTCTAATAACTTATCAACGCATTTCATAAAAATCATAGGGTGTGGTATATTTTCATGGCACTAGTAGGTGCATCGGGAAAAGGACCACAATAGAGGCCTTATGTTTCGATTACCGAGTCTCTATCTCCTGCGGAGAAAAGCGCATTCGTGTTTTATTCCGCTTCAACGCGCGTTTCGCAGAAGCACGCGATTGAGATAGCGGAAAATCACCCGTAAGTGGAATCAAAACAGGGGCATATGATCATGATTACCAATCCAAGCTTACAAATGCCCAACGAATAGCGCCATCAACTTTACCCTGAGCTGCTCTTTGCGGACTTGGGAGAAGATCATTTCAATCATGTAGTGAGCGATCGGACCATAAATGGACCGAATGAGGGTGGTCTAAAAGTCCGAGAAATGAGAGTTTATAAGATGTGTCGACTCCTGAGTGATGTGTTAATACTGACCTTTCCTTGACCTTGAAACTAACAGTTCAACGAAGAGCAACAGAGAATCAAAGAGAAATTCTGTGTGACCCTTGCAATACAATGAGTTTGAATATTCTTATTACCGGTGCAACTGGCTACATGTTTGTCTATCCAACGCAAAAGAAACAAGTTTCCTGCAAGCTGATCAAATAAAAGTGGTGGCTCCGTTCTCTCGGGACTACTTTCAAGCGATAAGCCGCGCTTTGAGAAGAGCCAGATTTTCGTGGCCGTCCGCTCTGAAAGACATGTAAAAACATTATCAGAGCTAGGAGTCAAGGTGGCTTTGATCGATCTCACAGATGAGGTATCTGTCAGCGAAGGCGTCCTGAACAATGAGAGTAAGGACTCTGCCCCTGGAACATGAACACGGGATCTAAGTTCATTTAATTCAGTCGATTTTATTATTCACACTGCGAGTGCCCTGGAACCGGGACAGGCGAAGAATCTCATTGCTGCTCTGGGGAAAAGACACAATGCGACTAAGAAGGATGTCTTCTTCATTCACGTAAGCTTTAGGTCCATGGCAAATTTGACACGAGCGTACTGATGATGGCCGGCTAGACTTCCGGGACCTCGGCCTGGTCCTCCGCGTTCGGCTCGACATATGGATTAGTGAAGGACACCGATCCTCTCTTTGAGAAGGAGAAGGCGATAGCAGATTCATTCCCAGTTCGACAGGTAAAGCTGCCAAAACAATGAAAGCAAAGGCTCTTGGAGGATGATTTACTAACTTGATAGACTGATGTTGCTGTGATTGAGGAGGCGGAAAAGGCTGGCGTGACCAGTTTTATTATCCCACCCCCTATCATTTGTACATAAATTCCCTTATGATATGATGTGTGTTTCAGGACATACTAACCATTATTCTCAGATGGCCGTGGCGACGGCCCGTGGAATCAGATGTCAGCGATGATCCCCGCGGCTATCAATGCCGCCATTTCGCGCAAAGTGGTTGAGAAATTTCCGACAGACGCTGTGAGCATATTCATTTCAAACCCCGGCTCTGATACTTTTCCTTTTTTTGCTAACCCTGCTGCGATAGCGGACAATGGGGACTCACATATCCGACCTGACTGCGTACTACTTGCGTTTGATCGAGAAGATACTGGAGGGTGCCGACCTGCCGAGTGGCAAGCAAGGATACTATTTTCCTATCGCCCATCGGTTCAGCTGGTGGGATGTTTTGGATAGGATAGCCAAGGTCCTTGAAGCTCGAGGCCTTGTAAAGGATGGCGAGCTGCGGGAATGGCCGAGCTACGATGTTGCGGCAGAAGGACTTGCCCTTCCTGCTGCCGTGATACCCAGACTTTACGTCACTGAGTACGCTTTTACCCCTCAACATTGCCTTTCTGATGTTGGTTGTCTGACGTATAGTTGCAGTAATGAAGTCATTGGTGAGAATAAGAATCTTCTTGGTTGGGTACCACAATGGGACGAGAGGTTCTTGACGCAGATGGATGACGAAATCAAGAATTTCCTGGAGGTGGGGATAGAAAAGGTTGGTTTACTTGCTACAGTCAGCCAGGAATTGGGCAAATAGTAGGTATTATTTGGCCATCTCGCAGTGCTGGTGCTCAATAGTCATCATCCCACACGACCATAATTCAACCGCAAGAGAAGCCTTGTTATCTGGATGCAAATGGAGAATGGCTTTGGGTAAGGTCTTGGCGGATTCCCTAAGATATATCCTAGACTACCTACCTTACTGCGCTATCTCTTCACATCACGAACCGGCTTTATTGAATCGTTCTGTTTTATATACATCCGTCGAATTCCATATTATTTATATCACCAGGTGTCGGACTAGAATCACTAAAGGAAAGTCTTGAGGTGTAGGGAGGCATATACCGTAATGCGTGAGGAATTTCGGATAAATGTGCCTAGTTGATATGAGGCTGCTGGAAGTAAAAGGTATAATTCTTCTAGCTAGCCTAGCTGAGGTGTCCCGGGAGGTGCGTTTGATACGACCTTGATTACAACTTGCAATCGCCAGTTGGCTGGACCCCGTGGAGCTCCGCGAAAGGGTCATCGCAGGGGTCAGTGATACGATTGTGTTCAATTGTTCCCTGAATCTCATCTGCAAAGTCCTTCCCGTACATTTCCTCAATGAAGGCGAAGATCATGTCTAAACTGGAAGTTACCTAGGACCAATTAGTACGGGAACCGCTGGGCATCCTGTGTTATGGAGATTGAGCTTACACCGGAAGAGGTCCAAATATTTCCGTCCACAGCCCATCTAGCCGGTGACACCCAGTTCACATTGGGACCCATGGCAATGATGGTTGACCAGGCCTTCTTATTGGTGGTGGCTCTTTTTCCATCCAGAACGCCAGCTCTTGCGGCAATTCCTGCTCCAGTACACGTTGAAAGGAGATATTTAACACTCGGGTATGTCTCACGCACGAAGTCAATGATTCGTGTCACATTTCCAAAGGTTGCTCCTGCTCCCCCAGGGATGAGAAGTACGTCGATGTCTTTTGGTGGATTGTCATATGTGTGTGTGGGATTGAGAGAGAACCACATGGATGAGTTCATGACATTGAGGGAGTCCAATGCAGGCGCAACCCAAACCGGCTCGTAAGTGGGCGCGATCAGGCTCAGGTTGAGTTGCTTGCTGAAGGCGAGGTAGAACAAAGGATTCAGGGGCCCAGTCACATCAATCGAGTCGAACGAGTGAAAAAGAGTAACCGCAAAGTTCTTTGGTGCGGTTTCTTCTGCTCAGTTAGTAGTCGGAAACTGGGCTCGCATAATATGCTCAATTAAGAAGTGATAGGTACTCACCATTTAAAGCCGCTGTGGTAGAGACCGCCCAGGCCGTGAGCTGCATGAGGATGTTTAACTTCATAATGATTAACCAGGTTGACGGTCACCCCGCGGAGCGTCACGAATACACTATCTCTTCGAGAGAGTGAAAAACCAAACCATCCTCACCTAGAGCATCTGGCTCCTTTATAACACAGACGTGACGCCGTGTGTGACAAACTTGGCCAATCAAGTCAGCGGACACGTAGAATAAGCACACTAGGTATTTGAGCATGTTTCACAGGGGTCTGAGCAGTGGCTATCCTGAGGATAAGACAAAACCCTGCTTAATGAGAAAATAAGACAAGAGGATGCCTTTCGAGGACTCACCGTTGAATCGCTTTAAGCTCTTCATGAGTTGCTTCTTTCACTTTCTGCCTGTTCCTCTAGCGCGCCCGCATGTAGCCAAGTGCTTTAGTTGTCGAATTCCATAAGCCTCCGCAGTTCAGGGAATCCTTTGATGGCACGGAGGGGGTCCTTGGTTCGGCTTCCCGAAATGGTTTAGGGCTTACTATGTTAGCAGTTCACTTACCTGCTCCGCTGGGGATTCTTGTTTGACCAGATAATTTTTCTCGTCAACACTCTGTACCGTTTCCATCTTTTCGAGATTATCGAGATTATCGTGTATGTGATGGGGTGTATATTTGACGCCAAGTAATAATCTATTCTATGGCGTAGCTTGTTTACTCCGCACAACCCTACTCATGTTTATCTACTACCATATAAGCTTACTCCGCTGGGTCCTTGCTTATTCCCTGCCTCTTGAGTGTGGGTTATCGGAGACTGGTCATCTGATGATATATTGCTATTATCCTAGGAGGTTTGTTAGATAGGTAGTTAGATGGCTTGGAGGTAGATGAACTGGGCTGGTTTGTTGTTTGGATGGTTCTGCAAGCTTAGAACCAGCATAGATTATCTGTCTTTCTTGCACTTGATGTGCTGACTTTTCCTCCCTTTGTGGAAGGTGGGAATGAGGGAGTGAAAGGAACTGGGGATAATCAGGGAGTAAAGCTGGCGAAAGAGTACTGACGTGTAGTAGAACCTTATCTCTGAGTAAGCATCTGTGTGATTTCTACTTTGAGTTGAACTCTTATTCCCTGTAGCAACTCATGCAAATTGAACCTTATTTAATAATAAATGAACTGGAAATATTATCCATTTTAAGGTTCCGCGTAATTATGCCCGACAAGCGGCCTTTATTTGATGTAGGTATCACCGCTGAGCAAGATGTCTTCAGCTCCCAATTGTAGTAAATCCGTATATCAGCGCCGGGGCTTAAATCCATGTCGTAGTCTCACAGGCTAGCCACCTTCCTAAGTAGATAGGGTGAAATGCAAGCTTAGGGAGAACTCGTATTCCAACCACTTAATTGTCATCGTTTTCATTTATCTTCGAACGTCGCGGGGGATCGACTCCCGAAGCGCCTTTGCCGGCTATATATGGCCTGCAACTGCCGACGCAAGTACGTTTTCGTATACGCACCTCTCAAATCAGGAATCGAGGAGTTTCCTAGTGGCATTGCTCTCTGTTTTACGATGCGTATTTTCCCTCTTATTTTCTTCAGTGGGCTAGCCTTGGCTGCCGCAAAGATCAAAAGATCCACGCCCGCGGATCTTGTGCTTCATCGAGATGTTACCAGTGCCCAGCTCGTTGAGCATAAGTACATTGTCATACTCAAGTCAACGGCCGATTCATTGGAGATATCTACCAAATATGACGCCACCAGTTTGTACAATGCTACTCTCAATGGATTCGCTGCGTTCCTCAACGATGACGAATTAGAGGCTCAGCGATGGGAATCAGACGTGAGAGATTCTACTTCATAATATAATGCGTTAGCGCACTAAATGGACTCACTCTATTCATACAGGTCGAATATGTGCAACAAGTCCAAACCGCCAACATCAGCTCTGTGTCGACACAGGAAAATGCTGGCTGGGGTCTATCGAGAATTTCAAACAGTACAGTAGGAAGTACTTCGTACAGCTACGACGAATCAGCCGGCGAAGGAACATGCATCTACATTCTTGACACGGGAATATCTGTGAACGATCCAGAATTCGAAGGCCGAGCCACCTTTGTCAAAGAACTATCAGGAGATGGCGTTTCCGATGACACTGTTGGCCATGGCACCAGTGTTGCAGCCTGTGCTGCGTCTAAGACGTACGGGACATCCAAGAAGGCCAAACTATTTGCTGTCAAGGTCGTTGGCGGTAACGGCGAGATTGGGGACAGTTCAACCGTTATTGCAGGGATGGATTTTATTGGCCAAGATTTCATTTCAAGACAAGAAGAGTGCCCTGCTGGCATCTTGGTCAACATGTCTGTCGGTACTCAACCTCCAATGCAGTCTATGAACGATGCAGCACGTGCACTAGTCGAAGCGGGATTGTTTGTCGGTGTAGCCGCGGGAAACTTCAACGAAGATGCTTCCAACCGATCTCCAGGAGCTGAACCTCTCGTTTGCACCGTTGGGGCCTCTGATAGTTCCAACAACCGCGCCGACTTTTCCAATTTTGGCGAGTTGATGGATATCTACGCGCCAGGGAAATCTGTCGACACTATCGACAGATTTGGTGCTCCTGTAAGTTTGACCTTGATATGAAATCGAAATTGTAGAAACGAATCTCGGGAAGAAGTCGCTGATGAGGAGGTTTGACAGATATCATCCAGCGGGACCTCACTCGCATCGCCGTATGTTGTCGGGCTGGCCGCCAACCTCATGGTACTAGAAGGTAACCCGGGGCCTATCGCTATGTGTCAGCGCTTGCAGGAACTTGGTGTTACAGACATTCTTGGAAATATACCAACTGGTACCATCAACATCCTAGCCAACAATATCGCTGCGACGAGCTAACGATATCCGGGCGGCCTTGTCCTCTGGCTTATCAAGGATTCCTAGAGATGAGTGGACACACCACGGTATTAGTGTATTATAGAGGCTCAACATTGTGCTTTGAATTCATGTCAAGTAATAATAACACTGTTCCTCGGGATCCAAAGCAATTTCCATATCTAGAATTTGGATATAAACGACGTTACTCCGAGAATCTAGGCCCGCTCAAGAGGATATAAAAAGATCTTTCACAGAGTATTTTGACGATCTTGGTTACCAGACCCAAGTACTTGAGCCAACTGATCTAAAAATAAGACAGTCGGATGGGCAAGCCGGTTGACGCAACATAAATACACCAAATGATGGACATCCCAAGAGACAGAAGGATGTGGGGTTTTCACTAAGAAGAGGGAAAGATATATCAGTTTGACTGGGGATTATGGAATCGTTGTTGTTCTTTCTATTCCAAACTCATCACTCCCTATTATTAAAAAGTAGAGACGTCGTATTATGAATATAGTATTTCTTTATTTGGCTATTTTATTTATCTAAGGGAAACTATGCTACGGGGGGTATTAAGTCTTGCAAGTATTGCTAGCTAATAATTGTATTTGTAATTTAATTTCGTATACATTAATTGACCAACATATTTTCGCTGTGAACCTCGACCGCAGCCATATCGGGTGACAATAAGCGAAAATGATGTTCAAGTCTCATGGGTGTCAAACTCAGCATCTATCCATGTTATTACTATTTTCGGTGAAGCTGACGTGACCTGATAACCTTTTTATAAATAAATATATGTTCTTTCGTTAAAGTTGCTTGTCGTGACATCATTGGGGACTAAACTCTAAACAAAGGAATCCTACGATGTAACATGAGAAGCTTGAAGGAAGTGTCTCGCCCAATCCGGTATCCAATTCCGAAAAGCCATAGCGAGGTAGGAATACTCGAGAAGGATATACAGTGAGTTTTAGTGAGCTGGCCTGGCCTGAGGTGTGGATATTGGAGCAGATGCTATACCAGCTGTTCATCATGTATGCTTTCTATATGGCAAATTTACCACTCATCTGAAAAAGCCCTCCCTATGTCCTAACTGTGTTTATTAACGGCTTGACCTCTTGCTTGCAGAATGTTGGCTGGTAGGAAGACTCGCGTCAGATCAACGAGACGACTTGTGAAGGTCCGCCTTAGGTAAGGGGATCTAGACTCCATCCATAGCTGCACGTAGCCGACGAACTTATCTGCAGTAATGGCATGATATGATGATGGCCCTTGCTCTGTGCCATCTTTGTGCAGTTAGAGGGTAGGGTATATGGAACTTTGGGTATGCATCCCCCTCAGCCTTAATCTATCCGGCACACGCCGCATCCTACACCCCACGCTTTTCTCCAAGGTTAAACACTCTGGGAATACTGAGGTTGGCATGCTAGATATGCTTTTGGCAGGTTTTCTTCTCTCTATTTTCTAGCGCACGCAAGAAATAAGTATATCTATCCATGAAATACCATCAAATACCGTCAGGCTGATCTAAAACGGGCAGATTGGGGCTGCATGTACTAGTCCTCGGCGATTGCCAAACCCTGTTTAAAATATGCAGTAAGAGTACGACCGCAATTGGGGCGTTGCATCCAGCCGCAATTTATGTCTGAATGGGAGCACCCCGCTTCTACACAGCATATTAGATTAATTTAATCCGTACATAGTAATCAGCAACCAATATTTCTCACTTAGGAAACCTGTGTGCCTACGCTGGAGCTACAAGGCCGGATGGGATGTACTTTGGCGTATGATAATTATAGAACTATCTACAGTACGGAAAGAGGAGTGAAAAAAGGTGTATAAAGTCCCAGCGCTGTCAGAAGATTGTATATCAATAATACAATCAAATACATTCTCTCTTATCCGTCTCTTTCATTGTTTCTTTCTATACATTTCTTTACGTTTAGAATTATTCATTTTTCATTCAAATATTCAAAATGGTTGCCATCACTCAAGTTCTGTTCACCGGCCTGTCCGTTCTTTTGATGGCTCGGAACGTGGGTGCCTCCCCCCTCGAAGAATCCGACTCCTTAGCTCTGCGAGACATCTCCGACAGCTACCCAGACGAGGTCTTCTACGAAAAGCGTGCGACAGGAAAACTTCCTAAGCCCATTCTCAAGGCTGGGCGAGCTGCCATTAAGCTCGGCTCAAAGCTTCCCCGTCCCGTAAAGAAGCATGCCAAGATCGCCGCCGATGCCGCAATCAACAAAGCTGTGAAGACTTCATTCGCGGTGTCTCGCATGAAGAATAAGGTCAAGAAGAAGTTCCGTGGCAAGCGCGATCTTGAGGAGCTCTCCAACCTGATCACCCGCGAGATCATGAACAATCTGGAGAACGATCTTTTCTTCGAGAGGCGTGCGACAGGAAGACTACCCAAGCCAATCATCAAGGCTGGGCGAGCTGCCATGAAGGTCGGCTCAAAGCTTCCCCGTCCTATAAAGAAGCATGTCAAGGCCGCTGTCAATGGCGCAATCAACAAAGGTGTGAAGGCTTCATTCGCGGTGTCTCGAAAGAAGAATCAGATTAAGAAGAAGCTCGGTGGCAAGCGTGATCTTGGAGAGGATTATGACTTCGAGGTCCGTGACTATGATGACGAGATCTCGTGGGAGTAAACTTCTACTTCTGTCAATTTTATCCGTCATTTGGCACAAAGATGACTCCGTGGGTTCAGCTTTTTGTGTACTTCCAATGTATCGACTTTTGTTCTTTATTTATATTATTTTTATTTTGGTTAAATCGGGCAAAGACAAATTTGAATTATCTTTTGAGTTTCATCTCAAACCATTATTGTTATCTGCTAGTTTTCCTGGTGATGATTGCGGTGAACTGACGATGTCTGTTGGTTCTGGCTGCATGTTGATCTCCGAAACTCACGTCTCACCGTCCGAAACTCACGCCTGATTCTCCGGAACTCCAGTGCGTGAGCTCCACTGACGCTCAACGTGGGGTATTTGAAGATCCTTATAAGTAGAGCCGCTGGAGGCGTACATGTTGTCTTACAATACTAAAAAAACAACTACATTGCCCCGAAAAAATGTCTGCCGTAGACAATCGAACAGCATCTTGCCTTTGCCGAAGCATCTCCATTAGTTTGGCAGGTGAGCCGTCGCTCAAGGTCCTCTGCCACTGCGACTCGTGCAAAAAAGCGTCAGGAGTAGTGTTTCAAGCAAACGCATTCTGGCCTAAGGAGGTAGGAGAACCCTCTGCAGCATGAGTAAGAGATTTTTTCTAATAAGAGTTCAGAATATTACGGTATCGGACCCCGAGGGCATGCTGCAAGAGTATAGAGACACCTCCCCTGATTCTGGTAGATATGTGCTGCGCTCATTTTGTCGCAATTGCGGCTCGTTTATAATGACCACGAACCCTACGCATCCTGATATATCGAAAATGGCTATCATACCCATTGGTATTATCAATGGAGAAAAAGAGTCCATGGTCCCCGATCACGAGTTTTTCGTGAAACGAAAGCTGGGATGGTTGGAGTCTCGGGAGGGTGTGCTTGAATATCAAGGGATGGAATAAGACCACAACAATCTCGCTCGTGTACTACAAGTCTTTAAATGGCGTGAAAAAAGGAAGTTGAGTAATTGTTTGTCTTTCTGAGGACAGATAACATGAACTTGCTTAATGGTCCAAATGATATTCTGATGCAAACCTCTCAATCTCGTCTAAATTCCAGATTTGGATCTGATGAAGCTCGCGAGATCCCTTCCACGATGAAACAACGAGCCTTCCATATCCCGTCGCGACATTGGCAATCAAACCGACGGGTTCCTGGAGATCAGTAAGATAGGTCTTGCTGCCCCAATCCCACAGTTTGATCCGGCCATCCCTAGTTCCAATCGTAACAACGAATCGCCCTACCTTGACAAGCCCACGCATGGGAGCATCATGTGCCGTGAAGGTCTCGAGAAGGGTGCCATCTTGTTCCCAGATTCGAACACATCCATCGAGCCCGGAGGTGATCATGCGACCATCAAAGTTTGTGTACAGCTGGGTCTGTCTGGCCTGGGTTTGGCGCTCTGCCACCAGGGTTCTGTATAAAATTAGCGGTTGAAGTTACAGTGTCGTGCATCTTGGAGCGTTACTGACCCAGCCCTCCAGTCCCAGATAGAAACATTCCCACTGCCACCACACCCAGCACGAAGAAGAGCGTCGTCAGGGCTGAAAGTAAGGATAGAGATATAGTCTGTAAGATTGAAAACCTGAGCACACGCCCCCGATACAAGATCCCATATTCTCACAGTATTGTCAGCGGCTCCGGAGAATAGGAAACCATCACGGAGTTCTAATGTTCGAATGTGGTCAGTGTGGCCCCTGAGAACGTGAGTGGGTCCATCTTGGCTTCGATCCCATAACATGATATCATATTCAGCAGACGTCGAAGCATACTTAGAGTCGCTATTGAGAAATCTAACAAGTCCTGCTGATGTCGTGGGCCCTGTGAAGGCACGCATCAGAGCTCTAGGTAGCAACGTCAGCTGGTTTGCGACTGGCATAAAGAGCTTGGCCACACGCACCCATCTTCTAGATTCCATAGTCCGACCTTGCTCGAGCCGTCGTCCAATTCCCCAGAGGTCAGCAGGAGGTTGGATTCAGAATAACAATCGGCGTGCACAACCGTTCCGGTATCTAGCACAGCGTGATGGTTTGCACAGATTTGGCCTCTATTCTCGCGGCATGTCTGGCACTGCAGGCTGTGCACAAGGCAATTCTTCTTCGCGGCAATCATGAACCTGCGGGTAAGCATGAACCCGTAGACCATTGAATGGGACCCGACATCAAGAAGAAACGTGGTGGTGGCCTGCATCTTGCAGTTCAAGGCTGGCTGAATTCAGATGCGATGGGAATACTGTAGGTACGGAGTCCAATTGAATCAAAATAGAAATGAAGAGGTAGTGTCGCTCATTTCTGGTCAAAATGTTTATATAGCTGCTCTTAAGGGGCGCAGCGCTGATTGTTTCTGCCTTTTATGCATCGGGTTGCGTTGGCAATAACTAAAACGCCTTATGCTGAGACCCCACCTACAATGTGATATACATGGCGTATCCTGGCTGTTGTTGGTAGTTTTTCTGGCTTGTAGAACTGGATGACTTGCATCAAAAGGCGGACATATATTTGTTGTCCTAGTATCCGGCCGAAGTTGCTCGCGAGCCGTAAGAGTCAAGTGCATGTAATTTGAGTATATATTTTACCATCTAGGGGCCTTGATAGTAAGATTTTTGAATATAACAACTCTCCTCAAATTGGAGTACTTTGACAATTGGATGACCCGACTCTTGCTTCTACCTTGCCATGTCTATCCTAATGCTAGGCTGGCCAAGCAAGATGGGAAACGGAACTGACTAGAATAGCGAGACTGCCGAAAATAAAGACTTGCACTTTGTTCGCGTGTTTCCGGATGTGTTAAATGTTTGCCTTCCATCTCACCTTAATTAAAGATACCGGCAATCGTGCGTGAAGATACATCTTGGCCTATCAGAGACTTGCACTTTTAGTCAACGCTTGATGCTTCAGCCAACCCCTTGACTTTTTGAATGACGTATTGAGGCATCCTCCATTCACTTGCTTCCCACTTTAGGGATCTGAGACACAATTCCCCCTGTGAATTGCGGTGTCACCAGATACCCAATAGCCTGTTGGTATAACGGGCATCAACCAACACAATCACCGAGTGTTTGGATTGGGCAGACATTGTGGCAGCCTACAGGGATCCTCCACCTTTACTCCACATTCAGGTGCTGGAATGTGATTGCCTTGCGAGCGCCTTCGTCAGCTGAGCACCAACTTGTCGGTTCAACCACTTTTCGTTGCTCGTATCGCCCCCATTTCATTAGTATTTCATTGGGCTTTTTGGTGGTATCTACGCGTGACAAGTTGCGCAGGCTTGAACGTGCGGGCGAGCGGTGAAGTCATCAGATAGAGGATATCTCGGCGCTCGATCTCGACGTCTCGCCATGGGGTACAAGCAATTCGTAGCTGACTTGAGGGCAGCCCAGGACGCCGACATCGACGATGGGGTCACCGAAATTCGGCCTGGCGAGTCTGAAGGAGGTGTTTCATTCAATTACGCACATCAGAAGCTCACGTCTCCTTTGGAGATCCAAGTCTTGGATCAGAGTAATGTCCCCAATCTCGCCCTCTCGCGGATACACACTAGAGTGTATATCATCTGACATATCGTGCGACAGACATCGACGAGTATCCAGAAGGGTCCTCGTTCATCCTCTTCACTGCCTCTGACTGTGCTGGGGACAGCGTCGTCTCATTTCTCAGCCGCTTGACACCCAAGCTCACTGGCAAGCCCGTGCAGAAGGTGATAGCGACCATCGCGCATGATCTCACTACTTTTATTGAGAATCCAAATGACTCACAAGAACACTTTGATGAAGGTGCAGTGGTGGACCACGACTCACAGTCCGACACGTGGGACGAAGATGATGACGAGGACTACGAGGACCAAGATGACGCCGCCTTCGGGCTATCAGCAGGATTGCCGCCAACTCGCGAGGAGCCGCAGATTATCATCCCCCTCTGGCCGGACAAAACTGAGAGGCAACGGCATGATTTAGCATTAACCATCGACGCTGGGATTTCTGTCGCCGTCCTGGGCGATCGATCCGGTCAACTGGGTGAGATAATCGCCATGTCGATTAACATCTCTCGCCTGGGCCTGACTGATGACATACATTCCGTCTGGGGTCTACAAAGCTCCGATCATGTCATGCTCTTACTCCAGTTTCCCGCCGGCTACCCTTCACTCACCGAATTCTTGACCCTCCAATCCCACCAGGCGGTCTATCGTGCACGACTCGGGAAATGTGGTTCAATCAAACCATCCCTTTCCTCGGCGCGATCTGCTCTGTCGGGCAGCAAATATCGCCATGAGACCGAGACAGGTGAGACGCATGAGGTGCTGGGGGGTGTCGAGAGCGATAGGTTCACGCCCTTGCACCTCTTCAACTCCATCACCACTCTGTTGAACCAAGAGTTCCCGGCCCTGTTGCGCACAAGAAGAGAACATGGTCTTTCCTGGGACGGCGCACAAGAACTTCTACTTCGCCGTGCCGAAGGCGCCCACGTTCGGGATGCCAACTATCCTGGGTCTGACGCTCAGTACATCGCTGATGCTGTCGAGAAGAACGAAAAGCAGCAGCAAACGCCGAATCTTCCACACATTTTATGTCAGGATCACGCTCTAGAGGACGAGGCGGCCTTCAGTATCCCCCTCTCCATGATGCTATTCTCCCTTCGCCGCCTCATACAGAGCGGCAAGTATTGCGCCAGCTGCCACCAGCGAGTAACGGACGGATTTGAAGGCATGAAGCCGTATGTCTGCTCCCGGCCTCTCTGCATGGATCAGTATTTCTCCTCGGGTATGGGGCCCGGGATTGAGCATGATATCATCAATTCCCCGGTCGTAGTGGACCTTCTCAGCAGCTTTTTCTATTCAGCCGTCAGCACCTTGAGGATTCGTGAGGTCCCCAAGGGTTTGGGACCACTCACGCTGTATCCTGAAGATCTGGGCGACTATAAGGATTGTCTCCACGCGGAAGCGTACTTTGTCGACAAAAGAGTTCAAATGAAAACCGGTGGTACCCAACTGAAGGTTGGTGAACGGGTCTTTTTGATGGACGCATCATCCGAATCTGTCCCTTCTGCTACCATTCTATCCTACCGTCAGTGCATTCTTTTCCACACTACGCTGTCCTTGCCGCTAGGTTGCTGACACTTATCACAGCCCTATCAAGATGTCTCTGCCGCATCACCGCTCTTGACCGTGAGGGGTTCAATTTTGAGATATGCACTTTCTGGAAGAATTCGAGTGCTATGCCAGAAAATCCTAAAAGCCATCAGTCGCTTTCCTTTTCAACCAGATCTCTGCATGATACTGAAAGTGGAAGAAACAGGGATACTAACGTACTGGTCCTTCGTTATCAGCATTTGATAGACGACCTTGAGCCTCCCCGGTGTTACTCATCACTCACCGTTATGGCCTGCGGCATGCCTCCAGTCTCCGAGATGCGCGAGTTTCTTCTCGCGAAACCAGGACGACGCCTTTCCTCATGGGAGAAGCTAGACCACCAGACGTACAAACTGCTCCATTGGGTCATCGTGTCAAACCAGTCGCTGATCATACAAGACGACCCTGGACCAGGACAATCGGCTGACGAGACATCCCACTCAACGCGCTTGATCGGAATGCCAGAAAACTGGATGCAGTTCCGCTTCCTTCAGGGCTCGCCGGAAAAGGAGCTCACGTTCCAGCAAGAAATGAAGTCGTCGTTCAAGGAGCAGCTGGAGCGCCGTGAGCGGCCGTTTCCCACCCTCTTTGCGTGGCATGGCAGCCACGTTGGCAACTGGCACAGCATCATCCGAACGACCCTCGACCATATCAAAATCGAACATGGGCGGGCGTTTGGTAACGGTGTATACCTCAGCAACAACCTTAGCACCAGCGCTTCATATTCTGGTCTCAACGCTACCATGGCCACTTCGCCAGATCTAGTCGATCCACTACCGGTGAGTTTTTGACAAACCTGTTTCTCTCTAACAGTTACTGACCAATCTCTCTCTTTACAGTATTTTACCTGGCCACATTCCGTGCTCCAGGTAGGTGCAGCGGTGGGATGCTGCGAAATCATCAACCGGACCGACGAATTCGTCACTGCTGAGCCCTACTATGTCGTCAAAAATATCGACTGGATCCAGTGCCGCTATCTCTTTGTGCATATCAATGTGCACACCCTGGCCGAGTCCGGCTTACCTTTCCTGCAGCAGACGTCTCGACGCGACCTCGGGAAGCTCAGACAGGAACCTGCCCGGCGGCTTTTGGGACCCTTATCGACACCCATAGACATTCCACGTTCAGCAGTTCCGATAGAAAGATTTAGGATGTTTCCATATCTCGCGCCTAGAACCATCTTTGATGGGGAGAACAAGAGTGAAGAGGGGACTGAGGGCGCTGTCACGGTTGGAAGCCATGGTTCCAAAGGCGTGGACGCTGATGGGATTTTAGGCTAAGGGAGAAAAGTGGTATAAAATCATGCTTCCTCCCTACCAAAAAAAAGTTCTATTCCGAAGTTAACGAGTGACGTTTTCTCCACGAGTCTTATGAGGTTTTGATTTAGTTAAAGGACTTTGAATGATCGTCTTTAGCTTTATACCAACTATGGGCATGGTAATGGTGATGTAGAGGTCTTTCAATCTACAAAGATTAGGCGACGACATGAACATAACGCGTAAAGTGTGGCTGGGCCGCAGTGAGTGATGCCAGCATCTGGTCCGACCCCTTTTGGTGTCGAAAGTTGCATCAACAACAAAAGTCCATTCCTTCTGCAAGTTACAAATTAATGAAATATTACTGATGAAACCTTTCACGCAACACCACCCCTTGGCGCCTTAACAATCCTACGAGAAAGAAACCAGCTAAGCCGAAAAGGTTTCCGCGAGAACACATAAAAACACGTCTTAAGCCTCCGCATCTACTCGGACGATTCCGATAAAACTAAATCGTGGCGATGGCCGCATTAAAATTGCTGGAATCGGGATCTGAGCTATAGCTAATAGAGAAACTGCGTGAGCGAGGCCTTGGCTTCCTGTCTTGGCATGTAGGATAATATGTAGTTTGGCGGCGCTGCTGGCTCCTGCTTTTTCCAGACATGCTCTTGAAACACCTTGCACTCCACAGTATTGATTATAAACAAGGGCGTATGCAACCATACGTCTGGGGAGGAAACTGCCGAGGCAGGGGGGACTTAACTCAGATGTCTAGTCTGGCTAGAATCTGTTCCCTTGAATCAAAGCCCGCAGATCTCATGATTCATCCAGTGAATATCCTTTTTCTAAGCTGGTACTCCGATAATGGCCTACAAAAATCATCCCATATATGATGACGCCAAGGCCTAATAACACCCGCAGTGAGGTATAAAAATAAAACAAAGGATTCCCCATCACCTCTCGCCCATGACGCCTGCAGAAACCCTTGAAAATTTCCCATATTCTAATTGCCCCTTTACGGAGCCTCATATCGTGCAGGCGAGGGTAGTTCATTCAACTGTGGGGTGTTCTGATGTTGAACATAATGCGGTGGTGCTTGCGAATGCGCATCCGAGTTGCCTGCCCCAAACTCTCCGAGCTCAGGAAGAGGTTCAGCCTTTGCCATGGGAGTTCCCGGAGCAGCGGCAAGCTTCTTAGCCTGTAAATGCCTCCAGAGAAAGAAAGCACACGCGGCAATGATCGCGATGCCAGCTATAGTCGACCCTACAGCTATTCCCGCGACCGCACCTGTAGACAATCCGGACTTTTGGCTTTGTGAAGCGTCGTCATTCGTAGCGGAAGCACTCGAGGCATCGGAGCTGGCAGCAGCACTGGTTGATGAGGCCACCGTCGACAATGATGATGATGTGGTTGTTGTCGCTCCCGTGGCTCGTGAGACGTTAAAGTAGTGAGATTCGGCCGTCACTTTCGTAGAATTGGATAAGGCGTCGTACATTGCGAGCCAGAACACTGAGCTTTCGCCAGTAGGAGGGGTGGCACCTCCAAAAACGGCCGTCCATTCATAGCTCATCCTAGTAGAGTTCTCTGCCTCGCTGTCAGTTTCCGCCTCAATCTCCTTCCCCCGCGTGGAAAAGCTTTAGGTTCCAATTGATTCACATACGAAGCATAGGCTCATTGAAATACGTGACTCCGTCGGTAGCCGTGGTTGGTAAAGGGAATCTTTGCCAGATCACAACATCGACATATGCAAGGTCAGTATCCCATAGGAATTCGACTCGTTCACCCTCTTTGTAAGTCGGGTTGTCCCGGAAATCGCCCTTGATGCCACCAGATGGAGGTCGGTTAAATGTATTGGCCGATATTGCTGACCCAGAGAGCCCAAGAAGGGCAGTAAGGAAGCCGGTCGAACGCATTATTCCTGGCGCTGGGTGCCGGTGGTGAAGGAAATATGCACAGGTGCGGGAGGTTTAGATGCAACGTCCTTCCTGGGTGAAGAGACCTAGGAGGGAGAGAGAGTTGAAATCAAGAATGGGCAAGGCGATTGATGAAGGGAGGTGTGTCCCCAAGTGTCACACCGGCGATCCTTTTCTTAGCCCAATCCCAGCCTCACTCGGTTCAGCAACAATCACACCATCCTTCAACAATTAATGTTACACTCAAATGCAAGGGGGGAAGGTTAAACCCAGCCCTGTAGGTTACAAGATAAACGATCCTCAAATACACCAAGACAAAAGGGGCAGTGGCCGCATCTCAGATCCATGTCAATATGCTGTGACAGAGTCACTAGTTGGGATAATCCCAGCGTGTGTTCGCTTTCACTTTCGCTTTTCAGTAATAACTCATTACTTGGCACATCTAAATATTACTATATTACTGTCAATGGTTGCATTTACATCCGCATTCCTTCGCCGACAGGCTCTATTGCCTGTCTCGACTTATCCGTCAAGTTGGTCGATTTAGAACACTGAAGCTCAATGAATCCCTGAATGTCTCCATCATTTTTCATCTGTCTCCCTCAAGCAGCTTTTCTTTCGTCTTTGCGAGACATGAATGCTATTTCTTCATGTCTAGATATCATCACCGAGATGTCGAAATACTAAGCCGTTACTTTCCTCGACATCAAGACAAACAACTGAACTTTGTTTTTTCTTGCGCAAAAGGCCTGCCGGAAGTCGTATGATCAGGGATCTTTTGACGTCACTTCTGCGTCCCATTCATCTAAAGGAGGCCTATCACTTTTTACTTACTTCAGTCTTCATCGACCGACGCACGCTGCCATTCAAGCGTAAAAGCCGAAGCTGACAGATCACTGCACATAAGAACGAAATTCCAATATTCACAGCACAATATCATACTAATCCACGACTTTATAGTAAGATGCTATTGAGAAGCTATAGTCCGGAAAGGAGACTTTTTTCAAAATGGAAAAAGACCACTCACAGGACAGCTCCTACCCTACAGGTAGACGTCTAAAACACCATCCATCTAGGTGGCCAGAAGTTCGCACTGTTGAATAAAGGGTTGGCTTTTTATTAAATTGTAGCCGGAGTGCCTAGAGTAAATCCAACCTATCCTCTTTGCTAAAAGAACCATCAATAGAGCCGAGACTACGGATGCGAGCAAGATTGCACCTGGCCTTCAACAGATCCCGAAACTCCACAATCACTCAGCTAGGCACGTGGCTGTGGCACGAGGCGTTAAGACAAGGAGAATTTCTTCATATCCTCGAGCTCCTCCAGCATGATCGTCCACAACTCCCCCTCGCGACCCTGCTTATGCACGAGTCGTCGCATATGTAGCCATTTCCATATAGCTTCGAGGTCCTGCTTGGCGCGGCTTTCACACCACCAAAGGCCATACCTCAGCATAATAGCTAGCCAATAGCCAAAGAGCCACAGTGCTCGTTCGTCTCGTTGATAGACAAGGGAATGGAAATCTCCTTGCAACTTTCCAAGAAACAACAAGTTCCGGAATAAATTATACCTGCTGAGCTCAAGATGTCCCACGGTTGCGAGAATGGTGGCTGGGGCACGATATGCGTCACCTAACCCGCTGCATTCGCAACCTCTGTTCGAGGATACTAGTCCGAAAAACTCGACCCAATGATCAGGGACACCCTCCAGGCTCTCAATAAGATGAGCGAATGTCCAACGATCTGTGTATTTGCCAGTGAAGACCATGCTAGCGAATTTGACGCCCTCTGTGAAGTACTCATTCATAGATAGCATGAGCGGACGAAGACCAGTTTGCAGTACAAGCCAGTTTAATCGGTCCTCCCGTGGACTGAATAACCAAGAAGACTCAGGATCCTTGGTCTTCTGGGTAGGAAGCCCTTCAGATTCATGGTGTGCAAACGTCAACAGATTGAGGAACGTGGCGCTGATGAACAGCGAGTTCACGCCGTTTTGATCCGGCACATGCTTTAATGCTTGAAGTTGCTCTCTATATTTTTCGAGGGCTAGTGACCTGTGAAACAATTCGGCAATACGATGCGGACGATGAGCTGGGACCTGCTGACGGATGTGGGTGGCTGTCAGGGCCAGCATAACGGCACGTACAGTCGGGTCAGACTTGAACAGATCTTTGGTTTCCGGACGGCAGTCGACGTTCGTGACGTTTGTCTAGTTTTGCCAAAGATATTGAATGAGGTGTACAGTCGGAGTGCCATCGGGTGAGTCTAATGCTGGGAAAGGTATCAAGGTAATGGCACTTAGATACGACAGCGAGGGTCGTTGGGTCCGTTTCACAACAATCTTGTTTCTCTCTTCTTCTCTTCCATATTCACAAATTCTCCCGTTTTTGAAGCATCTCAAGCAAGCAGGCTTAAACTCGTCACACTATCACGTTGAGTTAGCAGAGTTCTTGTAGCTGGCCCCTATAAGGCTGTAGATATTACATTGGGAAACCTAAGTACTAACCTTGACTTTTTTCTTCCTACAAGCCAAGCAGCCCGATGTGACCTTTCGATGGAACTTGCGCTTCTTCACGGAGTTTAGTTCCGCAACAGCCCCATTGAACGAGAGCACTTGGAATTTAGAGCCGTCAGTCATTGCCGGTAGTAAGCGTCAAATTAGAGTTACCAGCATTGCAAAGATTCTAAGGGCGGTCTCAAAATAGGTGAACGAGATATCGGTGCGTATATAATACCGAAGCTCCGGGGATTAGTGTTTCAGTGAGGGGCTAGATCCATGTCCATAGTCGTGGCGGCAGGGGATGTTGTGCCCGAAACTCCGCCCATTTGAGCCAAGACTGGTGAGATCCGGAAGTATCGGGCTTAAGCTTTGCATTACGCAACGGTGAGGAGTGATCAAGGAGTTAGACTCGGTTCAAGATTGGAAGGTGGATCGATCGAGATGGGCTGCCGTAAGTGATAATCGAGAGAGAATATCGAATAGCGTGTCAAGCCGCTCCCTTGAAGATTGCATTTAAGCAAATATCACTGTCCATTGTATTCTTGGATAGGGACAAGTACTAAATTAGTCTTGGTTACCTTTATTGGCTTATTTCTTTATTTTGACTTTTCTATTATACTTCAGAACTAGACTCACACTTGAGACCGTACAATTATCTTAGTTTATGTATCTTTACGACCTGAATTGATTTTTTTATAGATCTTTTGAACTATGTGTTAAAGCTTTAGTGCTGGTAAGCGATATGGACCAATTATTTAGAGTGGTCTACAAGCGCACCGCACCACCTATGTGTAATCTCTTCTGCCTATCCTAGAAACAAAATAAATATACTATAGATTGACATGCCGTTATCTTCAGAATCTATTTGTTTGAAGCCCATGTGTCAAACCACCTAACAGCTTGGAAAAAAGCCGCCTCCTTTCCAAATTTCTGCTCAGGATCGGATACGTTGGCGCGAACGCCGAACCCATGCATAGTGCCACTGTAAAGGGAAAGCGAGTATGCCTTCCCAGTTTTCAAGAGCTGCTCCTCAATTTCATGGCGGCGCTCAACAGGCATTGCATCATCAGTCTCTGTTACTACGTTAACGCGCTGTCCATCGTAACCTTTCGGATAATGCAGTGCAACTCACCTGCAGCAGCAACTGAAACTGGACCAGTGATATTTGCAATTTCCTCATCCTCGAGAAGGCTTGGGTGGGCAGCGAAGGCAGCTCGCACGTGGTGACCCTCGGAGAGCAAGCGGAAGGCATAACGGCCGCCAAAGCAGTATCCAGTAGCAACGATATTGTCGACGAAAAGCTTTTCTCGGATGAAGTCCACACTTGATTTGAGTATTGGGTCAATAACCTCTGGGCGATTCTGATACAAGAACCCCGTCATATTGAAACCGGGATCAATAAGATCAACCGGTGCAGGCTTCCCGCCAAACATGTCTGGGGCGATGGTTAGATAACCAGCACGACCGAAGCTATCCGCTAACCTGGTAATGGTGAATGAATTAATACTCTGGCGCCCCCTTTCTGCTACATATATAATTCAGCTCTTACTTACAGTTTGTTCTCAGCCAACTGTATACCAAAGACATCTGTCAGGTACAAAACAGCCGTCTTGGACTGCTTGCCGGTAACGTAAAAAGTCGCTAAGTTTTGTCAGTCAGGAACTCCGCATGTAAACTTCTCCAAACGGTCACTGACTGTTACCAAATTCTATCTCCTCCCCTATCGGCTCTCCGGTATGCGCAACAATGGACCCATGGGTGACATGGGAGGCGGCACAAGCCTGGGAGACCAGGGGCATGCAGAGGTAAAGTATACCAAGGAACTGCTTCATCGTGGGCTTTTGTTAACTGAAGATTCTTGAATCCGGATGTTTAGGGGTGGATGAGCTGGGAGAATCTGTACCCATCATCGAGGGGACTCTTTCAGCTATATATACCTAATCTTTCATACGCTAACAAACCGCCCCGAAAGCCATGAATGTGTTTAATTGAATGTTAGCTTGTCAAGTAATTATCCAAGGACCAGGCATGCTGACTGGCATTACCATATACGGTAAACGAGGTTGGTGGAGTTCAGTGCAAGAGATTCCCCACCCCATGAATCCTGGCAGCGATCGACCTAGATACTACGAAGATTGGTAAGACAAAGGTCAAGGGAGATGATTACGAGCATGTAGGATTGCCAAGCCCGTTTACCTATTTGAGATGCTATCAAGTTCACCGAACTTTCAAGAGAATGGCCGTACATCGTGTCAAAATCAACAAGTATAAGTATGCTCTCGGTTATCCAGGCTTTGAACTCATATTTTCATCAGACTACGCTTCTCAAACACCTTTACTCTTGTATCAAAATGAAGACATTTTGGCGCCTCCTACCTCTTTGCTCGGCTATTGCGAGTCGCGTCGAAGCTGCGAACCCGATGAAAGACTTGGTTCCTCGACTCTCGACAGGTGCCTGGATTACCACGGATCTTTCCTCTGCGCCACGGTGGAGCGATTATGCCGCCCCTAAACCTGGATATATTGTCCATGTTGCTGAAGAACTTGATGTGGCAGCGACTGTGAGTATTGGCTTCTATACAACGAGTTCATCATTTACGAACAAAGGGCCAGGTCAAGTACTGTAACGAGAATAAACTCGACTTTCTCGCTCAGGCCGGTGGTCACGGCGGCGCTACCACATTTCACCTGGGGTCTAAAGATATCATCATTAATTTACGGGGTCTGAACTCAACAGTTGTGGCTGAGGATAAATCGGAGATGCTCGTTGGGGGAGGTGCTCTGAACAGCGAGTATGTTGCGGCAGCTACGAATAGCGGAGTCATCGTCTGTGAGTAAACGAGTATGGCATTTCGTTGGACGGCAGACCATCTAATTGACGCGTAGTGAACGGTGGCTGCAACTGCGTCGGTGTAAGTTCCTATACACTCAATTTCCGCACCGCTTGTTCTTTGTGTAGGCTCGGGGATCGTTATATTTTATCTTTCAATGTGCTTTTTGTTGCTAACTACTGACATAAATTAGGTTAGCGGGTTGACACTCGGCGGAGGTCTCAGTTACTGGATGAACGAGTTCGGCAGTGAGTTGATGTTCTCTAACAGCAGCTTTCTGTGCACCATTCGATTGCTTACATGACTCATAGTGCCTGTTGATAATCTCATTTCGGCAAATCTGGTGACAGCCAAGGGCGAGCTAATTGAAGTCTCGGAACACAAGAACAAGGACTTACTCTGGGCTATAAAAGGCGCAGGTCCCAATTTTGGCATTGTTACATCCTTGAGGATGAAGGTACATCCTCGTGAGAATGTGAAGGTCTGGAGGGCACAGCTTGTATTCTCTGGAGACAAACTGGAGGAGTTCCTGAACGCAATGAACGATCTCAAACTATCGAAGAAGATGAACGTTAATTGGGGTCTCAGCTACGTTTCTCCGGGACCCTCTTCAATCATTTTCGCTGGTCTTACTTATTTGGATGGCGACGCCGACGCTGCGGAAGCTGCATTCCAACCGCTTTTTGAGATTGGGCCCGATCAGACAATTCTGATCGGAGTCATGGATTATGCCAGGATGAATGATGGCGTGGACGCCTTCTGCGAAGACGGTGGACGGAAGCCCACTTGGCTTGTCGGTCTGAAATCTTTGGATTATCCCACTTGGCAGCGAGTATCCGATCAACTAGCCACTTTCGTTCAGGCCACGAACCAGACTGACAGCCGCATACTTGTTGAGACCTACTCAATGGACGTTCTCCGCGAGATTGGGTCTGAAGGGGCATCGTACCCACACCGCGATATCAACTTCCACGCCTTCGTTCAGCCAATTTATGATGATTCTAGTCTAGACGGCGCAGCGGACAAATTTGGCGCCCAAGTACGAGAACTTTGGAGGGATACGGATGGTTTCGATACTCCACGAACGTGAGTTGTCGATTTCTATTACAGTAACCCGTAACTCGATCCTAACAACACTATAGGTATATCAACTTCGCCCATGGCGACGAAGATCTTGAGGAGATATATGGTGAAAGTCTCCCCCGACTTAGAGAGCTGAAAAAGAAGTGGGATCCAACCAACCGGTTTAACCAGTGGTTCCCAATTGTCTAGTTTGATATCAAATGTCAAATGAGCTCCTACATTGATATGACAGCCCGGAATAGTGTTCACTGTTAAGGCTTGGGGCCTAGTTCAGGCCTTCAATCTTAAGATTAACTTATATAGTGATCTCTCTACTCAGAATCCGAAACTCAATTAGTTGATCAGTAATAGTACATTGGCAAGAACGCAATCTGGAACACTTGACACTGTCTACGCTGAGGAATAAGAAACCACAATTACTTCTAGATAGAAATTGATGAACATAAAACTAGGCTAGATGGCGTATTTCATCCCGCTCTGCGCTAAACTCACAATCTTGCGCTCGGTAAACTCTTCAACACCCGCCATTCCACCAAAACGACCGTATCCGCTACTACCTCCCGTGCCACCATTGGGCAGAGGTGCCTCGATGTAGACTGTTGGTCCATTTATGTGACAACTGCCCGCTCGAACTTGTCGAGCCACGGCCAGGGCTCGCATGACGTCTTTTGAAAATACGCTGGCACATAGGGAGAATTCACTGTTGTTGGCTAACTCAACAGCTTCATCATCTGAACTTGCCTCGGTGATACAGATGATGGGACCGAAAGTCTCTTTCTGGAACACAGCCATTTTCGGGGTAACTCCCGAGAGCACGTGAGGGGCCAAGATGGTGCTGTTTGGCCCTGACAACTGAAGGTCGCCGGTGAGAAGCTCTGCGCCTTCTTTTATTGCGTCTTTCATAAGTCCAGTGATGCGTGTGCAGGATGAGGCCGTGTAGAGACCTGAGAGAGAGACAGACTCGTCTTCTTCGTGATTGCCATACTTGATCGCTTTCACTCGCTGCAACAGAGCAGCTTTGAACTCAGCTGCGATGGAAGAATCAACAATGACGCGTTCCGTCGACATGCAGATCTGTCCACTATTGGAGAGGGCGCCGAATACCACCGCTTCGACAGCATCCGTAATGTTTGCGTCGTCAAGAACCACTACCGGGGCCTTACCCCCAAGCTCCAGCACGCACTGTTTGAGACAGGTGGCTGCCCAGCCAGCAATGATGCGTCCAACTCGGTCGCTGCCGGTGAAGTTGACACGTAAGACTTTGGGATGCTTCACAGCAAATTCCGTGACCGCCGGGGAATCTGCTGCGGAGGTGGGCAGGAAATTCAGGCACCCTGCTGGCAGGCCTGCCTCTTGGAGAGCGCGTACGACGAGATGTTGAGACTTTGGTGAGAATTCTGAGGGTTTGAGGACTACCGTGTTGCCGCATATGAGAGGACAAGCAATCGCACGCGCCGTTAAGTTGACCTGTATCGAGATTATTAAAACTTGTGGTCGTATATCTGGATGTAAGAGGACTCACTGGTGCATTCCAAGGGCTAATAGCGAATACAACACCAACAGGGCATCTTTCAACCAGAATCATGGTTCCAGGCCGGTCTGCTGGGATAATCTCACCCTTGATGTGGGTTACAAGCCCGGCAGTGTCACGAAGAATAGTAGCCGATGCCTTGATGTTGAGCTGCACCCAACTCTTGACGGCGGATACCTCGGAGGACAAGATTTCCGGCGCATCTTGGTCGAGATAGGACTCCAATATGTCGGCAGCGCGAAGAAGAATTAGTCTTCGAGCTGATGGTGGCGTGCGTGACCATGAGCGGAAGGCTTCATGGGCACGTTCGATAGCTTCTGAATAGTCTTCAACAGTTGCTGCAGAGCATGAGTATATGGGCTTTCCGGTCATGGGATTGACCACCGGGAATGTAGACCCATTTGATGGCGCTTTGTAAGCGCCATTAATGAACAGTAGTTGGTCGTCAGATGGTAAACGCGAAGTCATGATGGCTGTTATTGCTGCTGGATGTTCGAGTTCTTCCCTTGGACGAGGCCTGACGAGGAGGTCCTACTTAGCATATTCATCTCCCCAGGTCCTGTACTCAGACACATTCCAGTCCAGGGCCCCTCGGCCCACATCGGTGTTGATGAGCCGTCGTGGCGGATGCATGCTTCCGATGGCTCAGCATGTGAGGTTCCGTCTCCACGAACTCTGCGGGGTAAATCATGGAGTATGAAGCGTGACCTCAGCACGTAAAAGACCGGGCAGTCATTGATATGTTGGATGCGACTTCAGATACATGGTGTAAACCGATATCCGCCATATATCCTCAACGTTCTTGTGCAGCTTGGTCTTTGCCCCTAGGCGCGATTCTTACCATTACCTTGAAAACACCTACCAACTATGGGGACTGAACTTACGAGCGGCGCTGCTGCGATCCTGTATGCCCTCGAGGCTGCAGGCATTACACATCTATTCGTCAACTTGGGCTCTGATCATCCCGCCTTCCTGGCTGCTTTTGCAAGCAACAAACACAACATCCAAATTTTCACATCTCCCAATGAGATGAATGCCTTGTCTGCTGCTTCTGGCTTTGCCCAAATAACGGGAAAGCCGGCTGGTGTGCTGGTTCATGTGGAATGTGGTACACAGGGACTCGCCGGTGCCATCCACAACGTCAGCAAAGGAAGGATCCCGGTCATGATATTCGCGGGCACAGTTCCTGTTACCATGGAAGGGGAATTGAGAGGCAGCCGTAACGAGTGAGTTTGAGGAATTCATTGAAGGCGTTTTGGTGACAATCGGCTAACCTACCCGTTAGATACATCCACTGGATCCAAGATGTGCCAGATCAGCGAGCCATTGTGAGACAATATATGAAATATGAACATGAGATCAGGTCTCCTCACAATGCCGTCCAAAT